GAAATGAAGTACATGCCAAATGTATGATTTCAATTATATGAAGTTTCCTTGTCAGAGAAGTAACCTACCTCTTCCGCAATCTCACCCGCTTTGATGTATGATTTTCGGACTCGGGCGATAAGACCGATGGCGACGAATGCGTAGATGCCACCGGCTAAAGCAATGAGGGGTACTATGGACAAAGTGACGAGACTTATTTGCCATACGCTCGTGAATCCAATTGCAAAACCGGCTATGAATCGGCTTATATAGTGCAAAAAATTCCCTACCTGCAACGAAATTTACCGGCAATCAAGTTATCATAAACCATAAACCGTATTTGCATGATCACATTTAAAAATTGAAATTGAGCAACCAGACTGTAGTGGCTGGCTAGCTGGAAAGAACCAAATATAGGTCAAAATTTAAAATATAAATTAAATCGTATCAAACTCAACCGCCTTATAAATGCAAAATGCAATGCAGCTATAACCGAATTAAAGACTGCATTTATTATTTTTGCATCAAGGACCGAAGCATATTACAAAAAGGAAAAATAAATGTACATACTTTATTGGGGTATCAGAAAAAAAAAATTCAATTAAAAGAATACCCAAACCCATAATTAGAGATACATGCAAAAATCTCTCTATTATTATTGGACTAAGCCATGGACCATATTGTGATTCGCATTAAAACTGATACGGATTAGACAACCCATGTGTAGCAAAAATAATATAACCCATGTTAAAAATTTCTACATTTGAATACCTAAATGTATATAGATTTGGTTGACACAAAAATGTCTATAGATTTGATTGACCAACGTGCCTTAGACTATTAGTTAGCAGACTTAGTAGGAATTTGCCAAAAAAACAAATGAATATTTGGGTTTATATTAAGGGATATTATTAATAGTAAGAAGTTTTGAATGCATTTAATTACTAATGGGTACCACAAAAAAAATAAAGTAATCGGTCCGCTATGATTCTAATAATTGAACTAACACTAAAAGTTGACAAAACACAGAAAATAAAAATAAAGTGACCCAATCAAATAATTAAGAGCCGATACCGGTTTGATTCGGTTTAAGGTACCTTCTCGGAGAGAGCATCTTGGACGACGAGGATGTCGGAGGTGATGGCGGAGATGACTTCCCCGGTGGAAGCTTCGGTATCGAATAAGCTTATGTCTTGGCTTAACATTGACCGTAAATAAGCTCTCCTCATCTTTGCCGCTTGCCTCTCTCCCGTATGCATCCAACATGCAACCTCTGTTTTCATATTTTTATATTTTTTAATTACAAACTTAAAATAGTGAATAAAAAACCATAGAGATTGTTTGATTTTAATATATCTTTAATTACCTAACCATGACGAGAACAGTATAGCCACACTCAGATATACAAAATCCAACGAGTACTGCACCAAATAAATAAAAATTAAGCCGAGCAATCATAATAAAATTCATAATAGCATATGTGTAATTAGCATTTCACTAGAATTGTATCTGGAGTACGTACATATTAATTTCAATCTGCTAAAACCAACAATTATCATAGGTAAAATTCTCTTCAATTTCCGAGTAATCAGTCGTAGTATAAATCTTTGAAATTTCGAGCTATATATATAATGAAGGAAATACAAATAAAAACCTTGGCGACTTTGTGAGAGGCTTGATGTGGAAAGAGATAAGCAAGACCAATAATGTTGATGAGTTTGCCAAAAAAGATGAAAAAGACTGGAACGGATGCTCCGTGAATGCACGCGCCGATGGATCCGAGAGCCATTAGAACGCAATCGTAGAAATCTGCGAAGGAGAAGAGCTTAAGCAGTGGCACTTTCGGCGTCGCCTTCTCCTTCTCCTTATCCTTCTCCTTCTCCGTCTCCGGATCACCGGACGACTGCATTTTCACCGGAAAGGGTGTGTTTAGCAGTTGTAGAGAAAAAATGTGAGGATAAATAAGAGAGAAATAAATAGAGTGAGAAATTAAGAGGGAAAGTGGTTAGAGGGGAAGAAGATGAGAGAGAGAAGACATTAAATGAAAGAAGACATATAAGACCAAGTTTATCGGTTTCAGCGAGAATTGTTTGGTGCGAAGCTGTGTGTGTGTGTGACCCTAGTTAATAACTCTCTAATAAAGTTTTATATCCTGTTTTATTTTGAACTGTTTGTAGTTTTATTAGCGAATTATATTGGTAATGAGCTATGTGAAGTTCTCAGATCGGTATTTTGTTCACGGTAAAAGTAATGAAGCTGAAAGGGTTAATAATGGTGAAAAGAACAAGTGTCGATTTAACTGTACAAGTTTGCGTAACTAAGAGCATCTGCAACAGAGATATTAGTCCATTTTGCATCATGTTTAGCCCAAAAAAAAACGAAAAATGTAATTAAATTGAAAAAGCAATGTTTATTTGAGACCCATAAACATTGATGCTTAAGATATTTAATAATATTTAATAGTTAAGCATCCCAAAATCTGTTGCTCCATTACTGATGCTGTATCTTTGAATTCAAGTATGCCTTTGACTTTTGAAAACTTTGTAGTCAACGGTTAGACAAATACAGTACTCCCAATGTAGTACATTGATCTTCTTCATTGCACCAAGATACATGGGGTCTACTAATTATCTCATATCCAATTTTACATGAATGAAATACACTGCGTCAGACTTTGACTTCACTTTGATTGAATAATTGGAGTTTTACTTTTTCTGTAATCTATAATGCCATTCTAGTTATGAATCTATAATCATAAATATAACTACAAACAAATATTTTACTTACCACTCAATCTTAACCATTTATCTAGTAACCACACTTAATCATTATTTTCTTCTAAACAATCTAGCATACTTATAAAATTGAAAGAATTTCTACCAAAAGCAAATCAGAATCAAACCGACTAAAAAAAAATAAAAATCAAACCGAATCAAATTTAAATGTTTTGGTCAGAATTCCATTTTAATTTGAATATAATACACCAACCAAATCCGAACTGTATCTAATAAAATAAAAATGCCCACCCGTCTTCAACTCATCGTCCCTACAATGAGGTTAAAATTGATGTAAAATAGGGGATTAGTATTATAAGATAATGTTTGCATTTGCGTTGCGTTCACGTGTCTATCAGGACTTTAGATACATGTATGTCCTCTGGACTGAGATTCAATACGACGGTGGCACCTTTCAGTTCAAGCAGTGAAAAGCTCAAATCATTGTCAAAACCTTGAAAAAACAAGTATAATATTTTTTAAAGTGTCTTTTTAAAAATTTCTTCTTAGGGATACACAGAATATAAAAGGACTAACAATAATTCTAAACGTAAGCCCATCGTGCATATTTTATTTTTCATACCAAATTGTTTATCAGACCCATGATATATATACTCATATAGATATAGTTCAATGGATCCAATTAACTATTCTAGTATAGTAATGGGAAATGTTAAAAAAAAAAAAGGACAAAGAAAAGTTGAAAGAAATTTAAGAAAAGACGCAAAGATAAAGAATAAGAAGAATTCTTTGAGTTGGTTGTGCCGATGACTGATGAACTTATAATTTGGTGGGGTCCAGTTTTAGAGCATAACATTTTTTCTTGGGCTGGTCCCGATGATGCATAGTGAAGTGACCAAGTCTTAGGGCTCGACGCAGTTGTTATATTGTTACGTACGATATGACATCTCATATATATTCTTTTTGATTCGACTTTCACATATTTCACCTTGCTTCTTTTCTCTGAGGTGAAAATGATCGAAATTTGAACTTTCTTTTTTAAAAAATTGGAACCTTTTAAAATCTAAAAAACATTTTATTAAGTATAGCCATCTAAATCATTTAATCTATAAATGAGGTGCTAGCTAACCAAAGTAAACGTATCTAGATTCCAACTACAAATTCAGAGCTTTGAAGTTGTTTCTGTTTTCTAATACTTTCGGTGAAGCTGCTCATTCTTGGATTTATGAAAAATTCCTTTAAATGAACTTGATCATTTAAAATTTAGTTGATGATAGATAGTCTTGAGGGAAATTTTAAATGATGGGGATGGGATACAGTGTTTTTTTCACCACCCGGAAACCAACCATGCATGTGCAATTAAGAAACTAAACCAGAAACAAAAACATAATAACATAATAACAAGGGCTATATTACATTCCTAAGCGAAATTAAAAAATTATTTAGATGACAAATGAGCGAAATTAAAATTCATTTAATTATATTTTTTTCATTGCATCATTTTACAAGTAAACTACCAAAAATTATGCTATCTAATACAATGCATGTACCTTCTTTTTCTTGTATTAATTGTTTCTGTTGCTTTGTCTATTCTTATGTTTCAATAAACTTCTGAATTTAGGAAAAAATTGTCTATGTAACAAACGAAATTTGTTGGCAATTCAAGAAATCTTTTGTACAAGAAGAACTAAAAACAACAAACTAAAAGGAGATAAAAACATCAAAGTATGGCATCCGAACAGCAACCAGAACCAATTCATCGCCGCACTAAAAGCAATTATGACCACCGCTCCGGCCGCGACCACTATCACCGTCTTGAATCGAAGAAGACAAGACACTATAAAGATAGCTGAAAACAACCACATCCTTTTGATCACCATCATATATTGTAAATTTGATAATTTTTTTACTTGATCATCACAAATAAGTAAAATAAGGAAAACAAATCCCCTTTAATTTATCTCCAACTCGAACGACTTGTCTCTGTTGACAAATTTATAATATGGATGTGACAATTTTTTTCTTCTTTTCTTTAAAAGGAGGAATGCGTGGTGCAATATTAAATGCAAACTATAATGATGTAACTGCATATGTATGATTTAGTCATTTTGGGCATTCGGCTTATTATTGCATTTATACCAGTGAAATAGACGTATTTGAGCTGGTTATTATGGGGAAAAAAAGTTAGCAAAAAAAATGATGGGAAAAAAAAGGGGCTTGTTATTATATGTCGAGCTTCAATACCTTTTTGCTAATTGTGAGCTCGTAATTTGACACCATCAGGGCTAGGGATTAGCGACTTTAATACATGTGGATAGTTTGTTCACCCAAAAATAATACAACCTAGCTAGCTAGTCTGCGGTGGCTGCGCGTGTCTTCTTCCATGGTCATAGCAGGGGCGGAGGTAGAGAAGGAGTAATGGGTGACCCCCTACTCTTTTTTATTTTTTTTAAAATATTTAAGTATATTTAATTCAATTATTTTTTAATTTAGTGATAAAAAAGAAAAAATTACCCCCAACTAATTTTTTTCCCTATTTACAAATTTATATCCCCACTAATTTTTTTCTAGATACGCCACTAAGTTATAGTCACTAATATATGCAGAATGTATTTACGTTCGTAATCATCTTTAGAGTCTCATGTTGTGATCACTTTTATTTCATAAATTTACAATTTTGTTTCACATCTGATCCGGTGATCACGCAATGTTTTTTTAAAGTCATTCTAATTTTAAAACAATATAATTAGTCAAAAACTAACTCCTTGAACCAAGGAGAAAAAAAGGTTATCCGTCTAATTAAAACCACAACCAAAGAGGCTTATATCAACAAACTCCATATCTCTGGCACCAAAATTTGCAGAATAATAAACACAAGTCTTCATTGTCTTTGAGGAGAAAACAAGACATGGATTCTTTAAGAGGCCAAGGTGGGATTCAGATGCTTTTAACTGCTGAACAAGAAGCTGGACGGATTGTTTCGGCTGCTAGGACCGGTATAGTCTTTCTCTTTTATAGTTTCTTGGCTCGATTACTAAGATTTTGGTTTTGAATTTCTATTCGACTTTTCCTTTTTTTTTTGATGGATGGATCAACAATCAGCAAAACTAGCAAGAATGAAGCAAGCGAAAGACGAGGCTGAGAAGGAGATGGAAGAGTACCGGTCGCGATTAGAAGAAGAGTATCAGACACAAGTGTCTGGGGTAATCATCACCAACACAAAGCCAGCTACTGAGATCTTAACTTGTACTCATTATTTTACCTTTTGTTTCAGACGGATCAGGAAGCAGCTGCAAAACGATTAGAAGACGAGACAGACGCCAGGATTAAGAACCTTAAGGATTCTGGTTCAAAGGTCTCTAAGGAGATTGTCAAGATGCTCATCAAGTATGTTACCACTACTGGAGCATGATTCCTGATAAACTCACTCCATAGTACCTTATTTTCATGCTAATAAAATCGTTTGATGCTTAAGTTCCAGTTTCTTGGTCAGCTGATCCTCATGCGAAAATCTAGCCAAATACATAGTCCATGCGTATAGACACATTAACATGAGGAAAAGAAAACAACATTAGATCAAAGTATCATTGGTAAAACAAAGAAACAGGGGAAAACAGAACTACGTACGAAAGTGATGATGATATTTAAGCAAAATATAAAAGGGATAAACATGCATGCAAGATCTAATGCAACGTTTGGTATCATTTTCTGTACTCTTGAGCACCAATTATTTCGACATTCTTAATCAAACTTGTAGGACCAGTCCAATGAAAATGGTAACCCAGTTTTTTTTTTTTTTTTTTGGTGTTGGTGTGGCAGCTTCTGTTCTAACTTCAAAATGTATAAAAATTATATCAAATATTAACAACAATAAACAACAAATTTGGTGCCTCTTAAGATATAATCATATAACCATTAATTTGGAACAAAACATGCAATCGAATGCAACAGTTTCCTAACCAATTTCAAATTTTCATCAAGTTGTCTTTGTGCCAGGAACATTGAGACATTTCCTTATGTCATTCGATGCAACATAATGCCAACATTGTACCTTAATTGTTAATGGCAATCAACAAGAGATTGAGCATTTGGAACAAAACATGCAATGATATCTGTGGAAGCCGGGTCGACATATATGGCCAAATCAGAATCAATAAGAATTGAATCGAGATGCAACTAAAACTGATAATAAAACTTAGCTTTCCAAGACAAGGTTAGTTACTTCCTGGTCACATAATATGGTAACAACTCTGGAATTTTAGTTTGCGGAAGCCAAAGGCAAGTTTTAAATCTGATCGCACGTAAAAGCTGAGATGATCAGGTACGATCTGAAAGCCTACCGTCCAAGTCCCGACCTATTAGGTCCATAAGTCAAAGGTTTAACATTGCGCTCAATTTTGTTAAAAATGTTTTTTTATTAAAGGTGAAAATTGAAAAAGAGACTACAGACGTAATCGATGATTGAGGAAATGATTCTATACCAAAATAAAAGATTAGCATCCGATTATGGGAATATTCGATATATGTCAAGGGTTAAACTAAAATTATTGAATTGAGATTACTATTTTCGATACATATTAATTAAAAAATCATCGATAATATTCCGTTACGCACGTCATGGTGAGGCAAGAGAGAGGAGGAGGAGGTTGTGGAAAAGTCTGTTAATGTGTTCTGTTTTTTATAAGGCGACTAACAGAGCAAAAACCAAACTCGGTCTTTGTCTTCCTTATCTTCTCCTTTCTCTCTCTCTCTCTCTTCGTCGTATGAACGCATCGTAACAGAATTCCGGTGATCATCGCCGGAATAATCAACCGATTTTCCAGATTCCGATTATCCCTAAATGGCAATCAGCTTCCGGAAAGCCGTCGGAGCGCTTAAAGATTCCACCACCGTCAGCATCGCAAAGGTCAACAGCGAATTCAAGGTGCAGAATTTTACATTCCGCAATTTCAGATTCTTTAGGTTTCTTCCTCTGCTTAGAAATGACCTAATCAAATTGATTTTTGAAAATTCGAGATATAGGATTTGGATGTTGCGATCGTCAAAGCAACAAATCACGTCGAATCTGCTCCCAAAGAACGCCATATTCGTAGTATGGTTTCTCTCTTTCTTATTTTTCCCCTTTCACAACACAAGCCCTTGATTTGGTTACGATCATGAGTTTCTGATTCGATGAGAGTATTCTGTTTTTTTTCTTTCTTTTTTTTTATACAGAAATATTCTCTGCAACATCTGTAACAAGACCACGAGCAGATGTTGCTTACTGCATTCACGCATTAGCCAAGAGATTATCCAAAACTCACAATTGGGTTGTGAGTTTACTTCTTTTCACTTAAAAATTCCATTTTTTTTTCAATCTATAAACTCTCTTTTGGGTTGCTCTAAATTGCTTTCTGGACACGTAGGTCGCGATCAAAGTGTTAATAGTGATTCATAGAACACTAAGAGAAGGTGATCCCACATTCAGAGAAGAGTTTCTCAATTACTCACACAGAGGACATATACTTCGAATATCTAACTTCAAAGACGATACAAGTCCTCTTGGTGAATGCATAATCTCTCTATGTATAGATTTTGTTTCACAGCTTTGGTATGTTTAATGAAACTTTGCTAAACACATTTTCTTAACTTGGTGTTGCAGCTTGGGATTGCTCTGCTTGGATTAGAACATACGCGCTTTTCCTTGAGGAGCGGCTTGAGTGCTATCGAGTTTTGAAGTATGACATAGAGGCAGAGCGTTTACCAAAAGGTTCAGGTGCATCTTCAAAGGTTTGTTCTGAATTTCTCACCATTTTAAACCAACAAAAAATAAGAATCTAATTCTAGATATATTTATATGAAAAATCATTGTCCAGAAGGTGGATTTCAATGCTTCTCAAACGTATAGAACAAGGATGTTATCTGATGAAGAACTGCTAGAGCAGTTACCTGCTTTGCAGCAGCTACTTTACAGGCTTATCGGTTGTAAGGTAAAGTTATATATCCAAACCAAATTTTTTGTTTTTGCTTACATCAAACGGTTTCTTAATATGTTTTCAGTTTTACAGCCAGAAGGAGCAGCCTATAGCAACTATTTAATCCAATACGCACTTGCATTGGTGCTTAAAGAAAGCTTCAAAATATACTGTGCCATTAATGATGGAATCATTAACCTTGTAGACTTGGTTTGTAGAATTCTCCTTCCTCTGGTTTAGCGGCAATTTTCTTATATTGAATGTAACTAAAGTATATGTATCTCTGTTCTCGCTGCAGTTCTTTGAGATGTCAAGACATGATGCAGTAAAAGCTCTAAACATATATAAACGGGCCGGCCAACAGGTAAAGATTTGAAGCTAGACTAAGTATCAATCCTGATTAAGCTTGATGACTGACTGTTAAAGGTTTTTCACTGCACAGGCTGAAAATCTGGCTGATTTTTATGAGTACTGCAAAGGTCTAGAGCTAGCGAGGAACTTTCAGTTCCCAACCTTAAGACAGGTTTCTTCTTTACTTTGTGATAGATGATGCGAGATTGATCACCTCAAAAGACCTAATAATATCTAAAAAAATGTTTCAGCCTCCTCCGTCTTTTATTGCAACAATGGAAGATTACATTAAAGAAGCGCCTCAAAGTGGTTCTGTACAGAAAAAGCTGGTACAAAGTTTAACTCTCATCATATTTGGCTTAAGTTGATTAGTAAGTACTTTCTTTATGATTTGCATTGTCTTCTGGTCACAGGAGTATCAAGAAAAGGAGGAGGAACAAGAACAAGAAGAAGAACACTCTCCGCAGCCTGAAGAACCTGCAGAAACCGATAATCAAAATGAAAACACCGAAGCAGAACAGCCGCTTATCGAAGAAGAGGAAGAGGAGAAAGAAAAAGTAGAAGAGGAAGATGCTAAACCTTCATTTTTGATAGACACCGATGACTTGCTGGTGAATCTTCTTTCTACACATCATCTTATGTGAACCAATATCTCTTTTTGGCCAAAGTCTCGAAATCCCCTGACCATTTCTTCTCCTTGACAGGGTCTGGGTGAGATAAACCCAAAAGCCGCAGAGATAGAGGACCGAAATGCATTGGCTCTCGCAATATATCCACCAGGTAGCTAACACGACCACTTTTTTAATGTTCCATCTGGTTTATTTCCACTTGTAATTGATGCTTGACCAAAACTAGAGACTTTCTTGAAACATTGTTAACGCAAAACAAATTTGTGAACTTGTCAACGATCTCTATAGGTCATGAAGCTCCAGGCCCATCAAACAGTTTAAGCTTAATAGAAACAGGTGGATCCGGTTGGGAACTAGCACTGGTCACTCCTCAAAACAACAACAACAACATTGCTCGCCCCGCGTCTGACACCAAACTTGTAATGAAGTCTAACACCACATCAATCTAAACTTGAATCTCTCTACTTTTTTTACTCTCAAAACTCACAAGGGTTCGTTCTTTCTTGTTGTATTTTACAGGCAGGAGGATTCGACAAGCTACTGCTTGACAGTCTGTACGAGGACGATTCAGCGAGAAGACAGATCCAACTAACCAATGCTGGCTATGGACATGGTGGCACAGACACAGCAGCAGCAGCAGCAGCACCACCACCACCAAACCCATTCGAGATGCAACAAGATCCCTTTTCAGTGTCCAATAACATTGCTCCTCCAACTAATGTTCAAATGGCAATGCAACAACAACAGATGATGATGATGCATCAAAGTCCTTATAACTACTCTCATCCTCAAGATCATCATCATCATCAACATAATCATCAGTTCTCAGCTGCAGGTTCTTCTCCTTCTAATCCTTTTGGAGACCCTTTCCTTGCCCTCCCGCCTCCACCAGGCTCAGCTGGTCCGCAGCAGCAAAACAGCCATCATCATATGCTCCTCTAGAGTAACAACATCTCACTTGATAATATCTGTGTTTGATGTGGCATTCTTTCATTCTTTCTACCTCTTCTATTCACTGGTGATGTCTTAGCCCTTTTTTGCCAATAAATTATGTTTTTCTTTTGTATTGTCTCTTCCTACCTTTTTAATCTTTCAGCACTTACTTGATTGGCATTATTTTTTAAAAATTAGTAGTCTGAGTTGTGTGATTAAGAACTCGCCACTACATACCGTCAAATGCACAAGAGGTGGAACAAACTCGGTAGCGTGTATTGAATAAAAAAATTCTTTTACCTTTATTCAATAAAACAATATTTCTTATTTAAAAAATACAAATAAAATAATTTGACTTGCCATGAAATATAAGAGATCCTAGCATGATATAGCAAAGTAAAAACACCACAAACAGTAGTGAACCAACCATGCATGTTAATTAATTAGGAGTAAAGCGGAATTGGAGAAGGCCAGTAAGGGAACTCAGTAGACTTTATTGGGCCTTCATATGTGCAGAAGGTTGTGCAAAGTTTGGAGTAAAAAAATCATTTTAAATCAGATTTTAGTATATAGAAATTTATATGGAGTAAAAAAAAATAATACAGAAACTAAATGGCTTAGATATATTTACCATTTGACGAGGAATTTGTCGCCAGAGGGTGACTCCACCAAGTGGTCTGTCCTGAAAAACGAAAGCAACGGGTTCAACTCACGCGGTTTAGGATGTTCTGCAGTCCACATCAAAGGAAACTCGAGCATGTCGCCCTCCTTGAAGTGGACATCCAAGGAGCACAAGTACTCGCATCCAGGAGATGGAATGTAGAACCTCTCATCTTTCTTGGAATACATAAGACTAGAGAAAGGGTTTATAGATTCAGGCGTGGTATTGATGTCAAGCCACCGAAAGCCATCGTCACAAGCAGGCCTGTAGAGCCTCAGCTGAGATCCCGAGAACTTGACGGCCACCACCCAGTCTTTATTGTTTAGGTCAGGACGAGAGGACATTGCTAGGTTTTGTATCCTGGAGCCGGTGGGCAGAGGAGGCAGATCAACGCTCACGGGTTTTGCTTTGGGGTCAGATGGATCTTGGTAATGGATGCTGAGTGATGTTTGGTCGGACATTTGAAATCTCAACCGTTGTGAAATCCAAGAGTCATCGCATGACGGACCTCGTCCACCAGTTCCTGGTCCCTAAGATTGATCATCTTTTCTTTTAAGTGTGGTGGGTGATATGATTCGGACGAGAGGGTGAAGCGGCGGCCAGCATCGCTCTCTTCCAAACCGCAAGCCGTGTTGTTGAGGATGTGGTCAATCAGTAGATACGGATAGGCGGGCGTAGAGAACAACCGAACGTTCTTGCGTCTCTGCCAAATAGTAGGTACGTTTTGACGTAATCAGAAGACATGAAGGGAAAGTAGTGAAAGAAAGGAAAAGCTTACGAGGACATTTTTGCAGAGATTGGGCTTCAAGAGTCGGTTGATAATGAGCTGAGACATCGTGAAAAACCTATGTTGGTTATTGGTTGTGTGCCTCTTCCATTTTCTCTATCTCCCGTGCGTGGGAGTTATACAAAGGGTACGCCTTGGACACCAAGCACACATTTTAGGAAGGATATTTAGGGAGATAGTAACTTCTTAAGGAAAATAGCATATATATATCAGATAAGGAAAGAAGCATAAAATGGCATATTGCTCTAATATCCTGTGCTTACAAGATAACTGGTGGTAACTTCTCATATATTTTCCTTTCTATACACGCAATGTTATAATTGCCACAAAATTTTAAAGAAAAACAGACGAAGCATTAATAATACACGTTGAATCACACAAAAACTATGAATTTTCCAGTATTTTATGATATTTTATATTTTCCGTTTGAATTGGTCTGTGATCCAGAACACAAACTCATGTATATCTCTTATCTGGAAACGCTTAAAAAAACAACTCATAACTGTTCCATGAAAATATGAAAACCCTAAATTTTTCTTATACGGTTGGTTATAGCTTGTATAGTTGTATACATGCATATTTTCTTTTTTGATAAACTAATTTGTTGTTAAAAAAAATTGATATTTTTTTGCTGAATCGAAGAAAACGAAAAAAGAATTACCATAAATCCTAAGTTGAAGAGAGTCTCCATGGATGACACTCTAAGCACATCACAGTCTACACATTATTTAAAGAAAAATTACAAACAAAGATCTTTACTTCTTCTGCTTTTATAACCTTTCAAAATGCCTTCTTTGTTAGCTTAATTTCCAATATATGTACTAGATTTCGAATGACTTTTAAAATTTTAGTTGCAATTCTACATCTCGGAATAGAAAATTAACTAGGATACTTGCATCTCAAGGCAAATAAACAAATCTGTCAATACCCAAGCTCATCAAGTGTATTATAAATTTTATTGAATTGAATTAGCTATTAGCATAGCCAAAATGACAACATAAACACTAATGAAACAAACATATTAGTTAGCCGTTGAGAGGAACCGGAGGAGGCCAGTAAGGGAATTCCAAATTCCTCAACGGAACGTCTTCTCCTGTGTAGAATGTAGTGCAAGTTTTGGTGGTAAGATCATAAACACCATAGTTATATCCGACAAAATAGATGCAGTTAGGCTTAAGGCCGGGGCACGAGCTGGCCGGGATGCAGAAAGCCTCACTATGTCCAAGAAAGATGCAAAGATCTCCAATGTCTTCGGTGTAAGTCACACACTTCTGATCCCAGCTCTCATCCGCTCTAAACACCATGAACCGTGATGTCATGTGCATGAGTGTTTCCACATTTTTGTAATTGCGCCTCGCGTCGTTGCCGTAGCTGAAAACACATCGAAGAACCAACAAGATAATGCGTTTCACTAATAAGAAAGACTTATAAACAAATAACAAAAAAATTGTTCACTAATCAAATGTGATATATGTTGATATGCAAATATCGACAAGGGACAAAACAGTACTTTTAGATCGAAAGCTCGGTTTTATTAGATTGAATCAAGTAAAATACAACTGAGTTTGGTTATTCAGATTGATAATAACGAACTAAGATTTAAGGCGACTAAGAAGCTAGCGTAATGAGTTCTCAGTCTTTAAGTCTTCTCGGGAATCTCTTATGTTCTCTGGTGTCGATTCGTCTCCCTTTATATATACCTCCTAAGTCGGTCTTCAAGCACGCCTTAGACGATATGGGACCGAGACGAGTTTCCTTTTCTCTCGGCTCCTTTCCTTTTCTCTCCAAAGTTTTCTTTTTCCATTAGGAAACTTTCCTGTTTCGACCGAGCTCATGGAAACTCTCTATTCCTTCGAGAGGTTTCTCACCGATCTCGGCATAATGGGCTGTTCTCGGCCCATCTTTGCTCGGCTCATCTTTTCTCGGTACGTCCCTTCGTAAATCGGGTTTATGATTTGCCGATCTCGGTTTATACCGGAAAAAACCAGGATGCGGTTTTTACCTCCAACAATATATATAATATATACCACTTGACGAGGAATTGTTCGCCTGAGGGTGACTCCACCAGGTGATCTGTCCTGGAACCAGAAACAAGCTCCTCCAACTGAGGCAAAACGGACTCAGGAAGATTACCAACCTCCAAGTCAATGAACTCGGGGTGGTCGCCTTCTTGGAAATATAGATCCAAGCAACACAAGTAATCACCTCCAGGAGTTGAAACGTAGAACCTTTCCTCCTTCTTAGAATACATGAGACTCGAGAAAGGGTGTACAACCTCAGGCGAGGTTTTGATGTTGATCCACTGATGACCAGGCCTAAAGAGACTCAGCTGAGATCCCCAAGACTTGACACCAACTATCCAATCTTTACTTTCTAGGTTCCTTGAAGAGGAACACGACATGGCCAGGTTTTGGACTCGGTCGGTAGAGGAGGTAAATGGACGCATGCGGGTGGTGATTTTGGGTCAGGTGGGTTGTGTTTATCGACGAGGATATCTAGGGAGTTTTTGGAAAGCTTGAATCCCAACCCATGATGTGAAAATCCGACGGTCATCGCATGACGAACCTCCTTGGCGAGTTTCTTGTCCCTAATCAAGATTTTAGTTGACTTGATGAGGCGTTCGTCGTCTGATTCGAAAATCCTAATGACGCGACCATCAGGAGAGTGTGGAATGTTAAGAACGTAGTCAATTAATAGAAACGGGTAGGTTGGTGTAGACGAGAAGGAGGAATTGATGGGAGCTTTTAGTTTAGTGGCAATGTCAATATAACCATCCGGATCCGATTCCGACCCGCTGTTTGTCTGAGTTGTAGCCGAGAACAAACGAACGTTCTTGTGTCTCTACATTTGTTATACGTACGTTGAAGTAAGCAGACAATCAAAAACCAAAAATAAAAGTCAAGAAAAAACGAATTATTATTACGTAAGGGAAGAGAAGCTTACGAGGAAATGTTTGCAGACAGAGGGCTTAAATAGTCGGCTGCGGCTGATAATAAGCTGAGACATTTTTGAAATCCTAAACTATGTCTATGTGTGCCTCTCTTTCACCTTCTCAAGACCACTAGACTTGATGATATAGAGACTACGCCTTGGGCACCAAGTGCACACACTAAATGTATGAATATTTGGAGAATAATATATTCAAGGAAAGAAATGATAAATTCGCATCTCATCCAAGGAATTGTTTCTATAGTGTACATTTATTATCTCTGATTATAATTCTTTTCTTCGTTAACAAAAACAAAAGAGGCTAATACATACTAATTTGAAAATTTGATATTAACTACTGTATATTGGGGGAAAAAGGCTTTGTAAAATTGGATAGAAGTTACAAAATAAAAAAGGAGTCAAATCAGTGTCACTCTAGAAGCTGGACTGCACCGATCGAAGGAATTGTTTCCCTCAGTTTCTGAGTCAACGCGACACGAACGGTCATGACCCCAGCAGCTGGTCCAGTGAGCCGAACCTTGACCACATAACCATCGATCTCAACCAGCTCAAGCCCTCCACCTCCCGTACCGGATAGATACGGCCGTAGCTCAGACAGAACCTGAGGGGTAAATTCAGATCGATTTCAAAACCATGGGGCCAAATTGAAAATAACTTAAATTAAATAAAAATCAAACCTTTTCGATGTTCTCTTCGTTGAGCTCTAATCCTCCTGCCTCAGGTTCGAGAAACTGCTCGACGGCCATGATTTCGGGGATCTTATCTCGGAGACGACTCTCGATTCCCATCTTCAACGTCATTGACGAGCTAGGACACGACCCGCAAGCTCCTTGTAGCTTTAGAACCACCACAAGTCCGTCGATTTCGTGTAGCGCCACGTTTCCTCCGTCGGCCATTAGCGACGGCCGTACTTCGTCGAGCACACTCTCTACACTCTCTTCCGTTAACGGCAAGACGCAGATCGGCGACACCACGTGGCCTATACTACGCCACAATTAGAAGAATCTAATCACAATTAGAGTTCTACGAGAGATTGTTATGGTTTGCAAATCAATACGAATTTACCTGCTCGTTTCTTCAAAGGTCGAGTGTGGCGAACCCAAGAAAAATGTATTCTTTGAGATTGACCCCTGAGGAATGTACAGCATCTGGAAGAGACCCCACAACTATCTGAAATCGCGTTCTAACACAAGCGAAGGAGGAGAAAGAAGAAATCAGAAATAACCAAAAAAATGTCACTTTCTGGTGAAGCTCGATGAACTGAAGACAATACCTTAGAATTGAGAAGTGAGGAGCGAAAATTAACGTTCTTTTCAGCCGAGGAGAGCGAGAGGTTCATCATAGCAATTCGAGTTTGACCCGAAACCAAACCCATTTAAATCCTTCTTTACGATCGAGAAAATTTCAAGAAACCCTTCTCGAATATTGGTGGAAATCGGCTGGATTGAGTTTGTTTTATTTTTCCCCAGGAAAATCTGGGTCGAGAACAGACTGTGAAAAAGAAAAAAAGAGAAAAGAGGGAACTTTTCATTGGTGGATGATGATACGTCTTGGAGATGATTTCATTTTGTGGCCAAGATTTTTTCTTAAAATAATTAATACCACAATTCCACAAACACCCAAAAGAAGCTTTTTATTTATTAGCGGTTACAGGATTCACGAAGACTAGAATTACAAAACCAATGACTTGTCAGGTCTGGTTTGGATCCTGACTATCTTATATATATGTTCACCATGTTTTGTTTGTGGGAACATAAGTATACTTTCTATAAGACAGTTTTCAAGTATTTAAGAAAATGAGGATGAATGCATGACTTTTGTTTGGGTCAAAGCTTTCCACTGAATCAGCTCGAAGGAACGACAGTCATTTGGAGTATTCCTTTCCACTCTTCACCGGGTTTCACTGTGATCGGTTTCTCAATAGCCGCGCTTTCCACCGTTACAAAACGCCTGTAGTCTTCAGCTCCCAAGTCGACCACTTTCTTCTCCCATGGATTCCACACCACTGCACATTATTATTATTGGTTATCAGTGATCCATCATTAGTACATGCAACACTCTGTTTTTGTGTCTACATGTACATATGTATACAAAATCTTAAAGTCTTTTACCAGAATCAACTTGTCCCTCCTTGTATACCACAATTGTCTTCTTTTTCTTGTTGTCCACGATTCTGATTTCATTTGGAGTGCTTAGGTAAATCCTGTCAAGCTATTTTCAAAGAGTTATTGATGTTCTTTTTCTTTAGTGAGGAAATATGAAAGAAGGGATAAAAATGAATAAAGCTTACCTGGGACTTAAAAGTTATAGCCTTGTCATGATCAGTGAAACGCGCTCTGTTCTTTTGTTGGTCAAGATAATTCAAATTTTGCAACCCTTCCACCTGGATTTCACTGAACACAAGACTCTGATGTCATGTAACTCTATATAACATTCTAGCACCAGCAGAACCAGAAAACATTTAAAAAAAAAAAGAATCTAAAGACGTTTGAGACGTTATCAAAAAGGTTAGAGGAAAAGTCAACTGAAAGATGAGATCTTGTGTCTTACTGAAACACACATAAAAGATGGAAAAGATGATGACTCCTCTCGAGTCTATGAAATGAGATTACCTGATATCGGAAACAGAGAAATAGGGGTGAAGAGCCATTGTGAAGTTAAACGGCTTCACATCAATATTCTTAATTCGAGATGTCAACGTCAAATCTCCTTCAGGTCCCAAATGTATCCTCAGTCTATACTCAAACCTGAAATGGATACAGAGGTCATAAGGCTATATTCCGTGAGAATTTAACACACACAAAAAAATGGCTTCACATCATTATATAGCCAAACATGTTATAAGATTATGAAAGTAAAAGAGAGGTTTCAAGAATCTAACTTATGAGGCCAGATCTTCAAATCATCTTGGGATGATCTTAGGATTAGGTCAACCCAAGCTACATAAGAAGAACTTGATGGCAACTGAGGTGGATTAGTGTCAATTTCCCAGAACCTATTTCTAACAAATCCATGTGAGGGAAGTGGACCAGTGTTACTGTACTGCATTACAGGAAACAAAAATGAATTTCACTAACAAAAACAATTCATACCATTAAATTACAAACAATAGTTTGCTTTAAAAGAGAATAATAATAAATAATCCGAAAGCACATACTTGAGGAAACAATATTGGAATTCCTCCACGAATTGGTGTTGGAGGGTCGAATATAGCCTACAAAATTCATAAACACATGATTTTAGTTCTCTCTCATTTGGAGCTCATACATGCTCATACAAAAGGAAATTATAGTTACTTTAGATACAAGCATAATATTAAGCTAGCTATATATTCATTTACTTGCGTCTAATGAAGTAAAGATCGATAGCCCTATAGGTTCACTTCTTTGACTTTAGATCAAAAACCGATCTGAAGAAGAAAAAACCAAGAGTTCCCCAATTGATTCATCTTGGCATAACTAGTTAACTTATGCCAATTATTCTAGATAGAGAGCCAACTAGAGAACAACATGCATGCAAAGGAGATATGTAGACTGAATTTGAAGTACCTTGCTACTCATAACAAGTAACTCCTCTCCGTGCTCATTCTTCCAAGAACTCACTTGACCTCCATACAAGTAAACCTGATCAAAGTATTTTGACAAAATTAATGAATGAAAATCTGCAGCAAACAATCCGGAATTTGGAGTCTAGCTAGGCAGCATAAACCACTAATTAATTTAGAGATAAATCCTATTAAAAAGATTAGTCGAAACCAAAATCTTCTGTACATGACATTCAAACATGAACGTTTTGAATGTCTTAGAATATGATTCAGTCATGACATTCAAACATGAATGTTTTGTTATGTCTTAGAATATGATTCAGTAAGATATACACGCAGATACCGGTAATTTCCACTATTTAATTTATCTTTCTCTAATCATGATTATTATTCAGTGTTACCAATTAAAACCAAAAAAGTACCTCAAAAGATCGACCACGACGGTCGTGTATGATGATCTTTTCGAGACCATTGATGCCCTTAGTCCGCTCAAAGGGACGATGCTCGGTGGCCATAGCAACGACTGCTGCAACCAGCAGAGCCCATAAGAAGATCAGATATCCGAGATTTCTCTTATTTTCCATCGTGAATTGTCGTCTCCTTCACTGAGTTCACCCGCGACGAAGATATATACGTTGTTCAAAATTTATTTTTATTCCTTAAATAGGCCAAAAAACAGTCAACGGATAAACCTAAAAAACAGGAAAGATAACGTATGATTCTTCCACTCATTAGATTTAGAAAAATCTTTATTTTGTTGACCAAAAATAGAAAAAATCTTATTTTGTCTCATTTGCTCAAAATTAAGCAGCGATAACGCCAGGTACCGGTACGCCACATCTGCTAATTGATCTAGACCTCATCGACGCCGTCTTCTTAAGCAGTCCATTCTATAGAATCTACGCACAGGTTTTTGGTTGCCTACTAGAACGTTACAAATATCTACACTATTTTTTTTCTACCCTGATCTTCTCAACATTTTCTTTCCATTTTGCATCTATTTACATCTCTTCTCATTTTCTCTTTATCTCTTTCGGATTTTTTTCCTGTTTTTGACAATTACATTTACATTTTCTGGCTGAAAATTTTAAGATTTTGTATTAATCATAAAAATAACATGTGTATCCATACAGCACAGCTGAGTAATTTTTTTTTTTAACGCAATAAGCTTTTACTATTGGATTGAAAAGGATACAATTGTGATCACAAAGTTTTTGAAAGAAAATACACAGCTAAGTATTTTTGAACCTTTCTTATGGAAATGACATAATCCAATTATTGTATCTTATTAAAACACTTTAAACTTTATCAGCGTATACAAGATCCATGAATAGTGTAAAGAAAAAAAAAATCATTGGCCAGGTCCGGTTTGGATCCTGACTAACTTAGTGTTCACCATCTGATGTTCCTGGAGCATAAAGTATACCTTTTAGGACGGTTTTGAAGTTTTAAGTATGAGAATGAATGCATGACTTTTTGTGGCCAAGCTTTCCAGTGAAACAACCAGAAGGAACCACAGACATTTGGAGTACTCCTTTCCACTCTTCACCGGGTTTCAATGTGATCGGTTTCTCTACAGCCGCACTTTCCACAGCAACAAAACGCCTGTAGTCTTCAACTCCCAAATCGGACACTTTCTTCTCCCATGGATTCCACACCACTGCATAATTGTGTATTATTATTATAAATGATCCATCATTAATTACTAAAACATCTGTTTCTGTGTCTATATATAAATATAAGTCTTTACCAGCATCAACTTGTCCTTCCTTGTGTACCACAATTGTCTTCTTTTTCTTGTGGTCCACGATTCTTATTTTATTTGGAGTGCTTAGGTAAAGCCTGTCAAGCTATTTTTCAAGAGTTATTCGTTTTTTTTACTTAATGATGGAATAAGGGATGAGATTGGAACTGGCAAAACAAAATTTACCTGGGAGTTAAAAGTTATAACTTTGCAATGATCAGTGAAACGTGTTCTGTTCTTTTGTTGGTCAAGATAATCCAAATTATGCAATCCTTCTACCTGGATTTCACTGAACAAAAGCAGCTGATATAACTTGATATAATATTCCAACACCAAACAGAGCAATAAAAACTAAGATGTTTGAAACGATATTTAAAAGGTTTAAGGAAAGTCAATAGTGAGATGATATCTTGTGCCTCAGTGAAAACACATAAAATATGGGAGATGATGATTCCCTCAAGTTTGGCGATCACAAAGAGCTGGCTTGAAAGAAAAAAAAAGAAGAAAAAAAGAAATTGCGATGAGTTACCTTATATCGGAAACAGAGAAATAAGGGTGAAAAGCAAATGTGAAGTTAAACGGCGTTCGATCAGAGTTCTTAACACGAGGTGTCAACGTCAAATCTCCTTGATGTCCTAATGCTACTCTTAGTCGAAATTCATACCTGAAATATGGATACATACGTGGTCACAAGGCTACTTGTGAGAATTAAACAAACGAAAAAAGCTTCTCATTCTATGTATATAGCGTGATAAATTATGTACTTCCAACCCAAAATCTATATGCAATGAGTGGAGAGGCTCATATCATTTATATTTTGCATACTATCCATTTCTGATGTAGGATATTTTTAACATATATTTCTATAAAAAAAAAATCGGAAAAATGGTGTAAGAATATGAAAGAAGAAAGAGAGATGTTAATTTCAAGAATCAAACTAACTTATGAGGCCAGATCTTCAAGTCATCTTCGGATGATCTTAGGATCAGGTCAATTCGAGCATTGGAAGAAGGGTGTGATGGCAAATGAGGTGGATTAGTATCAATTTTCCAGAACCTGTTTCTAACAAATCCGTGTGAGGGAAGTGGACCAGTGTTACTGTACTGCACTTACCGAAAAAAACAAAACATTTCATTAACAAAACAAATTCTACTATTCAAGAATAAGGTAAAAAACAAAAAAAAAAACATTCGAAAAAGCACACACTTGCGGAAATAATACTGGAATTCCTCCACGAATCGGTGTTGGAGGCTGAAATATGGCCTGCACAGTACAGAACACATGATTTTAGATCTCACTCATGACTCATTTGATAATCATTGTGCAGACTGCTACTTTAGAACAAGCAGATTAGTTATTAAACTACTGACATATTCATGTACATGCCTCTATTGAAGTTAAGATTCAAAAAAAAAAAAGTAACTTCTGTTCATTTCTTTTCTCTCAAATTAAAGGTCAATCTAAAGAATGCAACCAAATAATTTCTCCAATTGATTCATCTTTGCATAACTAAGCCAATTATTTAAGACACAACCAACCACTGAACATAATCAAATTACATATATATAATGATCGTAAATATGAATCTGAAGCACCTTGCTACTCATAAAAAGTAATTCCTCTCCTTTCTCATTCTTCCAAGAAGTCAGTTGACCTCCATACAAGTAAACCTGAGTTGTTTAACCAAAAAAAAAAAATGAATCAAAATCTGCAGCAAGCAATATTGACTTTGGAGTCTAGCCAGCATACATCACTAACTTTAATTATATCCAAAAAGAGATGAGTCGATACCAATTTTCTGCTGTACATTACATAACAGTCAAAATATCAAAAGTCAATACTCAGTTATTTTTTTTACTATAAGAGCATGATCAACGGCATTTTTAGTGTGGTCTCTAAAATTTTTTAATGATTAAATTAAATCAAAATTAATTAATAAAGCTAAAGACGTCTCTAATTTAGGCGACACAAGAAACGTCTTTAAATGGCACGTGGCAGTGTTTTATTGGATAAAAATTTGTGGAGAATGAAAATTTTTTTCTTTCTTCCTTCATTTCTCTATTTTCTCATTCTTTCTCCTTCTTCGTTTTCTCCGTACGCGAGGATTACTTCTTCGTTCTCTGCATCTCGACGACACCGTGGGCTTCGCCGATTGATCCCGACTGAGGCGGTGATGGAAGCGCCGGAGTTTAGAGTATGGATGGGATTCGTCTTCTCAATCGCTGGAGGTAAGCGATTCATCTTCTCAATCTATTTTGATGCTGTTTCTTCTCAATCATTGATCGATGCATGATCTAGGGTTACTGATCAATGCATGATTTTGGGTTTAGATTTTTGTTTGCATCATGAAATTTCGATTCTGTTTTGGTTGAAAAATTGCTTCAGAATCGATCCGATTTGGTCCTTGTCCTGATCGGTTTTACTTGTTTAAACTATGCTATTGCGTTCCTTGGAGAGTAGGTTTGATGTTGATTAACTATGTTTTTGCTTGATGTTTCTTAGTCAAATTTGAAGGTTTAATGCGTGTGCTTTATACTGATAGTGCGTGTGCTTACATAGATTGTTGGTGTATTTCTTTGATCTTTTTAATAATGGATGGCTGTGGAGTTAGTTTTGAGTAGTTTTTAATATGAGGTAGCTGAGAGTTAAGTGTTTGTATTGAAGTTGGTTTGGTTCTATATTTAATGGTAATCTTTTTTTTTCCCTTGCACGAGGAGAGAATATTGGGGAATAAAATCAAGAGGAGAGAAGAAGGACAGCGGTTTAAAGGCATCATCAGCTTCTCACAAAAAGGTCAGCTTCATATTTCATTCCTCTCAGCTTTTAATAAATGAAAGTTAGGATTAGGTTATGGTAGTTTAGAGAGTTTATGGTTTAGTGTTTAAGGCGATGTAGATATATGTCAAGTCAGACTAGTTGTGGTGAATGCTTGTATTTGGTTTGGGTTGTGATGAATGCTTTGTCTTGAATGCAAGTGATGAATGGTTGCTTTTACTGTGTCTTTATTCTCTGCTCTTCCATGCTCTTTACTTCATTCTCCTCTTCTATTTAAACCTTGTTTAAAGAGAACACTTCCATCTTCTTTCACTCTTCTCGTACTTGTCTTTTTAAAAATACAAGTCTTCTCAATCTTCGATATCTTCTTCCATTCTTCTCCTCCTAAATGTCTACTACATATCCCTTTAACCAACCCTCAAACTTTGTTGACCTCTTGCATAGCCAGCAAGAGACTGTGGCAACCTATCCCAATCCATTCCCATCACTAGAACTCCCTGTATTCAGCACCCAAACTTCCCCTGAAGATCAAGGAGCATTCGATGATGAGCCGACCAAGGAGCCTGCACATCGTCGAGAAAGAAGATCATGGAATCCTGCAGATGATACTCTGCTCATAAGCGCATGGTTAAATACAAGTAAAGACCCTGTTATAGGCAATGAACAGAATTTGGGTGCCTTTTGGGATCGCATAGCTACATACTATGCGGCTTCTCATACAAGTGGTGATGTTCGAGGGCCAGGTCAGTGTAAACAGCGCTGGCACAAGATCAATGATCTTGTCTGTAAATTCGTTGGAGCTTATGACGCAGCAACAAGGGCAAAAGGAAGCGGTCACAATGAGACTGACGTTCTTAAGCAGGCGCATGCTATATTCTATAATGACCATAACAAGAAATTTACCCTGGAGCATTGTTGGAAGGAGCTTAGGAATGATCAGAAGTGGTGCGAAACTTTGACCACTCAACCGATAGACCCTGCAAACAGAGGAAAGCTGACAATGGTGGACCATCCGAAGTTGATGGAAACAAGGACGCCAAAGCTGATCAGGCTAACATCCGACCTCCTGGAGTGAAAGCCGCAAAAGCCAAAGGGAAGAAGGCATCAATGGTGGAGGGGAAGTCTTTGAACGAGTTTAGTTCCATGTGGGCTGTTAAAGAGAGGGATATGGTTCTGAAGAAGGAAATCACGGCAATGGGACTCATGGACTCTATATTCGCAAAAAAAGAACCACTCACGGCGACTGAAGAAGCCTTGAAGCAAAAGCTCATAAATCAATTGTTGGGTAATTAGGTTGTTTGTGTTTTAAGTTTATGTGTGTCTGTCATGTCCAATCTATGTTATGTTATGTTGTTTGTGTTTTAAGTTATGTTGTGTCTGTGTCAAGTTTAATGGATCGAGTTTTTTCAAACTCTTTAATGTTGTGTACTGCTTTGTAATGGTTTGTTGTTTAATGAAATATTATTCTCTTGACTTTGGAGCTTCAGATTTCACGGGTTATTGGAAGAGACATAAAGACAACTGAATGAAATCGATATTCACGGGTTACTCAAAGGAGTGGAGTACAACAAGCCAGGCAAAACCGTAGGGACCCCTCTTTGAGTGGAAATCAAAGTAATGGAGTACAAGAAGCAGTGTGTTTGTTTTTTTGTGTAGTTTGGGTCCATATGTATGACACCACATGTAGGGTAATTGATTCATTACCACAAAACTCATTCTCCTTTGTTGTATATATACGTAAACTTGGAAGTTTAGAAACTCATTCTCCATCTTTCTTCTCACTAGCTTTATTTCTTTGTGTGAATCCCATTTCTTTCACTAAATCAAGAGAAAAAAATCATTTCATCGATTTCACTCAAACCAAAGTCACCTGTTTCTTGTCATTCACTCAAACCAAAGTCACTCATTTCATCGATTCTCTTGTTATGGCTTCTTCTTCCCGCGATCTTTGGGATCGACAATTTGAGCAGCAATTTGATCAGTATTTCGATCAATATTTCGAGCAAACATTTGAGAATCTTCTCAGTGATCAAGAAGCGGCTACCTCATCAAAGAAGAAACGAGCTGTTATAGAAAGACATCGAGAAGAAGGCCACATAAGATTATGGAATGATTATTTCAGCGAAAACGCAATCTACCCCGATCACCTTTTCCGGCGACGTTTTAGAATGAACAAAGCATTGTTCTTGCGTATTGTTCATCGGCTCTCCAACGAAGTCCCTTTCTTTCAACAGAGGAGAGATGCTCGGGGTAGACTTGGTCTATCTGCACTTCAAAATCTACAGCCGCAATTCGTCTCTTAGCTTATGGTACTGCGCTTGATTCCGTTGACGAGTACCTCCGTCTAGGAGCAACTACTGCTCGTTCATGTCTAGAAAATTTTGTGGAAGCAATTATAAATCTTTTTGGCGACGAGTACCTCAGAAGACCCACAGCAGAAGATCTTCAACGTCTACTTAATATTGGAGAGGAACGCGGTTTTCCCGGGATGATAGGAAACATCGATTGTATGCATTGGGAGTGAAAGAATTGTCCTACCGCTTGGAAATGCCAGTATACACGTGGTTCTGGGAAACCCACAATAGTTTTATAAGCGGTTGCTTCATATGATCTCTGGATTTGGCATGCATTCTTTGGACCTCCAAGTACCATCAACGATATTAATGTTCTTGAACGTTCACCCGTTTTTGATGACATTATAAAAGGTCAAGCTCCGAAAGTGAATTTCTTTGTCAATGGAAGGGAGTATCATTTGGCATACTATCTGACAGATGGTATATATCCAAAATGGGCAACTTTTGTCCAATCTATTCCACTACCACAAGGCGAAAAAGCACGCAAATTTGCTGAAGTTCAAGAATCTACCCGGAAAGATGTCGAACATGCTTTTGGAGTCTTGCAATCAAGATTTGCTATAATAAAAAATCCTGCTTTGTTTTGGGATAAAGCAAAAATTGGAAAGATTATGAGAGCTTGTATCATCCTCCACAATATGATAGTCGAAGACGAACAAGACGAATACATGCATTCTAATGTTGAAGAATTCCAACAAGGAGAAGGAGGTGGAAGTTCTAGTGTGGATTACTCGTATTCCACAACTACGCCTACAAATATTCTAAATATGATGGACACCCGGAAAAAAGTTCGATCAATAGATGTGCATCACCAATTAAAAAAAGATTTAGTTGAACATATATGGCAAAAATTTGGCTACGTTCAAAACAATATCCTAAAGTTTATGTATAATAATTTATGTTTTTTGCAATGTTATTGTATTAAATCTGCTTTTATAAAATATTAAATCCTTCTTTAAAATAAATTATTATTATAAGATTTTTTTTTAGAAACCTGTCACAGATCTCTCCATTGCATCCTTTAAATTTTCAGATTTCTAAATTAGATCTCTACTAATATAATAATCTATTTTAATCATAAAAATAAGAATAAGAGACATGCTCTAATATATTGTGCCTAACTGTAAAAAAAGAAAAAAAAGAAAAAAAGAAAAGAAGGATTCACAGATTTGGCAAATACTAAAACGCGCGGATCCGACTCTCCCGTATGATGATTATAACTTATAAGACAAGAAGATTACCTCGAAAGATTGGCCGCGACGGTCGCGGATGATGATCTTTTCGAGACCATTGATGCCCTTGGTCCGCTCAAAGAGACGATGCTTCGTGGCCATGGCGAGTTCTGCAACCAGCAGAGCCCAGAAGATTATCAGATATCCGATATTTCCCTTATTCACCATCGTGAATCGTCTTCTCCTTTACTGTTCACTTACGAGGACGAAAACTTTGTTGAAAATTTCTCTGTATTTTTTTTTCCATAAATAGCGTAATTTGAAGGAACAAAAAATAAAAGTCAACGACTGAGACCCTAGTAACGTACGATTCCACTCATTTGATTTTTGTTGAACAAAATAAAGTCTAGATTTTTGTTGCTCTTGAACCTTGACCTTATCGACGCCGATTTGGAATAGTCAAAAAGTCTTCTTACTCGCGAACATGGCGCTACAAGTAATAATAATAAAAAAAATCATATATTGTATTGTATGATAATTGACCCTTTTTTTTTCTTCAAATATGTGTAACCCATAATTAGTAGTGTATCCCATAATTATTAATTTAAAATTAATACATTTTTTGTGTATACTATTGGGTGAAAAAGGAAAAATATCAATTGTCCGGTCACTACTAAAATTTAGGCAACGATTTGGTGGAGCTTAGATTCCGCATTTCTTGTCTCTTTATACACATTTTCACTGTCTTAATAATCGCCGTAATCTAAATTTTGGTAATGGCAAAACTACAAGGAAACTAAAAAGTCGTTCACTGCTCTTCAAACAGGCCCAATAGGCCCATTAGTATATAATAGGTAAAATGGTCATTTCATGCAGAGACCTCTACTAGGGTTCTTAGTTTCTGTTTGCTTCGTTTCATCATCATCGTATATAACACATATAAAAGCACTCGATCGGCAAATTTTCCGGGAATATCACTCTCTCTCACTCACAGTAGAAGAAAGAAAACAGAGAAGAAGATGGGAGTATTCACGTTCGTTTGCAGGAACGGTGGCGGAGAGTGGACGGCGAAGCAACACGAGGGAGACCTTGAGGCCTCTGCTTCTTCTACCTACGAGCTCCAGCGCAAGCTCGTCCAAGTTGCTCTCTCCGCCGATTCCTCTGGCGGCGTTCGGTCTTCATTTTCTCTTGTCTCCCCTACCTCCGCCGTATGCCAGGTATAATCCTCCCTCTCTGCTTTTTTAATCTCTTTGATCCGATGGTTGATTTCTGGATCATGATTACATTTCTGTCTCTCTTTCACTGTTCCTAATCTAGTTTTCTTCACGATTGCATAGTTTTGAAATTGGAATCACTGTTTGGAGCTTTCTATGGACATAATGTTAATCAGCTTTTGTTTAATTGAATTTTTAAATAAATGATTCATTCGCGCCAATTATCAATCAGAGTGAGATGTTATTCTCACATGATCTCGCATATCTACGATGAAACACAAGCTCTTATCATTGCAATAGATGTGATTATGCGTCAGTGTAGCTTGTTTCATAGCTAGAGCTTAAAGGTTGTAACTTTATGTTGAACACTTAGCATTGCCAGCGTTCTCTATATTAGTAGGGCATGCGATTCCCATGGCTCTGTTGCTAACTAGTCCTAGTGAACAAAGTGTTCTTGCACTGAAATGTTTTATGGATGTATTCTATACTCATTGATTATTCAATTCATGTGGAGCAGGTGATTGTCGGTGGTGCTGTTGGTGGAGGATTTTCTGCTGGAGGAGCTGCCTCCGGTGGAGGTGGTGGTGGTGCGGGTGAAGCTGCAGCCGCCCCCAAGGAGGACGAGAAGAAGAAGGAAGAATCAGAAGAGGAAGAAGGAGACTTTGGGTTCGATCTCTTCGGTTAAGATGACAAATAGTATTTGGAGGCCCTTAGTTTGAGCTCTTCCTTTGGTCTCTTCAATTTTTTGAGGGATGTTGCTACGAGGGCTTGGTTCTCAATTCCATTTACCCTCATTTTCAAGAGTCTCTGATGTAATGACAAGTTTCTCTTTTGATCATATTATATACACTGGCTCCTCTTCGTAGAATGAAATAATATTGGCTCAAAACAGAGTTGCAATGCGATGAGATTCTATATTGGCTCAAAACAGAGATTTGCAGTGCGATGAGATTCTGTGTCACGAAAGAAAATTATGGATTGGTGGTGCATTTTTCATTATTACATTGCAAGAGATTATTTAACGGTCATCATATAAAATTTGGCTTCACTAGAACTGTCTAGAAAGTTTGTAATTGTCTTTAATGATGAAGCCCACAAACCAATTACAAATACGAGTACACTACTGATACATTGATGAATATTTACGAACATGCCACACAATCATCACAACGGCTATGATAAAATTCCAAAGTAAAACAACATTCTTCACAATCATTTTGCTTCCACTAAACCTTTCCAATGAATCTCCAGCTTTCTTGAAAAGCGAATTATATCGACTAAATCTGCGTCAGCCAGTGTCTTGAATCAGAACAGCCACAACTCATCGCCTCTGTTCTTGGCTTTCTGCAGAACAGATCAACAAAACGAACATTTCAACGAAACAACAACCGAAATTCTTCATTCTTGATCCATATACCAATCATTTTAAGTCTATTCACTCATTTGCTTCCCCTGTTTCTCCCTATATAATGTGGTATAACGCATTAAGACAGCTCCACATATTTTTCCTAAGATTGTGATTGTGCACCTATTCAAACTTAATTAAAGTTGATGAAGTTAGTACCTTCACCAAAGGGCTGTTCCAAACGAGTAACAATATGTTTCCCATATGTGTATTTTTTCAAAGCAGAAGCGTGCATTCTGACTCGGCTGAACAATGTCGCACGCTGATCAGCAGTACACGTCTCGAATATCTTCTGCACCACATAGTTTCCATACTGGTCCTTCATCATCATCTGTAAAAGGTGGCTTACAGTTAATATCCAATCAGTTAAGACGAAAAAAATGCATCAGGTTTGGTCCATATTCTCACCAATAAACTATCATAGCTCTCGTCGGGTCCTGCAATCTCTTTAATGATGATGTCCCGCTCAATTCGACCACCATGCTCCAGACACTTCTCTATAACATTTGATGCAAATTTATGTAGGCTAAGCTGCACTATGTGCCCTGATAGTTTCCTCACGATTCTCTCTCTTTCCTCAGATGTCCCTTTCTCCAAGACATGCTGTCAAAGAGAACAAGCAACATTGGTTTGAAGTAGTGATTGAGACATGGACTAAGGAATTCGGGTTTAATCCAAATGCTGTTGCAAAAGATTTGTAAGTTTAAAATATGACAGACCTGCGTGACATAATTACCATATTGGTCCTTGGAAAGGACGCATACTGATTCCAGTATCTCCTCCGTAATGAATCGACAATGATGCTCATTTGAGCAACGCTCCAGAAGCCTCTATACAGAAGGGAAAAGAAAACGTTAAGAGTTGTTTTCTTGAGTAACAATGAGAGAAACCAAGATAATGAGAAGGAAAAAAAACAGGCGTTTAATTAAGTTATTAGTACCTGTATGACACGGCAGCCATAAGGATGCATGGAGAGCGAGGAAACTTGACCACGGAATGCAGATAACATGAATCCAACTTTGTCTGCCGGGATATTCTCGATGCATTTTTGGATCACATGGTTTCCGTTTTGGTCTCGAACACATCTCATGACCTGCCCGTCAAGTTCACGTGCTAAACGAACTCTCTGATCAGGTTCTATGACATCAATAGCCTACACAAGAACAAAGGTTTCACCCATGAGTCCATCGTTTTAACAAAGTCCAAGCCCTAACAAATTGTAATGACTCTTGTACCTTTTGTATCACTCGGCAACCGTACATCTGCAGACTAAGTGGTACTATCTGTCCCATGAGTTGATCCGCGAGCTCCTTTCTCTGTGATGAGTTTCCGTATTCGAAAAACTGAAACAGACATCGCAGATAATCAAGAAAATGGATAGAGTCAGATAAAAAAGGCATTTTAAGACATAGGGTCAAGTAAAGAACAGACCTTCTGAATAACATAATTGCCAAACACATCTGTCATTAGTTTGCAAGCATGAGGAAGAACTTCCCTAAAGACAGCTGCTTTTTCTTCTGGATTGCAATTCTCAAGCTTTTGCTGAATGAATCTGCTCCCGTGCTGATCCGCACTGAAAGGGAACAAGATTTCACTCAAGTTTGTTATCACATGACTGAGAAGAAACCCAAGAAAAAGACTCCGTGAAAGAAAGATAATAAAACTTGCCTGAATTCAACAATGTGTCCTGTGATGTCAGATAAATCAAACCTCCTGCCTTTCCCAGATTTCAGTTCTTCAAGAAAATTGCACAACCTCGAGCCATTTGCACCTTCCAAACTCCCCTGTGGCTGCCATCCAGGATATGCTTCTACATAGGGAACAGAGCCCGGTGAATGACGAGGACCGAGCTGTGTAGGCAGATACTGCACCATAATGCCCATATTTGGCTGCATTCCATAATAATTAAGACCCATCATTCCCATTCTACCCATGTTAGAGTTGCTCGACCCCCTTATTTGCCTAACGAACTTCGGCTCATCTTTCTGAGACTCAGGAGCATTCTTATGGTTCTCTCTAGGAGCCATCGGGCTCATCTGCCCGAACGACTGTTGACTATACTGCATATACATAGGATCTTGAAAAGAAGGTTGCCCCTGTGGAACATAGTACTTCTCTGCATACTGCATTTCACCTCCCTGGACTAAACTTCCAGCACTTGGCCCAGAGAATTGAGGACTAAAATCTGGACCAACAATAAGCGGGACAGAACCATGGGAAGGGTATCCAGGTACAAACTGTGGGACCATGTTAGTGTATGGTCCATAACCATATTGAGGAGAGTAAACAGCAGGAGACTGCATGTTATAGACATGAGTTGGTGGAGCCACATAAGGCGTTTGTGTAGCAGCGTAAAACGGAGGCGGGGTAAAGCCTGAAGACTGAAGCACAGGCTGACCATAATGAAACTGTCCGGTCCCTGTCACTGCATCGTTTACACCATGGGAACCCATTTTGACGCCACCTTGAACCCAGGTTACATTGTTTTGTTGTTGATACATCTGCCTTTCTGGCCTTGCATACTTTGGATCTCGAGAGTATTTAGCCATTCCGGATCCAGATATGCTAGTATTCTTCATCTTTGAGATGATGGCCGATTCATCGGGACTCTTCTCAATGCCAACGGAAGCTCTAGTCACTGAAGCAGCATTATCTTTAACCATGACATCATCTGACATCTCCGAGAAGTTACCACTCTCATCCGCTGTGTTCATTTCACCATTGGAAGAGTTAGACCGACTATGTTGAGGGGTAGGACCAGAAGAACTATCATCCTGCGAGGAAAAGAGATTCAATTGTACCTTATTATAGGGCTACAGTATCAAAAATCTTAAAACTTTACATGAAATTCGAGAAGAAAAAAGGAAATTTCATTAGGCACGAACCTGCCTGGAATCTTCCAAACCTTGAGAACCAGACGAAAGACTAATGTCCACTTCATTTGTCCTATCTGAAACACTATTAACAGGTAACTGTTGATTGCTCTCATCCTCAGACACTTCCTGGTGAGAAGAAAGTGTACCTTGAGACGAATGAATGGGAGAATTAACTTTATTCAATCCCCTATTACTTCTAAATCTACCTACACGATTGTCTATGAAGTGATACTCAGTAGGGTAATAAATAGGTGGAGAAGGTGAGCGGTTAAGGTTGTGTTTAGACGAATAAGTAGGATGAGCGGTCACAGATTCCTCAAAGCCATGGTTTTGAAAGCTCGGTAGCTTCGAGTTATTATAACCAGAACCGCCTTGTCGTGACAGTAGATTATCCACAGCTAGAAAAGACCCCTCCATGCTCGGAGGCGCACTTCCACTTCGATTAGGAGCAGAAACCGGCCTAGAATTAGACCATCTTTCACTGTTTCCAGACATCCTGATAGGATTCTCAGTTGCCATTTCTCCAAGGTTATTGCTTTTCTTACTCTTCTTCTTCTACAACAAGAACAAGAAAGGAGCTTTTTTTTAGAAAAAAAACAAACTAATAACCAATTAAATCAAAATTACCATGAACGAAGTTTGCAATGTAAACATACTAATTCATCAAGATGATAAGCAAATAAGCTTGTTTAAGACCTTTTCATTAAAAAGGAGCAAAATGACACATAAGTTCTAATCAGAAACTCCTCATTTTCCTAAGTTAAACATCCTTCCAGTGATCAAAGACGAAAATTTTCACAAGAAACTAAACCCAGCCGAAATCGAGTAGTAAGAGTATAGAAGTCAAAGTAAAGAACACAGAACAACCAAGAGCAAAACTTAAAAAGACTATAACATATCTACATGACCATGTAAATGCTCCTCACATAAGAATATGACAGAGAAACCCCAAGCGAGAGGCAGAGAGAAAGAGAAGAAACAGAGTGTAAGTAGAACGGGAAAGAAGAAGAAAAATCGAGATTTCTTATCCCAAAAAAAACCCTAAAAATGAGCTTTTTTTCCTTTAGCGAGCAGAAGTGAACGGAAGAGAGAAGAGCTAGGAGATTTACTTACCAGAAGGCGATTATTGTGGAGGAAGCAAAAGATTCACTGTTAACAAACCCTAGATTCTGCTGCTCTTAAGTCGTCAGAGAGACAATGAGGAGAGAGAGAGAGAGAGACAAGGGTATTGGTGTCTAAGAAATGACCATGTTTGGTTAAGTCAGTGGGATTTTTAAATGTTTGGATTTTTTTCCGGTAATGGCAAATAAAAAATGCCAATTTCCACCATTACGATCCTTTCTTTTTCCGCGAAGTTTATGGAGTTTGACTTTTTGAGCATTATCGGTGAACCGAAATATTACTAGCTCTATTTCAATAAAAAAAAAAAATTCAATTTTTTTTTTTAAAGTGGTTGTTCTAGAATTAATGTTGGATTCTTCAGCTAGAGTTAGTGTAACTACAAGTCTACAACTAACTTGATAATTATTATTTTTCGAAGTCCTGTTTTTTTTATAAAAAAAATTATTGATGATAATCAACTTTTTTTTTAACAGCATTATCTGATAATCAACAAATCGTAGAAAGTAGTATAAATTAGCACTCACGTTTGGCTGATTTGCTGTGTCCAAAATCAGACAGAAAGCTTTCTACTTTATACGTGAGCGGTCAACTAAATGTCTCATCTCCAAGATTTTAGATGCAGACATATCTAATGGTTCTGAACTTCTTAAAATAGACGTTCATTACCATACATATATACTATTTTTGGATAAGTCGCGTCACCATTCCAAAATTTAGATTTTATTAGTTTAGAACCAATCCCAATTGTCCTAATTTTTAGATATGAAAATTCTGTTGTAAAGTTATACTGGTTCAAATTTCTTTTATTTTATCTTTTTCTGAGTATTAAAGGTTATACTAGTTGACTTTTGTAAACTATCTATCATGATTTTTTCCTCATCTAATCATTGTCTTAATTCTTTGTGCGGAAATGCAGTCTTGGTAAGAAATAGTAGAGATGAACTTTTAACCACTACATAACTAAACACACTTCCTCAAATATGCAGAGTACTATACGATAGCCAGATTTTATTAATATAGCATTTCAACCTAGCTAAGAATTATAATTGTGTTAGTTTTACATTATATTGATCTAACTCCTTTCGTTTTATAAAAAAAAAAATTGGTCAAAAACAAAATAAACTCCTTTCGTTTTATTTTCCATTTCCACCAATTTGTATAGCTTGGTCTTGCAAAGTGTTACACATACCTAAAACATATAGTAATATCTTTTGACGTCATCTCACAAAGCTCATCCCGACCCATTGTTGGCACAATGAGACACTAATATCTAGTCGGAAATTAGGACTAGAGGTAGATTCATAAAAAAATTTCACGGGGTCATACTATAGTTTGGATTATCAAAGTTAAATTAGTCACTTATATAAACAAAAGAAAAACATACAAAATGAGAATGAAGTGAAGTTATAATTTTTTAACCAATTAAACAAAAAGTATCCTACCAGCTTAACTGCTTAAGCTTGCAAATTTGAATGACACAATTTAACTAGGTGCCGGGGACACCCTTTCCTCTCATTTTGGGTCCGCTGATGGTTACACTTGTCATCACTCTCACAGTTTGGATAATTTTTAAGTCGCATCATACCTTTATTTTATATTTTTGGAAATGCACCTTCCAATCCGTATTTTTGTTCATGGTTAATCCATTTATTCCTTCAACCATTACAGTCCAAGTTGGATATTGATAGAGCAATTCATAGACAGATCTTCGCTATGTTATGCCCGATTTCCATCTCATTATTTCACACCATTCCTCATATATAGCCTAATCGACCATGCGTTTGCAGTACATTTTGGCTCATGATGATCGGAGAAGCCTCACCGAGTATGCGAGACGCATTTTCATCCGTGCAAGTGCTTCAAAGGAGTTCCCTAGCTGTTCAAGTTTATGTGTCATTTTTTAAAAAAATTGGCCTTTTTAGTGTCACGGTTATATCACCAAAAAACTTAATTTGAATAATTTAGTAAGAGTGATAATAGCCTAATGGGAAACAACAACAAAAAATGGAAATAAATTAATGTCCATAAGCAGATCTTCCGCCGTCGTGGTAGGAACAAACCGGCGACTGTCCTGATGAGCCAATTGCGATGACAGAACTAAAGTCGTTATTTTTATATCCACTTGGAGAATTTTATTTTCCATTGCCCATAATATCATCTGAAAAAAAAAGGTTCCAGAGTCGTGAAGCCAACTCAAATCCGAAACAAATAGAAATGTAGATGCTTAGAGAATTTTTTATGAGTAGTTTAATAACAAGAAATTCAAAGAAATTATTGGAGAAAATGGAAAGCCCGTATTCAATAATGTTCTCTATTTGTTTCGAACTCCATCACTGGAGAAGACTTGCTGGTTTCACCAAAAAGTCTCTTCAATTCTTTATTTCAAACCCAAAAGAGAGAGAGAGAAAACGAATCAGAGGAAGTGATGAAGTATAGAAGAAAAGGAAAAGGCTCTGAATCGTCTTCCACTAACGATTACTTGTATGTATGTTTTTAGAATTAAAAGATCCTTTAAAAACCAAAAAAAAAAAAAAACTTTCTCTCTCTCTCTTGACCTCATATTCGTTGAATCACCCTACTGGTTTTTTTTTAAGTTCTCGCCCTAGATCTTGAAGAAGAGGATCAAAATCGACTCTTTTGAGATCTGGGTTCGGACAAAGATTCTGTCTTTCTGCATTCCACTGTTTCGATTCAGCTTGAATTTATTCAGGTAAACGCATTTGACACTTTAGCTCATTACAATGTTCCACAGTTTTGTAGTTGCTCTTCTTTTTTACTTGCTGGAAAGCGAATCTGAGATTTAGAGCTTTTTGTTTAGTTTGGTCAGAGAAAAAAATCACGAGACTTAGACTTGTTAAGTTCGTACGTGTGCGAGAGAGTGATAGTGAGGAATGTCCTGGACTTCCCGAATCACGGGAACAACGTGCACTTAGCGGGTTTTAGAGTTTTCCATTTTGCTGATTGCTTCTTTCTGAAGGAGTTTTGTTCTTAGATTAGTTTGAAACATAACTTAATCTCTCCGTGTTTTCCGGTCATCTCTTTGCTACTCTAATCTCTGATAGTCTTTGTTCTTCATTAGGATCAATAAAAACTCAAATCTGTTCTTCTTCAGACAATGTAAAAGAAGTATGCAGAGGTAACAAAAAGATTCAGTCTTTGTATGCCTTTCAATTAGAAGGGATAAGGGAGGTGTTGGAGATTGGTTTCAATGGGTGAGATGCAGAAGATTTTGCAGGGGCCACGTCACCACACATCTCTGAAGAAGCCCTTATGGGTCCTTCTTACTGTTTCAGTGACCAGCATTCTTCTGATCTGTACTCAAATGTTCCCACCACACGGCGAGAGGTCCTCGTGTCATGGCCTCTATAGCACCAGAGGCTGCGGTGATGCTCTCTCGGCGTGGCTACCTGTTCATGTCAGGAAATTCACTGATGAGGAGGTAGCAGCTCGAGCAGTGGTCAGAGACATACTAAGAACGCCTCCCTTCTTTACCAAAAACTCCAAAATCGCTTTCTTGTTCTTGACTCCCGGTACTTTGCCGTTTGAGAAGCTCTGGGATGAATTCTTCAAGGTAACATACATCTCAACGAAAGTCCAATCTTTTTTTTACATTTCACTACTTACTTGCGGTTTTTTGGTGCTGTGAAGGGTCATGAAGGGAAGTTCTCTATTTACATCCACCCGTCAAAGGAACGGCCAGTTCACATCAGTCGTCATTTTTCTGATCGGGAAATCCATAGTGATGAGGTCACTTGGGGAAGGATTTCTATGGTTGATGCCGAGAAGAGGTTACTGGTTAATGCTCTTGAAGATCCTGACAACCAACACTTCGTTCTTCTTTCAGAGAGGTAATGGTTTCAATCTTGCTTTAGTGTCCCAGTTAAAGTTTTCTGCACAAATCAGAATCACATCAACTTTATTTTTCTGCGCAGCTGTATACCATTGCATACTTTTGACTACACCTATAGATATTTGCTGTACTCAAACGTCAGCTTCATTGAGAGGTAAATTTCTCTCTTAAAACAAAAAAGAAAAGAGTTTGCTCTCTCCATTAACGTTGACTGACACAAGCTTTGTTATCTCGTTGTTTCTCAAGTTTTGTGGATCCTGGTCCACATGGGACCGGTAGACACATGGAACACATGTTACCCGAAATTGCCAGGGAAGATTTTAGAAAGGGTGCTCAGGTAAAGACAAGCTTTAATCTCTAAGAGCTTGTCTTGATCAGCATGCTTCTATTTGAAAAAAGAAGAGTTTTGTCACCTTTTGTTGTGTAATTTTCGTCTTTTCTTCTTGCCAGTGGTTCACAATGAAGCGACAACACGCGATTATAGTGATGGCTGATGGTCTGTACTACTCAAAATTCCGCCAGTATTGTGGAGTAAGTTTGTCCTGCAGCTGATTTTTCTTTTGGTTTTCCATTGCATTTTTTCTTTTGCATATCGCGCTTGTTGGTCTTGGATCTTTTGATAAAGTTTTCAGTTCTCTTCGTTCTGTGTTCTGATTCTGACAAGAAATTTCCTATAAATTTCAGCCAGGGATAGAGGCCGACAAGAACTGTATTGCAGATGAACATTACTTGCCAACATTCTTCAGTGTGAGGATACTCTTCTTAACACCCAATCTTTTGCTACCTTAAAAGCCTTCTTGATGCTGAAACGTTTTGTTTATTTTCTGGCTCTTCTTTCAGATGCTTGATCCCATGGGGATCTCAAACTGGTCAGTGACGTATGTTGATTGGTCTGAACGAAGGTGGCATCCAAAGACTTACGGAGCAAATGAGATTACATTAGATTTCATGAAAAATGTCACGGTTTGTTTTGGGAACGCAATCTCTTGAAAATTGTCTTGATTAGCTTCTTATCCAACTTTTCTCTTTTATCGCTTGTGCAGTCTGAGGACATGAGTACACACGTCACAAGTGTGGGAGAGGTATGCTCTTGCGGCTCTCTCTTTCGTGGTACTCTACTCGCTATCTCTCTCATTCTCTTTCTTTATGCTTTTACTTGTGGTTTTGAAGCATGGCGATGAGCTGCATTGGCCTTGTACATGGAACGGGATTACACGGCCTTGTTATCTGTTTGCAAGGAAGTTTCATCCTGATGCTCTTGACGCATTGGTCAACCTCTTCCCTAATTACACAAGCACAGTTGCCTGAGAGAGGAATTCTTGAGCCGAAGCACGCGATTCTTGGACCTAATTATGTCCCATCCAGATATGGATCTTTTAGATACTGTAAATTTTCTAAAGAAACTGAAATGATTCTTGGGATTTTGATGTTTCTTGATGAAACTAAATATCAGTTATACGCAATTAGAACAGAAAGTTTTGGTTAAAAGAGTTTCATTTTGTTATTATCCCTTTGGTTCAGTCTGTATTGATCGGTTTATGTTACATGGATATATAACTTACTCTATCATCAACACAATAGTGTTGGATTCTTGAAATCTGTTTTAAGATTTCTCTTATGTCTCTGGGATGACGAGTGGAGCCCGAGGAACCGAGGTCTGTCTCGGTGTGCAGTCCCAGTCCTTACCGTGTTTCACAACTGAGAAGTGTTTGGGAACCCATGGCTCACCAGAAGCCTCTCTCTGTTTCAGAGACTCTCTCTGTTTTTCCTCCACAGCTCTCTTAGCTTTTCTTGCTCTTTCCCAGTCTTTTTTCAGTACCCCTTCACTTAACTCACTCCACACCATGGTGGACTCGGTCTCCATCACTTCTTGCAAATTCTTGACAACTGGAGGTCTGAGTCCCGATATGTTCTCCTTGGCATTGTAAATAACCTCGAGCTCACCGGTCTTCACATTTTTCGCCATTACTGTTCTGAAAACATTGTGGGATATTAATAACATTACAGCTTATGATGTTATCAAGAGCTGTAATGTCTTTACGATATTATGTACTTACTTGTCCCAGTGGCCAAAGATGTCGTAGAGCTGATTACCAGAGGAAGTTTCGGAGATCTTTCCTTTGATTGATCTACTGTTGTTGCCTCTGAGTCTTCCGATGAAAGAATCGGAGTTCAAATGTAGTTCAGCTTCGAGATCGGTCTCGGAGCACTTTATCTTGAATTTTCCGGCCCAGTTTGCTCCCGGCGCGGGTAAGAATCTCATAACAAGTCCTGGCATGGTCATCTCATAAGTCTCTCTTTGATTCAGAAGCTTCATTTCCCTTTTGCCCTTTACCTCAACGTCCACATAAGCACCTGTTTAACCATGCAGGAATTATAGATTTCATAGCCAAGACGAGATGCTTCGGTCGGGTCGTGTTCTTGGGAGGGTTTATTCAAAGATTAATTAAACTTGCTAGATCCAAATAAGAAATAAACATACCACGAAATTTAGGAGTGAAATAGTGAGACCATGTCACGTCAATATTTTCATTCTCGTGAGTCGCATGAAGTGCGGACACCGGAGGATGATGCGATACCTGAACAATTTTCTTTTGGTGAGGGGGTAAAAAAACCATATATTCATATTGAATATTTTTTTTTTTTTTTTTTGAGTTTGACATTTTAAAATTTTAGGTGTTTTTGTGTTATAAATTGGAATAAATAATGTTGTACTTGTTCAACGAGGACGTTGATGTGACCATTGGAAACATGGTGAGTCTCGCCAAGAACGGGGTTGTACGGAGACAGGCCAAAGACCACGGGACGGAGTGTGGAGATGTTCCATGTCACCACCGATTTTAGCCGTTCGATAGGAAGATCACGGCGGCTGCATTCTCCCAGCAGATCCTGGCCGCCGAAGCTGTAGATCATCTCGCCGTAACATTGAAGTTGTGACCTTGGTTGGTTCAACTGAGGTGGCAGCTTTAGGTTCAAATAATACAATTATTAAATTTAATAAGAAAAAGTTGGTGTACAGAACGGGGAAAAATTGTAATAAATTTCGAGGAAAGAAACAGTTCGGAAGTTCACTTTCATGCATTGTGCCTCCTGTCTATCTTTGCCTACACACATTTTTATTCAATTTAATACTAAAATAACTTTCAATTTTTTGTAAGGGAAAAGATACGCAATGGTCGGTCTGTAATATAATATCAACAAGACTCGTCAACAAAGATTTTTTTTAGAAAAACCTGAAAATTGGTGAGATCAGATCCAGGGCGCACGTTCTTGAAGAGGCTAAGGATCCGACGGATGCCATTTGAAGCTGTGTTCTCAGAATCTTTTTCATCTTCCAACGCGATAGGTTTGGCCAGGACAAGGTGCCTTCTGGTTTCTTCTTCTGCCTTTGCACAACAAAAAAACCATTGAAAATCTATAAGTTTAAAACCTTTAAACTGTCCAACCTTGTTCCTCCAAACTCATCATATATAACAAATTAATAATATAACTATATAAACCCGTGTATAGTCCAAGACAATATTATTTACATTTCATCTTATATATATGGTTTGATTAACAAATGACATGAATAATTTAGATGGAGATATTAACAGTTCGTACCAAACAAATATGCTCTTTGTAATCATTGGTTTAATCTTGGCTTATAAGAAGTAAGATAAATAACAATTAGATCGTTTAATCTCTAACAGTTGAAATTTTGAAAGTGTTAAGATTACAAGTATAATATATATCTATATATATGCATGCCCCAAGTAAAACCAAGGTGTAGTAGAGAGCATATGACCCACCCACTGACCCACTTACCATTTCAAAAGCTGTTGCAGAGAAACGATATTTCTGAGTTTTATTGATGATGTTTTGTTTTAGAATGAATGGGCTTTTTAAAAATAAAAATAAAAAAGAAAAAAAAGAAGAGAAAAGGCAAGGAGTTCTATCTGAAACACTCAAAAACTAGAGTTAAAGTACTCTTCATCACAGTATCTAAAGTAATAATTCTCAATAGTTTGCCCCATTTATATAGTAGCAAATATAGGAATTATGTAAATAGAGAGATGATAGAGATAAGGAAAAGAGTCTGGTAAGCATTTACTATGGAACCAGATCCGGAGGAGGCGTTGGTCGTTAGATCCATCTTCGTGTCATTTATTATCTCATCGTGGCCCGTTTTTGTCGTGTGCTTAGGGTTGTGGTCCAAAACTTCTTGCTTCTTTCGTTGTTGTACTGAAAAAATTTTGAGTTGATTTTTGAGTGTTAAAGCTGGCCTAATGCTTTAAAAAGGTTGCACCCTAAAGCTAAGCTAATAAATAAATTATGGAGATGACTAAATCACACTTGATGGAGCTGAAAGCACGTTATACGCAATTAAAGCAAAAAAGTAAAAAAGAAAAAGAAAATGGGAACAAAAGAGATTCATTTTGTGATTATCCATATGGTTCGGTTTGTATCCATCAGTTTTATTTTGCATGGAATTGTAATAGTTTAAGCTATCGTCACAATCTTGGAATCTTGAAAACGGTTTACGATATCTCCTTGCGCCTCTGTGATGACGAGTGGAGCTCGAGGTACCACGTGCTGTCTCGGTATGCAGTCCCAGTCTTTGACCACCGAGAAATACTTGGGAATCCATGACTCACCAGAAGCCTCTCTCTCTTTCAGAGACTCTCTCTGTTTTTCCTCCACAGCTTTTTTGGCTTCTCTTGCCCTTTCCCAATCTTTCTTCAATATTCCTTCACTTACTTCACTCCACACCATCGCCGACTCGGTCTTCATCACTTCTTGCAGATTCTTGACAGTTGGAGGTTTGAGTCCTGAGATGTTCTCATTAGCATTGTAAATAACCTCTAGCTCACCGGTCTTCACATTTTTCACCATTACTGTTCTGAAACATTAAGGAATGTTAATGACATTATAGCTTAATTATGATATTCTTAAGATCTGTAATTAAGGAGTCATGTTTTCACCTGTCCCATTGGCCAAAGATGTCGTAGAGCTTATTCCCGGAAGAAGATTGAGAGATCTTTCCTTTAATGGATCTATTGTTGTTGCCTTTCAATCTTTCGATGAAAGAATCGGAGATCAAGTGTAACTCGGCTTCGAGATCAGTCTCCGGACATTTTATTTTGATTTTACCGGCCCAGTCTGCTCTCGGCACGGGTAATAATCTTATAACTAGTCTTGGTTGGGTCATATCGTAAGTCTCTTTGCGTCTCCGAAGCTTCATTACCCTTTTGCCCTTTACCTCAATCTCCACGTAAGCACCTTATGACAACAACACGCAGAAACTAGATTTTATATTTATAGCCAAGAAGAGTAAACCGAACATATTACCAATAGAATTTAAGAGATAAACGAACGCATATGTCAAATTGGTTTTGTTTTTGGACGGATTATTCAAAATTAAACTTGGTTTCTCGGTTTTTGCGGTAGTACTGCTACGTATAAATAAATAAATAAACATAGTACCACGAAATTTAGGAATGAAACATTGAATCCACGTAACATCAATATCTTCTTTCTCGTGAGTAGCTTGAAGTGCGGACACGGGAGGATGATGCGATACCTAAACATTAACGATTTATAAGCATGTTGCAATTGCTCCAAAAGTTTAATATTTTCTATGAAAAAATGGGAAAGGAAATCACCCATTTACTTTTAAAATATTCTAATATTTGATCAGTTTATGTTTATTTTATTTTTATATTAATCACTAGATCACTTTAAAACTTATTTATCATGATGTTTGTACACTTTTTTAAGTAACTAATGTACTCGATTCAACAAACGTTAATAAAATTACAAGTACCACTAAATATATACTATATAAACTCTAATTGATGATTTTAACGAGATTTTCTCTTTTAAATTTATATGTTCGTTAAAACAAATATATATATATGTGTGTGTTCGTTTATTATATAGAAAATTTTCTGTTCAATATTGTAATAAGTAAGACTATACTTGTTCGATGAGGACGTTGATAGGACCGTTGGAGACATGATGGGTCTCTCCAATAACAGGGTTGTACGGAGCCTGGCCAAAAATTACTGGTCGGAGTTTGGAGATGTTCCACGTCACGACCGATTTGAGCCGTTCGATGGGAAGTTCGCGGCGACTGCATTCTCCGAGCAGATCCTGACCGTTGAAGCTGTAGATCATCTCGCCGTAACATTGAAGTTGTGATTTTGGTAGGTTCAGCTGAGGTGGCAGCTTTACGTTTCAAAGAAAATAATTAACACCTTTTATATGGGGCAAAAAGTGAATACGTATCATTCTAAATATATAGATCAAAGAAATGAATTTATTGGGAAATGATGTGATTGGTACGGAAATATAAATGTTCCATTGATGATACGAACTGTGTAACTAACTTTGTCTGTCTTTCTTTTCTCATGTAGTTAATACTGCTATGTAAGTATCTGTTAGATTTCTGGATTGGTAGCTCCGAAATAAATCTGATCCGTTAGTTTACTGATCCGGCCACCAGTGTATCTTAATCTTAATACGGATCTTTTTATTTTTCATGCAAAACACCTATTGATATTTTATACTTTATACTATATATTTAAACATTAATATCATATATATATCATAACACAACTTATATTTTTCGCCTTTTCTAAGAAACTTTTTTAAAAATTTAGAAAGAATAGAAAAACGCAATGGTCGTTCTATAATATAGCAATAAAATTTATCACTGCAACAAGTTCTAAAAAATTATGAATAGTTTTATAAAGAAAAGTTCTAAGAAATTAAACCTGAAAATTGGTGAGATCGGATCCTGGGCGTACGTTCTTGAGGAGGCTAAGGATTCGACGGATGACATTTGAAGCTGTATGTTCAGAGTCTTTCTCATCTTCCAAAGAGAAAGGTTTGGTAAGCACAAGGTGTCTTCTAATTTCTTGTTCATCTGCCTTTAAACACCAAAAAACCCACGGTATTTCAAAGTTTAAACCTTAAACACCTAACTAATGACCAATAAAATTGCTGTTTACTCGCTTCAAAAGAACCACCATTTCTCACGTCCAAAATCTGTTCAACGTGGTTCCTCCACACCACACTCATATATCAATCCGTCTATAGTACAAAATTGACTCATTTCATCTTAAATGGCCTGATAAAAAAAAGCTATGACTAAGATGGAGATGTATATTTAACAACCAACAAATATTAAGATGACGTACTGTCCTGACCAAATATGCTTTGCGTTTTCATTAAACTAATATTTTATGATTAGAAAGAGTAGGATCAATCATAACTAGATTGTACAAACTATAACAGTTGGAACTATTTTATATATAAAAAACTAAGTGTGTGATAGAATAAGATCCACTTACCATTTGAAAAGTCGTTAATACTGATGAGAGTTTTTTTTAGGGGGATAAAATGAATGATTAAAAAAAAACCAAGGAGTTCTATTTATGAAATGAATCTGAAAATCTCAAAACCCATAGAGTACAAATTACTCTTCATCATTGTTCTTAATAACTCTTAATCTCTAGCTCCATTTATATAGAAACATAGACAAGGATATGTAATTAGAGAGATGTTAGAGAAGGAAAAGAATTGGGTGAGCATTAATTAACTTTGGATTCGGAGGAAGCGTTAGTTGTTAGATCCATCTTCGTTTCATTTACTACCTCATCGTTTGCTTAAAATGCCGTTTTCTGTTGTGCCTAGGGGAGTGATCCAAGACTCTTGAGTGTTAAGTCTGACACATAATTGACTTATGAATATTAATTAACTTTGTTTGTTTTTGAAATTCGTTTTAAGTTAAACTTATGAGTGGTAAGCCTGACAGAATACTTAAAATCGTGCTCGAATATATGTTTAGCTGGTTATTAAGTTATTGAAACAAAAAATTGGTATGAGATACTAAGTTCAAGAACGCATTGTGAAATTAAAAAGTAAAAGATGAGCCAAAGTTTTGACTGTGAAAGATCGTGCTCTTTCACGATGTGTTCTTGAACTTCTTATATCTTACCAAGTTTCATTTCTAAAACTTGATTTTACCCCTTTGTCAAAAAAAAAAAAAAAAACTTGATTACCAGTTTATCATTAGAGCAAGATTTAAAGTATTGTGTCAGCCTTAAGTAACGCTTATATATAAACATTTGGAATAGCGTTAGAGCAGAATAGCCTGTTTAAGCATTACGGTAAACATACTTTTTATATATCTATAAACAACACTTAGAAGAGCAGAGTACGTTAAAATATTCTTTTGTTGCCAACAAGTTATTTATTTATCTTAAATAACCAGAAGTTGTTTAGATAAGAAAACCTATGTTGATTGCCCAAATAGAATATTAACTCGGCCCAAAACCATACGAATTATTAATTCATGTCCACCTAGCGTTTCTGAGGGTTCAAACAAATCGAAGACAAAACCATTTTGTTAGTCAATCTAGAGAAATATCTCTTGCAACGAATATGCTTCCAATTCCGCAGCTTCAGCTTCGATGGAAAAGCGAAATGCTTTGGCTCTTCGACGGAGATGTATGGCTTAGGGAAGCTGCGGCTGAGCATCGCCGGAGGAGGACTGATCGGAGGAACAATCCCCACCGGCTGAGTATTAATGGGAGTCCCTGGCTGGATCTCCCACTTGAACGGAACACCTTCCAACCTCTGCTGATAGTAATATCCGACCGATGAGTTTCTTGAGATTGATGATCCTTTCTTGCATATATCGTTCTCCATATATAATTAGCACCGATGATGCTTATGGTGTAGGAGTTGTGCTATGTTCTTGATTTAGTATATACGTTTTCTTGGTTGTTGTTTTGTTTGGGGAAATTGCGTTAGGATTATAGGAACTATGGTTAGATGGGAAATAAATATATAGACTGAAATTCTTGTCAGGTTGAGAAGATGGAACGTAAGAAGTCATGAATAATCAAGTTGATGTGTGATTTTTGAGTTGGTAATGTATATTGTAAGTATGTTGTATATACCTGATGATATTGACTTTGTATTATATTATACAATAGATACGTTTGCTTAATACTTCAATGACTCGATTGCTTTTGCACGGTCAAGGTACCAAATATTAGTATACTATACACCATCATGGTTCATGTATCCAATTCTCCTTCTTTCTTTTCTTTTTTTGAGAAATTACTTTGAAACGAATACAGTTTCTAGTATTATTTCACCACTTGAAAATAGTTTATTTTTAGTAAAGAGTAAAGACATGTCTAACCAACAAAATTAAATATGGATTGGACTCATATACGATGTATGATTCATTCCTATAAGCAGCAAAGATTAAAATAATTGTTCTCCAGAGGAATAGATAAAATTTGTCAAATTTAGGTTTAACTTCGATACGAAGCGCACGTTAGTGACTTTGACGTTGGACGGTGCATACGCGCAAGTGACTGTAATGGGATTAAACCAAAACCTAAATAGACGCCAAACTTTGCGTCATATTTAATTATCAAAATTATCTACGTCGTTAATATCAGAAAAGCTATTATATTTTTTGAGAAATGGCAATGGTGAAAAACTAATATTACTGTCATGATTCATGAAACTTTCAATCGTAATTCGTGAAGCAAACAACCTATAAAATTATTGCAAGAAAACAAAAATTACACTGCATAGTCTGCATGCAACACAACCACGTAATTTGTAACAAATTTGCAATAGATCTACCGGAAACTCTCCGGACTTCGTCTATCTACGTACTACGTACGATAACAAACAGTTGACCCCAAAGAATTTAGTAATTTACGAATCTATCACTATTACTATTATTAGTGGCGAACCCAAAAGCTTTTTTCTACCGGAATCATAACTAAACCAAACATAAATATATGGATAGCAAAATTTTGAGCATGTCTCTTAGTAATGACAAAGACTATAAAAATTTGGCTACCGATATGAATCTATATGGCACATTAGCCATAATTTGGTTGCATTAGAAGAACAAAAAAAAAGTGTTAATTATGAAATTAGGGGTCCAACATCCGAAAAAAAGAAATTAAGATAATAAATAACAGATCCCGTTAATCCACTCGTTTTAAATAGTCTTCCATTGGAATATCATAGTTATTGACATGGTTCTAATCCAGTAGGGTGGTTCAAATAAGATATTTTATGGATTCTAGAACATAATTCTGTTCCCAAAAAAAATAGCTACAATCTCGAATAGGTGCGTTAGGAACCTATCATTTCAACTGTAGTTCATTTTATACCCAGTTTGAGAGTACTGACATGAAACCATATCATATAAATGAAAAATACCCCAATAAGAATCTATCATCGTCAATTAAATGGTATATGAACGCTCTTTCCAATACAGGATTTGGGGTTCAATCATCATAAATAAAAATCAAGTACCGTTAGCGTGAGGATAATGTTATCCTGAAGCTCGGTGGTCTTAGTTTTGTGAATCCTCGAAGGGAGGTAAGCCCCATTCCTCTGGTTTGAAATCTAGCAGAGAGGCTAGAACTTGATCCGCAACATCGTGGTAGGACTTATCTAATCTTGGATCCGGTACCATTATCACATTCCTGCTCACACACCATCGAATATCATAGTTTAGCCTTTTAGATCTCAAGGACTTGGAAACTGTTACCAGAAAAATCCACTTACATTCCAGCGTTTTTAGCTGCCAGGACCCCGGACGGAGCATCTTCAAACACCAGAGCCTTTCGTGGATCTACAGGACCGTCCTATGAAATCCGCAAAGAAGAGGAAGACATCAGTTTACAAAGTCGTTTCAAAGTTTGACACACCTGCTAGTAGAATCTGTGTTTCATTTCAATGATATGGTGTAGTTAATGACTGCCTGTAATACCTCAAATCTCCTAGCTGCAGCAAGAAAGCCGTCTGGAGCGGGCTTCCCTTGCTTGACCTCTGGATCATCTCCGCGTACTATGTGATGCATTAAGGAAAAAAGCTCACGGTGTCTTTGTGTTTTTAGATCAAAATGTCGGGTGTGTGTACTGCATTCAAGGGTACAAAACAGATCAGATATGCCAAAATGATAAATGCACAAATAGAATCTGAAAACGCCATTTTGCACTCTCAGTGATCTATTATGAGAAAGTAGATTAAAAAAGAAATACCCTGTGGCCACACAAATTGGGATTCCTTTGCTATGGAGATGTCTGAGAAGTCGGCTAGCTCCTACATCAGAGGAAGAATATTGGATCATGACAGCAAAAAAAATTTCAAGATCAAGAAGGCTAGGGCTTGACTAGAAGAGTATCAATCAGAGGCTGATATAAATTGAATTTAAAGACATCTATCTTTATCAAAAGTAAAATGAATGGCCTAATCAACAAGGACAAATTTCATTTAATTTAACACAACGGGATAACAATTTCTCTCTGTATTTATCTACATAGGTGAGGAATGTGGATTGTACCTGGCATAAGGTCACTTGTGGGGAAGAGGTCTTGCAACATAGACTCTCTCTCTACAATGAACTCCTCAGGTGAAAGTGAGTCACTAATTCCACATTCTTCAACGAAAAGCGTGGCAGCTTCAATCGCTTTTCTTCCCATCATCTTCGCTTTCAAAGACCAATCAAATGTTTTGTTGTATCTAGCAAGTATCTTTTCTTGTACCTCCGTGTAAAACTTCTCAGTGTCTGCAAACAGTAGACAAAATTAGCACAAGTTAGGCTTACCAAGAGAGTTTAGGACCAGCAAAAGACACATTTGTAGAATAAACATTTAAGAAATCTCACAAATTGGTGTCTTTTGGTAATGTGAGAATCAAAATAGAGAGCAGCCATTGCTTGAAAATTGAGAAAGGGCTCAGCTTAATTTCTTGACCAAGACATAGTAGAACAGTGAAGCTCAAAACTAGAGACATCAGATGCTTAAAATAGCCTAAAGTTTCCTAATTCAAACAAAATTTTGCAAGTCAATGTCACAGTGATAAGAAAAACGAACTACATTGAAAAAACCTTCGCCTCATCAAACAGAGAACTCATGAAATCGATACAAAGGATACAAAACAACAACAAAGGCAGTTAACACCAAATCAACCAAAAGCAAAGATCAGAGACTGAAGAAAGAAAATTTACCGAGAAGAAGACCGTCCATGTCGAATATAACGTGAGTGATCGATCCTCTTCCGGCGTCGGCGACGGCGGCGACGGCGGCGACGGCGGCAGGGGTCGACATAGCAGCTACAGATAGAATGTTTCCTGAAGCTCGGATCACAGATTTCTGCGGAAAACCTTTGGGGAAGTGAGAAATGAAGCTGGGAATCTTATTAGACGATCGGAATGGGTTTCGTAGAGCAACGAATCTAGTCGGAGATGCTAACATAGTTGAACAACGCAGTGAAATTGACTTGTGACGTATTATATAACGTCACCTTTAAATTGATTGGGTCTTCACTATTGGGCTTAATTTCGATCATGGGCTGTGACACATAATTTGGATGCCCTGAACGGCGACGTTTACACCGTTTCGTAAACAACACTTTTGACTTTAGTTACCCCAAACGGGTTCTTTCATCAAATATCCCGGATATTTACCCAATCTAATTATCTATAAAAATAAATGGTAATATGTTTTTTTGGTTATAATGTTAAACGAAATTGTTTGACCAAAAAAAAAAATGTTAAACGAAATTGTAATATATTGTATTCTGAAAATATATATTGGATTCTTCTTAATCCAAATTCGAAAAAGATACCAACACATGTTATAGTTCCATTTCTTTCCTTTTTTTCTCGTTTTTCATTTTTTGGCCAGAAATTAAGATTGCAAAGAAAAGTTAAAGTGTGAATCCAAGTCAGATAATGTAAAATGGGCTTAAGAAGTTCTATCGTTTTCTCAGCTTTTCCGACAAAAGTCTAATGTACATGCATCACCTCCAACTCACTTCTAAATCAAATCTTCTTTTTATTTCTCACCGAATCCCGAAAAAAGGTATTAATATCAAAATCTACCCTTTTTTAATTCGTCTTTTTGGATATTTTCTTGTACACAATTATTATTTCACGACATTTAAACTATGCTATTTTATCTCTTTCGGACACTTCAACTCTCATTCCGTTTGTGGTAATTTGATTAATGGCATCCAAATCTATCCATATTAGCAAAGAATATGTTCACCGTATTATCTGAATTATCTAGGCGCAATACGCTCATTATTCAATGAATATAGTCGATGGAGAGATCCAATTTGTTTGGTCAACTAGTTAATTAGCAGAAGCATAAACTTTGTTGCTTATATGATGGTATATTTTAAATTTGTTATTAAAGTAAGAAATATAATAAAGGGACACCACTTAGACCAAAATAAATAAATAAAGGGACACCACATTGTGACCAATTTTTCAGATGGGTGAGTCCTGTAGTCCACGATGCTAAGAAAATCCAAAAAAAAAACCAGCATATCAACAATCAATGTTTGGTCTACAGACTAAACAATTCGTCCTGTGTTTGTACTTTGACATTGACAAGGCACTGATCTTAAGGCATTGTTCTTATCCAATGGGAGATCCATTTTAGCAACAATCTATCTATCATTAGTTTTTTCCAACTCTTTAAACTAATTCCATTTAATGGAGGCTGAATAGATATAAGTTGAACCAAAGTACAAATTAATATTATATACTATTTAGCCCATTATAGTGAATCAACTTAAGGTGTAAAGAAATCAACTTATTCGAGACCCTTCTTCAATCCTAGGATCCTACGCGGTTACTATATATCCAGCTTATTCATAATATAACACAAAATAATCTTCAATCAGCTAAAGTGACATAACATATATATGATTATATGAAGGGTTGACGATCTATATCCCCATGGGAATTATCATATAGCACCAGATCCACACGGAACTATGACCTTGTTTTAGACGTCCATGAGAGAAAAGTTGTAGATCTAAATCCACATGTAATAATAGTTCGAAATCTACTTCCCCACAGTTACAAAGTTCGAAAGCCCAAACCCCATTGGAGTCGGTTTTAGTTGGATTACTATATCGGAAACAAAGCTAAACCATGTATTAGCGTTGTTAAACCAATCATGACCCGGATTATGACCCGATTACAACTAATAAACCAAAACCCAACTAATAAACCAAAACCCAACAAAATCTCCAAATTCAAAATTCCCAAATCCTAAACCCTAGAAATCGAATTCGAAATCAAAGCTGAAGGAAGAGGTTGACGACGATTTCGATGGCCTTAGTCATTCGTCGTGCGCTTGGCGAAGACGATTTCGATGAAGAAGAAGTGGACAGAGATGCAACTGAAATCGAGAAAATGGTGGAGGAATTTGAGGACGAGCCTTCAATTTTCCACGACAACATTCCAGAAAGTGATGACGATGATGAGGGAGACATAAGAAAAAGACTACAATTAACACTCAAATATGAACCCATAACACTATATTTACCCTCGATTTCAGAAATTACTGATTACAACAATCGATTTTCCAGAATCGAATTTAGGGTTCTTACTGAATTTTTTCGATTTGGGGATTTTGGGACCAAAGTGAGAATAAAATGCTGTCATATGGGTCGGGTTCGAATCAGGTTTTTTTAGTTCGGGTCGGTTTTTTTTTGTTTGGTTTCAGCGATTGATGGTTTAACTCTCGGGTTTACATCGCAAACCGGCAGAAACCGTAAAAACTAATACATCTGGGGAAGTAGATTTCGAACTATTATTACATGGGGATTTAGATCTACAACTTTCCTCTTATGGACGTCTAAAACGAGGTTATAGTTCCGTGTGGATCTGGTGCTATATTATAGTTCCCATGGGGATATAGATCGTCAACCCTTATATGAATAACATTGAATGAAATTGACGAGCTATGTACGTAACTGAATGAAGTTACAATTACACGGATGGTCCCATTTTCATATGTCAACAAATGGGAAATTACACATTTTATTCCTCAACTATTTGCAATTGGTATAAATAATCTTCGACTATCGTGATTGCAAAAAAATTCTTCAACTCAACGTTGACCACGCAAAATTAAAATTAAATATAGTCAACTGTTAATTGAGAAAACGGAAAACGTTACATTAAATCTTGCTAACTTTTTATGAGTCTAATTTTACAGAGTTAATATAAAGTTGAGGAATTAATTTGCCAAATTAAAAGTTGAAGAATTAATCTGTAAAATTATAAAACTTGAGAAATTAAATGAACTGAAATTTAAAAGTATACACATAATTGTTAATGCTTATTCATAACAACGGTGAAAATTATTACGTAGCACTAAAAACTATTGAATGTGAAAAAATTATTAAATTGTTTGTTCATAACAATTTTAATAATTTTCTTTTAACATTAAAAACTATTAAATTTGAAAACAGAAAAAATCAAAACAATTATATAAAACTATATAAGAACTTAACCGATAAGTTTTTACAGTTACAGAAACTTTTTTTTTGTATTTGATGCTATTAATAAAGTAATCTTAGTTGAGTCTCTATTGTTCATGCATGAAAGCCTAAATTACTTGGATCTTACCATTGTATTTTTATAGATTTATATAGTCAGATTCGAGCTGTAGATTTATTTTAGATCAGTAATATTAGACTATAAAATTATATTGTAAAGTATTGTTTTATAATTATAAAACTCTGGTTTGTAGTACATGAGTACCATCTAAGAGCTACAAAAAAAATTAGAAATATATACGTTTGTTAAATTAATTTCTAATATTCTTTTTATCTTTTTATGTTATCTAAATTTTGTTCTTTTCTTTTGTATTAATTATTTTGAAAATAGATCAGAACTAAACTGTTTTCAAAAAATAAAATTTACCTGTTTGTTACCACATGATTTTTTTTTTGCAAAATGCTACATTTTTTTTTCAACTTGAACTACCATTTTTAATAGCTCAGAGCTATATATAGTTTATTTGATTTTTTTTGCACATTCAATAGTTTTTAGTGCTATGTAATAATTTTCTTAACAGTTATGTGTATATTTTTAAATATTAGTTCATTTAGTTCCTCAAGTTTTATAATTTTACAGATTAATTCCTCAATTTTTAATTTGGCAAATTAATTCCTCAACTTTATATTAACTCTGCGAAATTAGACTCATAAAAAGTTAACGAGATTTAATGTAACGTGTTCCGTTTTCTCAGTTAAGGTTTGACTATATTAGTCTTAATTTTGCATAGTAACATTGAGTTGAGGAATTTTTTTGTAATCACGATAGTTAGAGATTATTTATGTCGATTGCAAATAGATGAGGAATAAAATGTGCAATTTTCCGTCAACAAATCTTTTTATTTTGTGATCAGTTTCATTTGCAATTAATGGGTTAACTATCATCACTATGATTTGGACGATAATCGATTAATGTCATACTTCAGTAGTGTTTAATCATCATTAACAACTGTTTTCTGAGATTTAAAAAATTGCAAACCGAGTTCAAGAATTCCGAATACCTAATTTTTTTTTTCCAAACCAGATCGGATTAAATATTGGATCCCTACTAATCGCAATCCACAAAACAAGTTCGCACTGACTTTGATAAACATAGAATAGGTTAATTAGTCTTGGGATTCTGATTCAACTAAGGTATATAGTTAAATACTCCCATACCTAATAGTATATGATAACTACATACCACTCAACAAAACACCAATAATAAGTTCCTATCAATACTATAATTAATGACACCATATCATATGCCAATGGTTACCCAATGATTCTCTTTGCATTTTCTAATCCCCACATACAAAAAAGGCTTCATCAGCACCACTAGGAGCTCTTTTTAACTACCTCGCTAGCTCTTTTTTCCACTTCTTCTTTAACTTTTAACTCACTTCGAAAAGTTGACTACCTAAAAAAGAGAAAGTAAGAAAGATCACAACTTTCACATTGTGTAATAGAATGTTAATCTTCACTATTCTTGCAAATACTGTCATCTATCTCTTCTTCCTCCTCATCTTCTCCGTTCTCTTCTGCATAAGGACTGTCCAAAGCCCTCTTCTCCTGCTCCTCCACGTCAGCAGCCACCGTCAAGCTCCCATTTCGACCCCTCAATTTTGCATTCTTCTCATTTCTCTTCGCTCTACTTCTCAACTCCTCCAACAGCTCCCTCAGAGCTTTCTCTCTATCCCTCCGATTCTTAATCAGAGCCTCGCTTACGTCAGCCGGCGTAATCTCCGCCTTAACCACCACTTCTTCCATCTCCTTGAAAACGCCGTCGTTTAGATCTCTTTCCTCGTATCCCAAGTAGTTCCTCAGCAAGATCTTCAGCGAAGGAAACGTACAGTAGCTCATGTATATATGCATATCCATTCTTCCACTTCTCAGAAGCGCAGGATCAAGTTTCTCAATGTGATTGGTCGTGAACACAAAGATCCTCTCGCTGCCACAACAAGACCAAAGCCCATCAGTGAAATTCAGCAAACCGGACAGCGTAATCGTGCTGCCATTGCCCGAATCATCTCCTAAACCGGACCCGGTTAACGTCATCTCCGGATCATAGTAGCTCCCCGCCGTGCTCTGCTTCTTGCTCCGATTCGTTAAACTGATGGAACAATCAATGTCCTCGATCACAATTATCGACTTCGAGCTCGTTTTCATCAGCAGCTTCCTCAATTCAGAATTGCTTTTGACCTCCGTGAGCTCAAGATCGTAGATGTCGTATCCGAGATAGTTAGCCATGGCGGCGATCATGCTCGATTTCCCGGTTCCGGGTGGACCGTAAAGCAAGTATCCTCTTTTCCAAGCCCGACCGGTTTTCTGGTAAAAAGATTGGCACTTTGCAAAATCTTTGAGATCCTCCATGATCTGTTTCTTCTTCACCGGATCCATCGCGAGCGTATCGAAAGTGCTCGGATGCTTAAAGGGAACAGATTCCCAAGGAAGACCTCTCGAATCGAGAGACCCACCTCGCGAATTAGTGTAAAGAAGCCGATCCTGATTCTTGCGGCGAATCTCATTTGCTTTCTCCATGATGTAATCCAAGTAAGAATCGAGGATCAAGTTTTTGTCTTTCTTCTTGATCCGGAGAGTGAAGCCACGTTTCTCCTCAGGCATTGGTCTCCAAGCGAAGGTCTGAGTCTGTCTCTGTGTGACGATGTGTTCCCAGACGACGGTGACGGAGTTGAAGGTGTCGACGATGGAGTCGTTGTTGGAGAGGCCGAATGTGATTGAGGAGGAGTTGATGGCGCGCGTGAGGCTGAGGCGGTTTCCGGAGACGGAGGAGATGGAGGAGCTGAGGTAGAGCTGGACCGCATTGTAAAGCTCGTTGGTGTTGACGCCGTCAATCTCCGTTATGTCGAAGTAACAGAAGGAGGAGAAGAGTTGGAAGAATCTGTTGAAGAGTTTCAGGAAGGCGAAACGGAGCTCCGGTGGGAATACTGAATTCATTAGGCTCTGGCAAAAGGCTAAAACGCCGAGAAGCGAAGCCAAAGATGTCCAATACTCTTTCATCGTCTATAGAGAGAGAGATGAGAAACAGAGTGCTTATAAGGAGTTTCTCTGGGAGAGATGAAAAGGTGGCAACTTTATGGCTAAATCAAGGTGAGAGAAGAAAAAGGGAAATATGGGTTTTTGAGAAACGAGGGGATTTGATTGATTTGTCTCGCTCAATCAGTTGAATTGAGATTTTGCAGAGTTTTCTTGGACAGCGAGTCTCTCGTTTTTCCTGGAGAATTTTCAGAGAAGAGAGAGAGAAAGAGGGAAGCTTTTAGTAATCAAGCTTGTGATTCTGCAGTTGGTTGTGTTTTGGAGAAAACAACTCAAGAAAACACAAGAGAAGAGAACAAAGGGGCGTTTCTCTCCATTTATACAATTGGTTAGATGATTTTTTTGGCATTTATAAACTTTTCTTTTCTTTTTTAGGAAACTTTTGTTCACCTTTTAGAGATAAAATATATTTTATTAAATGAAAGACAAAAAGCTTTGAAAATGTGGGGGCGAGTTCATACTTCATATGGACAAAAAATAAATGTTTTGGAGTAACAACAGAAAAAGAAGCCAATTTGGGTTTGGAGCTTCCTTTTCTTCTTGCAAGAAAATAATTACTACATATAAATACCTAAATATATTGGTCATAACTCCTAAAAATTGGAACCATAAAGAGGAAATAAATGCTTTGACCAAAAAAAAGAGAGGAAATAAATGCTTGTTCAAAAGTAAGGAAACAAACTAAATGTTGACATCAGGACTTTTTACTGAAATTAGTGACTTTCTTGGTGGAGTTATTCGACTTATTTATACAGTCAAGATTTTGGTAAGAATAAAAACTATGGAGAAAATCATCATAACTAATTTCATTTAATGCCGTTAATATGACTTCCATACGAAGAAGATGATATCTGATTAAGTTTATTTTTTCTGTTAAAGATATTTGACCAAGTTTGATGGATCATTAAACCAATGTTCTACAAAATGAATAGTCTAATATTCATAAATTCTGTGTGATCGGTATTTCCCAAGTTACCACCCTGACTATTGGGTCTAAGGTCACGTTTTTGCAAAGAAACAAGTGAGTCAACCTAAAAAAAAAAAGAAGAAACAAGTGAGCCTGTTCTGTTGCCAATCTACTGAAACCCTTGTTCGAACTTGGTGTCTCTGTCCATTTTGAGAGCTAGTCATCTCATTTTTTCTAAAAAAAATTATATATATATATATATTTATATTGACCATCCCCAAATGGGGCATCGGAACAGTAAGATCGTGAATCTGAACAAAATCGCGGCAAAGCATGAAAATAGACTAAACTAGTTATCTTTACATTTTTGTGTGTTTTGGCCTTTTGGGTAACACCGTAACACAATAATGTTGAAATTAGTTTCATATGTGGCGTTGCCAAATAATTACAGATATTTTTGGATTTAAGTTTTGAAGATATTATATATATATATATATATATATATATATGACAGATGGTTTGAGAACGTTGAATCATTGGACTAATTCACAAGATCTGTCTTTTTGTTATTGTTAAAGAATGCACAACATCTGTCTTTCGAAAACATACAATAATATTCTAAATGATCATATATATGTCCAAGACTCCAAATTAGAAAGGAAACACAGACCATATCGAAAACATACAATAAAATTATAAATGTTCATATGTTCAAATTAGAAAGGAGACACATGGACCAATATTATCTCTCTCTCCGGGATAACCTCCCAACATCCAAATGTATTGGTCTCGAAAAATTGATAACAATGGAAGTTTTTTTTTTTAAATCCGACCACAGCTTATTTGTAGTCGCTGTGTCGACTTTTAAGTTTTTGTTACGACTCTTCTCAATTTCACATTCCTCATGGAAATAATATTTTGTTTGTTACTAAACTTCACATTTGATTACAATGTTTTTTCTGTTGGTAAACTTACATTAACACAGTATACTTATGCATATATATAATTTTATCAAGTCTAACTCGGGCCTCAAGGCAAGTAAGCTCGGTTTTTAGGCCCTGTTATATATCAATGATGAATCATCAAGGACCACAATAGGCCCGAGTAGCACGAAAGCATTATAAAATACCAAAAGAAAATGCAAGACACACTTACTAGTTTTAGTAACTTGACAAAAGTAAGTATAGACCACGTACGCACCTATTTTCTCAAGCAATAGACTAGTGAATAGTGATATTTATTGTTCATCTATTGTATATGACAACGTTGCATTTACTGGAAGATACACAAGTTATATAATTTAGATTCAAATCAATAATTATCAACTCTTTCTTTACATTATCAACATTATTCTGGATTAAGAAAAGGATTAACAAAGTGTTTTATTAAGAAGAGGACTTGAAGTGAAAATAACGTTTAGGGGAGTAGAGGCGGAAGAGGTTGAAGGCCGAGAGGAAGGAGAGGATGATCATGAGAATTGCCGCGATGTAGTTTAAGACGATGGCACTTCCGATCTGAAAGCAAAACCTCGTGAACTTGGAGCACCACTTCATCCACTGAAGCTCCCTCGAACCTGTAACCACAAGCAATGAGTGTTGCGCCGCTGCTGATGTCCCGGCGAACATCACGTACACTGCCGTCTGTTTCATCTCGAAATTAATATCATACACATATCTATAGCATGTTAAATCAAAGATACTATAAATCAAGATACTTAATGTGTGATATGTCTACCTGATCCAAGAGGTAAGAGAGCCATTTAGAATTGGTGGTCTTTTGTCCAGCACCAAACCAACCAAACCCTAATTGAACAATGTTATATGCAGCAACCACAACATCTATGTACAACTCAACCCTGAATTAAAATCATAAACAACGCAAACATATTATAAGTATTATAAAAAGAAAACTTACAGCTAATGTTTTTGTGGGAGGATGATGTATTATGAAGATTTGTGTTATCCAAAAAATAAAAGAGTGAAAGCAGCAGTCCCCACAGTACAAATTGATACATTTCATGAAATTTTGACCAAAACAGGAACTGTTACTAGAAAATTTTAACAAAATCCTTCCACAAACTGTGAAATATTTGTTTGACAGCGCCCATACAAAACTCAAAATCTATTAAATACGATATGTAATGAAAAACCATCGGAATTTATTTCAATGATTTTTTTATTTCATATGGACTAGTGTTGCAAAAGTGAAAGGAAAATAAGGGTTTAATTTGCAGATTTACTACAACAATCTTTTGGAGATTAATATTGTATGGATAGCTTAAATTGTTAGTTATACATATAAAATCTAGACAATGAAAATGGACATACTCCAGAGCAAACAAATCTCTGAAAGTGACTTTCTTGTGGATATAAGCAACCTCTTTGGTCTGAGAATCCAAACCGACCAAAAAAGAAGTGAGGAGGAGAAAAAAGACGATACAGAGTCTCAGGAGCAATTCTGTTTCTCTCAACCTCACCATTTCTTTCTCTCCTTCCAACAGGAATATTCACTACTCTTATTATCCGTTCTCCCTCTCTCTCCCTCTCTATTTTTTTTGTTTTAGAATTTTTTTAGATGTATCTAATAATGAGAATACAGGAAGACTCTTAACATAAATTTGTAAATGTACATTATTTATAGAATGGTTTGGACTTTGGATTTGAGGATTTGGCAGGGGGAATATAATACTGAAGGTATAAAAAAATGTACGCGGCAATTTGTAGATCACTTGTATAGTTTTTTTTGGTTATAACAGATCACTTGTATAGTTGTACATGTATGAAGTAAAATACCGGTGGACTTCTCAATTCGCATTGAATGGTTTGATGAGCTAACTGCCTCTAATGAATTTGATCCGTAAGGATTTATTAATTAATTTTCTGTCCTTGTACTCTTTCTTTTTTTTTGGCCAAGAATCTTAGTATTTGAATTCTTTTCATCTCTCTTGAAAATCATTAGTGGGTTAATTTTTTTTGTCGTACTTCGTGACAAGTTATATACTTATATAAATCATAAAAAATTGGCCTTGCAGAAAAAATTATCTTTAATAAATCGAAATAATTTTGCTGATTTTCTTAATCACAAATTTTTATCAGAAAATATTAGTTTATATTTATTTCTAAGCTAGAACTAGTTAAGAAAAAAATTGTGATGGTTTCACGAAACGTATATCATCTCTCTCTTTAAAGTAAGGTTTGACGCGCAAAATGTCAATCATTTAGTCGATTGATACACCAACTTTTTGTACGGAATAATATTAGTATTATTTGAGAGGAGACTTGAGTAACTTGCTCTGATCCCCAAATTACGCCAGCAACGTCTTAGTAAAACAAAATCGGGGAACTTGAATCGTTGTCAACTACACCTCTAATGGACATAGAGATGTGTTGAGAAATAGTCACGATGTGCTCTAAATGAGGTGATTTTGACTTAAGCCAGATTGCAATTAAGATGGAAAGTGACAAATCAATAGCATGTCGACTCGCTTCAACATAACATATTAACATTCATGAACCTTACTTCTGTGATCCTGAAAATCCAAATTGAGTTTGGACCAAACTTAACTTGTTTTTATTTTTTGGACCTGTTTTCATTATCTGTAAATTAAAATATTTTCTTAATTATTATATAAATTATTGTAGACACATGATTCCGTTTTATCCGTAAATTTAATGTAGGTAATTTGAACATTTATTATATCTAAAAATCAATGTATATTAATTGAATGTTCCTTTTTCGACGTATTGGATGTAATGATTAAACAATGAGATAAGGAGACTTGAACAAGTGTGATTCTGAAAATGCATTTGAGTTATATGAAAGGAAAAAGAAATCTTGGATATCAAAAATAGAAATTTAATTTCAAATATCATTGTCGAAGAGGAAGTGAATAGGTATTGAAGCACGTTCTGTGCTGTAAATTGGACTGTCCAAAAAGTTCATATCCTAATAGTGACTCTTAAAAGTATTTAATGTTAGGGCCCTATTAGTTAGTTGGACCAACCAACGCATTCATTAAACTTTGAAGCTAAAAAATATCTTTTGAATATTATAAACATATCAATAACTTTACATCGAATTGAACTGTTTAAAATTTTCCGGTATCTCTATAAAATATTCTTGTTAATTAGTGCAAAAATTTGCACATAAAGTAAAACAAGTTTGTTTAACTTCGTTATGATTTCTATCAGTCTATATTATTAATTAACGCTAGTTTAACTTCGTTATGATTTCTATCAGGCAAACGCTCTATATTATTAATTAACGCTAAAACTACATAGATCCTTAAGTAAAGTATTATATGATTTTGAGTTGGAAATTTAAAATCTCAGATAGATGTAAATTTTATTTTTAAAAGTATGGAATAACGGTATTGGTAAATGATTTACAAAAGTTTTGCTCGATAAAATCAGGATCTGACGAGCCGATGTTGCATTAGTTCATCAAAACTCTTTTTCTTCCTTTTTGCCAAGATCACGGTTCTCTCATGCCATTCGCTGCATACTAGTGTTTGTATTACTAGTCCTTTGAGGACCTGCGGAATCTCACTTTTAGTAATGTGTACATATTTTTCAGCAAAATGATGCTGCTTGCATTGCACGCAAAAACAACCACAATTAAAAAAAAAACAATTACACCACATAATCGAGTACAAATTTTTATTTTTCTTGGTAAGATTACATACACGTGTGTTATCGTATCTCAGAAACACCAAAAGAAAAAAAGAAAGAATTCAAAGTAAACATCAAAGTATGATATAAAACGAAGGGAAAAAAAAAGAAGAGTTATTAAGGAAAATGCTCGAAAATTCTCATAGTAGGATCAACCAAGATTTAAAGGTTACATTCCTTGGGGAGACCCTGAGGGAACCTCTTATAATCAGTGCAATAGTTGTAGATCATGAATTCGTCTTGCACCCACTTCATCTGTCCGTACTGGTGGCTACTGAGAGTGGTCCACATCCACGAGTCTTTGTTTGCGTCACAAGTCACCCATGTGGAGTTCGATGTCCTGCTACATGAGCTTTGGTCGTTAAAGCTCCTGTAGGAGGCTCTGAATGGTGCATTGTTCCAGTCAATCTTCACGCGACCGCCTTGTGTTGCCCAGTCATCGGCTTCCCAGAGGCTTGAGTATATCTTCATGGGTTGGTACGTAGGGTAAGCCACCCCATTTTTCTCGTTGTTCTTGAACACCCGAATTGGGATCCCATCCACAAGGAAACTTCAGACACAAGAAAGGTTAAGAATCATGTCAAACTGATATTAGACGTTTTAAATGCCAAAAAGAATTGCTCAAAGAAAAAATAAGAAGGTAACAACGGATCACGTATAAAAAGGAGAAAAATATGGGATTAGCCATGTCAAATTTCGTAAGCTATTATAGCAAAACCAATGAGTAATGAATGAATAAAAACATATCTTATATACATAATTTTGCAAAGTATTATCAATGTAGGATTTTCTGATAGACTATATATACTCACATGATGTTAGCAGGGTTCCAGTGGACGGTGTAGGTGTGGAAATCTGCGGTGGGATCGAACCAGAGATGGAACTGCATCTCACGATCGCCTTTACCTCCGGTGAAAACATTGGTGTGGATAGTGTAAGGCTGTCCTGTGAGATTTCCCAAGAACTCGAAGTCAATCTCATCCCATGTCGCGCCTTTGGAAGAAAGCTGCCACAGAAATGTATAATATTAGGATATAACTGAATTCATTACTGATTGGTTTTGAGAGAAAAAGAACCCTAATATATCATATTGGAGATCAGTTAATTTGACAAGGAGATTCCTTACGTAGTAGGCGGTGACGGTTCCAGCAGAGTTTCCAGCAACAAGCTTGAGCTTCATGTCGATCTTACCGTATAAATACTCCTTCTTGGACTGAAAACCTGAACCGGAGGTCTTGTCGAGAGTGCAAGTGAGAAGCTGTCCATTCTCGTAGATGTTGGCACGACCATCTCCCCAAGTGATATCAAAGCTCTCGTAGAAGCTTCCAGCGGATGCAGCCACCACAAAGAAGCCAATGGCGAGGAGGAGAGACAACAACAGAGGTTGTTTGGTTGCGAAAGCCGCCATTTTGGCCCGGTTCTCTGTTGTTTCACGCCGTGAGAGATAAATGTTTGTCGATGGACTTGGATTGTAGATGAGTTGGAAATGAGAAGTTATATAAAGAGACTTTCGTGGAGGCACATAATCGACGTGGTAGTCGTAAACTTTGTGTGTACTAATATTTAAATGAAGAATCATTCCTTACACGGTTCAACGTAGACAGGTTCGTGGAATAGCTTAAAACTGATTATTTAATAGTCAAATAGCTTATTACTTTATAATTTTTGTCTGTGGAATCAATATAAGAATCTCAGAAAATTATGTTTAGTAACTACAGTATTTAGTTTTTACAGTTCATATTAAAACAAATTTAATAATATCGCTCTCTAAACAATACAAAAGAAAAGTTGTTGATTAGTTGTTAGACCATAAATTCTTATTCCTACTACTTTCTAGGCATAGTCGCATAGATAAATGAGGAAGTCAGCACAAGCTATATCCCAGTGTACACAATAATTCCTACGGAAGGCATGAGAGAATTCACATTGTTAAGGAGCGTGCAAGTTACAACTAGGCCTCATGGCCATGCCCCGGAGGCTCTCAAGGGTTATATAGGGTTTAAGGTTGTTCATTTGAAGGGTTCGGTTTTCCTTTTGTTTTTTTTTTCTTCCTTCTATTTTATTTGTTCGCACACTGTTCTTACTTTTTCTTTTCTTCGTACGTTCAAATGCTTTCTTTTGGTAAGGTGATGGATCATTTAAATACACATATACTTACATAGACTAAATGAAAAAAACAGATGTGCAACCACATACTAGATACTTTATATGATGAATTAAAGAATTTTTTTTTTAGAAGGCTTTGAATCTTTTGTTTTGTTTAAAAGCTTTACGCAGCTAGGCACTCTTGTGGAAGACCTTGAGGGAACCTCTTAATGTCCGTACAGTAGTTATAGATCATGTAGTTACTTTGCACCCATCTCATCCGTTCTTGACCCGTGGAGTCTAACTCCTGTGACAGCCACGAACCACTACTACTCCCTTGTCCTGACCCGTTGGGGCACGACGACTTACCATTTGACATGACGCAAGCTTCTTCATTAAAGCCGCGGTAAGAAGCAGTGAAGGGAGCTTTAGACCAGTCGGTTTTGACTAGACCGCCCCTTGTGGCCCAGTCTTCAGCGTTCCATAGACTCGAGTACATTCTCATCGGCTGGTTCTTAGGGAACAGAGTCCCTTGAGATTCCATGTTCTTGAATTCTCTTATCGGAGTTCCATCAACGGAGAATCTAAATTGATAGAAAAAAAAAAAAAACACAATGATCAGATTCAACAACGTAATGGTATAAATTATGAAAAAAAGTAACGCCTAATATAATATGGATGGTTTGTTTTGGTTCGGGTTTGCTATTTAGTTATATATTCTTATTTTCTTTTTAAAGATTTTTTTTAGATATAGAGGTAAAAATGTAATTATGTGATGCATAAAACCATTTTCGAATTTAGTTTCGGTTAATCAAGGAAGAAAAACAAGAACACTTACATAATGCGTTGTGGGTTCCAGAGGATGGAGTAAGTGTGGAAATCACTAGTTGGATCGAACCAGAGTTTAAACTGTTGTTCTCTGTCGCCTTTACCTTGCGTGAAGACATTGGTATGAAGTGTGTAAGGATCGCCACTTAGATTTCCCAAGAACTCGAAATCAACCTCGTCCCATGTAGATCCAGGTGATTTCAACTGTAAAACATAAAAAACATCAACAAAAACAATCAAACAACCATTTTGAGCTATAATTACTCTAAAGGCTCACAGATAACACACTAAAGAGACTTACATAGTAAGCAGTGACTGTTCCGGCGGAGTTTCCGGCCACGAGCTTGATCTGCATGTCGATCTTACCGAACAAATACTCGTTCTTGGATCGGAAGCCTGAGCCGGAAGACTTGTCGAGAGAGAGAGTGAGAAGATCGCCGTTGTTGGTGATCTGTCCACGTCCGTCTCCCCAAGTTATCTCTACGTCTCGCTGAAAATTGGCTGAAACAGAGCAAATCATAAGAGCGGAAAGCAGCAGAACAAACATAGTGGAGTAACTGATGATCGACATTTCTTTTTAAAAATTTTTTTTTTGGTGGGTTTTATTTTCTGAGTGTAGATTTTTTTGGTTTTTCTTGTGAGGTCGAATATAATTGGTTGTATATATATAGTAAGAGCAGAGAGGGTCAGAGAGGAAGGTTCGGTTCGGAGGATGGGTTTGGTGAAGACTGAAGACAAAGGCGCGTTTTGATTCGGACAGCTGGAAGAAGGAAAGTGATGGTTAGATAGATGGCTTTGGAGTTGGAGACGCGGTTTTTGTTATATGTTTCTTTTTTGTCAAATTACATTAATTTAATCTGACCATCTCTCGTTGCTTTTTCTAGATGAGCGTATGGGAAACAGCTAAGAATCTCATCTTTGTAACCATCCTTATTGACAAGTTTCATATCACCAAAGACTCCAAGTGCAGCCATCTTAGAACCAGTCCAAACACAAGGGCGTTAGTCTTGTACTTTTTTTTTGGGTCAAGAGTCATGTACCACAAAGAAGCCAATGGCGAGGAGGAGAGACAGCAACAGAGGTTGTTTGGTTGCGAAAGCCGCCATTTTAGCCCGGTTCTCTGTTGTTCACGCCGTGAGAGATAAATGTTTGTCGATGGACTTGGATTGTAGATGAGTTGGAAATGAGAAGTTATATAAAGAGAGTTTTGTGGAGGCACATAATCGACGTGGTAGTCGTAAACTTTGAATGTACTAATATTAAAATGCAGAATCATTCCTTACACGGTTCAACGTAGACAGGTTCGTGGAATAGCTTAAAATTGATTATTTAATAGTCTGTGGAATCAATATAAGAATCTCAGAAAATGATGTTTAGTAACTATCTAGTTTTTACATTTCATATTAAAACAAAATGAAATGATATCGCTCTCTAAACAATAAATAGAAAACAAAGGTTGTTGATTAATTGTTAGACCTTAAAATATTATTACTACTATTTACTAGGCATAGATAAATGGAGGAAGTGCTTTTGATGTAGTGGTTAATCAAAAAATGATACTGAGTTAATTTAGTAGGGTGAAAGGTTGAACCATATCTGCTTTAAATTTCTGTGTCAATAGGATTATCTATTGATTGACAAATAGTTTGATAGATAAATACTTATAGAAACCAAGTGATATATTTACCTAAACTGTACAGGGCTTCTACACTTTATATACACTAGCAAACAACCTGAATATCCATCTATTTATTCATCAGCAAAATCAAGCTCCACAATCTGAGCTTTTCTCTTAGCAGCTTGTGGATTATGACCCATTTGTGGATCGGAGAAGAAGTCTGAGGCGGATCTCGGCGCCGAAGACGGCGACGGCAACGTCGCTACTAGATCTAACATTTCCGATTCACTGATTCCTCTGTACGGGAAGCCTGAGTTGATCCCGGAGATGGAGGAGTTATCAATAAAACATAAGGATGTTAAGAAAGAAAAAAAATGTTTTTAAACCCGGCCCGGCCAGGCCCTGTACTGTACAAACTTGACCGGATTAAGCTATTATGAAAACAGTTCTGATTTTTTTTTTTGTTTTCTCGTTAAGGCTCAAAATCAAACTGAAGGTAATTATTTCTTGCAATCGAATCTTTGGTTTGGCCAGAAATGTGAGCAGATTTTCGAACTCAAGGGTATAAAAGTCTCTCAACCAACCAGTTAGAGAGGTTGTAATTCAATAAATTCAAAGATGGTCCAATTGTACAAGGTTGATCGAAAAAGTTGCAGAGAAAACATTTGTTATTCATCCCCGCCAAGTCATTTGAAAATAGTGACTGGACTTGACTTGTTCTTTCTTCTCTAAAAAAAAAAAACCGACTAAAACCGGTTAATCTGTCAGGAAGTCACTACAAGAAGGACATAACCGGCTATACAAACACAAAGATCGAACACAACAAAACAGTCTCGTTCAACATGTTGTCACTTATTCTTTTATCTATATTCCCCTAAACAATCTACATATACAACACATTCTACCTCCAACCGAGAGCTCCTTTCGTGACTAAAATTGAGTTATGGTTTCTGAAGTAGATTCAATCCTACATGAAGTAGCTGAGTGATTTCTTCTTTCTAGATCCACCTTCTCCGTAGAGTTCGTTCCATTGTTGAAGCCCTGTCATGTTCACCGATTCTGACGAGACGCTCGCGCACACCTGATTCAATACCAGGGACAACGGTTACAGTTTTTCTCTGAGCCTGAGTCTGATATGAAAAACGAAAACAAAAACCAAGCATAAGTAAATCTTACCTGCTCATGTGCGTATCTGAAATCCTGCATGTTTAAAGCTCGGATATCAGAACTTCCACTTAGAGCTGGAGGAGCTTTACCTTCAGCCAGAGCATCATCTCGCTCCTACAATCAATCCATAATATCCCATCATAAACATATATTATATTACAGTGAAGTTTACGCATGATAATGTGTGTGTATACACAGAAAACTCAGGCAGAGAAGAGAACCACCTTTGTTAATTGCCCCTTGCAGAAAAGTTCAGGCCGCTGTAAAGGAAGCATAACCAATTCCTTTAAGGTGTCTTTCACATTCTCAAGTGCCCCAGTGTCATCAAATGAAACACCAATGTCACTGGGCGGAATGACATCACTTAAAAGCCTCTTCTCAAACTCATTTTCTGTCACAACGTCCTGAAAGCAACAGAGAAAATTAACAGTTGTTATATGATGATAGAAGCCATTTCTTTTAATGTGAGCCAGTATGCAAATAATTTAATTCATTCCAAGACAATTTGCTAACCTTGAGAGAATACTTTAAGCTCGTAGATTCATTTAGAAGAGCCTGTAAAACTCCAATTCCAAATTCTATGCTGCAAGTCCAAAGTTCGCACTCAGTACTGATATATAAGAGCAGTAATGCACAGAGACAAGCTGCCAATTACCTATCAAGAGACAACACATTCCTAGTATCTGGATCAACATCAGGGTTACGCTTTATATGGTCACTAAGAGCCCATCCAACGATATTTTCTGCACCTGAAGTAGAAAGTCAAAGTCAAGTGTTTAGAAAAGCATTCCATTGTCAATTCCTTCACATTCCAAACCATTGTGCCGAACAAAGGGAAAACATACTGTCGCTTTGAAGTGTGAGATCCTTCATGCACAGCGTCTCAATTCCTTCACATTCCAGATCACATCGTCCCAGCACCTGAATGAAGATGCAATAATCGATTCGTTCTTAAAACTTCTGTCAAGCCACTGTTTTAAAATAGGAAATGGAATTGTGCCTTATGGAAAAACAGATAACCTAGTACACCAGAGAAGAAGCAAGCAATTCTAGAAGGTATGCTATCAATACTTGCTATTCTAGCAATCAAGATTTTAAAGAAGAGGAAAAATAGAGGTAAATGCTTTCACGAGCAGCCAAAATGCCACAGATTTAATAGAGCCAAATATGCAAATGAGTGCACCCAAGAAAATTAAAAATTTCTCACTGGGATTGAAATCCAATGATTTCAGTCTGATATGTCCAGACATAAAATGCTGCCATGACCTTTTTCCAATTACATACTAAATCCAAGAAGACAGCTAAAAGCATATCCCATGACCATATATTCAGAGGAAAGACATACCTTGCGCAAGTGATTGAAATTAGCCTTCATTTTCAGAGTCTCAGCATCACGATCTAACTGATGGTTCCAGGATGTAAGAAGATCCTCATCCTGGGATTAATTACTCCATTAAGTCTAAAGTTTTTTTGACATATATCAGACGAGAATGCTTATGTCTAGTAGAACATAGTTACAAACCTGTGGCATATGAATAGTAACTTTATTCTCAAAGAGCTTCGTTAGAAGTTTCGTTGCTTTCGGAATTTCCTTGCCAAGCTCACGTAATCGTCCAATGTCCTGGGAATATTAAGCAAAGGTAACATTAGTCCCACCACTCAATAAGAGAAGGAAATACTCTGCGAATTTGCACTAGCCAGTTGAAATCAGAATAGCTGGATCAAATAAACTAGAGGCTTGTTTCAAAGGTGCATGCAGAGCTGAAGCTGACTAGAAAACAGAACAGATGAGAGTTAATGTAAGGCATATATGAGCATGAACCAATCCCACTGGTCAGGAAAACAAAGTTAAGACATAACGGTCACAAAAAAAGCAGCAGAAGAACCCGGAAGACATGCATTAAATGGTAAAAGAAAATGGCCATCTGCCTCAAGAATGACTATACTAATTTTGTTATGTTAAATTTTCCTACTTATGAAACAAACAAAGAAAAGAGGAGAAGGCGTTGATTTACTGGAAAAGCTAAGTCCAGAAGAGCAGTTTGGCTGCCGCCGAACTTGGTGAAAAATAGACCTCCAGGATGAGCCTGCAAAAGAGATGAATTGATGAAAACAAATGAGCTACCTATGGATTAGAAACCAGAGAGTAATAAGTAACCAAGTCGAAGGAAACTGTGCTCACATTGCAAAGATACTCAATTTTAGTCGATCCTGAGACTTATTATATTTGCAATTAATATCTTTTACAATTACAAGAAGTTTTACAGAGGTCCATTCCTAAGATCTTGAAAGACCGACTACCCTAACAAATCACATAGTGCCTAACACTTGCACTCTAAAATATTTGAATGGATATATTTATGAGGACGAATCAAGTAAACATCTTCGTGAACACACAATATTCAAAGTCTACTTCAACCTATGAAATAAGGAAATGCAGCAGCTATAGAATGGTCACAAACAAACAATTGGTACTGATATAAATGCCTGTGAAACGCATAAAGAAAAAAGGAATCACACTTATTTGCCCTAGGACAACTTTCTATTTAACTAAATGAGCTCAATGCATGCAATTAGGGAAAACGCATTGCACAGTAGATACCTTCTCCTTGCGATTATCAGTGTGTGTCTGTGAACCGATCACAATAACGTTTTCAGGGAGATGTTCAAGTCTGCTTTTAAACGCAGAGTACGAATCGGAATTTCCAACGACAAACTTCTCAGAATCTTTCAAAAATAGAATAAACGGACAAGTTCTGCTCTCATCATGGACAACCTGTACAGACATAAAGATATAAACATATGGAAAATATAAGACCCAGAACAAATTTATCACTTTGCAACTGATAGAACAAGTACCTCAAACAATGTGTTAATAAGTACTTTATCCAGATCCTCAGAACCCGAGCTTTCGAACCGAAGATCAGCAGCTTTAGAAAAGAAACAGAAGAAACAGTTTGTGAGACAAGAGCTGCGGGGGACCAGTAAGCAATGCACTACGGAACAAGAAGTACCATTGCAGAAGACCCCAAGCCCCTTTTCACACAGATCACCAAGATCCACTCCATCAGGTATGGGCTTATCAAATCTAACACCCACTTTTTTGGTGTTAATTTGCATAAATGACCCCGTCAAAGAGAGAATCTCAAAACGACCCTGATAACAATAACATACACAACCCAAATACATTTGAAGGAAACCAATAGAAAGAAGTTCATTATTCATTTATATATGAGAAGTGAGAAGTGAGAAGAGAGAAGAGAGCATTTAGACCTCAAAAGTTAGAGTACCGCCAGATGTCATAGATTGACGAAGCGTAACATTGGAAATGGGACCATTTGCTGAAAGGATGCAGATAGCACGAGATCCTTGTTGAGAGAAGGTCATTATCTTCATTGTCACATCCTGCACAAAATCAATGTGTCCAGAGATCAGCTAATTAAATGATCATAGTTAGGATATTTGATCATATTCATATCAGAAACGAAATTCAGAAAACCCCACCTCTCCGGCATTTACAGTGAGCACATGACTAAAGTTCGCACCAACTAAATTTGCTGGAGTTCCTACACCTGTAAAATTGGTATCAACTGGAGAAGTCAAAATCAGAGCTGAGAAAACAAGACATTAAGATATTCATAGGCACAACGAAATAAGATGAAATGAATTCATGAAACAAACACAAGACGAGGATGATTTCTCTTAATCAGAGTTGTTTTGACTTTTCACTCTAAATGTGGAGCTTTTTGGGAAATGTTGTGATGTCCCTATTCTCATACTTCCTTAAAGTCGTAGCCTTTTCTTTCTTTTTCAATAGCTTATGACTTCTGACAGAAGTTCACTTCTTATACCAACATCCTTCGATTGATAGCAAAGGCAAACCGTATTAATCAATATGAATCACATCTTATAAAAAAACATTACCACTTGGACCCTGACCAGCAGGCTGACCACCCTGTCTTGATGGTGATCCTCCTCCTCGTCCTCTTTTAGGAGGGCGATCACTTCCAGGTCCCAGTCCTGGACTCCTTTTACTATTTGTCAACTGTGGTTGAAAATGCTGCGGACGGAGACAATCCTGTTATAAGCAAGTTTATAGAATCGTCACAAATATATCAATCAAACTATAGCTTGAATTTTTTTTTTTAAAAAAAAGGCCTAACCCACCCAGTGTGAAGAAAAGCTGATCATCTCCACACGGTGCCCATTGGGAATGCACCTCCCTTGGTGTGCATTGAAACACTGATAGCAGAGGTTCAATCGTTCGTTAAAGCAATGAATTAAAGCAGGACGAATTTGGCAGTTTTGACATAAAGGAGACTCCGGATGTCCGCCCCTGAAAAGTACATGGTCGTGGCTAGAGCCAAGGGATATCCTTCTTTCTCTATAGTGCCAAGAATATTTCAATGGCATTGAAGTTGTGCATAAGAAGCATGGTGACATTATTTCTGTAAACAAAAAAAAAGAAAAAAAATTCATTAATGGCAACTTTCGAATATGAAAAGACTAAAGGTAACATAAGAAGCATAAACAATAGTGTACTACCTTGAGGTTGACCAAATCTTTGTTGAGGCTGATTAGGAGGACGAAGCTGCAAATCTAAGATGTAGCACAGCAAAACTTATCATCTTATGAAAAGAGTAACTGTAATATAAGAGGTAGATAGTAGTTGAAAATAAATAGTTTACTACCTGCTTCACGAGGATGATTGGGAGGACCAATTCGTAGACCTAACATGTTGCACAACATATCAAACGCTTTTGAATATGAAAAGACTAAAGGTAACATAAGAAGCATAAACAATAGTGTACTACCTTGAGGTTGACCAAATCTTTGTTGAGGCTGATTAGGAGGACGAAGCTGCAAATCTAAGATGTAGCACAGCAAAACTTATCATCTTATGAAAAGAGCAACTGTAATATAAGAGGTAGATAGTAGTTGAAAATAAATAGTTTACTACCTGCTTCACGAGGATGATTGGGAGGACCAATTCGTAGACCTAACATGTTGCACAACATATCAAACGCTTTTGAATATGAAAAGACTAAAGGTACATAAGAAGCATAAACAATAGTGTACTACCTTGAGGTTGACCAAATCTTTGTTGAGGCTGATTAGGAGGACGAAGCTGCAAATCTAAGATGTAGCACAGCAAAACTTATCATCTTTATGAAAAGAGCAACTGCAATATAAGAGGTAGATAGTAGTTGAAAATAAATAGTTTACTACCTGCTTCACGAGGATGATTGAGAGGACCAATTCGTAGACCTAACATGTTGCACAACATATCAAGCGCTTTTGAATATGAAAAGACTAAAGGTAACATAAGAAGCATAAACAATAGTGTACTACCTTGAGGTTGACCAAATCTTTGTTGAGGCTGATTAGGAGGACGAAGCTGCAAATCTAAGATGTAGCACAGCAAAACTTATCATCTTATGAAAAGAGCAACTGTAATATAAGAGGTAGATAGTAGTTGAAAATAAATAGTTTACTACCTGCTTCACGAGGATGATTGGGAGGACCAATTCGTAGACCTAACATGTTGCACAACATATCAAACATTTTCTGAAAAGAGTGAATGTAATATAATAGTAATTGTCAGTGGAAAACGTACTACCTTGAGCACGGTGTCGAGGCCGAATATGAAAGCCAAGTTCCAGATCAAGATTAGGAACAAAACGTTGTTGTCTTGGACCAGCAACACAGTTCTGTTGTAACCAGTTTCTTTTAGAACTACGGCAATGAAATGTGATAAAACTCAAAAATCAAAACTTTATAGACATAGACTCTCACCATGTGTGAAGAATACGGAATCACGAAGACAGAGTGGTTCATCAGGACACAGCCCCTATGCTCTTCTGTATTGAAACAATTGTAGCATAACGTTCTGTTATCGACGTAACATTTTATAACGGCAGGTGAACGCAAGCATAGCTGACACAGGGGCGAATGTAGATGCCCATTGTGATTCCAATAGTGGGTTGAAGAACTGTGCAAAGCCACATTGCAAATTCTGGACTCTCTATGAGTCCAGCAATAGTTCAACTTTGTTAGGTTATGGCAGATGGTACACCTCTGATCCATTTAATCTACCAAAGAAAAACGAAAAAAAACTTTAGATTGCCAAATGACTTGTAAGAAAAGATATAAAGAAACTAGAAGAAGTAAAGAAACGAAGGAAGAGTTGAAGAAAACACGAAACAGAATCCAGAACGATTTACCATCCAAATCAAAAAAAGTTACAACTGCTAATATCACCTTGAATGTTTATATCCGTAACAAAAGATGATAATTTCCAGTTTAATCCACCCGAACCAAAGATTACGTTGATTCAATCACCCAGATTTCAAACTAAAACCAAAACAAAACAAAAAATCAATTCCACCATTAATCTTGAAATGGTCGACACTACCAGAAACGATAATTACCCAGAATAGAAACTTACACTCAATCCGTTTGCTTGACTTAGCGAAGTGAAATTTTACAAATCCGATCAAAGTCGTGAGAGAAGAGAAGCGTCAGCGAGGAAAGACGACAAAAGAGAAAGATCTTGAGTTCTCCAACGCAAGAAAGAAAAAGAGATGAAAGGATTCGTTCGTCTAAAGAAGCGGACTTAGCAATAAAGCAACGAAAAGATTGAAGAGTACTAGACTTAAAAGAAGAATTATCTCCGAGTTATTCAAGAACAGAAAAATTTGAAGGAGTGAAGAAAGAAGAGGGAAAACGTACCATTATAACGACACCGTTTCGGCCCGTCCAGTGGGCCACTCTTGCGTCCCGTCCAGTGGGCCACTCTTGCGTCCCGTCCAGTGGGCCACTCTTGCGTCCCGTCCAGTGGGCCACTCTTGCGTCCCGTCCAGTGGCCCACTGTTGCATTTCGATAATCGTTGTCTGGCCCAAAAACTACAATCTGGCAAAATTACGCCGATTGCGTCGCCGGCGTCCACGATGGGAGAGAGGGACGAGCTCGGTTAAATCCCCTCCTCTCCTTTCTCGCTTCCACTTCCGGTGTCTGAGACAACACCGCTCGGACGATTCTCCGGCAACCGTCCATCAGTCTCGTTAATCTTGGTCGCTTGCTCGGCGGTGAGGACGACGTTGCCAGCGTGGCCATTGTCGTTCTCCATGGGCATGACTGTAACCTAGGGTTTTCGAATCCGATTACGGGAGATGAGCGAAGGGATTTTGGGGGATTGGTATCGAAAGGGAATTATTCAGGAATCTGAGAAAACAATGACACGACGAGAGACGAGACGAGAAAAGGTAAAATAGTGCTTCTCTTAGCTGATTTCAAAGTGGAAAAATTCCAGAAAAATCATTTTGTGATTAATGAAAAAGTTAAGAATCTCTTATTTTCATCTCCATTCCTAATACTCAGACATTTTCTCTTTTTAAAACCAGATAACAATTATTTGGCCCAACACACAGGTGTCCGATTTTGGGCCCAATTTTTTCTTTCATTCTCAAACCAATTAGCAGCCGCCACGTACTTTACTCCTCCTAAGCAGCGGTTTTTAATTAAGTACTCCTAAGACCGGTTCTTCAGCTTTAAACCTTTTTTCATTTATTTAATGCCCATTAATTTTGTAAGAACCCCATTCAGATTTAGTGATTTAGAGCATGTCCATCAGGGGTTCTTCAAGAGTTCATGGTACAGTTTTTAAGACGAAATTCAATAAAATAATAATTTTAAAGGTAGAAGTTCATGACTCAGGTTCTTCCCGACGAATCTGAAGAATCCAAGTTCATCACACGTGGAACATCCTGATTGGTCTAAAAAAATAATTTTTAAATTTAAAAAAATAAAAAATAAAATCCAAAAAAAAATATTATTATATTCGGATGAACCTCTTTCTCAGAAGTTCACTGATGGACATGGTCTTATGGATGGAGGTGGTCTGACATCATGCTCGTTTTTTACCTTCTTTTGTAACTTCGTTATATTAAAAGTAAATGTATCATATGACCTTGTTACTATTTATAATTAGATAAATTAAATGGGAAAAACAACTATTCAAACACTGTACATTTTTCAATAATACAATCATACTCCTATTTAGTTATTCCTTTAACTCTCTCTCTCACATATCTTTTTCCCTCCCTCACTAAAATTCGAAGCCTACAGCGACGAACACTCTCTCTCTCTCACCTATTTCTTTTTCTCCCTCACTACAATTTGAAGCATAGACAGCGATGAAAATTATAATTTATTATTGTTTTTTTTGCTCAAATGTTTCAATACGTACCTGCTCAGATTTTGTTCTCTGTGCTCTAATGGTAGAAATTATTGATTTTTTTAAGTTCTGCAAACCGGATCGAATTTTGCTCTAGATCTGTCAAGATTCATCACAAATCATGACAATGTTTCCAGAGGACGACTCGATACAAATCTGCGAGGTGTGGAACGAGAATCTTGAATTAGAGATGGCACTGATTCAAGAAGTCGTCGACGATTTCTCTTTCGTCGCCATGGACATTGATTCTAGGCAGATGTTTTAGTGCAATATATAAGTTGTTAACATGTTAAATTTATTTGTATCGCGTTAAACAAATTAATATCATACTTTAAAGTAACCTAGATAGCTGCAAATGTATTTGCTCTAAAACGTAAATATCTGCCAATGTCTTACCTCTAACTAAGTTTCAATGTTTTGAAAATAAATAACATGTTAGCGAATACAAATATTATGTTAGAGATGATAAATAAATTGTTAACGGATAAAAATAGTATATTAGAAACGTTAAATATATTATTAACGAATACAAATTTAGTGTTAGCAAGATAACATATCTTTTATTGATGTAAACTTAGTATTAGTAAGATAACATAACATTTATCATATTAATAAAGTATGTAGTATGATAATAAGTTATGTAGTTGTATAATTTATATGTTAACGAAATAAAAATGATGAAAGAGAAACTCCATACGGGAAAAAGACTCTTAACAAAAGAAAGAGGGGTTAAAAAGTAATAACACTTTCAAAGTGTTCGACAACTGTTTTATCAATTTACTGTTTTTCTCATTTACTTAATTTTGACTAGGGAAAAAAAAAAAAAAAACTTAATTTTGACCAGAATGTAGAATTTCTAGCAAATTGTCTCTTATATTTAAAGGAAATACATTTTATAATTAACGAGGATCCATATGCTATATCACGAGATATTATCAGTGGAGAAATGTACTATTAAGAACTAAGAAGAAAAAAAAATCATTCAAAGTAGAATAAATTAAAATTCTCACCAGGAAAAATACGCCCACCTTATTATATTTGATATGAATATGAGGTGTACACGTTAGTCTAAGCACAAGCTATATCCCAGTGGATACAACAATTCTATTGTTAAGAAGCTTGTAACGAGGCCCCATGGTCATGCCCTGGAGGCTTTCAAGGGTTTTAGAGCATGAATATCAGGGGTGGTTTGTTAAGTGTTTTAAGCCCGAAAAAAAAAAACTCAATTTTTTTTAGAAACGTATGTTATTTCATGACAGTAGGAGACGTCTTTTAATGGATAGGTGAAGGTTTCTGATTGGGTGGAAAATTATCAACTAAAAATGTTTGTGGCTTTGGAAGTTTCTCGGAGAAAAACAAACCTCACACATGGATCTTTTTGATAAACATAAAAAAGAACATAAATCTTTTTGTGGATCTCTTAATTTAATTTTATTAATATAATAATTAATAAGAGACCTCCATGAGTCTCTCGGCTAAAGCATCTATTTGAAGGATTCTGGTTTTTTTTTCTTTTTCTTAAAAGGTTTTGGATTTTTTGTTTGTAAGCTTTAAGCAGCTAGGCACTCTTGTGAAAGACCTCATGGGAACCTCTTAGCGTCCGTACAGTAACTGTAGATCATGTACTTTGCAACCCACCCGTGGAGTCTCGCACAAAATCTATCCAAAAAAAAAAAACAAAATTGAAGGTTGAGAGAGTGGTTGGACGACCATTTGCTGATGTAGATTAAGGAGTTGGTCCACGAATATAAGAAACTGATTCAAGTTATCTTGATTGGATTGTTTGTTTTCAGTTTACGGTCGTTGATCTTTGTTTTTGGTATAAATAATCAATACAGTCAGACCTTTATTTATCTGCTTTTTGTATCTGATTTTTGTATTTGATGTTTCTACTATGGCCGTGGGAGCCTTTTTCATAAAACATAGTTTTCTAGTTTACTAGAAAAAAAAAACTCTGTTTCATCAACTTTTGAAGGCTGTAGGTATTGTTCAACTTTTAAACTAATGAATTGTAAAATTCATAATATGAGAGAGTAGGAAGCAAGTTAACTTTGTTTGCAATAAATACTAAACTTTCATTGATTACCCAGTTGTTTATTGCTATTAATTTGCAATTCCTATAGAAAAATTAACGAGATAAGAAAGTATTAAAAGACTGGTCAAATATTTCCATTCCAATAAACGATTCATCTTTAGGCTCATCTTAAGAAAGTACTAAAAGGACTCATCTTAAGAGTAATACTTTGTGGGATCTTAAAGAGACTGAACAATAAGATTAATATAGGTAACCACCAGCCACTACTAGTCATCAACTGATAAACTTCCTTGGAAGAAACATAGGACTCTCTATATGATCCAGGAAGGTTATCCTATGAATACAGCGATCTCCACTTCTTTCAAGGTCAACTCTTCTAGCCTTGTCTTCTTTGGGATTGTAATAGAGAAGAGAAAACTGGTAGGGGTTATCGCGTGGTTCAATTATTAGCTCGCCTGTACTAATAGTACCCCTGCAACGCATTTTGTCTTCCCAAGGCCAACGTAAAACATTGAAACGAAATTTGGCATTCCCTTCTGAATCTTCCCAACAAGGAACCACGAAAGAAATTTGTGTCCACTCTTGTTTGTTGACATCCATCAGAACCCACAAGTCGAATTTAGGACTAGGTGAATGATTTGCTAAGGCGATTTTTCCGTTGTAGCTCACCAAATCAGACTCAGGAGGATATCCACTAACGTGGACACCTTCTGGTAATGTAATAAGACTAAACTCTTCAAGTCTCAAATCAAAGCTCACTAGTACATATCTGTCGCCAATGTCGGGGCAAGCTCCATAATAAATAACCCCATTCTGACATATACCTTGAGTTAAAGCGTAATAGGGATACTTACATTCGATCGTTCTCCACGATTCTTGAGCTCCTAAAGTGAGGACTTGACACCTTTGACCTTGATATCCATGTTTATCTTGAAGTACAACAATCATGGAAAGGACTTTGTATAGATCATCAACCGGATCATATCCAAGAAAGATTCCATTGAGCCACGATCTTTCGACTTTAGGTAAAGTTAAGAACTGACCCGTGCTAGGATTGCCAATGGCCGCATTAGAATCATGATCTCTACAACAGATCAAGCCACGGACTGGTGGTGAAATTTGATACCCTGGAAGAGTAATACTATGAACAAAAGAAGGATTCTCCAGAGAGGAATAGTGAGAGAGCCTCGTGTCAAAACAGTAGCGATGGAAAAGAAGACGCGGCCGAGTGGAAGATCGAGTGAGGTACAAGTCAGTGAAATACTTCCCTTGGATTATAGATGACCAGAGTTTTGAAACGCAGATGAGCTTGGACAACGATCTCGGAGGTAGTTTCGTAAGAATCTCTATTATCAGCTCCACGGGAAGAGAAATGAAGTCTTTATCATCTCTTTCCTTTGACTTCATAAGATACTGAGAACTGTTGTTCCTGATCGCCTCCTTCTTTCGAACCACCCTTTTCATGCTGGTTAGTGATTCCTCTCCCCCTCTCTTTTTTTTTTCCTCTCAAACCCTAATTTCTTTACAAACGAAAACCCTAATTTCTTTCCATGGGGCTGGAATATATAGACTTTTAAAACCCTTCCTTTGTAGTGTGTTGAAAAATCACACGTTGACATAAATACTCCTCTTCAATTTTTATTTCGTTTTATTATTTCATAAATAATCTCAATTGGTTCAGCAATTTGGTGTAACGTGTTATATGATTCGTAAGAACTATCGTCGAATTAAAAACAAAAATTTTATCGGTTTTAAGTACATTTGCTTTCAGAAAATGATGTTCACTAATTACAACAAAATGAAATACTATATCGCTATTTTGTTTTGAATATAATGTTAAATTAAAATTTTTAAAAAATATTTTTGTTACATCATGTTTCTCGTTGAGATTGAGTTTTTGAAAATAATAAGAAAACTAAACAACTTCACCGCCTAGAAGCAAACCAAAATAAATAAATAAATGAAACAAATAAAAATGAAAATACTATCGCTATCTAACAATATATAAAATAAAAATTAAAAAAATTGTTGTTGATTCATTGTTAGAGGTTGGACGACCACGTCCTTTTGTTCAAACCTTCTTGGATCATGTAGAAAAACTTTTGCTGATGTAGATTAAGGAGTTGGTCCACTGATTATCAGAAACTGATTTAAGTAGTAGTCTTAATGGGATTGTTTGTTTTCATTTTTTACTCTCGTTAATCTTTGTTTTTCGTAAATTATTCAATCAGGTCAGACCTTTATTTATCTGCTTTTTGTATTTAATGTTTCTATGTGTTCTACGGACATGGGAGCCTTTCTTTTATAAAATATAGTTTTGAGTCTAGATATTTTTGGTTTTATCTGGTGAGGTTGAATTGGTTGTATATATATATATATAGTAAGAGCAGAGAGGGTAAGAGAGGAAGGGTGGGTTCGGAGGATGGGTTTGGTACAGACTGAAGACAAAAGGCGCATTTTGATTGGGACAGGTGGAAGATGGAAACCACCACAAAAACTTGTGAATGATCGAAAGCATGGCCATTAAGATGGTCTAGACACTGCCTCAGCTTGAAAATCTGACGCCAAAATATACATGGAATAATAAAAATACCCAGTTGCATGATTAGAGAATATCTAGATGCTAATTAAACTCGAGAAAGCGAAACATATAGTGGTAACCATAATCGAACATGTAAGCCACTTCTAGTTGACATTCTCAAATTGCACTAGTCATAATTAACAATCACGTAATAAAAACATATATATATATATATATATATATATATATATATATATAATCACCCCATACCACCATCCAAAAGAAAATCTTTGTAGCCACTCCACCAAAGAAATGGCGACCACAACATCAACCCTAGGCATAGTCTTCGCAGCTGCCCTTCTCTTGGTAGCCATCCAGGCCGTGAACGCAGACTATTACCGTCCACGGCTACCTACACTCGCGAGCCCTCCTCCCTATGTTGCAAATCCGAAGCCGCTCCCAAGTCCCAGCCCCAAACCTATCGTCTATCATCCTCATCCTACCTACCAGCCACCGACGGGCTCGTTTGAACATCAATTTCTTGATCCGCATAACTCTGTTCGGACCAGCTTAGGTTTTTATTTTCATATAATAAATAAAACATCACAGACGGCCATTTTTTATGATATAAAGTTATTATGTGTGGAATAAAATTAAAGTATTCGTAGTGTTAATCATTTGACTAATTTTACCCCATGCAGGTTTGTCTCCATTGGTGTGGGACGACAAGATCGCGAGCTATGCAACATGGTGGGCTGACCAGAGGCGGTATGACTGCTCCCTAACCCACTCGACCGGTCCATACGGTGAGAACTTATTTTGGGGAAGTGGCTCCGACTGGACACCAACTTTCGCAGTGGAGTCATGGACCGTGGAGGCTAAGTCCTACAATTACATGACCAACACATGTGAAGGCGGTATGTGCGGTCACTACACTCAGATTGTGTGGCGCGACACCAAGAGGCTAGGTTGCGCTCGAGTTGTCTGCGAGAATGGTGCAGGAGTTTTCATCACTTGCAACTACGACCCACCGGGTAACTACGTTGGAGAGAATCCTTACTAACTTTGTCTAACACTTTGGTTTTATAATAAAGTCGTTGGTGATTTCTTAATCAATATTTTAGTTCTTCGTGATTTTAATTTCTCTTAAAATTTATCAACGTATGGATCTTATTTATCAACGTATAAATCTTATGTTGGTGATTTTAAGAGCATTTTGTTGTTCCTACTTTTATTAATTTTGTAATGGCCAAGTCCACAAATTATATATTTTCATGGTATACAAAGACATTCCATAGTTCCATTCAATTTCTAGATCAAATACTACATACAATTTATTGGCCTATGTAAATCATCCCAAATTAATATGTGGCACTCATTCTCGGATAGATTGACACAACTACGATAATTGACCAGAAAAATTAATCATCTATTGAATAAAGATTTGATTATTTCATAGGAAAGCTTTTATATATTAGGTATCATTAGAGGACTGAGGAAGCAAAGGACCGGAAGATTGTGAATGTAAACGGGCATCAAAAGAAACATGTAGGAGATAAATGAAATTTAAACACAAACCAATTTTTTAACCGATTTGGAATATCTAAAAACCATATTATCTTTCATAAATTTTTGTATGTTGGGCATTCTTACGGATATATATAAATAACCGTAAATGCAATTACAACCATCATGTAAAATAACCAGTATCACAATCCCCACAAAACATCTATTTTTCTAGTAAAATACACAACAATACATCCACCTAACTTCCTTTAAAAGTCATAACAACTTCTAAAAATAAGATCAACGAGAATTATATATAGTAGATGAATGATGGATCAATAAGGTTTCTGGCCGATGTAGTTACCAGGAGGATCATAGTTACAAGTCATGAAGATCCCACCATTGTTGCACACCACACGTGCGCATCCGACCCTCCTCGTGTTCTTCCACACGATCTGTGTGTAATGGCCACACATCTGCCCAGGGTCGCACGTGTTAGAGCCGTAATGATAAAACCTCTTCTCACTGGCCCACGCAACCACTGCATCGGCCGGAGACCAGTTGGCGCCGTATCCCCAGTAGATGTTCTCGCCGAGGGTAAACTCTCCGTTTTGGAAAGAGTGTCTCAAAGCACAATCCGACCTTCTTTGATTAGCCCAGTTTTGAGCGTAGTTCTGGAGTCTGCGGTCCCATATCAAAGGAGGTTCGAATCTTGCGGCCCGGACCAAGTTGTGTCGGAACAAGAACTGTAACGAATCGTGGTCACATCCCGGACACAAATTCTTACAGATTTGGAATATTTGACCGAGTGTTGCAGCTTTGGTTGTTGATATAGAAACGAAGAGATTTATGGCACCTAAGAGTAATATTACTCGTAAATAGGATGAGTTCATCCTCTTCTTTTTTTTTTTTGGAGATTTTATTGTCTTTTGGGTGCTAATGGTTTTCAGAGGTTCAAGTGTGGTATTTAAATATAGAGGAAACATAAAAGGAAAAGATAAATTTGTTTTGGAATTGTATGGATACAAATTTGAGTTTTTTTTTAGCGGGTCTGTCTATTTTTCAACCGCGTAACGTGGATAACCGATGTAATGATTGTAAATTTGGGGGAAAAAAAAGATATTTGAGTTGAGGATAAATATGGGTTGTATATATTATTGGAGAGGGATATGATAATGTAGATGATATGATTGTGTTATGTATGTGTTGTCCCGTGAACGTTAATGTTGTCCGTATTGGATAAAGGGTAATGATGGGTTGTCACTTGAACTTAAACACTTTAGTATGTCAACATGCCAGCCTATTTTTGCACTCACAAGTCACTACATTATTTCAGTGAGAACTATATGAATCTACACGTCTATATTTGTTTTTTTTTGTGTGTGTGTGTGTTCACTTTATCAGTCTATATTTTATATCACACATTTCACTGCAATAGAGGTGAAAGTGAACATTCTACGGTCAAATTGCCTTTGTTCAGTTGATCTCTGCTTGTAATTAGACCAATCGACATGTTTTCCCAAATCTCTAAGCACACATATTAGCTATATGAGTATTAAACTTATGTCACATCTTAATTTGAGTAGGTCAAGTTTTCAGTCAAGCCCCTCTTCAAGCGATTTCTTAAACTTTTATACGTTCATTCTTCTTTAGAGACTTCTTGGTTTGGCCTATAATCATCGGCATTTGTTTTTGCAATCACGTTTTACATAGTCTTTTCATTCGTATTTTACTTTATTCAGTGTCATTGTCTACAAATACTTAAAAATATGTGATGATGACATGTGTGCATTTACTTCTCTCTTTTTAAAAAAAATTGTTTCTGGAATATGTCAATTGTGTCTGTTGTAATCGACGTTAAATATTATGTCCGTAATTGACGTCAAAATACTTATAATTGACGTCAATAATGAACCTAATCTAAATTTTTTAAAAATTGATCTAAATCCTAAATTTATTTGAGAGAAAACAATTTTGATTAAATTTAAAAACACACCGAAAATTAAAACCATACCAAATCATTAATATTAGATTTGTTATAACACATATTATATATGGACTCTTATACCGGCCCATTAGGCCCATTAGGGCATTGTACTTAACCTAGATTCCCTATGTATTCTATATATACATTCCAGTGATTAATAAAGTTTCTAAGAAGTTTTCACAACACGTTATCAGCACGATAAGACTCTCTGAGCGAAAAACCCTAATAAATCCGGCCACCACCAAAACCCTAAAAGCAAGTCGAAACTTAAAAGACGCATATCTTCCAAACCGTGAGGAACCAGAAGACGATCTACATATCAAATCAAAGCCCTCGACGAGACGAATCTACTGGTGAAAACCGTTTGTCGATCCAAAGTCGGACGCGCCCTCACGCACACTTACAGTACACGACGATCAACCGAAAAAAAAAAACCAGATCCGAGTTTTTCCTTCTTCAACCAGCAGCTTCTCCAGTTTTGGTGATCAATCCTTGTAATTTGTAGCGGCTAACTGAGGTCTATTAGCTCCCAGTTTCATTAGCCTGTCAGAAATCCAAAGGTGGAAAAGCACACCAGCAAATGGAAACCATAGTCGTAGATAGTGGATCCAGCCACACTATCTTAAGAAACAAAAGTTACTTCATAAACCTAACCTATCAAACCGCAAATATTAGCACCATCGCGGGCCCCTCAAACCTTATCGAAGGATATGGCCATGCCTATGTGTTGCTATCAAATGGCACACAACTTGAAATACCAGATGCTCTATATTCTCCTAGTTCGAAGAGAAATCTTCTGAGCTTCAAGGATATAAGACAGAATGGTTTCCACATAGAAACCCAAGGTCAAGGGAACAAAGAATCCCTCCTAGTCACTAAAACCGTAGACGGCCATAAACAAATCCTCGAAACCATACCCGCGCTCTCTACTGGACTTTACCATGCTAAAGTCAGTATGATTGAAGCTAATACCACTCTCAAAGCCCGGTTTACTGATTATACTATTTGGCACGACCGGCTCGGTCATCCCGGTGCAAATATGATGCGTAAACTAATTCAAAACTCTCAAGGGCATACCCTCAAAGAAAACCGAGCTTATCCTCAACACCTCATGTGCACAGCTTGTTCTCAAGGCAAATTGATCACTCGGCCTTCACCAGTTAAAATCTCTAAACAAACACTTCATTTCCTAGAAAGAATCCAGGGCGATATCTGTGGACCTATACATCCATCTTCCGGACCATTCCGGTACTTCATGGTCCTTATATACGCATCGACCCGTTGGTCATATGTTTGTCTCTTGTCCTCTCGGAACCAAGCCTTCGCTAGGTTCTTGGCCCAAATCATAAAATTGCGGGCCCATTTCCCTGACTTCCCACTAAAGACTATCCGCCTTGACAATGCTGGTGAATTTACCTCACAAGCGTTTAATGACTACTGTATGGCCATGGGGGTAACCGTGGAACATCCTGTAGCACATGTCCATACTCAAAATGGATTGGCTGAATCATTCATTAAACGCATTCAATGGATAGCCCGACCATTACTCATGAGATCAAAGCTCCCGGCCTCAGCATGGGGACATGCAGTATTACATGCTGCTGAACTCATACGCATCCGGCCATCTAGTGAACACAAATATTCCCCATCCCAACTACTCTCGGGTCATGAGCTAGACATCTCCCATCTCAAAACATTTGGGTGTTCAGTATATGTACCCATTGCTCCACCACATCGAACCAAAATGGGACCTCAAAGAAGGATGGGAATATATGTTGGTTTTGACTCTCCCACCATCATAAGATATCTCGAGCCAACCACTGGAGATCTCTTCAAGGCCAGATATGCGGATTGCCAATTCGATGAATCGGTATATCCCTCTTTAGGTGGTGAGACAAACAAGCTGGTCAAAGATCTTTCATGGAATCAAACATCATTAAATTGGCAAGATCCTCGGACTCTAGAATGTGATTCAGAGATCCAAAAGATTATTCATTATCAAAAGCTAGCTAATCAATTGCCAGATTCCTTTGCTGACCCGACCAAAGTAACCAAATCGTACATCCCAGCTTGTAATGCACCAGTACGAATAGCTGTCCCAACGGGACAGACCCAAGTTGCTACAGAGTCTGCACCACGTCTCAAACGGGGCAGACCTCTCGGTTCCAAAGATAAGAATCCCCGGAAATCAAAGAAAGGTGCAATAACCGAAACCGGGATTCCTGCAATATCAGACATAGCCGCGGCTGAGACTCAATCTAATAAACCCTCAATGGAAGTTCGGGACGCCGAATCTCCAGGTTCAGAAGATAACAATGAGATCTCCATCAATTACAATATGTCCGGAATACAATGGAATCGAAAAAAAGTCGACTTAAATGCACTCTTTGCATACAAAGTAGCACTTGATGTTGCGCTCACGCAAGAGGATCTAGAACCCACGTCAATAACACAGTGTACACATCGAACAGATTGGCTAAAATGGAAAGAAGCCATAAACGTGGAGTTAAAGAGTCTCAAACTCAGAAACGTGTTCGGTCCGATCATCCGGACCCCATCACACATCAAGCCAGTGGGCCACAAATGGGTCTTTGTGCGCAAAAGGAACGAACTCGGTGAAGTCGTTCGATACAAAGCACGGCTTGTAGCACAAGGATTCTCACAGAGACCCGGAATCGATTATGAGGAGACTTATTCTCCAGTGGTGGATGCAACAACATTCCGATTCCTCATAAGTCTGGCCATAAGAGAAAATCTTGATCTGCGGTTAATGGATGTTGTAACCGCATATCTCTATGGGCCCCTGGACAACGAAATATATATGAGACTCCCAGATGGCATTGAACTAAAAGACAAAAATGCATCTCGAGATCAATACTGCATCAGGCTGAACAAATCCTTGTATGGACTGAAACAAAGTGGGCGTATGTGGTACAACCGCCTCAGCGATTACCTCATCAAAGAAGGCTACCAAAATGACCCCATCAGTCCATGCATCTTCATCAAGAAGTACTCAAACAAAGGATTTGTAATCAGCAGTATACGTGGATGATCTAAACATCCTCGGAACATCTGGTGAGATCTCCCAAACAGTCGACTGCTTAAAAGCAGAATTCGAAATGAAAGACCTAGGCAAAACAAAGTACTGTTTGGGATTACAACTTGAGTACATCAAAGGAGGAATCCTTGTGCATCAATCGGCTTATATCGAAAAGGTACTCAAGCGATTTAATATGGACCAAGCTCACCCATTGACCAGCCCAATGGTAGTTAGAAGCTTAAGTGATGACCCTCTTGGTCCCAAAAAGGATGATGAAGAAATCCTTGGTCCTGAAAAGCCATACCTCAGTGCTGTAGGAGCGTTAATGTACCTGGCTAGTCACACTAGACCAGACATATGTTTCGCCGTGAACCTCCTCGCTCGATATAGTTCATCCCCAACTCAGAGGCACTGGAACGGTATAAAACATCTCCTAAGATACCTTCGAGGTACTCAAGACTTAGGACTCTTCTATACTAACCAAAATAAAGATGGGTTAGTCGGCTTCGCCGATGCAGGATATCTATCAGATCCGCACACTGCCAAGTCTCAAACTGGCTACGTTTTTACGCATGGAGAAACAGCCATCTCTTGGAGATCAATGAAGCAGACACTCACTGCCACTTCATCAAACCATGCTGAAATCCTAGCCATTCATGAGGCTAGTAGGGAATGCGTCTGGCTGCGCTCCATGACTCAGCACATCCGCAGAGATTGTGGTATGGACGAAGACACACAGCCCACGATGATGTATGAAGACAACGCGGCATGCATAGCTCAGCTCAATGAAGGATATATCAAAGGAGATCGGACGAAGCACATTCTACCGAAGTTCTTCTCAACCTCAGACTGGCAGAAGGACGGCACTCTCAGCGTTCAGCAGGTCCGATCCAGTGAGAATTCAGCTGACCTCTTCACCAAATCATTGCCTACTTCAACACACTGGAAGCTCGTCAAACAGATAGGAATGTATAGACTTAGAGATCTGCAGTGATGCTACAATCAGGGGGAGTAATGCGTGTTGTACTCTTTTTCCTTCACCATGGTTTTGTCCCACTGGGTTTTTCCTGGTAAGGTTTTAATGAGGCAACATTCCCCAACGCATTATCGAGATCCCGATTGAGTAGCTGACCCGGTTCACTCGTCCAAGAGGGAGTGTTATAACACATATCATATATGGACTCTTATACCGGCCCATTAGGCCCATTAGGGCATGGTACTTAACCTAGATTCCCTATGTATTCTATATATACATTCCAGTGATTAATAAAGTTTCTAAGAAGTTTTCACAACAATATTATGTTTTACTTGGTACTATTATTATTTATGAACCAAATATCTTTAAATAAGTTATAAAAAAAAAAAAAAACACTCACAAGACTACCAAACAAAAAAAAAAAACAGGACTGAGTATAACTTTGACTAAGCATTTCCAGGTGGCACGGTTACGGTTTCTTAGCGCCTCCGCAAATGTAAACGATTCTCCGCCGGGAAAGTTGAGCGACTTGTCACTTCGGTAATCAGAAAGCTTTACTTCCACATGATCGCCTCCTCCTTCAGATTTCAAATCTCGATCCCCGATTCGATTCCGTCTTCACATCGATTTCTTCTGCCTAGTCAACACCAGTTCCGGTTCGGTTTATTCCTTCGGTTTCGCGCTCAACCGGATCAAATGGAGTGGATGAACCGCCTTGGAATGGGTTGTTTTGCGGCGAATCGGAGCAAAAGGGAGCTTAAGACGGAGATCGACAGCGGCGGAGAGGATTTGTTCGACGCGGCTGCCATGGAGTCTGCAGAGAAACCGGATCATTTGGTCGTCATGGTGAACGGTATCATTGGAAGGTAGATTAACTTTTAAGAATTTCAGATTACTATATTATTATGGGTTAATGACTTTGCTTTGGATCATGATTTAGTTCGGCGGATTGGAAATATGCGGCGGAGCAGTTCGTGAAGAAGTTCCCGGACAAAGTACTCGTGCACCGTGAGTGTTTTTCTTTTTAACCTATAGAGATTGTGGTTATGAAATTTCGTCCTGGATAGTTTCATTGTACTCTGTATTTCAGGATAGCATCTGAAAATTATAGTATGTTGAATTATCGATGAAATTGATCAATTATACCATAAGCAGGTAGTGAGAGTAATAGTGCAACGATGACATTTGATGGTGTGGATATGATGGGTGAAAGGCTAGCTAGTGAGGTATTATTTGCCACCAATTGTTTTCTCTTCTCTGCAACTTGAAATTAGCTTAATTTGCTTGGTGATTTTGTTATTATTGGTCTTGAAATCTTTTGCAGGTTTTGTCTGTTATTAAGAACAGAAGTGGGCTGAGGAAGATTTCATTTGTGGCTCATTCATTAGGAGGTCTTGTTGCTAGATATGCCATAGGGAAGCTCTATGAACAGCTCGGGGAAGCAAACTCTTTGGAGTCTCCTTCAAAGGCCAAGAGCGTGACAGGCGGCGAAATTGCTGGGTTAGAACCTATGAACTTTATAACTTTCGCAACGCCTCATCTTGGTTCAAGGGGACATAGACAGGTGAATGTGATGTTTTAGATTGCATGTCTAGGTCGAGATGTTTTTCTGTAAGGTTTGCAAATTATAGATCATATGTTTCAGTGTGTGACATGCTTACTCTTGTCTTCCTTGGTTCAGTTTCCAATTCTTTGTGGCCTTCCGTTTCTTGAAAGAACAGCTTCCCAAACTGCACACTTAGCTGCTGGGAGGACTGGAAAGCATTTGTTTCTTGTGGACAACGATGATGGACACCCTCCACTTCTGATCCGGATGGCTACAGATTCTGATAACTTAAAGTTCATGTAAATGCTTCCACCTCTGTGTGTTTTCATTGGTGAGATTTACACTACTCATTTCTTCTTATGACCTCAACAGATCAGCTTTACATGCCTTCAAGCGTCGCGTGGCATATGCAAACGTCAATTTCGATTGTATCCTTCCCTAAAAGAGCTTTTTTTAGAAGTAACTGTCAGTGGTTTTTTCACATTTCTTTCAACTTAAATGTTTGCCTTAACTAAGGACAAAGACATGGTTGGATGGAGGACGTCTTCAATTCGCCGTCCAAATGAGCTCCCAAAGGTATGCATTTACTTGTTACACTTACAGCTTATTCTATGCACAATCTGTAATGACCTCAAGAATTTATCAGTAACCCTTATCCATTGTCATCTTCCAGCCAAATCTTCTAGCAACTGATCCAAATTATCCACACATTGTATACGTAGAACATGGAAATGTGGACAATGGTAGTTGCCAGATAACTTCTACAGCAGTAACTGATGAAAACACTGATCTTGAAGGTTTGCTCCATTTTTCACTTGATTATATTTTTTCGAGACTTGCTAGATATAACAATACCTCTATCAGATTCTCTGGACGTGGGTTGATTCTCACATTACTATCTTTAAGCAATTAAGCCCATTGGTCTTCTTTATATCCGTAACATCACAAACTTCACGCTGTTATTGTTGTTTTTTCTGTGGAATATAGAGGAAATGATACACGGACTCGCTCAACTATCTTGGGAACGAGTAGATGTAAGCTTTCACAATAGCAAGCAACGATACGTGGCTCATAATACCATTCAGGCAAGTTTTATAATATGCACTCTAAACTCATTAGTGATTCTTTTAGCAGAAAATTTACAGAATGGTTTTGTAATGTGTAGGTGAAGACATATTGGTTACATTCTGATGGTAAAGATGTTGTCTTCCACATGATGGATCATTTCTGTCTCTAGCCCCTGAACATTTTCAACCAACTCCAGGGTTTCAACCGCTGCAATTAGTCAGCAATGTAAGATGGGGACAAGCATTACAAACATCTTTTTGTTTTTGGTTATATATATCGTATGATGCTTGATGCGATACGTTATGGTTATTTGAAATGTATTTTATTCGGTTTGAAAGATGAATCTGTACAGATCTACTCGGTCTTTGTAAATCTTTTCATCCTTCTTTGTTATATAACCCATCCTGTATGAAAAGTTATTTTCTTGATTTAGATTGAGCTTTGTTAACAGATCTCCTTTTAGAATTATCAAATTTGAATATGGTCTAGCAGCCAGAACTCATTTTTGGAGAGTTTTAAAATGTTTAGAGAATTATATTTTGAGGTCAGAGACATCAAATTCTGTTTTGTTCTATAAGATTTGGCGCTAATCCTGATATTCTTAGATAACATTAGACATTTTGTTACTAGTTGATATGTCTCGTTGGCATATCCGATGATTTCACAAGATTGAATACGGACTTGTCACTTTTCCTTTTTTGACATCAACAAACTATATACAAGTACTAAACTATACACAAACTATAGAGGAGTATTTACAATCGAATAGGACTTTTCACAATTATTGTTGCTTTTTCAGTTGTATATGCATTCTTTTGGGATCTTTTGTTTCATATGTTCACATAAACATAGAAGGAAATATTGGAAAAGGAAATGACCTACACACATGACACAATCACTGACCAATTGCCCCATATACACTTTTTTTTATAACATCGCCCTATACACACTAAAACAGCCACACATTCAATTAGTCGCTGTAGTCATTCACTATTCACGTTGTACTGATCATCCAAAAGATAATAATATATTTTTTTTGTCCAACGATAACATAGGGCTTCTTCATTTCAGTGAATGATATAAAGATAAGTGCATATGCCGAAAAAGAAGAAAATGTATCTTTGGTGCTATTTTTTTCTTTTATAAAAACTTGATGATATAGTTATTATCAATATGATTAGAAATTTGGGAGTAAAGGTGCAAAGAGAATGATTTACAACTTCGTCTCGCCGCAACGGCGACGCCAAACGGCCAAAGGATCAAGAACATCAAAATATTCGGCACGTGCCGTTGTTGCTAGTTAGTAGTTCCCTTCAATATTTCCCATCTCATAAGTACTACTAATTACTTAAGCATCAACTATAATATTGGTAGTTGTTGCTAGCTAATCATCTATTCAAAATGCTCAAAATAATATCCAAATTCCATACGAACTGTATACACATCGTATAGTCAGACAAAAATAATTAAATAAAACCCACTTTTAATACCCCGTCTGCTCCTCCAAGGTCCGGATAATTATGACCAGACCCGGTCGGACCCGGTTAACAAATTCAGAGTCCATAATGATTGCTCTGTTTTCAAGTTCCGGTGCTATTCCGCACCACCTTATCACTAACTACACTCATCTTCCATATGATCTCTGCAAGTACAGCTTTGTTCAGACCGATTCGCCGGCGTCGCCAGGTAAGTGGGTTTGACATCGCCGGCCATGATGACGAGAAACTTCTCCGGCTTGTTCTTGAGAGTGTCATCGTCGGGTTTGGCATCATCTCCGGCCTCGAGATCTCTCTCAGGCGAGGCAGAGAGTCGCCAGTAGGAACAAGCGAGGATGAGAAGAGAGAAGGCGATGAGAGCCAACATGGCGGCCAAACCACCGAAGAGATAAGGAACCGGAGAGTGCCACGGCGAGTGAGGCACCACCATGGAAGAGCTATGATTGTTTCCTTCCGCGTTTTGGTAATATTGTCTTCCTTCCATTGTCTGCATGTGTTTCTCACCGTGAAGTATATGAATGGTTTTTTTTTATTTATTAATAAATTGGTGGCAGAAGAGATTGTGTTTTGTGAGGCGCATTTATAGCAGAGAGTAAAGGAATTTGTTTAACGAACTGATGACGTTTAACAAACAATACATGAATGAATGTATACTGTGTCTCCATCTCTAGTACTTTAATAAAGTCTTAATTTTAATGGTAGATTTAATTAATACTCTTTAAAATTCCAATAATGGGTTGAGGTTAAAGTGAAAAATTATTTAAAAAATCTTGTTGTGGGTTCAAAAAATCAAGCTCAACCAGTTCAAAAAAAAAAAAAAAAGAAGAGGATTAACCAGATTCTAAGTTCAAATCCAGAACAATCGAAGATTTACATGTGCTGATATTTAGTTTAAAACTAGTACTGGATTGTAACAGCAAAATGTTTTATAGTTACCAAAAAAATTGAAATTCGTTGTCAAGAAACGTAACTTAGATTCAAATCAATGGATATTCTAGTAATTTGTGTTAATTATTCTAGTAAATTCTATTAAATTCAAATCAATTGATATGTATTTTGAATCTAAGTTACGTATATACATATATTACTAAAAAATCTCGTTTAATGTGGAGTTTCTGACAATATATAAAAACATAAAAATATACTCGTTGTAAAATGAAATGATAGAATGAGTAGGGTAATTGGAGGATTTGGTTCTCATCGTCAGCTTCCACCATGTCTAAGGACAAACTGATATTCTGTTAGTTTCCAATCACTTCCCTTACGTTCCCCATTTCCACATTCTTCCTCTTTTCTTCTTATGTTCTTTCATTTATCATTTATAATATCTATTTCTATACTATTATTTAATGTGTCCACTAGTACGTAATATTATTATGTTTAGCAATAATATATCATTTAGTCGAGTAAAAAAATAAATTCTACGGCAAAGCTTTTTTAAAGCATCCAAGCAAACAATATTGAAAGATTATTATTCGAACCTAATTAATCTGCCTCTCTTACATTAATCTATTGAGATAAATTAATTATCATTTTCTTTCTTTCTTTTTTTTGGTAATCATTTTCATTTCTTCCATTATATTTTGTATATACTAGGTGAATACCCGCACATTACGTGCAGGTTTTTATTTTCAATTTTTTCAATTTTTTTTTATACTTTTATAAAAATTAATATAATCATCACATGTTATTTACTTACTTGTTCATATTTTATTCAAAAAAAATTTGAAATATTAAATATTATTTAATAATTTAGAGTTATATTAAAATTAATAAATATCATCAATATTTTAATTAGTTATAACATAAAACATTTACATAAATATTAATTAATAGTCAATTAATAAAAAAAATTAAATTAATAAAATCATCATTTCATTTGTTACATGTTAGTATTTTATTATAAATAATTTTTAAAAAATAATTTAAAATATATATTGAATATTATTAAGTAATTTACAGTTATATAAAAATTAAATACATATCTATAAATATTTTTAATTAGTTATAACATAAATTTTTGTATAACATTAATATACATATTAGTTAAAAGTTAATTAATAAAACAAACTTTTCATATTCTTTAAATGCTTTAAAATTTAATATTAAATTTTTATTAATTAAAATTTAAGTGACATGTGTCAATTTCTCCAATATTGATGTGTCAAGCATATGGAGAAAGTTGAGCAATTTTTATATATAAGATATGGAACAAATGTGTGGTGGACACTGGAGAGGGATCACCTAAGTCGAATGATTTTTTTTTTAAAGTATCAAAGTTTCGAACTTACTAGCTACTTTATCTATATTACCAAACCCCAAAGGTTTTAGGTATTTATAGTTTAGTTTTTCTTTAGGTGTGTAGTCCGTATAACGTTTCCCTAATCCAACTAAAATTCCCGATTTGATTTGTGTTTATGCATGAATCTTAGGGAATCATATTCTCGTTAAATTTTTAACAAAAAAAATAATATTCTCGTTATATAGGCAGGCACGTTACATGTGAAGATAATATATAATAAAGAAATACCTAGGAATCCATTAGTTTCTCGAATAATGGTAGTAAATAGTTTTTTTTGTCGTTTTTCATTAACTTAGCCCAACAGGGCTTAAAATAAAGGTATACATGATTACAAGTCCATCAAAAGCCCAGCAAACTAAACCTTACTACAAATATGACATGTTAAAAGCTTCACTAAACACGTGTGAGCTTTTGAGAGTAGCTTTGTCCACGTGGCGTCAGTAGAAAGAGAAAATGATGTCATCACTGAAACCTATCACCGGTGACTGTTGTAGTTGCCGGCGAAACTCATCCGTCCACCATGGCCACTAAGCTGTTAACGCCAAGATGTGTACCTTCGCTTCATACCTTCCTTACTGATCTATAATCAGAAATTCTTCTTCTCCACAAAGCCATCACCATTCATCAAGTCTCATGACCTGTCTTCCTCTGCTTTGAAAAAGCGTTTTTATAGGGGACTTTAGAGAGGTAATACTCTCGGTCAAAATGAGTAGATAAATCAAAAGATGAAAAAGACAAATTATAATTGAAGCACCACTAGATTTAGGAAGGGAAAAGCTTCATTTTGCTCTATCGCTAGATGAATTGAGCGTTTCAACCTTTGAATATCAAGAGTTCAATTCTTCTACTTTTAGAGAACCTTTGCTCCACTAAGGATTAGCAAAGAAATTTACTCTTTTGCATGAGAAGAATTAATCAGATACTGATGAAATGAGAAAACGCACAAAACAGTTTGGAATTTTTCCATTTAGAACAAGCAAAAGTAGAAGAAACAAAGAAAAAGAAATCCGTTAAACGGAAGATAACAGATCCGACTAATAGAAAATATAAACAAACAAAAAACATCTACTTTAGTCGGAATTATTTAATCCGATTAAGATCGGAAGAAAACTTGAGCTCTCTCTCTGAAAGATTTTTAAGAGAGAAGAGAGAGAGATGTGGCTGAATAATGGTAGTAAATAGTAATTACTGATTTAGTGCAATATATAAATATTGGAGTTCTATTCCTTTTCCCGGGAATTATTCTGCCAGAGTGGTTTAGGCAAACTAGAATCGGTTTATTGAAAAGATTGATGAGTGCTTCATGTTTGTTCGTGGTAAACAACCAGAATACTTTTCTTCTTTCAACAATTAGAATATTTGCCGTCTTTACTTTACTTTACTTTATGTAACAATTTCTACTAAAAATGTCACCAAATTAAGTATTTTTTAATAGACACGAAATTTTTGGTTATCTAAGAAAACACACTAACAAACGTTGATCTCAGTTTAATATTTAGAAGCGTCTTCGTGCTTGTATTCTTACACCCTCAATTTAACGGGCGTTAACAAAATTAGTAACGTCGATGGCCATGTTAACCGAAATTACTGTGTTATATTTATCTTCCTATATCAAAATTTAAAACTCACTTTTCGTTTGATGCGAGAATCGAAATAACCTCTTTTTTTTTTTTTTAAAGTAGTGTATTTGAGAAAGGTATCTAATTAAAATGGATAGAGTATGTACGAGTATCATCACTATTCATTAATATTCTATACCGTTACAGAGGCACGTATAGTTTTATAGAGCAGTGATGACCTATAATTATAAAACCTACTAAAATGGAACAAATATATATCATTACTGCATGCCTTCCATTAGTCAGTTAAAAAATTGAACGTCTAGAAAGAATATTTTAATAACAATAAAATGATGAAGATTTGCTCGCTAGGAAAAAGAGAAGATATGGTCTTAAAAGAAAAGATGACAAAAGGATATTCTTTCTTTTAACTTTAAGAGATGAAAGTACAATAACTGTGATTATTCATATTAAAATTATAACATTATGTGTTTATTCATATTAAATTTTACTTTTACTTTTGGTAGCATACATGCAAAAAATGGTAATGTGTTACATTTTTTCATCAAATGTGCATGCTCACGAGTCACGACCCAATACGCATGCTCATGCGCCATGGATTGAATGTAGGATAATATATATATTGAGTTGATGGTATATGAAACGTACTTATTACCCAAACCAAAAAAAAAAAACAAATATAACGAAAAAATGAATATATCTGATGATGTTTCAGCTAATACAAACGTGGGAATGACAAGGAGGTGAGAAGACCCAAGGAGTAAAGATCAATAAACAGAGCAATAATCATGACATGATTCATGTGGGAGCTGAAAAAAAAGAACCGGAGGATTAAACAGGGAATGGTATAATTAACCAGAAAGAGGTGTTTCCTCGAGAGAATTCGTGCATTCAGATATTTTCAGTTTGGGGTAGTAACTTTTTTTTTTGGTCAAAGGGGTAGTAACTAATAACACTATTTAACCTAACTGAGGTTGCCTCAATTGGTTAAAATTAAAAAGGTCTTGTTTTAGTGCTACATGACCTAACCTGACCTGACCTGGGCTGCTATAGGATTGTTGTGAATTCAGAGAGACTATGAACAAAAGATCCGGAACTTCTTGCACCGCTTTTTTTTTTTTAATTATTATTCTTTTTCCTCACCAATTTGATTCATTATATTTGATCGAAGTCCAAATGGGCTTATTTCTTAGTTCTTAAGGTCCATTAGTGTTGGTTCATTGTTTTTTTCTTTTTGGTAGATAAATCTGTTTAGGCCTGTGCTCACTGATTCTTGGTACCCGTCAAGGGGCCTTGAAATAAATTCAGTGTTAGATCCAAAACTGAACAAAACTAAGTTAAATATAAATACCATGTTAACGCAACGTAAAATCGTAAATGCATGGTAAATTATCAAGATATCATTACTTTTAAAAATACTAATGTGATTCAAATATATGACCACGATTTTATATTCATTTTTAGAATAAATGAAAAAGTTAAAAAGGAATCCTGATTCTTTTTTTTTTGTTATGAAACATTGGATACTTTGTTCGAGTGCTCTAATTAGCCATGCTAACTTTTTTGAAAGGTATAATCAAGTAACTTCTACTAATTGGGTTGTTTCTAGAAACTCCATCACATCGAATTATATTAGTGAAATTGATTAGCAATGTGTGTACCGGCCAAACAAATGAAAGTTCAGAGATTGGGTGACTATAGGTGATGTGCAATTTTCTGTGTCATTATAATACAAAAGCAAGAGAGAGTGATAGTCATAGAAAAAGAGCAGCCCCGTGACCGTACCTGCATTCCCTCTTTGGATTTGTCTTCTCGATTTCTCAACAATATTCACCATCACACATATATTTATTTTATCCTTACATGCTATTTATGAGAGTATATGGATTTTCATTTTTGGATCCACCTCACTAATATATATATAGCTCCATTTTAACTTGGATCAGTTCGTATTATAATTGTCTCAATTTGGATTATAATCTCTGTTGATCTCATCTGTCTTTTTAGTTGTCAATCCGATCCGACCACAACTATAGACCTAAATCGATGAGTTCAATGAAAACATATTCAAAATGGTAGGAAAAAGACAATATAATTCAACAAACAAACAAAAAATTGTCAAATTTCATAGAAAAATACAAAACATTACAAACTCAAGCATACATATATTCTCGTTACAGCTCTCTCTTCCCTTCACAAACATTTAAACTACTCTCACTAAATGGAGTCATATACTCTAACCACATCTTCCATCTCCTACGCCAAACCTCTTCCACAGCTCTTCCTCTCGACGGAGCAACCTTCATACATCCTCCGCAACATCACTCTCACCTCTCATCCTTCTCAAATCCTCGCCATCGTTGGCCCTAGCGGCGCCGGAAAATCCACTCTTCTCGACATTTTAGCAGCAAGAACCTCCCAAACCTCAGGCTCAATCTTCCTCAATTCCATACCCATTAACCCTTCTTCTTACCGCAAAATCTCCTCTTACGTTCCTCAACACGATGCCTTCTTCCCTCTCCTCACCGTCCACGAGACCTTCACTTTCTCCGCCTCCCTCTTGCTCCCAAAAAGCCCATCAAAAGTCACCAATGCCGTCGCTTCTCTCCTCAAAGAACTTAACCTAACCCATCTTGCACATACAAGACTCGGTCAAGACTTGTCCGGTGGTGAACGCAGGAGGGTTTCAATTGGCCTAAGTCTTCTTCACGATCCAGGATTTCTCCTTCTCGACGAACCCACATCGGGTTTAGACAGTAAATCCGCTTTCGACGTCGTTCAGATCCTCAAGTCTATTGCTACGTCGAGACAACGGACTGTGATATTGTCCATACACCAACCTAGCTTCAAGATTCTGTCTCTCATCGATCGTCTGTTACTTCTTTCCAAAGGAACCCTTGTGTACCATGGAAGGCTTGATTCACTCGAAGCGTTCTTGCTCTCCAAGGGATTCACGGTTCCTCCTCAGCTTAATTCTCTTGAATACGCTATGGAGATACTTCAAGACCTCCATGATCCTTTCGAAAATGCCAACATTGTTCTCCCTGGCCACTGCCCTCATGAAAGTCCAAAACAGAACTCAAAACAGAGCATTGTTCGATATAGAAGCTCGAGAATCACCGAAATAAGCCTTCTTTCTAGAAGATTCTGGAAGATTATATACCGGACGAGGCAGTTGCTTCTAACCAACATCTTAGAAGCTCTTATAGTCGGTCTTGTCTTAGGCACTATCTACCTCAACATTGGAACCGGAAAAGCAGGAATCGAGAAGAGATTCGGTCTTTTCGCATTCACCCTCACATTCCTTCTCTCTTCCACCACCCAAACCCTTCCAATATTCATCGACGAAAGACCCATTCTTCTCCGAGAAACCTCAAGCGGACTCTACAGACTCTCCTCTCACATTCTTGCAAACACATTGGTTTTCTTGCCCTACTTGCTCCTCATTGCAATCATCTACTCTGTCTCACTCTATTTTCTCGTGGGTCTCTGCCTTTCATGGCAAGCTTTCACCTACTTTTTGCTTGTGATATGGATCATTGTTCTAATGGCAAACTCTTTTGTCCTTCTCTTGAGCTCTCTCGCACCTAACTACATTGCTGGAACATCTCTAGTGACCATCCTTCTGGCGGCTTTCTTCTTGTTCTCTGGTTACTTCATATCCAAAGAGAGTCTTCCTAAGTATTGGATCTTCATGTACTTCTTCTCGATGTACAAGTATGCGTTGGATGCACTTCTGATAAATGAGTACTCGTGTCTGTTCAACAAGTGCCTTGTCTGGTTTGAGGAAGGTGCTGTGAAAGTCTGTTTGGTTACAGGAGGTGACGTGTTAGACAAGAAAGGGCTTCATGAGAGACAGAGGTGGACTAATGTTTATGTGTTGTTAGGGTTTTTCGTACTATATCGTGTTTTGTGTTTTCTTGTTTTACTCAAAAGGGTTTCGGGTTCCAAGAGATGACTCTTTGGTTGATTTTTGTAAGGGTTTTCCTTGTTTCTTCAGTCTTCATGGTATACATATACAAAGAAGCAATTTCTTGATGGATACGTTAAACTGTAAATTCCTTTCTCTACAATCTTCACTCTTGTTTTGTTCATTGTCCTATTTCGTGTTTGTAAACAAAGTATCAATTTCTCTAGATAATATAGTAAATATACATATGTATACCGTACGTTTTTCTTGATATCCAAAGAGCTTCATATAATGTCACAAGAAAGCCAAGATAAATATTCGATGTGCAATTTAATTTATTGTGATTGATTCAATCAATAGAATAATGATGATACCGATCATATTCTAGTTTTGCGTTATGATTGGAATGGGACTGTTAACGCTAGCTTCTAAATAATATATTACATATATATATATATATATTATATATAGAGAGAGGGAAAAATATAGAGAATCAATTTTATTGGACGAAGGGATATATATGATCAGAGCCATGTTCGCGTATTTTGTAGCTTGGACAAAAAAGAGATCATCACGGTTCCACATGATTTTCATCTCCTCTGAATGACAACATTAGTTTATTGTTCTATGAGTACATACAACAAAAATTAAGTTTTATACAATTTTCAGTTGTGATTTGGATTCAAGATCTTGAGCTCCATTAAAATATGTTAGTTTTTAAGGGATTTTAAGTTTCATCTATTACTGTTCTAGATCGTAGACTGTATCAATCTGGGACAATTATGCGTTGGTTATCCAAATAAAAACACTTAGCTGTCTTGTTTTTGATCAGTAACAATGTTAGAAAAAGTTAAACGTTTTGGTTTAACAAGTAGCTAGTATTCATGATGTTGACAATAATAAAGTTGGAATTAAAAAATATTTGTGGTCAAGTTGACATACAAAATGTTGCTTTCTCGTTTGTATTCATGAGTTCACGGACATGCATGTTTCATTGGTCGTCCGTGAACTGCTTTCTCTGAATCTCAATTTGTTTAACAAACAATTTTTTTGCCTGGAACAAGCTGGCTTTCTGACTCAATCACAACTTAAATCCTTTATTTTATTACTAACACTAAAAGCTTAATACACAACTTAAACTCAAATGTATATCATGTTTTGATCTTGGAGTTGTGGAATTTGCATCAAGAATATGATATGTGTGTCGGGACGTACGTCTGTCGCAGGTATCTGGTTTGTTTTGAAACTCTAGAAACAAGCAAGCTATTGCTATATTTCTTGCAATGCAAGTTTAAAGTTTCCGCTAATTTAATTTACTTTACAATTCACATAGTCCCTCATCTTTGAACTTGCGTTCATCAGCTTGAGTCTCTGAATCAAGACGCAACCAGATTTATTCACACACTGTCAAGATTGGCTCTGTTGGCTGATCGTTATGTATTGCCGGCAGGAGGAAGTAACGTGAGATGCTAATTGTTGAAACGAAATGCTAAATAACTTGTGGCAGACTGGTCCGATGACTTAATTGGGTGACGAGTGAAATTGGTTTGTGTAAGAAGTTAAGCCAAAGCATTGTCGAGACCTAGCGCGAATAACTCACTTGGTTTAAGGAAAAATATTTTTGAAGGGAGGTTGATGAGTCCTTGTTCATGTGTTAGAGTGACGTCCCTGCTAGAAAGTCTTGACTTACGCTTACACATATTATGTATTATCAAGAACTTGTTTCGGTCCAAGAAACACTTATTAGTATAGGCTCCGAATTTTCTAGTTATTAAAAGAAATTGTTTGCTGAGGTCCAAAGGGAAGTATGTAGCTCCGAAACTAATGATGATGCTACAATAGTATAGAAAGAAATAACAGTCAAATCAATATAACAAGTTTAAAATATTAGGGAGGGTGGTAACAAGTTGTTGCATTATGTATTTATCAAATTCTTCTTGTTAATACTACTGTAGGTCTTCTCACTCGCAGTGTGGAATTTCTAACACAAACCTTTGAGCTTTTTTTGTTTCTTATTCTTTTCATACTGAATCCTATTTTCTTTTTGAATCGATTTTATATGTTTAAGTTTACTAAACTCTAACACCATATGAGGAACCATGTATTGGCAACAAAATTCAAAACTTAAAATCAATTTGCAACAAATCAAAAAGTTAATGTCTTTTACATTAATGAATTCAAAACTCTAAAATCAATCTCAAAATTAACAATTTCCTGTGATTGTATGATGAGAATTAGGAGTATAATTTGGAACCGGTTAATCATCCAAAGCCCAGCATTATTACGATTCTCGGCCCAATTAAAGCCCAACATTGTAATATATATAAAAATCGTCTTTTATCCACAGAAAACCCTATTTTCCCTTAGCTGAATCTCTGTGCCTCTTTGCAGCGAAAGCTCTCTACCAACAAGACAATGGTATAGAATCTGCGTTTTGCTCTGTTTCTCTACTTTTATGATATTATTACATTTGCACACTCCTGTAATGAAAGCACTTACCCGAGTATTAATTGTGTTCTTGTTCTTCCTGTTGCCAGATTATCTCCGAGACCAATCGCAGAGAGATCTGCAAATACCTTTTCAAAGGTTTGTAGATTTACTTATTTCATGCATTCTTTCTTTTCCTCACAATTTTCGTCTTTCTTAGTTTCTGCTAGTGGAAACAGGTTAAGGCTAGTTACCATTTCTTATTGTTCTACAAATCGCAGCTTCTAGTTAGAAACAATTAAGATTGATTAGGTTTATGCTGAGCTTTACGAGTGTAGATGTGAATCTAGTCAATATTAATACTCGCATTTAAGGTTCAGCTACATCCTGGAATATCGAGTAATGTAAATGCTAAGATCTAATGATTTGTTTATAAGTTCAAATCTTTGAAGATAATGTTGGGTGATTTTGTCTCATTTGGTCAAGAAGAGATAAAAGAGTTTGTGCGCATAGTGAATGATCTGTTTTTTCCCTTTGGTTTCACAGAGGGGGTATTGTTCGCGAAGAAGGATTTCAATCTCGCAAAGCATCCATTGATTGAGTCAGTGCCAAACCTGCAAGTGATCAAGCTGATGCAGAGCTTCAAATCCAAGGAGTATGTTAGGGAGACATTCGCGTGGATGCATTATTATTGGTTTCTGACAAACGAAGGGATTGAGTTCTTGAGAACGTACCTTAACCTTCCATCAGATGTGGTTCCTGCTACTTTGAAGAAGTCTGCTAAGCCTGGTGGCCGTCCTTTTGGTGGCCCATCTGGTGATCGTCCTAGGTAAAGTTTTACTCTTTTTTGTTTGTTTCATCTTTCATCTTCCATTATCACCCTTCTGGTGCAGAGGCATTTGCTGATTCTCTGTTTCGATGGCATTTTGTTTTCAGAGGACCACCTCGCTTTGAAGGAGACCGTCCCAGATTTGGTGACCGTGATGGTTACCGTGGAGGCCCTCGTGGTGGTGATTTTGGTGGTGAGAAGGGTGGAGCTCCAGCTGATTTCCAGCCATCTTTCCAAGTAAATCTCTCACTCACCACCGCTCCTTAGTTTTACTGAGCTTAGAAGCTTATTTACAGTTAGTTGATCTAGCTTCTTTCAAAGCTTTTCTTGGCTAGTTGCTGAGGAGATTGATAGATTGTTCTAACAGTGCATTGTGTGTTTTTGTGTTGGCAGGGAAGTGGAGGTAGTAGGCCTGGCTTTGGCCGTGGCGCAGGTGCACCACCACCATCTGGTTCGGGTTTCCCTTGAAAAAATTTGCTGTTATCATACGACGATGGAAAGACAGTTTTGTTTTTTTTTTTGGTTTCTGCTTTGTTTGTGTAATGCAAATCCGGAAATCTATTATCTATCTGTTTCTCTGACTTTGGTGTAAGCAAACAAAAGCGTTTAGTTTCAGTATTTGTGTCAAAATGCTCGTTTCTTACTTTGTTCTGTCATGGATTATTGTGCCATTGTCTAAGTGAGATTTTAAGAGGATTGCATTTTTAAGAAGAAAAGTGTATAGGAACATGCCTTGGGTTTCCAAATGAGATAATAAGCGGGATTGCTTGTAACAATAAAAAAAGATTAACTTTGAAGATTGTGATTTGGTAAATAGATGAAAAGAAATGGCTATTGGATTGTACTTTGTGTAGCGGGCTACTCAACGTTTACAAAAATTGATTGAAAAATTAAGTCGCTGTACTTTTACTTAAATTTTTGAGAGTTTGAAAAGTGACGCAGCGATGCAGCGTATCTACCTCATTCCTTTTGGTTTTGGTTTTTAGTTAAAATTCCTTTTCTTTGGAAAATTTCTTGAACTCGTAACGTTTACCCAAATTTTCCATACCGATTCTTTAACGAAAATATTTTGGGAAGTGTTCTCATTTCCCGAAATACTCATTTCTGTCACTCACCCATATTTTTCGGCCCAATTCCTGAAAGGCCCAGATTTAGATTAGAGTGTCAATTAGTTTCAGATTGAAATACTCTGCATGAGACAAAGGGTTTCAACTAATTAATCAAGTCGCGCGTAGTAAACCCTAAACCCTAGCTTATATACCTCATTTGCTATTTTTTTTTCTCTCCCTCTCATTCTCTTTGCTAGTTAGAACCTACAGAAAAATCTCACCATGGGTAAGGTCAAAGGTAAGCATCGTTTGGATAAGTACTATCGTCTCGCTAAAGAGCGTGGATTCCGTTCTAGAGCTTCATACAAGCTTCTCCAGCTTGACGCCAAGCACTCCCTTCTCCACAGATCGAGAGCCGTTCTCGATCTATGCGCCGCCCCTGGTGGTTGGATGCAGGTCGCCGTCGAGAAAGTCCCCGTCGGCAGCCTTGTTCTCGGAATCGATCTTGTTCCGATTGCCCCCGTGCGTGGCTGTGTCGCTATCCAGCAGGATATCACGCGACCTGAGTGCAGGTCGAAAATCAAGCAAGTGATGGAGAAGCATTATGTTAAAGCTTTCGATCTGGTTCTACACGATGGGTCTCCAAATGTCGGTGGTGCGTGGGATCAGGAAGCTATGAGCCAGAACGCTTTGGTTATTGATTCCGTGAAACTGGCTACAGAATTCTTAGCTCCTAATGGGAATTTCATCACCAAGGTCTGCTTCTGAAAGATGCTTGCTCTCGTATTTTCATCTCTAAATTTTGTTCTTTCCGATTGATTTCCTGCAATCTAGTAATCTTATGAAGCTCTGAATTGTTGTTCTCTGTGTCTTATGCTCTTAGGTTTTCAGGTCACGAGATTACAACTCTGTGCTCTTCTGTCTTGGGAAGGTACCGTTTGCTTATTAATCTTAATTTTCATGCGGGTAAGTTTTCCTGGTTCTTCTTCTTACTGGTAGTTTTTGTTGCAGCTTTTCGAGAAGGTTGAAGTGTTTAAGCCGCCGGCTAGTCGTTCACAATCTGCAGAAACATACCTTTTGGGTTTGAAATACAAAGCTCCCGGCAAGATTGATCCCCGTCTTCTAGATTTCAGATATCTTTTTAAGGAGGCAGCAGAACCCACGAAAAAGGTATTTTCTATGTCTTTTTGGGCTGTCTTCTGCATCTATTCCATATTTCTCTAAAGTTTGTGTGTAATACTTGTTGTGTTTGTAGGTTCCGGATGTGCTTGGAGGATCAAAACAGAAGAGAAACCGTGATGGGTAAACAACACCCACTTGCTTCTTCTTCTTTTTTTGTTGTTATTTATGAACTTTTATAACTGGGGATTATATACAGGTATGAAGATGGAGAGTCTATTTTGAGAAAAGTTGCATCTGCTGCTGATTTCATCTGGTCTGAAAATCCTCTTGAGATTCTTGGCACAGTTACTTCTATATCCTTTGATGATCAAGCCTCTCTACCTCTAAAGGAACATGATTTGACAACCGAGGAGGTACTGTTTCTAATTTGCCATATCTTTACTATTTGAGGATTTATGACATGTTGGTAACGATTGCTTTTTCTGGAGGCAGGTAAAAATTCTATGCGACGATCTTCCTGTTTTGGGAAAGAATGACTTCAAGCATATCTTAAAGTAAGATATGCGTCACTTACCCCATCATAGTCTTTTTTTTTATTTATCTTTCAAGCATTTCTAAGCTTTTCCAGGAACGTGGTAGAGCTTTTCTTTTATAAGTTGAACTATTATAGAATTGCTTTGCTCTATAGGGGTTGGATGAAGAATGGTTTTCCTTGCTATTTAAGTTCTTACCAATGCTGGTTTGAAACATACCTCGAGTCCTCAACCAGATAAAGTGTTGTGTGTGAAATGAGTAGGTGTCCATGGATGTTAGAATTGGAAAACTACTGGTTTTGTCAAGACTTTCACTTATCGCTTGTCATCAAGCATCGATGCTTCTTAAAATTATATTAGTTTCGTAATGGACATTGAACTCCCTTTGTCTTGTAGATGGCGAATGCAAATTAGGAAAGCTCTGACTCCTAAAAAAAAGGAAGTGGCTAAAAAGGAGCCTGATGTGGGTAAGGAAGATGAAGAAAATGAGGATGATAGACTACTCAATGAATTGGAGGAGCTGACAAACGCAGCAGATCGCAAGAAGAAACAGGCAAAGAAGCTTCTTGCAAAACGACGGGCTAAGGTTATTTTTAACCTTTTGTTCATAAATCTATCAAGTCATTTCCCAAATCTTTGATACGTTCCAAATGGTCATTCTCTTTTCGTAACTTAGATAGTGGTGTTATTGCCACTGGTAGAATTTCTATTCAGTTGCTTTGCTGGAACTCACGTAGAAATGAAAGTTACTTGCATCATGACAGGATCAAATGTAGTATGTCTTAGCCCAATTAATTTTTCCCGCAAAAACTAATTCAGATTTGTATGTATGCCTTAGCAAAAGCGATTCCCTTTGCTTACTTGAGTTGGTGTCAAAATAGATATGATGAGTATTCCAAACGCAATGATTCACTTACTTGGGAGCACTTCTTTATGTCGTGGTCAGTGGTCTTAGTGATGGACCTTATAGACCTGCATACTTCCTTTGCTTAATTTGATATGATTTGCCAGGATAAGACGCGGAAGGCGACTGGTCCGCAGATAGATGCACTTGAAGATGGTTATGTAGACCATGAATTGTTCTCTCTTTCTGCTATCAAGGTATGCCTTTTTTGTGTATCTAGTCTCTACATCAAATTTATTTCTATGACTGGCTTTAGAACGAATCTTGTATTACTGTTCACGGCTTGAAGGGCGTACTCCTTTGATCCCACAATTAGTTCTTACAACTCAATTGGTTCTACACTTCTACTGCAGTTTAGCTTGTAAAGATGTAATAATCGTCTGTTATTGATTGTTTCCAGGGGAAAAAGGATCTAATGGCAGTTGACAATGACGAAGATGATAATGGCAACGCCGATGACAGTGAGAATGAAAAAGATGGTGATGGAGCTTCAGATAATTCCGAAGACAGTGACATGGATTCTGATGAAGAACGCCAGAGGTCAGGCTTCTAACGACATACCTTTTTTGTAGATTATAGAATGCTGTTTGAAGACATACAGTGGTCAGGTTTGTGTTGTGCAGTTATTTCATCTTATAGTCTTTCTAACATTACAGATACACTGAACAAATGGAAGAGATGTTTGATGAGGCATATGACCGGTATATGGTGAAGAAAGAAGGAAGTGCAAAGCAAAGGAAGAGGGCTAGGCAGGCACACGCTGAGAAGCTGGAGGTACTATCATTGCTTACACCCTTTTGAAACTATAGTTTTTTGGATACTACAGTTTTTGAACTAGAGTTTTTTTTTTTTGCTCTGACTTTGCAGGACGGTGATGGAGATGATGAAATGAAACTCGATTACGATTCAGATATGAATGAAGAGAAGGATGAGGCAAACCCTCTCATGGTACCACTTGATGATGGGGAGGCCCAAACAAAGGAGGAAATATCCAACCAGTGGTTCAGTCAGGATATATTTGCAGAAGCCGTGGAAGAAGGAGACTTGGGAAAAGATGATAGTGAAGACGAAATGCCAACTAAGGAACAGAGAAAAAAACTGTCTAAAGCTGACAAGTCAAAGCAGAAGGCATCAAAAGCAAGCATGTTGTCTGATCAGAGCTTGCCCACTAGCTCTAAGAAGGAAGACGATTTCGAGATAGTCCCTGCACCAGCCACGGATTCAGACTCGGATTCATCATCAGATGATGACGTTCATACAAAAGCCGAGATATTGGCCTGTGCCAAGAAAATGCTAAGGAAGAAGCAGAGAGAACAGATGCTTGACGATGCTTACAACAAATACATGTTTCAGGACGAAAGTTTACCCAAATGGTTTTTGGACGACGAGAAGCAGCACAGACAGCCGATGAAGCCCGTTACGAAAGAAGAAATCAATGCAATGAAGGCTCAGTTCAGAGAAATCAACGCTCGCCCAGCCAAGAAAGTGGCAGAGGCCAAGGCACGGAAGAAGCGAGCAGCTGCGAAAAGATTGGAGAAAGTGAGGAAGAAGGCAAACACAATATCTGACACAACGGATATATCAGACCGGTCAAAGGACAAGATGATAGACAAGCTATACAAGAAAGCAGCAGAGCCAAGGAAGCCTAAGAAAGAACTGGTTGTGTCGAAGAAAGGAGTTGGTGTTAAGGTTGGGAAAGGACAGAAGAGAGTGGATAGGAGGATGAAGAGTGATGCTAGGAAGCGTGGAGGAGGCAAGCCTGGTAGGAACGGGAAGAAGAGTGCCACTGGTAAATCAGGCCAGAAAGGTAAAAAACCAAGGGGTAAGAGACCCATGGGCGGCGGCTAAGTCCTGAAGGCAAAAATGAAGTTTTGTTCCGGTGTTGTTTTTAGTCTGATAATTATTGCAATTCTTGACTTCTGGTTTTTGTTCTTATATCAATACTTTGTGTTTTTCATGTCCCAAGTAAAAAACTTAGTAGAACTTTTTATTTTATTTATCAAGATGGTTGGGTTAAGATTTACGCCTAAATTTCATGTTTTTTTTTTCTTATCTCATGCTAATTTAGAGGAGCTTATTGTTCTATAAAAGTTCTTAACATTCGTACTTGGAATAACTTGTTCATCAAGTTTTAACACTCACTCTTTATAGAGCTATAAACAAACTGAAATCAGAAAACGAGCAAGTCAAATCCCTCTTTCGCCATCTGAGGTTATAAAGACAGCAAAAGGAAGGCAGTAAAGCCATGGGCTATGTGTGAAGCATCACACCACGTTATTACATAAATAGATAATGGCCCACCAATCTTTTGATTATATCGTATGTGTTTATAAGTGTGCATTTTTAAAATCAATTCTCATAACAGGCTTGGCGATTGTTAAAATTTCCTGACACTTTGTTTGCTAGACTGTTCAAGGCGAAGTACTTCCGAGACACATCTATTCTGTATGCAAAACCGCAGAAAAATCAATCCTTTGGTTGGTCTTCTATTCTGGTTGGCCTTGATCTTATTAAGAAAGGAATTAGATTCAATGTGGGCTCAGGATCGCAAATCAAGGCGTTTTCAGATAATTGGTTACCTTCTGATCCACCGAGACCTGCAAGAGGACTGTCTTCTTCAACACTGCTTGTGAGTGATCTTATTAACTCTACTTCCAATATTCGCAGTTGGAATGATGAAGCCTTGGATGAACATCTAGAAGTTGAAGATAAGGCCCTTGCCAAATCTCTATTTCTCTCTCAGGAAACAGAGTGTGACAAGGTTTTCTGGCATTATACCAACCATGGAGAATACTCTATACGTTCTGGATATTATCTGGCTCGAAAATTGGATGAGCTAAGTAACTCTATGATAACCCCACCGCATGGAGATCCAGGACTTAAATCAAAAATCTGGAAACTGCCCATTTTACCAAAGTTTAAACACTTCTTGTGGAGGATTGCATCAAAAGCCATAAGTACGGCTTCTAGGCTTCGTACCCGTGGCATCCTTTTGGATCCAACTTGTCAAAGATGTGGTAGAGAAGAAGAGACAATCAATCATCTGCTATTCGAATGCCCTGTTTCAAATATGGTATGGAGGTTAGCGAATCTTCCGATAACCTGTCTTTATCGACCTTCTTTGGATTGTGAGGAAAATATCAGAGCTTTAGTGGATATTCAAAGTCATCAGGGCATCTCAGATCATCAGAAAATCCTTCCTTTTTGGATACTATGGAGGATTTGGAAATCCAGAAACAACTTCATTTTCAATAAGCAAATACCAAATCCTTCAAAGGATGTTTCACAGGCAAATGCGGAAGTTAAAGAATGGATAGAGGCTACAAACTCATCCACATCGACCCTTGTGCAAAACTTCACTGATGATAGAAATTGTAGCTATCCCACTTACTGGACTCGTCCTCCTCTTGGATTTCTGAAGTGTAATGTTGATGCCGCTTTTGACCAAACTACAAAGTTCACTTCAGCCGGATGGATTGTAAGAGATGATTTGGGCATTGCAAGGATCTGGGGTTCTGCTCATTTGGGACTATCTTCATCCCCTTTGGAAGCAGAGGGTAAAGCTCTTTTAGCAGCCATTCAAAATTCATTTATGATGGGTTTTCGGTCCATTATATTGAAGGAGATTGCCAAACTCTAACAAGAAATCTCAATCATCTAGACAAACATTTTGAGATCCATAATCTATGCCGTGAGATAAAACGATGGAGTGGAAAGTTCGACCGAGTGGAATTCAGACACGTCAAAAGACACTGCAATGAAGTGGCTCATTGTCTGGCTAAGCATGCCTTTCTTCAGCCTTTCTATTCCAGTTGTAATTTCCCACCTTTATGGTTATCAAATTGTCTTCATAAAGACTATGTAATGTCGAATATTCAGTATTAATATTAATGATTATTTAGTCGGAAAAAAAAAAAAAATTCCCCAAGACCAAGAGAAACTTTTTCCAAAATGTCATTTGAATTAGTAGTGATGATATTCACCAGGACCAATAAGATGTTTGTTCCAAAATGTTTTTTTGGTTTCTTACACTAGTAAAGTAATCAAATTTAAGACAATAAATTTGAATGGATTTATTACTGAAAATAGTGTTATGTCTTGCTTAAAAAAAACTTTGACCGAGACTGGTCAGAATAGCCTTAATGTTACTAATACAAACTTGCCAAATCTGACGGCTCATGAAGTTTGATGGCGGCTCGATCGTCAAATAAGAGACTAACCAAGCGATCGATGCCTCCTCATTCTGCTCCTTGTGCATATCGCCGATTCTTTTCTCGGAGGAGGATCTCGATGATGATTCCTCTTGCTCTCTTCTCCGGCGCCGTTTTTCTATTCTTTATGCCCTTCAACGGCTGGGGCAATTCATCTGATTCGTTGGATCTAGCTCATAGGATCCATGACATTGAAGTTGTTGCTGAGTTTCCTCATGACCCAGACGCGTTTACTCAGGTTTTTGCTCCCCTCTTGATTGTTGAGTATTATTAGTCATTTTTTTTTGTTTTTTGTAATGACTAAATGTTGTTTTGTCCGGCGCAGGGACTTCTTTATGCGGGAGATGATACACTGTTCGAATCGACTGGTCTATACGGGAAGGTGATTGATTCGCCTTTGCATGTCTTTTTGCTTCTTTGAATATCATCACAATGGGATGCTCGAGTTTAATCTATTCTATGTTTTTTTTTTCCATTTTCTTACAGTCGTCAGTGAGGAAAGTGTCTCTACTAACAGGAAAGGTATAGTTTTGTCTCGTGATTTGATGAAACATGTTTTATTATTGTAGACTATATCAATTGTGTTAGTGAATTGTCAAGAGGTTTTGTGTAACTCGAAGTCGGGAATCATGGCGTGATTCGAAAAGAGAATGCAATTACTGAGTGTTGGCTGAATTATAGATTCTAACTTTTGATGCCTGTGAAATTTGTTAATCGATATCTTGAATCAGCCTGTGAGACCAGCATTATGGGTTTTATGCACATAGGCCTTATTGGAATTGGTGGATTTTAATTTTTTATACATCGGTGAAAGACTTAGTTTTGTTGTTTCTCTCCATTGCCTAGGTTGAAGTTCTTGAGAAAATGGGCGATTCATACTTTGGAGAGGGTTTAACACTCCTCGGAGAAAGGTGGGCCTTTTCTTTTATAAATCTTGTTTGTAATTCAGAAAGACACTCTCACGAGTTTCTTCTGCTTGTTCGGTTGTAATGCTGTTTTTTGGATCTTCTTGGCTAACATGGATACATTTCCCAACTGAAATCACTGAAAAAAATAGTGTTCTGATTCACCGATTCTTTTTCTATTTTTAGGCTCTTTCAAGTTGCGTGGTTGACGAAGACGGGTTTCACATATGAACTTCGCAACTTAAGCAATGTTTGTTCTGGTCTTGCCCTTAGAAGTGTTTATTTTGTTTGCACACTTTGGTTTCTCCTATGTTAATCATCACGGTCAAGCAATTCTACTAACCCAGCCTGACTAAAATTTCAGCTTATTTTGTTTCTTGAAATTTGAGGGAAGGTCTTTGTATATGGAAATCATGTCTAGTGACTGAGTTTCTTATATGTTCCTTGCAGTGTTGTAGTTAAGTTCCATGGCATTACCACTTTATGTTGGCCTAGTATCGCCATACTCCGTTATGTTAAGCATTTGATCTCCCTGCAGATAAAACCATTTCAACATTATATGAAAGATGGATGGGGACTGGCCACCGATGGAGAAGTGTTGTTTGGAAGTGATGGCACTTCTACGCTATACCGAATGGATCCTCGAACAATGAAAGGTGTCTCATTTGTGCCCTTGAGTCACTTGCTTGTTTAGTTTCTAGACAGTAGAGTTAGTATTTTATGGTGTCTCTTCTTTGCAGTTACTGATAAGCATACGGTCAGATTTAATGGCCGTGAGGTACGTTACCTTAATGAACTCGAGTACATAAACAATGAAGTTTGGGCAAACGTGTGGCAGGTAATTCAACTGTTTCTGGTATCTGCGTCTATTCACTGTGACATCTGAAAGAACTATTGTTACACAAATTAGTAGCACACTTTTTATTCCAACTCTTTTACTAAGCAAAATTATGATACGATATCTGCAACATGTCAATAATGTGAAACCAATCTTGGTGGATTAAGCTTCGTTCATTCTCTCTCCTTGAGATACCATAAATAAGGTTTTGTTGGATCACTGTTTTACTCAGATCTTTATCACGGAAATGAATTTCGTAGATGGAGATGATGTAGTGACAAGACTTGTAGGGTTTATCATTTAGGCTGATGTGCGTCTTTCTGTTGCAGTCTGATTGTATTGCCAGAATTTCACCTAATGATGGATCGCTGCTTGGATGGATACTGCTTCCACAATTAAGGTTATTATTTCTTCTAACATGTCTTTGTTTAGGATAAACCAATGTTTATACCATTTTAACTTCTTTTTATTCTTGTTTTCCAATATCCTTTTGCAGTCAAGGGTTGCTGAAATCTGGACATAGGGTGAGTTAAAGATACGTATTTCACAAGCTGTGTCTTAGTAATTCATGGCCTTGAACACTCCATTTCCCTTACCTTAATCTTGTCTGGACTATAGGGTATTGATGTCTTGAATGGCATAGCATGGGACAGCGAGAAGCAACGCCTCTTTGGTAAATAACTTTCGACCTCTCCTTCTAGTTATAACCCGTCCCTTGAGCTTGATCACTTGACCTCTCTTTCTAGTTATAACCTTTAGAGTCGCTTGGATCATTTGTTTTGCAGTAACGGGGAAACTGTGGCCAAAGCTGTACCAAATCAAGCTAAAACCGGCATCAGAAAAGAGAGAGAGACAAATCGCGAGACAATGCTTGGTTTAAAAAGATGCAGATTGTGTACTCCTGTAGCAAAAAGAGTGTAACTTTAAGATGTAGAGGCCTATGACCCAAGTTGGAGTCAATAGTTTTGTATCCGTCTCTGTTACATTTTGGGGTCCAAAAAAGGGAAAAAAAAAAAAATTAAGTTATACTATCAGAAGTGATGTCCAAAAAACAAAGATACTACGAGGATTTGTCTTAGCGAATAGAGATGTAACACGTCGAGGAGGCCCATATGCGTAACACTATCTCAGCATCAGCCTCATAAATGGATGTAACTTGTAAGGAACTTGTTGCGTTCCTTGCTTGTTTGAAGCGGAACCTTTTTGTTCTTTTGGTCTTTACTGCTCATCATTTACCATCGCTTTTTCTTTGTTATTACGTTTATGCCATCTCGACCCACATTTTAAGGTCTTCTCCAACATCTTAAATTTATACTTCTTTAAAAATGTGATTTTAAAGTATACGAGTTTTTAACATGTAATACACAAGAGACAAGAAAAATTAGATGGACTGCTCAATATGTAGCATGATATAGCGTGACGGAAACGTACAATCCACAATCTTATTTTTTGTTTAAAAGAAAAAGAGCATTTTTGGGATATGTATCTGAAACTTTTGTGTAGAAGCATAATGTTTTGATTAACTATTAATGCAAGGAGATTATAACTATTTAACTGTAGATATTAAACAGTAAATAAAAACTAGATACAACACCGTTTACAGAAAGATTTTATTTTCTTTTTTGAACAGCTATTAAAAGATTTATAATTTCATCAGATTTTTAGCTTTTTTATGGTGGGGAAATTTTTGTTAGAAACCATTCACTGGTCAAAGCCAGCACCAAATGCAAGAAGAAAAAAAAAAAAAAGGATGGCAGGAGTTGTAATTTCAATCGGAAATAAGGGTAGATTAGTCGATCGCAAAGATTTGAGGGCAATTCTGGTCACACGAAACTGAACCGTCTTTCACTTGTATTTGCTTTTTTTAATTCCAAAAACAATTTTTAAAAAGAGCACAAAATTGTGGCCTCACTGCATTTAACACCACATCTCTTTCTCTCGCTCTCTCTCTCTCTCACATTCTTCGCATAAAAAGGCAAACCTGAGCAAGTAGGGATAAAAGCAGCAGCAGAGTCTCTCGGAGCTTCCTTCCATGGCGGCAGGACTCTCAACCGCCGTAACATTCAAACCGCTCCACCGCTCCTTCTCTTCCACCTTCTCCTCCAATTTCCGCCTCCGCCACCCGAAATCCGTCGCCGGATTCCCTCCGTCGCTCCGATTCAAAGGCTACTCCGTCTGTTACGTCGTCGAGGAGCGGAGGCAAAGCTCTCCCATCGATAACGATGAGAGACCAGAGAGCACGAGCTCCACCACCGCGATAGACGCCGAGTTTCTCGCGCTGCGTTTGGCGGAGAAATTGGAGAGGAAGAAATCTGAGAGGTTCACTTATCTAATCGCTGCTGTTATGTCGAGCTTCGGTATCACTTCAATGGCTATTATGGCCGTTTATTACAGATTCTCTTGGCAAATGGAGGTAAACAAACCAAAAAAAATTCTTAATTCGAAATTTTACCGTTTTGCCTTCAATCCGATTTCCGACAATTTCACATCGTATTATTGTAATAAAAAAAAAACAGGGAGGTGAGATCCCAATGTTGGAGATGTTCGGTACATTTGCTCTCTCTGTTGGTGCTGCTGTAAGTTCCAAACGAAAATTCTCGAATCTTCATATTTTCCCGATTTCATCTTCTTTAAACACAAGTTTGGCTGAATCAGGTGGGGATGGAATTCTGGGCAAGATGGGCTCATAGAGCTCTCTGGCACGCTTCTTTATGGAACATGCATGAGGTTACCTTTTAACTCTGAATCTTCTTTATGGATCAATTTCAACAAGCTTGCTTGTTTACTGTTATTTGAAGTTTCTCGTCTCTTTGTATTTTATACAGTCACATCACAAACCTAGAGAAGGGCCGTTTGAGTTGAATGATGTGTTCGCCATAGTTAACGCTGTTCCTGCGATTGCTCTCCTCTCTTATGGTTTCTTCAATAAAGGACTCGTTCCTGGTCTCTGCTTTGGCGCCGTAAGGACTAAGAATCTTTGACTTTTATGGTTTAGGCCTATTTTTTATTATTAAATTAAGCAACAAATCGCCATATTTAGGTAATTTCGGTGGCTTTTTATTGCCACTTATAGTCGAAAAAAATAGTGGACTGAGATCTCTGTAGACATATTTCAGCTAAATCGAATTAAATTAAATTAATCGTATCTTTTCTTCCAGAATTTTCTGTCTATCTGTATGTGCACGTAATTTATAATAAAGTTCATGTGATGACAAATGACTTGTTCGCTGCATTAATACATAGGATTGGTGGTGGTTTAATTTGATTTTTGTTTTTGGCTCGAAACGTCGTTATGGCGCGTTCACGTCTGCGTTTTGCTTTACATGTTGGTCTCTCTCCTCGTAACAGGGGCTGGGAATAACGGTGTTTGGAATCGCCTACATGTTTGTCCACGATGGTTTGGTGCACAAGCGGTTCCCTGTAGGTCCCATCGCCGACGTCCCTTATCTCCGAAAGGTCGCCGCCGCTCATCAGGTAACTTGACTTTCTCGGTCAACGACATCGACAAGATCACTGTTCCTTTCTCAAAATATAAATAGTTTCCTTAATTGTTCTTAATGATTAAGCAATGCGTTTTTACATAATTGGTTAGTGTGCATTCTTATCGAAACAGTGTTTTTTTATTAAAAAAAATAGTAGTAGCATTTTTATCATATAACTTCGTGGTCATTCTTAATTGTAAAATTGATTTAATAGTCTCGTGTATGATTTTGTTTCAGCTACATCACACCGACAAATTCGATGGTGTGCCATATGGACTGTTTCTTGGACCAAAGGCAAGTTTCTCGATTTGTTTAGAGTCTTAATATCTTCTTTATGTTTTGCTTTTAATAATTTGATTTTGTGTTTTTGAATTGATGATATGCAGGAATTGGAAGAAGTTGGAGGAGATGAAGAGCTACAGAAGGAGATCAGTCGGAGAATCAAATTATACAAAAAGAGTTCGGGTTCCGGGTCGAGTTCCTAACTAAAAACAAACAAGTTTTATGAATTCCAATTTTTTTTTCCTGTCCTTTATCATGATCTGAAATACGGTCTATGTGGATAAATTATATATGCCGATTTTGATTTTAAATATCAAAAATATAATTTAGGCTCAATTACATTTTTGTTTAGTCTTTGATTTGTTGACCTTCTATTCGTTCGCTAGATCATCATCCCGATAGATTTATCAATTATTTTGCCAAAAAACCACCATCGGTTTTCCGCCATATTCCATCATAATTTTTTACTTGTACTAAAAAATCGTTGGCTTGTGTATGCAAGTTTTGCAACTAACAAATACTCATGAAGTAAAATATTATTTCTTACCTGGCAAACAGAAATCAAATGACATCCATCCAAATTTGAGTTTATGGATTTTTCTTTCGTTACGTATGTTGAAGTTTTGCGTTCACAGTATGGCCGCTTCTTCGCGAGATCTCGTGGGAGTTGGACCATTCGTTCCGTGTATAATGACATAATTTGAATTGTAAATGTTCAAAAAAATGAAGATAAAGTTGAAATTGGTTGCAGCATACACTCAATGTTTTTAGTAAAATACTAATAAAAAATATTTATTATTTTTCTTTCTCAATAACCAAAAAAAACTGTTTTTTTTGTTAGATATTAAATTAACTTAGGGTAGGCGTACTCGCTCATAACATGCAAAATAGGTTATGACTAGCTAAAAATGCAACCTTCAAACGAAAGAGGAAAGTAGGTTTTTGGAACATGAAAGCCAAACAGATGAATCCTTGGAAAAAAAGGAAAATAGTAGAAATAAGATAACGACTCATCACTTACTTCCGCTGTGAAACACTCTTAACAAGATGAATTTGTGTTTTTGTGATTTAGAATTTTATAGAACTGGAATAAATGTTCTTAACACTCCAGAAAACAGAAGTTTTCATAGTTTTATGAGTGAAAAAGAACATGCAAATCTATAAGATGATTAGATGAATAAGGAGACGGGTCTGAATTAAGGTGAACAGTCAACAAGTATTTTGAGATCAATATCAACCCTACTGCTTTAAAAGCTACTACTGTTCAGTCAAAAGTTTTCATCAACTATACAATAGTTTGCCATATCAAACATACATTGATCAGCCATATATTATAATATGGACCATTCGATCTTCTATAATAAGAACTTAGCAGGTGAGATCATAAAAGGGAAATGACTTTCAAAGGTAAAGGTATGGATACGTGTTACGTGCCTAGCATGTCCATTATAACTAACTCACTGAGTGGATACATCACAATATTGCCTCATCATGCTCACCGATTATTCTAAGTGGAAGTTATTATGTACACTCCCACGACACTTTCCAATTAAATCCCAAGAGATAAGGGATATGTTAATATTTTGTGATTATTTATATTTGAGAGGATGAGGTGGCGTGGAAGCATAATTAGATAATGACACAAAAGTGCGATACAAACAAAAGTCGATGATAGCTTCCTATATATATATAGGAAGTTCGGTACGATTTTGACGAAGAAGCTCCAATAATAACCAATAACCCACTAATGAGTAATGAATAATCAATCCAAATAAATCACATTTTGTAAAGTTTAACATTCATTCGTGGACGAATGACAATATGCTTTGTGGCCACTCCACCGACCAAAATGACCATAATTTTTTCAAACGTGACAAAAATGACGATTAATTATGTGACTATCTCATACCAAAAAAAATTTACGTGACTATCCAAATACAAAAAAAAAAAAAAAAACTCACGCGTTTTGCAGTGCCCATTTTCCTTTCGATAACAATCGAATTAAGGTGTCCCATTTTGCTAACGTGTCTTAGCGACATGCACTGACGCTAAAAGCTTAAAGCCACTGAAAATTTTGAAAAACAAAAGAAAATTTTACGCATCAAAGAAGCGTTCAAACGATAGAAAATTAGTTTTTTGTTTTTTTTGTGGCACTGGACTTAAAGTAAATAAGAAAAGTTTGTACCACTAAGTTAGAAATTCAATTTTGGTTCACAGTTTGTATTATTCTCATTTCTAAATAGTCATGATGGGTAGACTTAGCAAGAACGAAGAAACAGAGAAAACAACCTCCCAACTCTTCAAAAATTAATGAGATTAGATACATGAGACATATTTTCTTGTGTTGATGATAATTTTCTAAGAGTTTTTTTTTTTGGTAAAATAGTTCTCTAAGAGTTGTTTTTTTTTTTATTAAGAAAATCTAAGAGTTTGTTGTAGCTTATAATTAGGTGAAACATCCCTCAATAAATCTATTGTGTAGACCCGAATTGCTAGTCAAACAGCTCGTGTCAGTTGTTTAACCAAATGAGTTGCAAGACCCAAAATGTGTATAAAAATCACTTCTGAACATACCAGAAGAAACTAAAGATCAAGCGATTTTTTTTTTTTTTTTTTATCTTTCTAACCGTTAATGCAAAACTTGCTAATATCTTATTAGATTTTTGTTTTGTTTTAAATCCTCTTTATTAGATTTGGAGTGAAACAAAATGACATTAGCGTTTATAATTTGTCAAGTTGGTCACTCTTTAAGTGTAGTTTATTTTGTTATACGGTAACATTAAAAACTGCATTTCCGCCAAGTTTTTTATTAGAAAGTTGAAACCGAAATCCCAGCCGTTCAAACGAAACCCAGATCTAATCTAACGGTTGTTAATAACTCTGTTACGAGGAAACATCGAGACACGAGGTTGTAACCGGTCAAGTCCCAATGAGAATTGTAGGATTTGCCTCTAGGCATAACTCGCCACGTGGTTTACGTTAATTGGATAATTACAAGACGATTTTAAGTTTCTTGTTGATCATCATCTCTCTCTCTACTTTCTTCTGGATTCAGATAGCAAAGTATCTCTCTCTCTCTCTGTATTATCCGATAATATTAGTGGATATCTTTGAGCTTATCGCTTCTATGCCAACTTGTAGAGGTTTGGATCGAATTTCATCATATTCTTGCTCCCTTTATCTTTTATTTGCGTACATCTTTTCAATCGAATTGACTTTTTCTTATAAAAAAAAATCGATTTGGTTTTGTTCCTCTGAAATAAGGCTTATATATGGGTTGAAACCTAATTATACAATTGAATTTTGATCCGACTTGAGTTTCTGAGGCAGATCTTGCCAGTTGATTGTTTGTAGCTTCATTGTTTCTCGGCGATCTCGTATCGTTATGCACTGTAGTAGTCTACTTACTTCTTCTTGAGTAATTTTCTGAGGGTTAAGACTCGGTCCTGAAGTTTGAGGTTTAATTCATTAATTGATTAGTTTTGTACGTGCTCTTTGTATGTTTTTATATGGGTTCTTGAAATTTGATGGTACTCTTGTATATTATCAAGATTTACTTTTCTGTGCCTGTATTGTTCTTATATCTTGTTGTTGTTGACTATTTTGAAATGTATATAAATCGTTCGGTGATTTTGTTTTACCTTCTTTGGAGCTGACTTCTATTTTAGTTCCCTTGAACAACAATTGTGTTGTTACTCAATCTTGTGGTCATTTGCTCTCTGTCTGCTTGGTTGGTGAAATTTTAGCGACGTATTTGCATCCAGAACTGTTACTTCTATTAAGTTTGAATGCTACTAAAAAAAAATGCTGTTGCTTCAAGGTTGATGTAATGAATTAGGCTTGTGTGTTTCTCCTATGCAAATTCAAACTAATCAAGTAATTGTCAATGCAGAAAATGGGCGAGTCTAAGGGGTGTGGGAAAGTAGGACTAAAGATTCCAAATGCAAATTCTTACAACGTCTCCCTTGAGCTGTCTCCAGTTGTTTCTTTTTGGGATTGTATTGTCCGCACGATGAGGTATTCCTATATACCAGAGTGGGTGTAGTTCTTGAGGATCCTCTACGTCATAGAGTGTCTAGTGCAGCTATTTAATTAGAATTTTAGAAGCAAATATGGATCACCACCGGGTGTGCAAGCAAGCTGAGCCGGTCATTAAGAAAGTGAAGAAGAAAGATGGTAAAGATGAATTTGATCGTATCAAACAAGCTGAGAGGAAGAAGAGACGTCTGGAGAAAGCTCTTGCTACTTCTGCAGCCATCCGGGCTGAGCTGGAGAAGAAGAAGCAGAAGAAGTTGGAAGAACAACGAAGGTTAGATGAAGAAGGAGCTGCTATCGCAGAAGCTGTTGCTCTGCACGTCCTACTGGGAGAAGATTCTGATGATTCATCTCGAGTCATGCTTGGCGATGAAAAGGGTTTCAAGATGGATCTGTTTAGAGACGAAAAGGCTAGTTATGTTACTCGCCAGAGCTGTGCTAGCTATGCGGTTCAAGGGATTGGGGTTGAGTCAAACGGTTATGAACTATGGGATAGTAACTGGTCAGTGCCATTCATGAGGGGTGCTTGGGATAACAACATGGAAATCTCTGCGGATTTGATTGCTTCTCAGGCTGTCTCGTCGCTACAGATATCTGATACTGCTGATAGGAACGCTTTTGTCTTCAATAGGATGACCAATAATGCCATGGTGCCAAATTCGGCTGCTAAAACTTTCTTTTAGAAGCCCTTATCAGATAAAAGAGTTCACATTGTTGTTTTTCTTTTGATGTTAAGAACAGATGTCATCTTGTGCTTTTTTTTTTTTGCATTGTTTTTGTAACAATGCTACGTGTATTCTGAGTTGTACACAGCAAGTGTTTACTCTGGCTGAGTAAGAAGATATACAAATTAGGCTTCTCTCATTGTATTTGTATGTGATTTCATATCTGTTTTTTTAATCTAAAATTTTTAATTTTACCGAAATTTCATATTATTTTCATGCACTGCAAACTTCTTTTTCTTTTTTTTTGGTTACTTGCTCATCTTTTTTCTTTTTTCTGAATGTTAAAAGTAAGCTCAATAATCATCAACTGCCTTCTTTTTTTCTTTTGATCTTAAGAAAAAGCATTACTTTTACTAAGTGTGCTCTGAGTTATATTACAGCATTGCAACTAATCCTATCACATTTTCTTAATAAACCCTTAAATCAGAGGCGTTATGAATATGTTGAGACTTGCAAGTAACAACGTGCTGAATGTTATCTTCTTAACAAAATCACACCTTTTGCTGGAAAAATAAAACGATGGGTTCCAATGATGATACAAAAGTAATGGATACAGATGAGGAGATTAGTGCGTGTAACTTTGGAACCGATGGATATACATTTACCCAAATGCACTATGGTGGATCGGTACAGAGTCACCACGGCTTTGTTTTGTCTGCTGATTGGTGATTGCATGATTTGCATCTTCATCTTTGTTCTCTATCTCTGTACTTGAAGAGGGTTTTGCAGTGTTAAGTAACCCTTTGAACCAACTACCTTGCAATCTCAAGTTCCCATTGTCTGAATTGTTGAGGGTTCCAGGCCGTTGTGGGGAGCCATTGGAGCCGTTGGTTACATTCGAGGTCACATTCGAAAGGAAGCGATAAGCCACTTTACTAGCTGATACTAGTTCAGTTTTGGCTTGCTTTATCTGCAAAACCCCATTTTACAAAGATTAAACACCCATAATGTTGCGTTTGGGTTGCAGAGAAGCAAAACGAGAGAAAAGAGAACCCACCCGCATTGCTGTGTTTCCTGCAACTTCCAAGGCTGTGTCGCCGGCATGGGCAAAGCGATTCACCCAACCTGTTAAGAGACAGAACCCAAGCAGTTACGTAAGCCTTGAAGACCAACACACACACACCCCTGGTTCCTAAGTAATGACATTACCTGGGAGCTTTGGCACACCAAGCCGGTCACAAAGTACATCGCAGAAGTGATTACAATTTTTGGACAACAAATCATATGTGTGTCCTGGCCATTCCCTGCTGAGCTCACGCAATATCTGATTTACCATGAAGATTGTGCAATCTGTCCTCCCAAGTACGATTTTCTCACGATATGTGTACATTGGATTCTTGCTACTCGGACAGCTGAATACACCAGTTCCTTGTTCACAATACCCGTAAGACCATTCGTCGTCTCCATATACCTTTACAAATTCATAAAAGATAACAGCCAACAGTCATCTAAAAGGCACAAGAAAATATCAAGAATAATCCAATCTTATATACATGTACAGACCTAAGTCATCAACTCATTAGCACTAACTTGGACACCAAAAGTCAAGCGCTTGTAGTTTCGTTGATTTAGCAAATACCTAATTTCTAAGTTCACATTAACTTTCATGACTTATATAATGAGAAAGTGGTCAAAAATCAATCAAGTAAACGAGAGCCATCATTGAATTTGACAAGTCTCCTAAAAAGAGTTTCCAAAATTACTAGGAAACACACACAAGATCCCGAGTGGAGAGAAGGAAAGGGAACTTTAAGCTTCAATTCTTATAGAAACCTGTACGACCATAACCTATTAAACTAGAACCTCACAGATCAAACAAAAAAGTAGCAGGAAAAATCCAGAATTCTCCATTTTCACAAAGAACACAAACCAAATCCACTCATGTTCGCAAAACCACATGATCGATACATGTATATTTACAGAATACAGTCTAGAGAAGAAGTTGGAGTACCTGAATGGCGCTGTGGAATATGCCTCCTAGACCAATACCGTCCTTGAAGAACCTGTTGATCTGAAGAATGGTGTTGTTAGTCTTTTCCGATCCACTGTTTGTCACATCGTATATGTATAGAACAACATCCGCCATGAATTCTCTCCCAAGCAGATAACACGAACCCTAATTCCTACCAAAGAAGAGCTCGCAGATCCTCTCTATAGCTTCAACGGAGAAGGAGACTCGTACCAAATCCACTTTCCTTCAACAAATCCCACTACTAGATCCCTCCGAAACGAGTCTAAAGCAAAATTAATATTGTTTTATTGTTCTCCCGATTTATCGATTTCAGGCGTAGAAGATGAAGATGAAGAAACTGGTGCGGCGGTGGTGGTGGGGATCCTACGAAATGACTCTTCTATCCTCGCTTTTCCTGCGTATTTGCTTCTTTACTGCTCCACCAAGCGACGTGGTTTTACCGCGCTACTCAATCGGTTAACCGGTTTTATTTTTCTTTTCTTGCAAAGTTGGGAATCGTAATAATCTCGGCCGTTGAAACGAACAAAACCGACATCGAATCTAACGGCTGCTAATAGCTCTATCGCTACTGCTGGGTCCCACTAGACGAGGTCGCACCGGCCAAGTCTCAAAGTCCCAATTGAAAACTTGCATTGCGAAAAAGTCAGAGATCATTCGACACGTGCCCTATTCTAATTAGATGAAATAGAGACGGTCTACGTTTTCTTCTTTGTAACTATCCTCTGATCCTCTCCATCTTCGTCTCTTTTAATACGAGCGATCTGTTAAAATCTTTTCTCTCTTTCTTTTGCTCGACTATGTGATTTATCGCTCGCTCTACTTTCCTCTGCATCTAAACACCAACTTTACTTACGCGTTTGAGTTTTTCTCTGTGAATTATCCAATTAAGGGAGGTCTTTGAGGCAGCTGCTTCTATGCCATTTTGTAGAGGTTTGGATCGAATTTCATCATCTTCTTGCTCCGTTTATCTTTAATTCCCCTAGATTATTTTTCCCTTAATCGAATTTGACTTCTCTCTAGAATTTTTTTCGATTAGCTTCATTTGTTCATCTGACTTGATGCTAATTTATGGGTTCAAACCTAATTAGTCGATGTTAATTCCAATTATTTATGTTGTTTTTTGTTAAATCGAGGTTAAAGGTTTGATGTAGCATGAGTTTCTGAGACAGATCTGGTTTCTTTCGTGTAAGTTGATACGAGTCTAATTGACTCTTTGTGAGTTATTTATTCGCAAGTTTGCCGTGGAATTGACTCTTTCTGTAAATGCCCTTTATATGCGTTGCTTTTTACATGAATTCCTCAAATTTGATCCTGCTCTTGGCAATTAGGGTTTCACTAATCATTAAGATGATCAAGTCCATTTGTGTGAGCCATCTTGAGCTGTTTTTGACTGAGTGTGTTCAAATCTATTTTATCTGTTGATTTTGTTTTACCTTTTTCAGGACTTGGTGTCTTTTTAGGTCCCTAGAACGATTGTGTTGTAACTCATTCATGCCGGTCTGCTTGGTTGGTGATATTTTGTGGCATATTTTGCATCTACATATTTGAATGTTTTTGGTTTGTCCTAAAACTATGTTGTTGCTTTAAGATTGATGTTGTGTGATTCTGTGTTTCTCCTAAGCAGCTCAAACTAATCAGTAATTTGTCAATGCAGAATATGGGCGAGTCTAAGGGGAATGGGAAAGTAGGACCAAAGAATCCAAATGCAAATTCTTACAACGTCTCCCTTGAGCTGTCTCCAGTTGTTTCTTTTTGGGATTGTATTGTCCGCACGATGAGGTATTCCTATATACCAGAGTGGGTGTAGTTCTCGAGATCCTCTACGTCATCGAGAGTTTAGTGCAGCTATTTAGTTAGAGTTATAGAATTTATAGCCAAATCAATCATGGATCACACGTTATGCAAGCAAGTTCAGCCGGTCGCTAGGAAAGGGAAGAAGAAACATGTTAAAGATGAATTTGATCGTGTCAAACAAGCTGAGAAGAAAAAGAGACGTCTGGAGAAAGCTCTCGCTACTTCTGCAGCCATCCGGGCTGAGCTGGAAAAGAAGAAGCAGAAGAAGTTGGAAGAACAACGAAGGTTAGATGAAGAAGGAGCTGCAATCGCAGAAGCTGTTGCTCTGCACGTCCTACTGGGAGAAGATTCTGATGATTCATCTCGAGTCACGCTTGGCGATGAAAAGGGTTTCAAGATGGATCTGTTTAGAGACGACAAAGCCAGTTATGTTCCTCGCCAAAGTTGTGCTAGCTATGCGGTTCAAGGGATTGGGTTTGTGTCAAACGGTTATGGACTAGGAGATAGAAACTGGTCGCCATTCAGGAGTGATGCTTGGGATAACAATATGGGAATATCAGCTGATTTGATTGCTGCTCAAGCTGTCTCGTCGCTAAAGATATCTGAAAACACTGAGGGGAACGCCTTTCTGTTCAACGGGATGTTCCGGGGATGACAAGTGCCATGAAGCCAGATGTGGTTGCTAAAATAAGCTTGTGTATTAGTATAAGTAGCGAATTGTTGTTTATTTCAAAAACCCTTTTGGTTGCTTCGGTGTGAGAATGCTCTGTTGTTTTTCTCTTTATACTGTGTTTTATTTCCATGTATCATTACAGACGCATTGCGAGTGTTTTATTCATCAATACATGTTTAAATATCTTCATATCTGAATCGCAGGCTGACTTTTATTACATTTTCTTAGTAAACCCTTTGAAAATGCATATGCCGGGACTTGCTTAGACCTTTGTAACAACGTGTTGAACAATATCTTCTTAACAAAGTCGCACGTTCTGCATAAATCAGAAAAACAAAAAAAAAAATGGTTCCAGTGGAGGCACAAAGTAATGGATACAGATGAGCAACTTTTGGGCAGGTGGATATACAGTTAACCGAATGAATGCATCATGGTGGATCGGGTTGCTACTGAAACAATAGAACCTCCGAGTCACGGCTTTGTTTTTTTTGCGGACTGGTGATTGCATGATTTGCATCTTCATCTTTGTTCTCTCTCTGTGTACTTGTGGAGGGTTTTGCAGTGTTAAGTAACCCTTTGAGCCAAGTGCCTTGCATTCTCAAGGTCCCATTGTCTGAACTGTCGAGGGTTCCAGGCCGTTGTGGAGAGCCGTTGGAGCCATTCGAGGTAACATTCGAAAGGAAGCGATAAGCCACTTTACTAGCTGATACTAGTTCAGTTTTGGCTTGCTTTATCTGCAAAATCCCATTTTACTAAGATTAAACACCCATAATGTTGTGTTTAGCTTGCAGAGAAGCAAAACGAGAGAAAACTCACCCGCATTGCTGTGTTTCCTGCAACTTCTAAGGCTGTGTCGCCGGCATGGGCAAAGCGATTCACCCAACCTGTTAAGAGACAGAACCCAAACAGTTATGTAAGCCTACAAGACCAACATACATAAGCACACTGGTTCTCAATCAGGTTCCCCAAATAATAGCTTTTACCTGGGAGCTTTGGCACACCAAGCCTGTCACATAGTACATCACAGAAGTGATTACAATTTTTGGACAAGAGATCATATGTGTGTCCTGGCCATTCCCTGCTTAGCTCACGAAAAATCTGATTTACCATGAAGATTGTGCAATCTGTCCTCCCAAGAACAATTTTCTCACGATATGTGTACATTGGATTCTTGCTATTAGGACAACTGAATACACCAGTTCCTTGTTCACAATACCCGTAAGACCATTCATCGTTTCCATATACCTGCACAAAATCATAAGAGATGCCAGTGAATTACTCTTCTCTGCAAAATCAATATTCATCTAAACGGCACCAAAAAGTCAATCAATATTCATCTAAAAGGCACTAGCTATTGCTTTCTTCAGTAGCCTCATTTCTAAGATAACCATATTGTCATGACTCAAATGTGAATTCATCGCACCCATTGTACCATGAAAAGTTGCCAAAATTACTTAGGAAACCGAGATTTGAATTTCAGGGGAGAAAAAGGCAACTTTAAGTTCCAGATCTTACAGAGACCTGTAGAACCACAAACCATTAAACTAGAGCCTCACAGATCAAACCAAAAGTATCTGGAAAAATCCAGAATGCAACGTTTTTGCACATAATGTCGTCAAATTCTCCAATTAACTCACACTAATCCACTCATGTACATAAAACCAAGCAGAGACATCATCGATACATGTGCGCATGTAGATTGATAGACTAGAGACGAAGATCGAAGGCAGTGAAGTACCTGAATGGCGCTGTGGAATATGCCTCCTAGACCAATACCGTCCTTGAAGAACCTGTTGATCTGAAGAATGGTGTTGTTAGTCTTTTCCGATCCACTGTTTGTCACATCGTATATGTGCAGAATAACATCCGCCATGAATCCTTCTCTCCCTAGCAGATAACCCTGAACCTTAATTTGCGCTCGCAGATTCTCTGTATAGCCTTTGGTGAAGAAGGAAACGAAAAGACTCGTACTGCAAATCCACTTTCGTTAAGATCTCTCCGAAATGACTATAAAGAAACGACTCTTGTGCTTAGATTTTGATGTAAAAGGAAAATTTTGAGTTTGTTTATATTTATCTGCTACCGATATTTTCAATTTCAGACGACGTGGGAGATGAAGAAACTGGTGCGACGGTGGTGGGGGTCCCGGCGAAATGACCCTTATGTCCTCGCTTGTCCTACCGATATGCTGCTGTTTGCTTTGCTTGTGGTTCGAGCAACCGACGTCGTTTTCTTCTATACTCAACCTGTCAAAAAACAGTTTCTCTCTTCCAATGAACCGGTTCAGTTTTTTTTCTTTGAATAGTATGTTAAATTATTCAAAAAAGAAAACGTTTTTACAACTAGTGCAGCTTTTTAGAGAGAGTATGTGAATAAGCTATAAATACAAACTAAACCAGAAAACAAAATAAATGGTTATCGTGTTGAAAACTATATCACCATCTCTTCGTCGTAATGAGTATCTCCCATGGTTCTGATAGAAGATAATTTGTTTCTGATCTGCTTGTCGATGAATTGAGTCATTTGCCCCTCTGTTGTTGGCGGTTCACCATGCCTTCTGTTATTTCTCTCCCTCCATATCCAATATAGAGATGTCTGGAAGGTGTAACGAAATAACCATTGCCGAGTTTTCTCCCGCGGGTGCTCCTGCAGCTGGTTTAGAATCTCGTTCCAGCTGTTGGTGTAATCAGGTGCAAGAAGCTTCCTTACTAGGTTACTCCACACCCTCTCGGTAAAACTGCATTCGAAGAAGAGATGATTGCGGGTTTCTAGTGATGTTCTGCAGAAGACACAGGATGTATCGACTCCAGTGTTCCATCGAGCGATCCGATCCCCTGTTACAAGGCGGTTATGCATCGCTAACCAAGCTATGAATGTGAACTTTGATGTTGCGCGGGAGAACCAGATCCCCTTTGCCCACTCACATATTGGCTATACTGTTCTGATTAAGCTCAATGTGTCCTTAGAGCTGAACTTTTGAATTTGTCATTTCGACGCTTCCACAAGACCACGTCAGCTTCAGCGATTCTCATTTTCTGCTTTGTCGAGTAGATTATCTCTTCTATGTCGTTAAGAATATCTACGCGGTGTCAACGGCGACGGTGAGTATTCAAAACCACAGCAACAGTTTTCATTAAACCAGAACATGTCTTGGATTTAGAATACAAAGAGATGTCAAAATTCTGAGTTTGAAACTTTTCATGCAACGTCACGATTATTTGTTCGATTTTTAGTTTGCGTTTCTAACCTACTCATAATGGTCTAGTAATCATCTGAGAATTTTTATCATATGTAGCTCTTAACAATCTTTCCGGGAAAGCATCATTAACCACGTAAAATCTCAATCCTGATTTTTTTTAAAACGAAGAGAGAATGTGAACCGTTGGATTAAAATTATTCGATACATAAAAAGAGTTCCTTTCATTTCCTTCTTCTGCTCTGTTGTCACCACCACACACCACCAAATATTCAACCATGGAAGCTGCTCTTGCTGCATGCACTGTTCCATCGCCCCGAATCCTCAAACCTAAATCTCGTTTCAGAAGTTCCTTCTCCAATCAAAGACCCATTTCTCCATACTCCTTTATCTCCAAATCCTCACCGCCGAAATCCAATCGATTTACTGCCGCAGTTTCATCATCACCACCGTCATCGATCGCTACCTCAACGAATTCTCCGCCGGAAGCTGAACCCAAACCCGATTCCGGGTCGGAAAAGTTCGATTGGTACGCGAATTGGTACCCAGTGATGCCAATTTGCGATCTGGACAAGAAGGTTCCACACGGGAAGAAAGTTATGGGGCTTGATTTGGTGGTTTGGTGGGACAGGAACGAGAATCAGTGGAAAGTGATGGTTGACACGTGTCCTCATCGTCTTGCTCCGTTGTCCGACGGAAGGATCGATCAATGGGGGAGATTGCAGTGTGTCTACCATGGATGGTGCTTCAACGGATCCGGCGATTGCAAGCTCATACCTCAAGCACCTCCTGATGGACCTCCGGTATTTAAATCTCATTTCCTTCAAGATGTTATAATCTGGTTTTGATTTGAAGAAAGACAAAAAGTGAGTCTTTTTGTGTATTTGGTTGGATCAATGATTATTTTTAAATTTATTTAGGTCCACACTTTCAAGCAAGCTTGTGTAGCTGTTTACCCAAGTACTGTACAGCATGAGATCTTGTGGTTTTGGCCAAACACTGATCCAAAGTACAAGGATATTCTTGAGACGAATAAGCCTCCTTACATTCCAGAGTTGGAAGATCCATCATTCACTAAGATGATGGCAAATCGTGATATTCCTTACGGGTTATAACCAAAACCTCTCTTTCTCTCTATCTTCTTTGAAAGATTGGCTGCTATTGGCTTTTACATCATTTCGACAAAGAATCTTATTTGTGGAAAATCTGAAATCTTTCAGGTATGATGTGTTGGTGGAAAACCTCATGGACCCGGCTCATGTTCCCTATGCACATTATGGACTAATGCGGATTGCTAAACCAAAAAGTACATAAATCATTTGCATTTCAAACACTTCTATGTCTGATATGTTTTTAGGTCCATGTACCAACACTCACACTTTCTTGCAGAGAAGATTGACAGAGAAGGCGGAAAACCACTCGAAATCACCGTAAAAAGGCTAGACAATGAAGGTTTCTTTGCAAAACAAGAATGGGGATATGCTAATTTTATCGCACCATGTGTGTATCGTGCTTCCACAGAGCCTCTAACAGAGCAAGAAAACGAGTCTGTCACATCAGCTGCATCTGACAAGGTCAAAGACAAACTAACATGTTATCTGAAAGTTTCTTGCTTATGTTCACATCTTTTATTTCCCTAACGTTATGGTTCTGCATCCAGGCGGCAATGTCAAAGCGCAAATTGTCGTTAATCTTTATATGCATTCCGGTCAGCCCAGGTCGCAGTAGGCTAATATGGACGTTTCCGAGAAACTTTGGCGTAATTATTGATCAGATTGTTCCTAGATGGGTGTTCCACATTGGTCAAAACAAGATTCTAGACTCAGATTTGCACCTCCTTCATGTCGAGGTAAGTACAAGTCTTTCTTATCCACACACACTGTTGTGAGTAAAGGGTGATCAATGTACCGGACTGATTAGTCATTTGTTATGGAAATCGTGCAGGAGCGGAAGATACTGGAGAGGGGGCCTGAAAACTGGCAAAAAGCTTGCTTTATCCCAACGAAATCAGATGCTCTCGTGGTTACATTCAGAAGATGGTTCAACAAGTACAGTGGGTCTCAAGTTGATTGGAGAGGAAAGTTTGATCCATCTCTTCTTCCTCCTACGCCTCCTCGAGAACAGCTCTTCGACAGGTTACTTTGTCTTCTTTATGGGTTTTGATGAAAGCTAGTTCTAATACTATTAAAGCGTCCTCGTTCCCGAATTAAAAAGTTGTGTTTCTTCCTACATAATTTGTTTTTCAGGTATTGGTCGCACGTCGAGAACTGCAGCAGCTGCAAGAAAGCTCACAAATATCTCAATGCGTTTGAGGTGATGTTGCAAATTGCATCGGTTGCTTTGATCGGAGTTATGGCCGTGACCAAGCAAATCACAATGTCTACTGTGGCAAGAATCGTGGTGGTTGCGGCGGCTGTTTTGAGTTTTGCGGCTTCAAAGTGGCTATCACAGTTCATCTACAAGACATTCCATTACCATGACTACAACCATGCTCTTGTTTGAAATGGATATTGGTGTGTACATAACCAGAACCTTGCTCATGTTATAATATAAGAAACCTGGGCTAGTGCCTCAGATTTTTTGAGAAAATCTTTAGAACCTTTCTTTGCAAGATGATATATATATATATATATATATATATATATGTACATATTTGTCCTTAGAAGATGATTTTGGAGTGTTAAACAAGAAAAAAAAATGTTGAACCAAAAAACCACTACATTGAACGAAAAATATTTTGCAGAAACATTTCATTTCTTTTTCATTTTTTCTTCTTCCACAAAACTACTTTCTAAGAAAGGAAAAGAGAGCAGCAACAAAACACAGCAACAAAAATCTAGAAGCCATCTAGTGGAAGCCTGAGGTAAAATGGAAAACCTAACCCAGAAGAAAACACCATCACCAGGCATCCTAAAACTCTGGTGCCGTTTAAAGTTAAACCCCAAACACCAAAAGATGGAAAAGAGAAGCTACCAAAACCCAAAAAAGACTAAAAAGAGTGTTATTTGTTATGACGCCTCGCTGTCGTTGTTGGAAACAACAGAGTGTTGTTGTTGTTGTTGTTGCTCTGCGTTCAATCTGAACCGTCGGATGTTATCACCGTCTTCTTCCATTGCCTCCAAACGTCGAGGTGGAGGAGGCCGGTGCACCATCTCATACCTGTTCCCATTCTTCTCCTCCTCCGATCCCTCATATTTACACCCTCCCCCTCGGCCTCCACCACCATCACCAAACCTTCTACTATTATGCCGCATAAATGGTCTGAAATTAGTGTTGTCTGAATTCACCCTTCTCATGTTGTCAAACCTCTGCTCTGGTCTAAACATCCTTCCTGGCGGCGATTTTCTTCCCCTCAGGTTATTATGGTGATGATGGTTCTCCCCAGCACCATCATTGTTTCTTCCATCGAAAAACCTCGAGTTTCGTTGGTTTCTTGGCGGCGACATGAAAGCCATATCTTGGTCGAGCGGAAACCGTTTCTGGAACGGCAACCTCACTCTCTCCATCCTGTTTTCATCGCCCCTGAACCCGGGAGGACTTCTGTTCCGACCGTTCCATGAGACTGGGGAACGGCTTCTGGACCTGGACCGTGATTGAGGGTCGTGCAATCTCCTGAAGACAGGAGGGGAGTTGCTTCTTTCTCTCCGTCCATTCATCCTGTTGTTGTGCATGCGGCTCGGATAGTCGTTAGCATCACCAGGGAAGGGACGATCTACGCCTCTGAAACCACGATTCCCGTCGCCATCTGGGAACCTTCTGAACCGACCCCGGTATCCTCCATTTGAGAACTGCCTACGAACATAGCCATGTGGACCTGGCCCTGGCTGATCAAAGCCATTCATCATACCTCGGCCCTCCACAACGGTTTTGGGACGTGGACGTCCAAATCCGTATGAACCACCTTTGTTAAGAGGTGGCGAGAAGCGACGTTTGGAATCCCAGCCACCGAACTGTCCTTTCCCGGGACTCCTGCTTCGCATACGCATCCCTGATCTGTCTCTCCCGACAAACTTATTTGGACCAGTGTCCCTCTCACTCAACTCTTCGTAACTGTCAGGCCTGTAAAAAAGGGAGATACCTTCATTAGCAAGAGAAAAAAAATGAATAAAATTAGAAATAGGTTCAGCAGTAAGTAACTTGCCTTCTCCTTGGGATGGTTTCATGTGAAGGCAAGTCCCTGAATGGTTTTGACCCGAAGCTCCTTGATGGAGAAGATCCTTTTGAATGTGAATCATTCATGCAAACCACGATATGCTTCTCTATATCGCTACTTCCTTCATGCAAATTGCCAGATTCACACTTGACAGCTCCACACTTTGTCTCTGCCAGGATTTCCTTCTCAACGTTCTCTAGCTTATTCTCATTACCTTCACCCAAAGAGTAGAACCGCTCATTCTCTGGCTCAGACCCATAATCCACTTGTTCAACATCTCCACTATCACCCTCGTTTTCTTCCCAAGGGTATGGTTCCCTCAACTCTCCATCCTCAAACTGGGAATCATAACCAGAATGGCACTCCTTCCCATTTCGACCAGAGGCTTCAGCCTTAGGTCCTGACAGAGATGGAGAATTCATGTGCACATCTGATGCAATCGGGTCAGCCGCATAATCCTTACTAACATCTACACGTTTACTCTCTGTAACGGACTCGGTGACTTCTCCATCAGAGTATCTTCGGGATGCTTCATCGATTACATCACAAGGCTGACCCCACGCATCTGTTGGAAGATTTAAATCCCAGTGTAGCCTATCATCTGTAAGGCATTCAGAGTTCTTACCCTTTCCCGTGCGCTCATCTCCAGATAAATTCTCTGACACAATGACAGTCTCACTCTGAGGTGCTAAATTTCCGCTATCACCTGCTTCCATACTTTCCTTTGGCCTTTCTGTTGAGGATTCATTCGAAACAGCAATGCCGATATTCTGAGCCACTATCATACCACTTGATGCTAATATACCATGCTCTTCACTATGATCAGCAGACGATTTACTACCCAAAGTACCAACCAGAACTTTTTGAGGCACTATGATTTCGCTCTTGCCTTCCACAACCTTGTCACTAGATACAATCGTAATATCTTTCCCAGGGACATCAAGAGTGCCAGTAGATGAATCATTTCCTTCCATGCGAGTAGACAAGGTCAAAGCATCTTTTTCCTCAACATATGAGAGATTGGGTGTATCCAGAGGAATAAGAAAACATGTAAGTAATACATCTCCTTCCACATTTAGGATTCTCTACTTGAGAAGTCATGACTGCCGCAATCGGGTCTATCATCAGAGACTTCTGCTGTTTTCCCGCCCTTCAGATTAGGGTTCAACCTCGAAATAGGCAGAGCATGATTGATCTCTGCACGATGTTGTGAGCCTTCACCGCGAGCAGAGGACCTATTCAAAGGTGAAGGAGCAGGAACCATGAATCTCCGTTTCTTCATCGGAAGATGCCCTGCAGTTTCTGCGAAATGCTGACCTAGAACAGAAACGCCAAGCTGCCATTGTCGAAAGAATCAAGCGTTAGAATAATGAGACCAACTAAATCCCTTCAGAAGCATGGAAGATAGCAGAACAAAATGGGAAAAGAAGCTGATGAGAACCTTTTCCGATTCTGAATCTCCTTCTGCTGCTTTACATGATGCGCTCTTGTATTCTGTCTCAATATCTGGGGCTGCTGCTCGTGCAACTTGTTTCTTAGTACGCCTTGTGGAACTCCTACTACCTTTAGCCACCATTTTCCAAGGAAGACTGTTATTGATCGTAGCCTTGAGCTCTAAACTGCCAGTGCTTGTCATACTTTTCAGTGCAGTCCCATCCACGTAGGTTCAGCACAACTAGAATTTCTTATTCCTCACTTCCTTTTCACTTGATCCAGAAAGTTAAGGGTGTATGCCCAGCGTAATCCTCAATGTATAACCTCACCTGAAAGCCACAATCTCATCAGAAAGCCATAAAGATTTTTAAAAAAGCATGTCTAAGAGATGCAGCCTAGTCAGACAAAAAATCATTTCAAACGGCCAGTTTAAGACTCTACGGGCTTCTCCAGTTTTTAAAGCTTGTAAATCCTTCTGTTTGGGATGTAACTTGAAATATAACAGGCACCGGCTTCTTTATAAAAACATGGAACGCATGGGTAGGTCTCTGACTTAGATGAACCGTCAGAGACAGCCACACCCTCAGCACAAAGACTATTATAACAACTCGATTCTGGTGTTCTGAAATAAAGGAAGGGAAGATCCATGAATCTCCGTTGCCCAAAACGTCTTTTTGCTTTTACAAGCAAAGAGGGTCAAAAGGGTAAGATAAAAGAAGCCGGATTTAAGTCTACTGGCTTAGGCAAGAACGATATATGACTTTCCAGAGTATGGATGAGTCAAAGAAATAGCGATCCGTACTTCCTCTTCCACAATCCCCAAAAAATTGTCTTTAGTGGATCTGCCGTGTCATGCCAAGGGGGAGATTCGAAGCGGTATCGTAGCCGACATAAACCGAAGCATACGTCCAAGATCGAATCGTGCGGGACATCAATGAACAACGATCTCCACCTCTCGATGGAACACGAAATCAACCATATAGAAAGAGCAGAAATCAAAGAGCTAGGGTTTTCATATACCTGTCGGCCAACTTTTTAACATCACTCAAATCACCAAATCCGCCACCGATGCGAGATTAGATCAGATCAACTCCTCCAAGATGAATTTCAAACAAAATCTACCGTATCTCGCCTCAAAAAAAGTAATCGCACGATTCGATTTATATCAAACGACTCGCCTTCCACTCTTCCCCGATTGATTTAATCAGTGCAAAGTCTCGGTCAAACACAGAAAAGAAGATCGATCAAGCAGATGATGAATTAGGGAGAATCCAGTAGCCGGAGTATAAATACCGCCGATCAGAGAGGCGGCGAAGCTAGGTCTTCTTCTGCTTTCGTCGTCTTCACAGAGCAGAATTAAAAAAATATTATCTTTTTATTTTCGTCCTTTAGCTTTCTCTCTAATTGTTGCTTGGATGAACAGCGCAGAGCCTCGTGCCCTATCACCACGTATTTATCATCCTTTATATACCGACATTACCCTCCAATGTTATATTAAATTACGATTTTGCCATCTCCATGGTCACTTTGTTAGCTTTCCCCTTTTTTTTGTGATTTATTCAAACCTCTTCTTGTGTGAAATATACAAATATGGAAATGAAAATAAATTACTGTAGCTAGAAAAGTCAATGGTCAAACAAAGACATGGCCTCGTGGAATTTTGAGTGGCTCCTCATGTGGACAGTGGACAACTCTTGATTTTCCTTCCTTTACTTTCCCTCGCAGCCTCCTCAACTCTTTTTATTTTTCACTTTTGACCCCCAAAAATTTATTTATACGAAGTTTGCCTTCAAATATCGAGAATTGATGTTTTTAATATAACACGAGTTGCGAAAATTGAACCAGTTAGGCAACCATTAATTTTTAAAAAAAGTGTAAACAAAGGCTTAACGAAAGAGTCTGAAGTTCAATTTTGGGTGCAAAATCAAGATGACAATTGCATGGGTTACATCCAAATTGTGATCAAAACGCTGAATAGAGCAGGTTTTGGACACTTTAAATAAGTTTTCTGAAATCTGTGAATCTTTAAACTTTAAAGTGCATGTTTCAAGTTATGTAAACAAATATATATATAATCTAAATGGAGTGGAACTCCAGGATGATTTTGATAAGATCAAACTACTACGAAACAGTTGGTATATATCATATATGGTTTTGGTTTTAAAGGTGACTTGGAGAAAATAGAGATTTTTAAAAAAATACGTATGGAGAAGATAGAGCTGGGATGCATAAAAGTCATACTAAAAAAATACGTAGATATATCCATTGGATATTTTTGCTCTTAGATGGGCTTAGTATTGACGTTTGTTCCACGGCAAGAACCCCACCAATTCTTAATAACACAAGTCAAGAAGATTCCTTTCGTTAATTGAGTAATTCCAATTTATGCTTCTAGGTAGGGTATAAATCTCTAATTCACATCATAGGAAAGAGACCTGTACTAAGCTCCACCTCAAGCATTCTATTTAATAACATTACTCCAAATACTAGTTAAGGCGTTAAATATACTTTTGATGCCATCCAATCTATATATTTATAGTAACATAAGCGATTCTTTAAAACGAGGGAAGCTAACGAGACAATCAAAACCTCGCATGATTTACTGAGACTGAAACAAGGAGAACATAACTACGATGACGTCAATAGGCTAGTAAGTAAGTAGAGAATCGTGAGGGAATACATGTTGGCATGTTTTTATGATCAGTCTCTTTGAATTTCATATTCAGATAGTCTAATATGTTTATTATATCCAGCAAAACGAATTGAAATGAGACAGTAGAAACATTAGCAAAACACCATTAGAACTTACTCATATATTAGAGCAAAACCTGAATCGCTTTCCTTCATTAGGCTTTAGTTAAGTAGACCGTCAATAAGAGGATTAATACCCTAAACCAAATAACTGATCCATCTGAGCTCATTTGCAAAATTTTGGCCCATCTTGAAAATCTTGGCACTGAGACTCACAACAGAAACTCACTGTAAAAGCCCAATATCCTTACATTCTTCACCAAACTTTTCTTGAATTATAAAATCTTAGAGCATCTCCAACCATAGTTTTTATTTAAAGGATCTAATTTAATTTTTTAATAGTTTTTTGTGCACTTTATTGTTTTAAAATCTCTTATAAATTTTTTCATTTTTTAGTGTCCAATAGTAGAATCTAATGAGAGACTCTAAAAAAAAAATTATTTTTATTTCAAATACAAACATTTTATTAATACAAATATTTCATTAATTTGAAATTTAAACATATAATACAGAAAAGCAAATCATAATTTGAAATTTAATCATAGTTTAGACCATCTCCAACAATGGTCTATACTTAGAGGAACTAATCTTATTTTTTAATAGTTTTTTCGTTCATTTTAATGTTTTAGAACCTCTTATAAACTTTTTTCATTTTTTAGTGTCCAATAATAGTATCTAATGGGAGACTCTAGATTTTTTTTTTTTTTTTTTAAATACAAAATTTTTATTAATACAAATTATTTCATTGATTTGAAATTTAAACATAAAATACAGAAAAACAAATCATAATTTGAAATTTAAACATAGTTTTAGGGGTTTGAAACACTCTAGTTGAGAAAAAAAGGTTTCATTAAAAAAAAAAAATGTTCAACCAATCAAACATTGCCACATATGGAGCTCAGCTGAGTCTCTAAAAATCCTAAAACAAGAGACGTTTCTACTTCTTTTAAATATTAAAACATTAATTTTAATGCAAAAAAACTATTAGAACCCCATATCATATCACCGTTGGAGGTGGTCTTATCCTTTTGCTGTGTATCCGTTTCATCTATTTTTTTCGATATATTTTGGCACCATAATAATATGACTGCCAAAATATGATTATGCTATTTTCCATCAAGACATAATTATACTGTTTTCACTGAAAGGAAGGTCCCTTAATTTTCTACTCAAAATACAAAACTTTTTTCCCCAACAAACACATACTTTGGAGTCCATAGTGTTAAATAATCTTGGAGTTTGTACAACTTGTAACATTTGTATCGATTTGTTCCGGACTGGGCCTTTGGTAAACTAGGTGGGCTCGGCTGACATGTGATTATTCTTTTTTAAACAAGTCAATGGGAAATGTCATAATCATCTCTGGTTTAATGACAAAGGTTTTAAATGACGAAACAGGGAAATAAATACAATCGACGACGAAGACAAAAGAGAAAGGAAAGCTCGACGAAACGCTAAAAAGATTCCCTCTCCGACTCTTCTTCGTACTGTATTCATTTTACTTACGTCACGTATCTCACCTTTTGGCTTTGTGGACACGTTGTCATTCACCCATTTTTAGAAACGACAACTTTCCACTTTAGGTAACTATGTTATTATTTTCATTTCTGATTCAAGCTTAGATGTTTTAAGCAATTTTCTTAACTTTTACATGTATTCATAATTAGAATTTCTCTAACACTTACTAGATGCTATCACTGGGATCAAATGAAATGCCAATAAATAAAAATTATCCACATGAAAATCCAATCATCCATATTCTCTATCTTTTTCAGTCTCCGTCTCTCTACAGTTAAACTCCTTTGACCTTTGCCTAAGATATTTATCATGGGTTTTTGACTGGTGCAAAGTTGGAATAAACGGACGTGATTGAAAAAGAATATAAGGATGAGAGGGAAAGAAGCTAAATTCTAAAGGATTTTTTTTTTCATGAGTTTTACAGAGAAAATCCCAAATTTTTACTCTCGTTTTTATAACTTGTCTTTCTTTTTCTTTTGACGAACGAAAGAAAACAGAATCTAAAATAGGAAAAAAATTCCATCTACCATATAATATGTGTAACCCTGAAAGCCTCTTTTGTATTTGGTTGGCTATAACTACCCCCATTTCTTTTACATTTTTCTGATAGCTTATCAGTCCCAAAAAGATGGTAAAAGTAATAATGTTTTTTACAAAAAAAAAAGAGGAAAATCAACGAAAGCAAAAACAAAAAATGATTTTTCTCTACCAAACTCTCAGTACAGAACCCTAGTAGATAGTTGTTTTCTTTTGATAGAAAAAGAAAAGCATTAAAGAAAAACACGACGCCCATGTCCGGAGAAGTTTCTTCATTTAATTTGTAAATTCAATTGGATGCTTCTGTATGGAACTTTGATATGTCAAACGTATTACGTACGTGGTGTCTCATGCACCACAGGTTAGCCTCACCTACCTATCCTACCTTCCCTCTTGCCAAATCAAATAATAAAAAAACTTCCTCCGATTTTAAGGAACATAAACAATTATAAATTAAGTTATTTTCTAGTTTTGTGGGAGACTATTTATTCTTTTTCTTTGTAGATCAAAAACTCAATTTGAAAAGGTTTAATAGGTAACGCAGATTTACAAATTTACCACAAAGCAATTAGACATAACTAATGCATCCAAACATGTTCAATATTCAAAAAATTGTGATAGTTGTTCATAAATTAAGTCATAGTTGGCTAGTATTGTGAACTTGTGATCTCGTGCATGTTGAACAGTCGTCAATGATAGTGCATTAAAAAATGATCAAAATTATGACAAAATACAAATCATTTCTTCTCCTTCATATTTTTCTAGTTACTTAATTGGATCTCGTTAATATTGAGAAAAAGAAATGTCAGACCGGATCAAAACGGGATATATTAATCGTTTATAAGCTTACACGAGGATATTAATCTATTATTTTGCAGTACCTAATCACAAAAGAAATGTATAATTATGCAAAAGAAGAGGAGAGAGAAGTGCGTGATTCAACGGCTTTGTTATATAAACCAAACCCCACAATCTCGCAACCAACCATTGACTCGGAGGCGAGTGAGTGAGTACTGAGCTTTGGTTTAACATTTTGTGACCCGGAAGGAGGAGATGGATCCGACGACGCCGTTTCTCTCGCACAGTGGCGAGCCTGAGGAGGACTATGCTCCGGCGAGGACATGGAGCGACCTGAAGCAAGTTCTGTCCACAGAGTCGGCCAAGATGTGGATGATCGCTGCTCCGATTGGTTTCAACATCATCTGCCAATACGGCGTCACTTCCTTAACCAACATCTTCGTCGGCCACATCGGCGAGATCGAGCTCTCCGCCGTCTCCATCTCTCTCTCCGTCATCGGCACCTTCTCCTTCGGCTTCCTGGTACACACACACACACACTCTCTCTCTCTGTTCTACTAAATTATTGTGTTGAGCTTTGGGTTTGATTTGGGTATTGAAAACTGTAGCTAGGCATGGGAAGTGCACTTGAAACACTTTGTGGCCAAGCATTTGGAGCTGGTCAAGTCCATATGTTAGGTGTTTACATGCAGAGATCTTGGCTTATCTTATTCGTCTCTTGCATCTTAATCCTTCCGGTTTACATCTTCGCCACGCCGGTTCTGATATTTTTCGGTCAAGCAGAGGAGATTGCTGTTCCGGCTGGACAGTTCACTCTCTTAACCATCCCTCAGCTCTTCTCACTCGCCTTCACTTTCCCTACCTCCAAGTTCCTTCAAGCGCAGAGCAAAGTCATCGCCATAGCTTGGATCGGGTTTCTTGCTCTCCTCCTTCACGTTGGTATGCTCTGGCTCTTCATTGTCGTGTTTGGTTGGGGAACAAACGGTGCTGCCTTGGCGTTTAACCTTACTAATTGGGGAACAGCCATCTCTCAAATCGTTTATGTGATTGGTTGGTGTAATGAAGGCTGGTCTGGTTTGTCTTGGCTGGCTTTTAAAGACATTTGGGCTTTTGTTAGACTCTCCATTGCTTCCGCTGTTATGCTTTGTCTTGAAGTCTGGTACATGACGAGTATCATTGTCCTCACTGGTCACCTTGACAACGCTGTTATCGCTGTTGATTCCCTTTCTATATGGTGAGTTGAGTTTCATGAGGAACACATCTTTGTACCCTCAAAACAAATCTTGGACTCTTTTAACATTTTTGGATTTTTTTTTTTTACATTTCAGCATGAATCTCAATGGTGTGGAGGCCATGCTGTTCATTGGAATAAACGCTGCTATAAGGTATCATCACCATCTGAATCAACATTTCTTTTTGTTAAACCCATTGTTCAGCTGACTATTCAACTTATAGACCGTGTCTTGTGTAATATATTAGTGTCCGTGTCTCCAATGAGCTTGGCTTAGGCCGTCCACGAGCAGCGAAATACTCTGTTTATGTCACGGTGTTCGAGTCACTTCTCATTGGTCTTGTCTTTATGGTGGCCATCATCATAGCCAGAGACCATTTTGCTGTCATCTTCACAAGCAGCGAAGTACTTCAACACGCAGTGTCTAAGCTAGCTTATCTTCTTGGTATAACCATGGTTCTCAACAGCGTGCAGCCAGTTATATCCGGTAAACAAGATCTAAAATCTCATTTCCGTCAAAACCAATCCAGAGGAGGTCTCATTAAATTGGATTTTTTTTTTTTTTTTAAGGTGTGGCTATTGGTGGTGGTTGGCAAGGGTTAGTGGCTTATATCAACTTGGGTTCTTACTACATTTTCGGCCTTCCCTTTGGATATCTTCTTGGTTACAAAGCAAACTTAGGAGTGATGGTAAGTGAATTTAGAGAATGACATGAATAACATAAATCTATACCCGAGTTGCTTTATAAACTTATATACGTGAGTATATATTATGATGTTTTCAGGGACTTTGGATTGGAATGATTGCCGGGACAGCACTTCAAACGTTGTTACTGATGATTGTTCTGTACAAGACAAACTGGAATAAAGAGGTAAGAACCTGACACACAAAACCATAGCGTATACGCTTGTACACTGAGATCGATTTTATTGGTTATTATGCAAATAACTAATATAAAAAAACTCTGATAAAACAGGTTGAGGAGACGATGGAACGTATGAAGAAATGGGGAGGGAGCGAGACGACAAAGAAGGATGTGATTGCTTGATTGTTTTTTTTTTTTTTTTATAGCTTACATGAACATGTGGTACCTCTCGGCTTTTTTTTGTTTGATTTTCATTGGTTTGGCAGCACCAGACACCAGTAACCTATATTTACTATCTAGGATGTAGGAAACTGTTCAATCAGTGATGTAAGTAACGATGCCTTTGTTACTTTGTTCCAAAAGAAAAGGTGTAGTTGAAGTGACACAAAACCATCAGACAGCTTTTTTAGTTTTAATTTAACATCGTTATGAATTTCTACTACCAAACGCTTGAGAAGCCAATCTATTTTCGTTCTGTTCTTTTAGTCAAAAACTAATACAATTATTGAGCATAACTTAATCAGTTAGTCAGGATGGCCGAGCGGTCTAAGGCGCGAGACTCAAGTTCTTGTCCTCGTAAGAGGGCGTGGGTTCAAATCCCACTTCTGACATTTGTTTTTTTTTTTAATTTTGCTATACTTTGCAATATTTTTTTTTAAGAGAATGCAAGCGTGTCTCGATTTCTTTGAGGAATGTAGCGTGAGATTCAGAAGTTGCATGTTCTTGAGATTTAATAAAGTTCAACAAAACAAAGTTTATGATACTAATTAGTAAATTGTAGCTAACATCCACAACATTCCACAAAATCTGAAATTATCGATTTCGATTTGTCTTTTCAATTTAGATTACTCTTTATCTCCACAGACATTCATCACCTTGAGGATGAATGCACGTGTAAATGTAATATATGTTTTTTTATCAATCTAATAACCAACAAAATTCTATAAAATTTTCTGAGAAAGCAAAATCTGATTTAATAAAGCTCAACAAAACAAAGTTTATGATACTAATTAGTAAATTGTAGCTAACATCCACAACATTCCACAAAATCTGAAATTATCGATTTCGATTTGTCTTTTCAATTTAGATTACTCTTTATCTCCACAGACATTCATCACCTTGAGGATGAATGCACGTGTAAATGTAATATATGTTTTTTTATCAATCTAATAACCAACAAAATTCTATAAAATTTTCTGAGAAAGCAAAATCTGATTGAATAAGTTTGAAGAGTTAGAAGCCTCGTAAACAAAAATAGCCAATCAAAGGTTCAAAATGATTACAAACTGATACTTGGATTAAACCCTAAACCCTTGCAAGATTCTAGCGAGAACAAGAGAAAAGCAAAAACTGAGGAACTGGCAACAACGGAAGAAGAGTGAAACAAAATCCCAATACTAAGAAATTTCTAAACTTCTAAGCAGCAGTAGCGGCCTTGGTCTTCTTAGGTACGCGATAGGAACCAACGACACAGGCATGGTCACGCTCAAATGGCTCGAGCGTCACCTGCTCTGCTGGCTTGAACTGCTCCTGTTGCAGCTTCTTCACTTCGCTCTGAAACACAGCTTCTGCTGGAACCGTTGAGTCGATACAGTTTGCCTGCAAAAAAAGAGATTAGAGATGATTACTAAACTTAGCCTGTGAATAGAAAGAATATGCCTAGATCATGGATAAATGTTTGGATTTGCTACTAACCTTGATTGAGATCACAAAGTGACCACCTGATTTGAGGAAGAAATTTGCATTCAGAGCCAAGATCCTAGCCTGCACGGTTTTTAAGGGCAAAGCACATTTCATAAAGAACTTCATAAAGAACTATTACAAACCAACATAGTATGATAATAATACCTGCCGTGCATTAGAAAGTTGGGAGAGAAGTAGGTTGCCAATCAAAACATAAAACCAAATACAAATGTTTAAAACAGCTTTAGATGTTGAACCAAAAAACTAGCTTTAAATTTCCTAAATTCCCCCACAAAAAAAAACGAATCAGAACAAAACCATTTTAAAGATGCATTTGATTATAACCGAAATGGTACATACAAATCTACAGTAGAATAAGTTTCTGCTTTGGTTACCAAATGATAGACCAAAAGAAAAAAAACGAACTCTGAACAGAAACCAAACTGAAAACTACGTTGTAATAAGGAAAACTAGGAATTCTTAAGCATCAGAAACTTGGAGTTTACATCACCCATGATGATCTGAAGGGGAATCCAAGTAAGATCATCATTTGCAATCATCAGAACACCGTTTTAAAGCAAAGCAAAGCAAAAATATACTGCTATACAGCAAAAGCTTCAAGGAAAATTTCAACGAGTATCAGACATTTACTGCACGTTATAATGAAAGTAAGCTCACCTGATCAGGCTGAGCAACATCAGAGAAGATAACATCAACCATGCCTACAAGCATTCTGTACTTAGCAGGGTGTCTAGCATCCTCGATGATTGGAATGACATTAGTTCTCTTCTTTGCCATGTTCACCAAATCTCTACCACTTCTATGAGAAAACTCAACAGCGTAAACGCATCCCTCCTACCAAATCACAGAGACAATAGATATATAAGCAACAACTAAAAGCATCTCTGAAATGCTCCAGAATCTGATAACCACAAACATAAAGGCTAGGTTTTGCTTACAGGGCCAACTAGATCAGACACATGAGAGACTGTGGTTCCAGAAGCAGCACCAAGGTATAGAACTTTAGCACCAGGTTTCTACATTGAAACGAATACAAACAATCAATACATGAACAAGTCTAACAAACAGCAGCATCAATAAGATTCACACAAGAATGAAACTTACGATCCAAATGTTATCAACACCACCGAGAATAGCAGCAGCCAACTTAGAACGGAAAGGATTCCAGACTCGGTATTCAGTCTTAGTTCCATCTTCATTCTGTAGATTACAATCACAAACCAATTAAGAATCTAAGAATGCAGCTCCAACAAACATCAAATCAATAAATCAATCAATCATGTATTATACCTGAACAGAGATTCTCTTCTCGTTGTAAACAGCCTCACCAGGAACCAAGTTCTTAGTGACAAGAGCATCTTCTTTACCCTTTGCAATGAACACTCCTGCGTGTCTGTGTGGCTCCACAATCACTTTGCTACCTCCCTTCATTCCTCCACGACCTCCTCCTCCTCTGCCGCGTCCACGGTCTCCTCCTCTGCCACGTCCACGGTCTCCTCTACCGCCGCGTCCGCCACGATCCCCACCAAAACTTCTCCCTCCTCCTCTACCTCTACCTGCGGAAGCACCTCGTCCACCACTGTATCCACCGCCACCTCGTCCACCACTGAACCCGCCGCCACCACGTCCTGAACACACAAAAAAACACCATTAAAGCAGAGACTCAGAATCTGATGGAAATAGCGAATACACAAGAGAGCTCTAAGCTATAAAGGAACAACCTTGATATTCAGTTCAGCTAAAGACAGAGAGTTCCGACTAAACGAAAACAGAATACACAAAACAGCCATTTTTAAAATCTGAAAAGCATAAACGGCGGCTAGGGTTCTTACCACCAGTTAGAGGAGGCCTCATCTTTGCTTCTAGATTTAAGAAATGCGAATAGCGGGAGAAGCTGTCAAAGCGAGGGAATAACGAAGGGCAGAAGAAAGCTGCGTCTTTGAGTGTTTTTTATACAAGTGTATCTAGGGTTTTACAGGGTTTAGAAGCTGGCTTATTTATGCATAGATCCTTGTAATTTATCAGAGATAACTTTCGTGCCCCGTGTATTTTTTTTTTAAAGTACTTTTACATGTAGGCTTTAAAATTAACCCATTTACCAAGAGGCCCATTCCAATTTCTTTTTTGTTATAACTATTTGTTCGTTCCGTTTGGATGGATAATCATTCGATGTCGAGTTGATATGCAATTATTGGAAGTTGGAACTATGTTAACAACGTATATATGTATGTCCTAAGACATAGTCCTAAGACAACCCACAACGAGAAAATTATTAACTTCAGAGCAAACCTTTCTCTTACAATGAAAATTGCGCTACTACATGCTTGGGCCTTAAAAATACTTGGGCCTTAAATCTCATAGTTTGGGCCGTCTAATAAAGCAACTCCTCTTATTAGGAAAAACTACGATCAAGAATAATTTATTCTCGAATGAGATTGGTCCACCCACTACAACATTTAGAATCACCTATGGATACAAAATTTAGTATTATTAAGCAATGTTGTTCTCAAGTTATACTCCAAACCAATCTACCGCCAAAAAAAGTTAATACTCAAAACTTATCTTAATTTGGTTTACCGAATTAAGAGATGTACATCATGTTAACTCAAATGATCAGTGAATTAACATGTTCACATTCAATGAAAAGGTGACTTCACAATATTAGAAGGCTAATATATCACGATCAATGAATTAGTGAAGATGTGAAACACGGAATGGATAAATCAGAATGAAAGAAATAAATGAAAGAGGAATGGAGAGAGGAAGTGTGCATGTGGGATGTTGGAGAAAATAGGCCCCATTCCCCATCAATCTTTTTTTCTTTTCGAGTCTCTCCTTACCAATCATTATAACTTTCTTTCCTCAACTTCTATCTAAATCATAAACTTTTTTTTCCCAATATTTGTCAAATTAATGACCATACATATAGCTTATGTATATATAGTAGAGTAGATAGCTAGGTCATAGGCTCGAATTGTTTTTATTTATACGAGTGAAGATTCTCATTGATTATTCCACTTATTTGGCACTTTTTATCATGTTCAATGTCTAGTAGATAACCATGTGACTGCTAGTGGATGGCCACCTTTGGATGTAAAACTTTGTTAATTGTAAACCATTTATAGTTTATGCTTCTTTTATATGTATCTCTGTATATGTCCATATAGGCATATACCGTGTAGACGTTGCAAGACTTCCATAGTTCAAATATATTAACATCGATCACCAGAGTTGTGGATGAGTAAGGCTTTATTTAGTTGACTAGTTGATAATCTGGACTAAGATATCTTTAATGATTCATTATAACGCATAGTTGTATTTAAAATATTTTTTAGTTGTGATCCCACTTGACATATAGACAAACTATAATAATAAATTGTAGTATAATGGTTTGTTCTACCATGATTGAGATATCTTAACTTAAATTCAAATGTTGTTACATAATGTGAGGTTGTGAGTTGTATACGGGAACAATATGTGAAGAAATTATCACTAAATGAATTTAAAATTCACTATATTTTCACATCATGAGTTTTGCCAGATTTTTTTTTAGGATTTTAAGAAGTTAAAACGATTTTATAAAACACAATCGATCCGGATTATTGTTTAAATCATTTGCTTACTGGTTCAACCGCCTAAATCAGTCTATAACTTAAAATATTGCTTCAAATTTTTTTTTAATAATATTGCTTTAAGTTAAATTTCAGACAAAACTTAGAGGTTGTTGGTTCGAGTGATTTTTGGGACAGAACCATATAACATGCTCTGGTCCTGGGTCTTAGAGGATTTATAGGCTTTGGTCCAAAACCTCTTAGTTATTCAAAAAAAAAATTGCTTATATCTATGCTATAAGAAGAATTTTCTAGCATAGTATATGTATGTAAAAAGTGTAACTTCAAGTCATGTATTGTATGTTCTAGTTGAGATCTATCGAGATCTTTAACTATTAAAGAAAGAAAAGTGGAAAGAAGGAAATAGTGTTGAAATTTGAAAATGTGTAGGACCAAAAGTAAATTAATTATTGTAAACTGAAGTTTGATTTAGGTAAGTGTGTGCAATCCACATAACCGTGAAAGGCAAAACTGTATAGTAACTGACTTATTGTCAAAGTCAAGGTAAAAAGAGTTGATATCCATAGTTAGTTAATTAGTACAGTATAACCTCTATAAATTAATACTCGATAAATTAATACTTTGATAAATTAATATACTTTTTAAGTCCTAAATTAATTTTTTAGACTGATTTTTATATCGATAAATTAATAATTTGATAAATTAATAGAATATTGCAATCCCGACATTATTAATTTATAGAGGTTTTACTGTAGTAAAAAGTAAAGAGACATCAATATCCTATTTTCGTTGTCACATTTTTTCATTGCTACGGCTACTTTATTTGTCATATTTTTTATTACAAGACTAGCGAGCAGAGTTCAAAGTGTTCAAAACGTAGTTTGTTTACTTACACAAAAGGATTCATTGCCACTTCTTTAGTTTCTGGTACTATCATGTTTGGTTGCCATAGTGTGTGCAAAGTGAATATCTTTCTTCTCAAGAGAGAAAGGTAAAGGGTCGCATTCGTACGCACGCACGAGGGGTACACATAAAAGTCATTACGCAACTCAACAAAAGAAAAAAAAGATGAAGGAAATGCACTGCACACGTGCGCCTCTCTAGCCCATAAAGGTGAAATACGAAATTGACTAAACTATCCTCTCAATTCTTTGTTTTGTCGCTTTGGTTTAGTCTAATCATTTTGTAAAGCATACAGAATCATAATTCATACACCTTTTAAGATCTTCCACTACCAAAAGTATGGTGGCTAAGACCGGTAACATCTTTTCCTGTTACTAGATTTAAGTTATTTTGTGTTTTAAACTAAAAAGTAAATAATAATTTAAAAGTCAAACTACTTATATTACATAAACTAAGAATAGTAGAAACTAAGAAATATTCACGACCGTTCGATTTGGTTTGGAAGAATCTCTTTTAACTCTTTCAATTGACCCTCCACTTAATCGAAGACCTTTTTATTCCTTTGACGTCAATAAGTTCTACAGCTAATTGGTAACTTTAAGATTGTTTATCCATTTACATTTTCAAAAGTCTTTCAAAGCAATTATAGACTCTTTTTCAAAGAGACTAGGTAAAAACTAAACTGTATATATCTCTAAGACTCTAACATGGACGAAAAGTCATCTTAATTTTCCTATATTTTTCCTTTATTTGCTCGCTAATTTGTAGACAAATGCACAATTGATAATTAAAAAATCATAGGATAACACAAATCTGCAAAACACACCGACTGACATGCAGGATCCGATTCGAAGACCAACTGAGTTTAGTTATTCTCAATATAACCTCATATACAGTATATCACATATGCTAATTAGTACTTATACTACTAACATTCAAGGCCATAATAACTCTTTAATCGGCGATTATTAATCTTAAAAGCATTATTTCTTAGAAGTCGGATATTAACATAACAACTATCTTAAAGTTCTATTTCAAGTTCACTCAAATTTTATACTGTTAAATTTTATACGTTTTTCAATTAAAAATCAATTAGTAATAAGTAGAATGAATCATATTTGTATATATTTTCAAATTGTTATTTTAATTTCAAGCAAAATTCCTGATATAATTTCAGAACCGATCTCTTAATTTTAGAAAACTGCAAGTTAGAACGAAAAAATTGGTGTTATCAGAATAAACTCTAATGTTTAAAAGACTACAAACACATATTTGGTCCATTTGGGTTCATGCTAGACTTTATATAATAACCATGACAACAAACTATGTTCTAATATTATTTTTCATGAGATTGTAACTCAAGTCTCATCTTAACTCTCAATTTTGAATTTCTTAATACATATCATTACGATAGTAGCTCGAAATTGACTATACTACAATCCAAATTCACTTAATAGTTTATCAAATCTCATATTATTCATTTTTTGTTAGTTGTTATAATTTGTTTAGTGATTCTTGGTTAAAAAATAAAAAAAAATACTTGATAAGAAAAACACTATATCAGTATTTGTGGCTATAACCATTGATCTTTATGTCATTTTCATGTTTATACTGCAATAACTACAAATGCAAACATGTTGTCGATCGACTTTTACCTTGATACGATTAGACCGCAAGCACAAGGTTAGTATATGGTATCGAAGAAAATGTTTTGAGTTTTCGAAACTACTAAGAAAGTGTTGATCAGATACACTTAAGAAAGTGATGTAGTAATATCGTTAATTAAAAACTTTAAGAGATGTTTTGTTTTATGAAAAAAAAAAGAAGATAATAGTGCCATTATAGCAAAAAAGAAACCATTGAATATATTCATTCCATAGGTGACCCCAAGCAATAAATATCTGCTCTCCATATGAATTGGTAATAAATACTTGGAGAAATTAAAAACTAATGCAAGTCACGAGAATTTCGCTTACCAACGGAACACTCACAGAAGAGAGCGGCGCATTTATCTTAAAAGATGCACAAACTCACGAGTTTCGCGACGCCTAGCCTTAACTCTCTCAGTGGCATCCCCTGTAATCCTTCAGAAATTCGAGGGTGATTTTGTTATTACCATTTTTTGGTGAATTTTTTAATTTTTCTAGTCACTTCAATTTCCTTTTTTTGTTTTGTTCTGAAGAAAGCCATTTGTCTGCATTGGGGACTCACACTATTGTGCGTTACTCTCCTTTTTTAGTCATTTTTTTTTCTTTTCTTTCCCAATTATTTTTAGCATGATTTAATATTTAACATCACAATAATTGCGAATAATGTTTAGAAAAGGGAAATAAAAAAAATGGAAGCGCGTGGGTCCGAACCGTCAATTCTGACGACGTGGCAATATCTCGTGGGAAATTGAATGAAAACTGTAAAAGACAACGACCGGTGTGTGTGTGTGAGAGAGAGAGAGGCTGGCTCATCCATCATCATAATAATAAAAAGCCTTTTGCTTCTATTTATTCTCTTGTTCGATTTCACATTTTCATTTTTCCTCGGATTTTGTTCTTTTGATTTTACCGGGAAAAGTCTCCACCTCGTTATTTCTGAGATCGATCGAACTAGTGGTCGGAGAGTTTGCAAATCTGGATGTTAATTGTTTGGTGAATCCAAGTCCGAGAAATGAGAAACGTGAACAATAGCGTCGACACGGTGAACGCCGCCGCTTCCGCCATCGTCTCCGCCGAGTCTCGAGTACAGCCGTCGTCGGTGCAGGTTACTATAAGCTCTCTTTTTTTCTTTTCTTAGTGTAAATGTGTATTTTTTTTCTTGTTGTCGTCATTGATCAGTAGTAGTATTGTTGCTTGATTTGCCTTTCTGACGGTGAATCGTGATTCCATTCTATGTTTGATTGCTCCAAGAAATGAACTTTATGTGAAAGTGAGAAACTTTTGAAATTTGATGTTTGATCCGGTTTGAAAGTTTCGAAATTTAGCAGCATGCCCACTTTATTTCACTTTATTTTAGCCTTTGATTCTGCATGTAGCTGATCAAGAATCTTGTTTTTTGTTCTCTTATGTCTTGAAAACTTTTCAGAAGAAAAGATGGGGAAGCTGTTGGAGCTTATACTGGTGTTTTGGATCACAAAAGAACAATAAACGGATTGGTCATGCGGTTCTTGTACCCGAACCGGTTTCATCCGGATCAGTTCCTGTGGCTCCAGTTCAAAACTCTTCGACAAACTCGACTTCGATTTTCCTTCCTTTCATAGCTCCTCCTTCATCTCCTGCATCGTTTCTGCAATCAGGTCCTCCTTCTGTGTCCCATACTCCTCCTGCTGGTTTACTTTCTTTAACCGTGAACACATATTCCCGAAACGAACCGGCTTCAGCTTTTGCTATTGGACCTTACGCTCACGAAACTCAGCCCGTAACTCCTCCTGTAGACTCTGCTTTCACAACTCGACCATCCACTGCACCGTTCACTCCACCTCCAGAGTCAGCTCAAATGGCTTCTACAACACCTTCTTCCCCTGAAGTTCCCTTTGCTCAGTTACTTACTTCTTCTCTTGAACGAGCTCGGAGGAACAGTGGGGGAATGAATCAGAAGTTTTCAGCTGCTCACTACGAGTTTCACTCTCATCAAGTGTTTCCAGGAAGTCCTGGTGGTAATCTAATCTCTCCTGGCTCTGTGATCTCAAACTCTGGCACTTCTTCTCCTTACCCTGGTAAATGCTCCATCATCGAGTTTCGTATCGGAGAGCCTCCAAAGTTTCTTGGTTTTGAGCACTTCACAGCGCGTAAATGGGGTTCGAGATTCGGTTCTGGATCCATCACACCTGCTGGTCAAGGTTCAAGGTTGGGTTCAGGTGCTTTGACTCCTGATGGTGGAGGACTCGGCTCAAAGCTTGCTTCTGGTGCTGTCACACCAAATGGTGCTGAGATGGTTTCAAGAAAGGGTTCTGGAAACGTGACGCCACTCGAAAGCAGTCTTTTGGATTGTCAGATCTCTGAGGTTGCGTCTTTAGCCAATTCGGATCACGGCTCGTCAAGGCATGATGAAGCCGTCGCGGTGGTTAGTCACAGAGTTTCTTTCGAGTTGACTGGTGAGGACGTTGCACGTTGCTTCGCAAGCAAGCTAAACCGAGCCGGTTTAGATGATTGTTTACATGAGAAAGCCAATGGCGATCACACCGATACGAACGAGGCGGTTTCGCCTACAAACAGATGGAGTGGTTCGGTTCCTGGTAGTAAAACGTCGGGAGAAACAGAGAGCGAACAGAGTCTTAAGTTGAGATCGATTTCGCTAGGATCGAGCAAAGAATTCAAGTTTGATAACACAAAAGAAGAGATGATAGAGAAAACAGCGGTTAGATCAGAGTGGTGGGCGAATGAGAAGGTCGCAGGAAAAGGTGATAACAGTCCAGGAAACAGTTGGAGTTTCTTTCCGGTGTTACGGTCTGGTTTCAGTTGACAAACTGAGAGATAAGAAAAAGCCTTTCATCTTCTTCATAACCCAAAAGAAAAAGCTCTTTTAACAGTGGAAGCAATTCAGTGATAGTATATGGTAAGAGATTGGGGTCTAACAACTTATACATTATATATACATAACTAGCTTTGCATTGTAGGAATCTATTGTGTACTGATATGATATATTTATAATATTCTTTGGATCATTTAACAAGCTTGGTGTTGGTGTAAAATAGTCGTAACTCTTTCTGGTAGACTTCACTTTCGACGAAATAAAGATTATTTTACTACACAAAAAAATGAAAAATATGAGAAACCCATTCCAAGTTTCAACTTTCAAGTTTATACCCTCACAATGGAAAAAAGGTCAACGAAATAATAAATCCATCTCTTTCAATCGCCAAAAAAGAAGTGAAAAAAGAAAGAATGAAGACCTTTGAAAACCAAGAAAAAAATCTCTCTAGATGCAAAAGAAAAAGAAAAATAAAATCTGTCTCTCTCGCTAAGACTGCACTTTTGGTATACCTAAAAAGAATGATACTCTCTGGTCCAGAATTCAAGATTTGTTTCAGTGTTTCAAGGAATCCTCTGTTTTAGAACATACTTTACCTTCGTGCCCTTCTCGGGTTTCATCCTGAGCTTTGGTCTTGCGGCGGTTATAACACCATTTGAGGATTCGTGAGTGTTGTTGCCCGACATGTCTGTTTCCTGAGACAGAACCAATGTCACGTGTTCTGCAGAGGTTGCCTCTTTCCATCCTGACAAACCAATTCAGATTTAGTAAAACAGTTTATACATATTGAAATTAATCGATAGGGAGATTAAATAAGAAAAGAAGTTTAAAGAAGTTTTACTCTGTGCAAGAAACGCCTTTGCTTCGTGGTTGTTGAACTGCGAGCTTATGTGATGAGCGGTCTTAACTTCGGGTGCAGTTGCGTTTGACTTCTTATCTTCTTTGTCTGCGTTTTCATCGACTGTTGAGACTTTCCTTCCCTGACTGCTCACTGGTCTCCATACTTTTGCATTTGATTGCTCAGATGTGGGTCTAGCCTCAACAGTCTTTGTTCTTCCCTCCTCTTCACTGTTATTTGTTTGGTTATGTTCTCCACTTAGACAGCTGTTTCGGATTGTTACACTCACCGATCCAATCAGAACTTCCCTGTTCTTTGTTTGATCCAGTTGAGTTGATATCGATTTGGGGTTATCGGCTTTTCGGCTCCAAATTTTAGTAGTATTGGCTCTTGCGTCTCTGTTAGTTCCATTCTTTCGCATGCCCCCAAGTTTTGGAGCATGATTAGCATGGAACCCATTCGGCATTCCGTATTGTGATCTTTCCATTTGCCTACGGCCACTTCGCCTTTCCATGTTTTGGCCATTACCAAATCCATCAACATCAACCATTGGCGCTTGAGTTTTACTGTTTCTCCCATTGTCCATTTCCAAAACTTGAGGGTCCTCAAGGGATGAACAATCCTCAACTGGTATGGAATCTGATCTCTGTGCCTCGGAATCTGAAGCTACAGATAACGGGCTTGATGACTCAGCTGGAGATTGTTGTTCTTCCGATGTGGTACTCTCGTCTTCCTTGGCATATTTTTTCTGGTCCTTTACTCTCTGTTCTTTCTGTCTTAGCTTCTTCCTCTTCTTCCTCTCCAAGAGCTCAGCTTGTCTGCCGCGGACATAATGCCAGAGAATAAGAGTCAACACTTGGGAACAAATTAAGATTTAGAGAATCTTGTATTTAGTAGCCTTAAATGAGCACGCACCTTCTTCGCGCAGCTTCTTCCTCTTCAACCAGTAAATTCTGGCACCTCAGAGCTTCCGCATCTTTGTCAGCAAGCCATGCTTTAATCTTTACATTAAGAATACAAAGAAAAATTACATGTCACGGAAATGTGCAAAGCGAAGTCCTCGTGCTAGACAATTTGCTTTGCCAACTAGAGATGAATGGTGAAAGAAACCTTGAAGGAAAAACTTTACCAATCGCTGTTCCAGAAGAAAGCTTGCGCAAGCAACGACATTTTTTGCCTCCAGTACATTTTTTCCAATTTCACCGTCAAAAATGTATCTTTGCATTGGTGCAGCCTCGCTACACAGGAAGGTTTTTTCACTCGCATCATCGAGAATGCTAAAAAGTTCCTGCGAAGAAATTGGAAACCTAGGTGGTCTAGCCTGGATAATATCCTGGAGAAATAGGAACATATATAAGCCATGAGGTTGAACATTGAGGATATTTTATCCAGGAAGGTTAAACAGACACCGTCAAGAGAGATGAATTTCATACCAAAAGTTCAGAACCAGCTCTTAGATAATATTGTGGCAGAGCAGTATATCCTGGTTTTTCGATAAAAGACATTAGTCCTGACTCAACTGACGTCCCAGGAACATTCTACAAAAATCCAAACAAAGCATATTAATCAGTAAAGGTCCATGATGCAGAAATGGAATGCTAGAGAAAGGATATCAGGTACTCAACAGGCCTGTGAGAGTATGTATACGAATTAGGTATGGTATAGTCTTGCCTTTTAACTTAAAAGTATTTATTTCGAAATGATTCATATAACCCTGATGAAGTCATATGGCATTCTAGGAAACATATATAACAGTATTTATTATGGTATCACACCTTGCACAACTGAAGAAAAGAAGCAATAAGGCATTGATATAGAGTCAGAACCCTTAGAAACGATGTGACAAACAAGAATAAAATGAGTCACTGGGACGACTGAAGAACATGCTATGCTACACTCATATGTGATGCTCACCATGCGCTTTAAATAATAGAAGATAAGAATTATTTTTTGTAAAAACTGGGAAAGCATCAATGGGAATCATACTACCTCCAGCATCATGCTCTTTAATGAGAGAATCTCCTTTGCATCAGGTACAGAAAGCTGAAAATAACCAGAGAGATTGAACATGAACATTACCTAAATAAAAAACTTATCGAATTGGCAATTAACTGTGAGAAGACGACTAGAGGGAAAACATTACCTTATTCCAAAAGTCTCCCAGCGCATCCCTCTCTTTGCCAGTATCCTTCAAACATGTAAACGCAATCTTCAGATGACATCGAAGGAAAAAGACTAAAGCAACCAGGAGTTCGAAAGACAATAAAAACCAAGATAGTAGAGTTAAGTTGAGACTAAGCAAACCTTTTCAGGCTTTCTCAAACGCCGATGCATGCGGCTATGCCTTCTAAAGTTCACAGGAGAGCAGAACTCCCTGGAACACTTTTCACATTTCTGCATTTGTATCTTCAAAGGAGTCAGCAACGGCCAGCCTGGGAACGAAATAGAACATCAAATAAATTCCAGGTACTATACCCTAAGCCACACATTTATTCAAGCATCACTTTGGACAAGACTAAAACTACACATCCACATAATACCCAAATCCACTTATTCCAATGCTAGAGAAGCATTCGGTCAGTGACAATGTCAGATCCAATAAGATGAGAGACATTAAGGAACTTGGGATTACCTGGCCGTTCTAAGGTATGGAGAAGTTGAAAGAGCTGGACTGGATTGCTTTCAGGTCTAGGGAAGGAAAGAAAAGGGTCTTTTCCAACAGCTCTTCTGATGAGCATGTCGAGAGAATCATTCCCATCTTGTTTCACCAGCTCCATCGAATTCGACTGCAATAAGCTAGACATGAACAAAACACACAGATTCCTAAGAACACAGCACTGACAAATCTTCTAATACTGAACCTATTTTTCCCCTAAGTAACTATCTAATAAATCAAATCACACAGGTCTTGGAGCAGTATTCGATTCAATTATCAGAATCACTAACACTAATTCCTAAATTTCCTCCGTGGCTATGCCACCAAACAACAGAGCAAAACCGAAACTGAAATCATCCTTGAATACAGAAAAAAACAAAGACGGCGGAGAGAAGGTAAAAGTTTCGCGGTTTGAAATCTATCAATAAAGTCATGTGAATACGAGCGAATGAATTCGAATCGATTTAGTGTTTATACAAAGAGAATGGTTTAAAGCGGAGTAAGTCCGATCACGTACCAGTAAAACAGTAACAGATCGGGAGACGAAAGGAAGAAGAGAAAAGGTCGTGAGCGATCCTCGGGGATTCAGAAGCGAGGAGGGGGGTTTGGAAAACGGAGCGTAAGCAGCTTGGCACGAAAGAAAGTCGCCGAGAAAATCCGAGAAAGTGATGGGACGCAAAAGAAAATGAGAGGAAAATTCGGAAGGGGAGGCAAAAGAGCTTGTGGGAGAAATTATAAAGGCATCTACGGGGAAACAAAACAACCCTGGGCTCCATTTCATAAAATCCAGCAAATATTGATTGGGAAACAAAAACAAATTATAAAAAAAAAGAAACAAAAAATTGGTAAAAGGGAAATACCATTTCTTCTCTGAATTTTCTATATTCAATCCAAATTAAATTTCTTAACATATGAGACTATTTGAGGAAAGTCATTCATTAGGATATAGGCATACAGGATTCATGGACATTTGTTTAGATCTCGTTGGCCCGATGATGGGAATAATACAATCTCTCATCTTTAGGCTTAATTGCCAGATATCATATCACAACTGTCGAATCGAAAGAGTTTAAAATCGGTCTATGCCGAGAACATCATGTACAAATAGACAAACCACTTCTGTTGTGTTTCTTTGCCATTAGATGCATCTCCTCTAATACACTGTTACAAATGTATCAGGAATAAGCTAAAAAAAAAACTAGTGTATACATATTTTTTATGGAATATACTTTTTTATATGAAAATCTGTTGTGATGGAATATTCAAAGTTAAATTATTAGACCACCTCCAATGGGAGGTTGTTAGAGAATTCTAAACCCATTTTAAGATTAAAAATAAAGATTAAAGGTAATAAAGCTCAATAACCGCTCCTTGGTGAAGAGATTTAAAGACTCATAAACAACTCCATACGTGTCATAATCTGTTTGGTGGAAGCAATAAGAATTATTTTTTATTTTATTTTTCACTCAAAAAATCAGTTTCTCTCAAACTTTACCCGATACAAAATTTTGCTATCTTCTTCGAAGAAATCGAAACCACTTTTACCTGGGTGCGTTTCAAGCGGCGATCAACAACAGCGAGATCCCTAATCTTTCGCAGGAGGATATCGTCGAGCGCGATTGCCTCGTCCACCGCTCTTACATCGCTCTCGGTAGCTACCAGGTTCGCCTCTGTGATGTCTTCTTCTTCCGATTCGATTCCTCTTTGTTTCGATCCTGAGTTGTAATATTTTTTCAAATTTTGTTTTCGTAGCTTGTCATCAATGAGATCGACGAAGCGTCCGCTACTCCTCTGCAGGCAGTCAAGCTCCTTGCTATGTATCTATCGAGTCCTGAAAATAAGGTACTTCCAGAGAATTTGAGATGTTTCAGTTTTCTAATTTTCCTTTTCCAATTCGGAGATGATCAATAATGCAAATCACATCGATTCGTGCTCAGTAACGTTAGCTTAGCGGAATTTCCGAGAACTTTGCTAAGGAATCAGAAATTCAATTTATCATCGTCGTATGTTTGTGATATGCATTGTTGAATACATATTTGTATATGTGATTTTGGTCAGGAATCAACCATTTCAAGCTTGAAGGAATGGTTGGCAGATCCAACCGTAGGAAACAATGCTACTATTCGTTTGATTGCTGGTACTATATTAATTGAAACTTTTCTTTTTGATATCAACTGTATAAAACTTTTGTTATCTCACGCCACACTTCTTTATGAAACGCAGGACAAGAACTCTGCTATTGCTGGAAGTAGAAAGATCGTACGTACCAATGTTTCTTCAAGTAAATAACTTCTCTTATGAATCCTGTTTTTTTTCTTTTGTAATTTACGGTTGCATAGAAATGGATTGGTTTATGATGATAGATATTGATTCATGTTATTGCTGATATTGGTTTATAATGCTTTGTACTGTTAGGTTATAGATAGAAAATGAAAGAATGGTTACTGCTGTGTGATCAATGCTGCTAGGTTATGTATGTAATGTATGTTTGTAATTTAAATTAACGAAATAATTTTTAATTATAACATTTTAACATTTTAGATTATTACAATTTTTTTTAACAAAGAACCTCCCATTGGAGGCTTAAAAACAGAAAACTCTTCCATATATATATAGATGTATGTAACTCAAACAAATAATTAAAAAAGAATCAAGAGCTCCAATGGGTCTCAACCATTGGAGATGCTCTTATACTTTTTGGAAAATGAATGCACTATTCACATTTATATCCCATCATATACCAAACCCCAAAAAAAAAAACAGCTGAAGTATTGAAAATGTTTCAGTTATGGTCCAATGATCAAATATGATGAGAATCCTTTCAAGAATCAACAAGCGTTGCAGCTCTTTCTGCATGTACCGAAGTAGTCAGGAGAGCCAATCATAAAGACAGGGTTTTTCTTGCACTCCCCAAGCTCAGCCCATCGTCGACAATTCTCATCTTCATCACTGCATTCACCACCACCACTCTCATCGTTTCTCTCTTGTTTCTTCGCATATATCAGTTTTGTCGCCACCAACAGTTCCCCTTTCAGCACAGGGCATCTAAAATGAGTGCTTGTCTGATCCAGAGATGCATTCAAGTGTCTTGTGAAGAACAGAACCGCGTTTCCTTTTACCGGTCTTAAGATGTTACCGGTTTCTGAACATTCGGACCAACTCTTTTTGGGTTTTAACTGAAGAACAAACAAAAAATGGAAATATGAATTCCTCATTCTTTGTGCTGTGCCAAGATAGATCTTTTTGCTTTTAGGGTTTATATGTTATTTACTTTACCTCCGAGTTTGGGAAGAGAAGCTCTCCGCCTTCAGTTGTGTCTGAGACGTACAGAATCACGGTAGCCAACAAAGATTCATGCGTTTCCGAGCTAGATTCTTCTCCAAAATAATCCAACTTTTTGCCTGACTTCTCTGAAGCGTAACTTGTTACCTTGATCGGACCGCTGTTTTCTGAAAAATGGGCATCAAAAGAGAAACATAAGCCAGCAGTTTTGCCCAAGAAGAAAGGGATATCAAAGTGTCTCAATAGATTGAAAACCAAAGATAAGTAAAGGTTAGTACTTAATACCTCTTGGGAGGAAAGTCCACGCAGAAATTCTTTCTTCAATCCCAGCAACTACTGGATCCTAGTTTATCCAAAAATTATACAGCCATAAGGATTTGAACATAACATTGTTATGGCCATTTCGAACAACCGAGGTGGTAACTGCTAATACTAGGGTTAACACCATCGCTTTCTAACTTGCTATGGTGTGAAATCACCTCTGTTGACTCGATAAACGAAGATAAGGATGTAACAGAAAGGTAATGACTAATATGTCACAGAAAATTACAAGCATGTATCTAGGAGTCTACTTGAAGAACATTCAGCATCTATAACACATAGTGTTTCGAGAACATTACAAAAGATTTCTTGTCAAGCCTAGGTATCTTCAAGAATACTGGGAACTTACCGGCACATTTAAGGCGTACCCAGAACTTGAAAGTTGCGTCATTCCATCAGCATCCCCTGAGTTAACCTCTGAATTTTCTTTTCTCTACAGAAAAGAAAACAACCATTACACAAAGATAAATGTATCAATAACACTCAAAACCGAAAGGAGGGTGGAATTTACCAGAGATTTCAGATGATCACACTCTTCCTCTGACAAGAACCCACGGTAAAGGAAGACCCTGGACATATATCAAATAAATTCAGACCCCAAAATGTGTAACTCTAGCAAAATGACGACTAAAATTGCAGGCTATCTAAATCTTCGAGAAAACAATTAGAAAATTCATGAGCAGACTGTGTATAACTTGATGCATCAAAGAGTACCTGACCTTGGTTGCCATGAAAGTTGAAGAACACGTCTCGGGTCCACAGATTTAGATCCAAAATCATAAATCGACTGTGTGCCCACCCTATTTTCTTTATCTCGGAGTTCCTTCCGACTGCAGAAAGGCGAAAAAAACTCAATAATAATGAAATAAAAGGAAAGGATGATGCATCAATCTCCAGCGAACCAAGCGACAAAATCTGAAGATACAGGAACAGTAATAAAGCTAGCGAAACCGGATTGTGTCTTAACAAATGCTAATCGCGAGATACGGTTCATAGTAATAACAGAAACGTTTGAATGTAAAGCTACATGCATCGCTAAAAAAGAAGAAACCCAGTTAAAGGATCGCAGCTCGGTGTTATGATTGATGAAAGAGAGATTTCGAAATGGACCTTCCACCGGAACAGAAAGGAAAAGAAGAAGAAGACATCATAATCATCATAATAAGGAATATTTGGCTAAGGGAAGCCATTGCTCCAGCCTCCAGTGGTACTGAAACATAGCAGAAATGGAAATCCTGAGGAATATCTCTTTCCGAATTCCAGCTGACAATCCGATGAACACGATGATGATGCGACGTCGTTTGGGAAGTTATGACCTTAAAAAGTTTGGGAAGATTGCAAGATAGCGTTCCAAACTATCAATTTTTGTAAATCTACCCTCTATCAATGAAAATTGCAAAATAACCTTTTTTGTTATTTTTTCTTTGCTTTTGTTTTTAGGCCAACTCATTGTATTAGATTCGAATAATCCATATCAAGATATAATTATTCCCATATGGAAAACTCATAAACCCTTTTTAGGGGCAACATCAAAACCTCAAACATAACAATGTAGCAAAATAACCAACTCTTTAATTTAAATCACTAAAAACTCAACAATAGTTGAACCTGTATTATTGATAAAAGTTCAAGCTTCCCATTTTGGCTTCAAAAAACTACAGGCTTGTCACATATTAGATTGCGTGATTCCTTTATAAGTAAAACCAATGAAAAGAGAGAACTCTTCGGTTTCATTTAGAAGTTCAATCAAATGGGCACAAATGATCCAACCTAGCGATCAAACGTGAACAATAACTAAACAAGTCATGCATGTGGACATCAATGCTATACAATAAAGTTGACAAAAGAGATTGCAATTGATTCCACGCAGAAGATAAAATCCATAAACGTATATGCATGATGCATACGTAAAAATGTATGCACACGTACAAAAATATATGCTAAAAATAGAGTGGAAAAGTGCCTTGAAAGAAGGGATGGTTAGGCGAATTTTAAGGTTTGAAAAAAAAGAAAAACAATGTGTGGTGTGATCACCAAAAAGACAGATCATAGACCAATATTAAAGATTAATAAATTAGAGCTTTTAGTTGTCCGAGTTCGTCTCGATCCTCTCTTAACAAACCAATTAACCATTATCTTCTTCCTTAATTCGCCTCCCAAATTTCATTCCCATCTCCCTCTTTAATTTCCAGAGGACAATATTCACACAAAAACAACAAATCTCTTTTCCTCAAGTCTTGCCATAGAAACTAAACAAAAGCAATGGTTTGTTCTCTTCTCTTCTTTTGTTAATTAATATGTAGGATTGTTGTTTGTAAACAAAGGCCTTATAGGCAATCGAGGTGATTCTATTGTTAAATAAGAATTGCATTAGTATTGATATATCATCTGATTTGTGCCTTTCGTAGACCTGATGATTATTAAAAATCTGGAGTTTGGATGCAATGATTGTCTAATCATGTTAGATGTCGATTTCTCGGTTTTCACCATGTTATTGACGAGGTTCTAGTTTGTATAGTTTTATCTCATTTTAACCAATAGATCATATTAGCGGGATAACTCAATATATAGACTAAGATTAGAACTAATGTAGCACATACAACACGTAAGCTTATATATATACACGTAAAACCTAGCTAACTTATCAAAGAAAAATAATTAATTTTTCCCGGTATACAAAAAATGCAACATTTTTACTATTTGATCATGTGATGGCGAAATAATGGTGATGGATGTGGGATATATGACATGATTGAATGAAAAAGGCGAACGCGGCGTCGGGGATGGCAGTGGAGGACGAGTGCAAGCGGAAGTTTTTGGAGCTAAAGTCGAAAAGAAACTATCGGTTCATTATATTCAGGATAGACGGGCAGCAAGTGGTGGTCGAAAAGTTAGGAAACCCTCAAGAGACTTACGATGATTTCACTGCTTCCCTCCCTGCCGACGAGTGTCGCTATGCGGTTTTCGATTTCGATTTTACCACCACTGAAAATTGCCAGAAGAGCAAAATCTTCTTCATCGCCTGGTACGTACCATATATGTTTTCTAATCAGTCCCTTCATTGATATATTCAAATAGTGCTTATGTTTTTGGGGTTGTTTGGATGATGGTAGGTCACCGGATTCATCTAGAGTGAGGATGAAGATGGTGTATGCGAGCTCTAAGGATAGATTCAAGAGAGAATTGGACGGCATTCAAGTGGAGTTACAAGCCACTGATCCTAGCGAGATGAGCTTCGACATTATCAAAAGCCGAGCTCTCTAGATCCTTTTTTCATCAAAGCATCTATATATCATCTTTTCGTATTTCTGATATTAAAAACAAAAAAAAATTGAAAAACCTTTTCCATGTTCTGTAATGTTCTTGGTTAAGAACTGCATCCTTCATCGTTGTCTCCATTCAATTTTTCACTCCTCTTTGTGAACATTTTGTTATGAAAATGTAACTGGCTTTTATACTTTCGTAAAACCGTGTAGCTTGCTTGCTGTGAAAGTATATTCAAACAGAGCTTCTTGTGTAACTTCTCAAATGAAATCTAATTAGTGCTCTGTCTCCATTTGCTAACACAACGTCGATATGTCCGAGTGGTTAAGGAGACAGACTTGAAATCTGTTGGGCTTCGCCCGCGCAGGTTCGAACCCTGCTGTCGACGGCTTCACTATTATTTTGCCCATCCTCTCTCCAATTTTGGTCTACACAATGCGTTGTCCGACTTGCGTTTATTCCCAATCGTAGTTTTGGTATGTTAAACCAAACTTATTCATATTTTTATATGGCAAGAGTAATACAGCAAAATCAGCTATTGGATCAAAGTCTGATCATCAAAAACCATACTACACACATTAATATACAAAGCATTAACAAACCATACATGGAAAAAAAAGTAAAGCAGCAAATGTCAGTTTCCAGATTCTTGAAATCTCTTCTGCACAGGCACAGAGTCACTCTTGTCACCGCTGCGTTGACCCGCCCCATCTGCTCCCGAACCGGAAAATCCCATATTCCCTAAACCAAATTAAACCAAAAATCAAAAACACATTCCTCACAACCGCCAAACGCTACAAAACGCTATTTTAATTCTAAGAAAAAAACAACGGCGTTACCGACGGTGGAGCCGACGGACTGTGAAGAGTCCTGAACAGACTCTGTAGACTTTTGCATCACTTCCTCCGTCGTACCGGAAATCCATGACGTCACAGCTCCTCTCAACATCTCCACCATTCCTCCTTCGCCTTCCTCCGCAACCGCTTCTTCCCCGTGTTTCATCGCCCCTTCCGATTTCGGATCTGAGAATCCTCCTAGCCGCTTCTCCACCTCCTCCGATTGAGTCACTATCCCCTTCTTCGCCGGCGCCGTCGTGTTCTCGCCTCCGAGATGAAGCTTCTCGGCGACAACTTCCGACAAAGCCTTGTCTTCCTCTCCCGGACTTAATTTCTCCGACAGATATTCTCTGGCCGAGACACCCTTGTCTTGTCCCTGCTGGGTTTGCTCTACTTTTACACGATTCAAGTCGCCGCCGTCTCCGAGTTCCCCGTAGTATCCCAGCTTCGAAGCGACGGCGTTTTTTGCCGCTGCAGCTTTATCAGCTACGGCCGAAGTCACCGATGCGATCTTATCTGTGTAACTGCTCTGATTCGGCTGATGCATCTCATCCTCACGGATCCATAATCCTTGAGTTCCCGTCGGAATCTCTTTTTCCAATTCAGCCCCTGATTTCACTTCAAACTCATGGCTCCTCGCCGGAGATTCTTTCTCCAATCCAGATCCATAGTTCCCCGCCGGTAAATGTTTGGGTCCTGATTTCAAATCAAAACCATGGCTTCTCTCCGGCAGATCTCTTCCAAGCCTTAATTGATCATCTTCTTCGCCTGTTTTTTGCCTCCTCCCAAAAGCTGGGATAGCCGGTGCTGCTCCAATTTCTCCACCAGCTAAGATACAGAAACGACATTGATCAAAAATGTAAGAGCAGACGACATTCTAACTCTAGAATCCGAAAGTTGTTACCTTTTCCAGTGGGATCAGTAACTTTGGACTGATGATTCGATTTCCGGCCAAGAGCTCCTGATCTTCCACCTGGAGCAGCCGGATCTTCCTCCAATCCTCTGGGTCTCTCGATATTGACCCTACGTTGTTCACCAGGAACAAACGTTCTCGTGACATCTTCAGTCGAAGAGAGCAAAGAAACAGGGGTGTTGTGCGGTGTCAGTGTAGCAACCCCTCTTCTCTCTTCTTTTTCCGATACACCGGAGGGTCTCACAGGATGAGACAGTGCTTCGTGGCCGTGAGAGGCATTGGAGCCTCGTAGTACTGGTTCGGCTCCTCTGATTGGTTTCGTGTGGGAAGAGGACACGACCGGAAAAAATTTTGTGCCTGGAGGGACTAGCTCCTCCTTCAACGGGTCCTGCTTAATGTGAGTGTTTCCTCTTGCTGTCGAGACCAAACCGATAAACCGTTAATACCAAAACATTAACCGTCTTTCTGAATCAGAAATGGAGACAAGGTTAAAGTGAAGCAAAGAGCGGACAAAGACCTGGTGCACCGCCGTGGAGTTTTTGGTCTTTGTAGTCACCTTCATCGTCTTCTTCGTCTAGATCGTGATCGTCGGGGATGTGTTCTCCGTGCTCATGACCATGTCCATGTTTAGTAAGAGCTTTCTTTATTTTCTTTGCTTTTTCCTTAACTTTCTTCAGAACTTTTCCTGGTCCTTTCTCATGATGCTCTTCTTCCTCTGCATACAAACACATAGAAAATGTTCATTAGGCTCCGTAACTTCATTCTAAACTTTGGAATGGTGAAAGAAAAAACTACTTTTTCTGTTTATAAAATCTGGTATACCTGGATGCTGAATCCTAATTGGTCCCTCTGCTTGGTGATGGCCATGAGTACGTTGCAACTGCGTTTGCGAATCCATTATCCAACTCTATATCCCTTTGGATTTTCTCTTTGCGTTTCTCTGCAACCAAATTGCGTCTGAGAAAATCTGAGAAGCTTCTTGAAAGCTTTATATAGAGATCAGAGAGAGTCGAGGAAGACGCATCGCCGAACCACCTCTGGATTGCTGTGTCCTCTGTATCTCTGTTACGGATCGACACGTGTTGTGCATTGCCACGTATCAGGCGCTTTGACTGTGTACGTGGCTCTCTCAGTCCTAATCTTTATCCGAGACGAATCGTCGATCTAACTTCTTTAGTCCACCTTAATAATTTAGTTCATCACTTTTAGTAAACGGGAACAAACCTGCCGTTTCGAATGTTACTAAACGGCATGTCGTTCTCACTCAAAATTCCATCGACACGAAATGAGACCATATGGGGTATTTTACATTGTAAACCGGTTCGGACATAACCTTTTTGCAAAATATTTATTTGGGCCTGAAAGAAGATCCAGTATGCTCAATCGCGGTAGAAGAGCAGACACGAAGCGCGGGGTTAGATGCAGCTACCACAACATTCACGTGTCAGAATATCATTTGCGGATTCAAGAACTGCCACGAAATTACGTCTGAATATAAAAATCGAAAAGGATCGCGAGGCCCACGTATCTCCCAAGATGGGCCCACAATGGGATAATAGAACTATAGAAGAAGTTGGTTTTCCTGTGTCTTCTCAGAGGCTGAGGTTCGAGCTCTTTTTTGGTTCCAATCTTCGAGATTAATCGGACAAAGGAGAAAGAGGAGGAAAAAGACAAGAGAAAGAAGAAAACACAGTCCAGTAGAAAAGTTATGGCTGTCGGAATAAACGCGATGGCGGTGACGTTTGTGGCGCACGCGCTCGCGGTAATCGCGGCGATTATGGTGCTGTTTTGGAGTATCAGCTACAGAGGCGGATTGGCCTGGGAAGCTGAAAACAAGAATCTCATCTTCAATGTATCGTTTCTTTGATCTCTCTCTCGATTTCGTCTCGTTTCTCTCTCTTCTTTTTTCCTTCTTGCGTCTGCGTTGACTCTCTGCCTCTCTGATTGGTGTGTAATTTTACAAATTAAAACTAATCTCAGTTCCGAAAATTTTGTTTTTACAGTCTTGTCCTTGTCTGCAAATTTTGAATCTCTATCTCTTTCTCAGCACTGTTTCTGAGTGAGTGACTTTTTTTTTCTGTAGTGGAGAATTCTCTTGATTTGTAATCGTTACGTTCTTATATGTTTTAAGTTGTAAAAATGCGTCTTTTGATAGTTAGTCAGATAGATTTTGGGAACAATAATCATCATTTGGTGTGTCCCAAGTACTTAGATTAAAGTTTTGCTGTGGAGGTGCCTTATGATCCAAGAGTGTTGTTAGGGTCAAGTGTTCAGTTTTATTACAGTGTCTGAGTGAATGTGCTAAAGATGAATGTTTTGTCTTTATTGACGTCTGCTTGATGGTATAAAGATAATGAAATCTCTTTTGGCTATAATCTTATTTCAAAGTTCTTATTGTAATCTTTTGTTCCCAATCTTAGTCACAGTCTTTGCTTGTGTTATGAACTTAATGATACTTTTTTTATCTGATCCATTTTCTCTACCAATATATCTGATCATTCTTTCTTTCATTTCTCTTATGTATGTGATCCAGCTGCATCCTGTTCTGATGCTCATCGGATTTATAATCTTGGGAGGAGAAGGTAAACAATAACAACATCTGTTGAACAATGAGAAGAAGTTATGTTACTTTCGTTTCGATCGTTAATGATGATCACTTCATATAAAAGACTATAGAAACCTGTGTGTTAATTGGAAATGCAGCCATTATAAGTTACAAAGCGCTTCCTCTGGAGAAACCAGTGAAGAAGTTAATCCACCTTGTTCTCCATGCGATTGCTCTGGCTCTAGGGATCTGGGGAATCTGTGCAGCATTCAAGAACCACAACGAAAGCGGAATCCCTAATCTTTACAGCCTCCATTCCTGGATTGGTATTGGTGTCATTTCTCTTTATGCCTTCCAGGTAAATTCCATACCCTTTTTGCTCTTCTTTCAATTTTTTTTTTCCATCAAACATGTAATCTGTTCACATAGGAGTCTTGTTGATAAGTGTTCCATTTGGTTCAGCCGCCGAATAGAAATGTCTCTGTGTTCTCTGTATCAGACTGTCTAAAAGTCTACTCACAGAATAACCACAAACAACAAAAAAACTTAGGACTGAATCATATCTTGAAGCATAAGTCCAGAAACTAGATAACATTTTAAATGTCAGCACTTTTAAAAGCTACTGGACATTCCGATTCATAGAAAACGGCTAGCAAGTGAATCTAAATTTCGGAAAAATGTTTTTACCTTTTGTTGTACATTGTTCCTGACCAAAAAAAGATAACACAAAAGTCTTGAACTTTGCAGTGGGTGTACAGTTTCATAGTGTTCTTCTTCCCAGGAGGATCGCCAAATCTAAGAAGCGGATTGCTTCCGTGGCACGCAATGCTCGGCTTATTTGCTTATATACTTGCGGTTGGGAATGCAGCTTTAGGGTTTCTGGAAAAGCTGACTTTCTTGGAGAATGGAGGGCTTGACAAGTACGGATCAGAAGCATTTCTTGTAAACTTCTCGGCCATTGTCACCATTCTCTTTGGTGCCTTTGTGGTACTCACTGTTTCTGCTAAGTCTCCTTCCTCTTCCCCTCCCATTGATGATGAGCCTAACTACAGCTATTCTGCTATATAAAACACTTTCTACATTCCACTCATCTCTGTATTTAATTTCCCCTTGTTTAAGTCTTTCACTATGTGATGCATTTGTAGCGAAAAAAACGTTTCCTTGCGGTTTACTGATTACGAGTTTGCTACTTTTGGTTTGTAATATGACCTATGAAATTGATGAATCTTGTAATTCATTTTCTTTTGGTTATATTGCCATTTCCTTCAAATCTTTGCAAAACTGCCTAACTGATTTCGAGCATATAAGAACAACTTGTAATAATGTATCAATAATCATGAGAGTATTGTATTGGTGTCAAAGCATTAATGGGAAGTTTCATTTAGAAAAAAACAAAAAAGCTAAAAAGCAATTCTTTAAACATCTCACCAACATTTTTTTCCCTTTATAAGTTTAATTTACATTACGTAAGACGTAATTTACGTCGCTGTTGGTGAAGAAAAGAAATCACCAGAAGAATTATATTCTGATGCCTCTCTATCAAATTTATGCTCCTGCTACTGACACTTCGAACCAAACACGACGTCGTTAAGAGTCCAGTTGCTGTCGTTCATCAACATTTCGTTGTAATGGAATTGATCACCATCATCCACTTCTTCATAATCTGAGACAGATCTTTCATTATTTGGAGCTTGACTGTGCTTAGAGTCTGTCAAATCAGAGGAATAATCGATATGGGGATCTGAAGAAGGAAACCACTCAGAGAAGAAAAGCCTTGGAATCTCAAGACCAGAAGAACATGGATAGCTGATGTTGCTGTTGCTTTCTTCTGATGAAGATGAAGATTTGTTCTCTGGAAGTCTCTGGAAGGAGATCACGTGATCCGACACCATTGATTCCGGGTTTCTTTTTCCACAAGCAACAGGTGATTCAGAGGAAGAGGAGGAAATAGATGTTGTGTGTTGTGAGCTCTGAGACTTGAGCCATCTTTTTTTCAAATGAGAATGCCAGTAATTCTTTATCTCGTTGTCTGTTCTTCCCGGTAAGTATTTCGCAATCCGCGACCACCTAAAAGAAACTGCTCTCTTTAGCCTCTGCTGAAATATAAAGGTAAGGTTTCAATTATGGTTATGCTTACTTGCTACCCAAGGAAGAGTGAAAGGTCAAGATGATCTCTTCTTCTTCAGCAGTGATCATCTCCCTCTTTAACCCTGGTTTTAAGTAATTAATCCATCTTAATCTGCAGCTCTTCCCATTCCTTTGCAACCCTTTCAAATTCAATCCCAACAAAAAAAGAAAAACATCAAATTTGACTGAATTTAGAAATATTTTGAGAGACAAAGAACTAATAAAGAATATGATAACATAAAAATAAAGAGACCAGCTTTGATGGGAACAGCGGTCCAGCAAGAATGGCCATGAGAGAGGATGTAGCTCCTTAGCTTCTCATCTTCTTCAGGTGACCAGAACCCTTTTCTCTGTCTCTGATTTAGCCTCTCTCCAGATTTCATTTTCGCCATTTCTCTATCGTCTCAAAGCTGTTCTGATAAAAGAAAACATGTCTGAATATTATGATAGAGAGAACATATATATATATATCACCAAAGCTCGAGTCGAGAGCCGTGCCTCCTTTGATGGAAAAAAGGCAATGACCTTAGGCCACATCTATAATTTCAGTTTTTAGGCCACATATCAATAACAATATTAGTTAAGTTAAGTAAAAAAATTGTTGTGAAAATTTATAAGAGATTTTATATTCACGAGTTCAGGTGTTATATTTTTACTTTCAAATCATAATTTATTTGTCATCCTTTTATTAAAAATGTAATGAACTTAATTTTATTTATCCACATATTATTTGTTATTCTATCATTTAAATATATTTTTATAGGTATTGGTACTTTAATATCTTATATATTTATTTTATAACATTTTAGTGATAGATTTTACAGTTCGATATATCTTCAATTTCTATGATTTGTAAAGCTTATACATTTATAAAAGGCCTAATTTTATAAATTGTCTTAGGCCACTAAATGTGTTGGCACGGCACTGATAGAGTCGACTTACTTAGTGTTAAGATATATGACCATATGAGGCTGCTTAGAAGAAAAATGACATTTATATTATAGTTATAGGTATATTTTAGGATATTTATGTGTGACTTTCTTATTTATATGCAAGTTTGTGTATTGTATGCATTTGTATAGGAGTTAGGATAAACGTCATAATATAATTGGAATATGCAAGGATGGATTAGGTGTAAAGCTGTGTAGCAAAATTTGCTTGGACAAAATTAATTTATTATTACAAACTAGGTTAGTAATCATATGCCCCTTACGTGTAATATTGCTTCCAACCGTATTCTTAGATCAGATAATCACATTCTTACTCGTAAGAAAATTAGAGCGACAGGATGTTTGCTTGCTTTGGAAATTTAAAATCATCAAGGAACAAATATTAAGATATAAACTGAGTTACAATGGACTATGTGTTACGAATTTATGTTATTAATACAGAATATTTTCGTAGAAGCTTCTTTGGTCAAATAGTTAACCAAAGATTAATACTTAAATATACCTAGTCTAAGGTCGATTCTTAAGTATTATGTTAAAAGTAAAACAATTTATTTTGAGCGTGATTTTGTATTTGCAAATCCTCGTGCATAAGTAGAATTATACTATCTATAAACTGTTCTTTGTAATTGGATACTAATTCAAATGATAAGAAAAAAAAAATCATATAAAATCTTCATATCCAAAATCTCTAAATGTCGGCAAGAATTTTAAGAAAATAAGACTGACTTCTTTAATTTGGATCAGGCATGAATTACTCAATTATATTTTGGCTAGAAACTCAACCCCGATAGAATAATATGTCTGAATCAGTTCAATGAATAATGAACTAATGATTCGAGAGAATCATCCAATCTGTTAAACTTTGTATCTTTTCGCAAAGGATCAATAGCAAGAAGACAGATTGTAATATTTTAAATATGAGAGCTTATTTTGAATTATAAATTAAAGTTGGCTACAAATATTTATATAGAAATCATAGTCAACATGGATCCTATTTGCTGCGAGTAATTTTTGGGATATTTTTTCATCTCACGTTTTTGTTCTTCTTGATAATAGAACAGAAGGTTGGACGACAAAAAAAGAAGAACAGAAGTTTGAATTACATGTACACCGGCAAGTGGACCAATGATATGATTTTTCCGAAGAATATTGTTAAATTTTACAATTTTAATTTCTTATGTCCCGATCTAATGGGCTATCACTAATTCTAAAATATACGCATTTTGGTTTTTCCTTGTTGGCTCTATTGGCCTGTGGAAAACGATGAAATGAGAAATTGAGAGAACAAACAAAAAAAAGTCTACTCTTGTCTTGGTCGTCTTCACCACATAATATAATTTGCCGTCAGACTAATCGCCAATGAAATACTTCAAAAGTCTATAAACAAAAGTCTATAAACAAAAGTCTATAAACGACTCTTAACTTTATTGTTATGTTGAACTAATGTTTAGCCATCCGAGAATATTTCATGCTCTGTCTTATTAATGACTATAGTTACTTAAGACTGTTTAGCTGCGTTTTTAGATATTTGTACTTCATAGACTGAAACATAAAAGGGAAACTGATACAACAAAATAGTTTTTAACATGGCCTTAGTTTGCGTTTCTCATTCATCGCACCAAAATAAAGATAACAAGTGAAACACTACATAAAACTTGAACCGGTTCACGGTTAGACAAGACAGACGTTAGTAAAATAATGACGAATGCTTTGTTTAGAAATGAAATCAATGATCTTGTTTGTGCTGAAACTTAAACCAGTTCTACATAAAAGTCTATAATGTAAAAATCCACACGCCATCATCATCTCTAAACCGGTAGCTACAGCCTTAACTTATCACCAGACAGGTTTCTTGTTCTTGGACACCGAGTTGCATCACGAACTAATCATGTTGAAATGGAATCTCGATAGCTGCTGCGGAATGGTCGATATAACCGGTCCATATCTCTGTTCCAGGAAAAGAATAATACGGTTAGAAGTTTGGGGTAAGATCCATTTCTAAAGGTTAGTAGTATCTGGAAATATTTAAAAGACAATACAAAACCTGAACATTGTCATAGAGTTCAAACAAAGGGACGGCCAAGAGTTTCAAGTTTTTGGGCACTGCAAAGTACTCTTTCTCAGACAAGTGAACAATGAAGAGTCTCTTGCATTCCTGGCATTCCACAAAGAAGGAGATATAAACATAAACCTATTTCAGGAGAAGAATAAAAGAGGAACGTTAAGAAGCTACATTGTGTTTTTCTCTTATTACCTTTGGTTTCGTTATGTGAGGAGGGCAATACGGGTACATCATGGTTTCAAAGTTTGGACGCCACCATGTCGCAACACATTCTCCTACCTGTTCAAGGATAAAAAACCCCATCGAGAAACCAATGGATCAGGGACAGAGCTACATACATAACTCAATCAGATATGTGTGGAAGTCTTCTTTCTTCAGGTAATAAGAATATTAAATTCTAGCAAAGATTACTTGTATGAATCAATTATTACTAGCAAAAGATTTCTAAGAGCAAGTACATGCGACACGAACTTAGTTCTTTTAGTACCTAAATATGTGGTCACTAACAGTCAAAGAAATAAAGAATAAACCAATATAGTACCTTCCAGTCAGGTACAAGCGCAGCCGAATTGCCTCCAAGCTTACTGGTCAACTTTCTTTTCAGGCCTTCAACTTCTGCAAGACACAACATTGTACACCCAAAAATGAAGCAACATAGAAAATCATAACAGTTAAGAAAGTACTATTTACGCATGGTTGCTGTGTACCATTTTCTCCAGGCTTCAGGCGTCCACCTGGAAGTTTGCAGAATGTGTTACCAATTTGCAGGAGAAGTATATGAGGATGGTTGTGTTCTTGTACCTGAAAAAGTGACCAGCATAAGGTATCAAGAAGAATCCTACGGCTAGAGAGATATAACTAATGTCAAAGCCAATTACGTGGTAATAATTCTTGACTTAAGACATAAATTATTTGCTTAACTCATGCACCAATGCGATATACGTAGCTGTGGGTTATAGGTATATAAGATGGATCTTTAAGATGTCAAAACAACAACTTATGTTAAGACAATTACAAGAGATAAGGGAGTGAACGAGAAGCAGATATTATTCCATGAGAAAACACGCAAGCTAAGAAGGACAAGGGTACATACAAACAATGAGAGAAACGAAATAACAAGCACAAGATATGCCTGCTACATAGCTTCGCTAAAAACATGCGACTTCAAATTTATTTCTATAAGACTTTATTAAGTGCAGTTTTACTAAAAGTTCATTGGATCCATAAAGCAAGCTTGTGGCTTTATAAGGGGCGATTTAATCAAATTACGTGATTAGAGCTATTTGTGAATACAAGGTTACTCAAACCGTACAAAATTGAGTTAGAGATGGCAACTCGAAAAGGAAGTAGATGACACCACTCAAAAATCACACAATTTTATAATAATTCCACGTTTCTATTGATACATTGGGTAGAGAACGCTTATCTAGTATCTACAGAGAACATCAAGATAAACTCCAAATACAATTTATGAACCACATAGCTATTCCACTGATTTAAATACAGCACGTGGAAAACAACATCGAGAAAGTTACAGACGAGTTGGATACCAAATACATAGTGTACCAAAAAACTGCAAAACATAAACTCGCAGCTCGAAAAGGAATGAATAACACATACCAGCAGTATCCCTTCAACGCTAGTCCTCATGCCCTCTTTCATATAGCTACAAAAAACAAGAAAAAGATATTCTTTCAGTCATCAAAACTCCAATGAATTCTTTAAGTTAGAACTATAGAATTGCAGACTAGAAAATAACATTTATCCGAGCAAAAGCATGAGACTTTGGACGAACTTACAAACATAAAAGTGTTCTAGAACATGTACAGTAGCTACAGCGTTTCACTTCTCAAATCAAGCACTGGAACATTCAAACAATCTTAAAGCTGTTTTTTTTTCACTAAAACAGTTGTTTTTTCTAGTAAATTCTCCTAGCATTATATGTATCAAGTTCTAGTTTTGAAACAGATTACTTGGGTAAAAAAGCCAAAAGATGATAACAATATTCGTTAACGAGCCAAAACTCAGAGAATAAACGAAACCAAACATCCCCAAGACGAATCTAAGTTGATCAGCTGTAAATCGTACTATGCAAACATAAGAGCAACTATGCGGATTCATTCCAAATAAAAACGATTTCAAAGGAGCCTAAGATCATCATCTAAGCATGTAAAGGCCGGAAATTTCTAGGGTTTTTCCTTTTGTTGTAATTCTGGCATCTTCTCCAGCAGTAGCCACAAGAAGAATTCAAAAAGGAAGTAGAGCGATAAAGAGAGAGGAATCGTACTTGACTTTCATACGAGCGAGTCGGTCGGCGACGGAGGTGTCCTTTTCCAGCTTTGGTTCTTTAGTTCCGAAGCTGTAGTTCGAAAGCGGGTACGTGTTCACCACCTGAGACATAGCCATCTTTCTCTCTGTCTCTCCTTAATCCACTAATCCAAAATTTCCACCGTCTCTCACTCTGAGTGTCGATCTGTAGATCGTCGTCGGCGACGCCAACAGAGAGGAGTAATCTCGACGGAGAATTTAATATTACACCAGCTTCTAGAGCTCAAGCTCAAATTTTCTATACAGAAATTTTGACCGGGCTTTCCGAGGAACAGGCCCATTATAAAGGCCTGGCCCATAATAACCTCCCCGAACCGCTGCCTTCGTCACTTTGATAACACTTCTGTAGTCAGTGTACTACTACACTAAAATTTGCCGGTTAGTTTTAGTACCAAAGCAGCAACCTAAGAAAGCGCGCGAAAATTGACAATCAATTTCGCCATAGCCACGACCTTTCATTTCTCTTACTGCCACCGACGGTGGAGAATACGGAGAAGCAACTATGGGCAAGCAAAAGCAGCAGGTGATTTCTCGATTCTTCGCACCCAAACCCAAATCCTTACCACAGGAACCTAATCCGGTAGCCGAATCATCAACGCCGCCACCGAAGATATCCGCCACCGTCTCCTTCTCTCCGTCAAAGCGTAAGCTTCTCTCCGACCACCTCTCCGCCGCTTCACCCAAGAAGCATAAACTGTCTCCTCACACTCAAAACCCTACACCCGATCCCAGTTTACACCGAAGATTCTTACAGAGATTTCTGGAACCATCACCGGAGGAATCTGCTCCCGAATCATCGTCGAGGAAGTACACGCCATTGGAACAGCAGGTGGTGGAGTTAAAGAGCAAGTACCCGGACGTGATTTTGATGGTGGAAGTTGGTTACAGGTACAGATTCTTCGGAGAGGACGCGGAGATCGCAGCACGCGTGCTGGGTATTTACGCTCATATGGATCACAATTTCATGACGGCGAGCATACCAACATTTCGACTACAGTTCCATGTCAGAAGGCTGGTGAATGCAGGATACAAGATTGGTGTGGTGAAGCAGACTGAAACTGCAGCTATTAAGTCCCACGGTGCAAACCGGACCGGCCCTTTTTTCCGGGGACTATCGGCCTTATACACCAAAGCCACGCTTGAGGCGGCTGAGGATATAAGTGGCGGTTGCGAAGAAGGTTTTGGTTCACAGAGCAATTTCTTGGTTTGTGTTGTGGATGAGAGAGTTAACACGGAGACATTAGGTTGTGGTTTGGAAGTGAGTTTTGATGTTAGAGTCGGCATTGTTGGCGTTGAAATTTCAACTGGTGAAGTTGTTCATGGAGAGTTCAATGATAATTTCATGAGGAGTGGGTTAGAGGCTGTTATTTTGAGCTTGTCACCAGCTGAACTGTTGCTTGGCCAGCCTCTTTCACAACAAACTGAGAAGGTACGTTTATCTGTTTATGAGTAAATGTTATATTTTCAAGCATCTAATCGGTTTTACCAGATTATAGTTATAGTTATCGTGCGCTGAATCTTGCTTGATGAACTATTTGACAAGAATCCTTGTCTGTATGAAAAGTTACTCTTATGGATTAGTTTAGAACAGTAGAACTTCTGTTCTTGGTCGATGTGCTTACATTTATTGATGGATGTTCGTTTGGTATCTTTGCTTGGCAGTTTTTATTGGCACATGCTGGACCTACCTCAAACGTTCGAGTGGAACGTGCTTCACTGGATCGTTTCCGTAATGGTAGTGCATTAGATGAGGTTATTTCGATATATGAAGAACTCAGTGCAAGAAATCAGGTCAACGTGGAGGTTGCAAAAGAAGGAATGTCTTGTTTGCCAGTTCATGTATGGCATCTGATTTCCTAAAAAACGATCACTTTACATTGGATAGATGATGCTTTGCTAACGCAAGATTGTTAATGGACATATTTAGTTTTCAAGTAGAGTTTTAATTTTTATTCTTTTCCACTATTAAATGCTGGCTGCAATTCCAGCTAATTTGTTACTTTGTTGATGGTGCAGACAATTATGAACATGCCACATCTAACTGTTCAAGCCCTCGCCCTGACACTTTGCCATCTCAAACAGTTTGGATTTGAAAGGATCCTTTTCCAGGGGGCATCATTTCGCTCTTTGTCAAGCAGCACAGAGATGACTCTCTCAGCCAATACATTGCAACAATTAGAGGTGCTTTCCCCTTTATTTGCCTGTCAGAGTTTAATGTTCTGTGAATATTAAAACTTTAGTTATTTCGAAGTACTCTAACAAGAGTTTCCCTTAAAAAAACGTTGTATCTATTTTCAGGTTGTGAGAAATAATTCAGATGGATCGGAGTCTGGCTCTTTATTCCATAATATGAATCAAACTCTTACAGTATATGGTTCAAGGCTTCTTAGACACTGGGTAAGACGCATTTTCTTTTCTTCGTAGCTAGGGGTTTGTATATTTGGTCTTGTGTCAACTTTTGGAGTTCTGGAGATGCAGTAAGTCATTGATGTGGAAGGATATACCACATTATCATCTTATAGTTCTTGAAGGGACATAAGTTTCTATACTTACCCCTCATAGTCTTCATGAACTTTTCATTTCAACAGGTTACCCATCCTCTTTGCGATAGAAATCTGATATCTGCTCGCCTTGATGCTGTTTCTGAGATTGTTGCATGCATGGGATCTCCTAGTTCTTCCCAGGCCAGCGATGAGTTGGATGAAGAAGGTTCTGAGAGAACATTTGTACCACCTGAGTTTTATCTTGTGCTCTCCTCAGTCTTGACAGCCTTGTCTAGATCACCTGATATTCATCGTGGAATAACAAGAATATTTCATCGGACTGCTAAAGCCGCAGAGGTGAAACTTGGCATGTCCTTTACCTCTTATATATGTGCCTGTTATATAGTGCAATACTGTCATTATTTTGTCCACAGAGAAAGTAAGAGCATTGGTGTCTTTGTGATATATAGTCAAAGAAATAAATTCTTCACAGGAATGGCATCTGACAGAAATCGTTCAGTATCTTATCCTCTTTTCTCACGATGATATTCATTTTCTAGATAGCCATATGTGTAAAGCTATAAATTTCAACGGGCCAGGGCATTTGTTTGTTCTTAGTTATCTTGTTTAGGAAAGAAAACAGGGGCGAGAGAAGGAAATATTTAAGACTTATAGCTTCCCGCCCCTTTTTTTGTAAATATATTCTTGTTTACGGCTCTTCCTCACCTGTAGCCTGAAAGTTCTTAACTTTTTGGGTGAAAAGTTTATCGCAGTTATAGAAGCTATTTTGCTTGCGGGGAAACAACTTCAGCGGCTTGGCATAAAGCAAGATTGTGAATTGAAGAGTATGCAATCCGCAACTGTGCGGTCTTCTCTTTTGAGAAAATTGATTTCTGTTGTTTCATCCCCTGCTGTGGTTGACAATGCCGCAAAACTTCTCTCTGGCTTGAATAAGGAAGGGGTTGTTCGAGGAGACTTGCTCGACATACTAATCACCTCCAGCGGCCAATTTCCTGAGGTTTGTATCTTGTCTGAAAATTGATTTTATTTATCGCTTCTCTCTTTATGTTCTGTTGTGTGCATCATAGAGCTTCTTAACATTGATTTGCTTTTCATGAATCTAGTGTAAAGTGGCGATTTGTGTTTCATAATTTTTTTACTATGCACAGCTTGCTGAAGCTCGCCAAGCAGTTTTAGCCGTCAGGGAAAAGCTGGATTCCTCGATAGTTTCATATCGCAAAAAGCTTGCCAATCGAAATTTAGACTTTCTTGATGTATCCGGGATCACACATTTGATAGAGGTAATCTTTAGAGATGATGCTTTCTTACCAAATTGCAGCATTCTTTATTCTTTATTGAAACGGCACCTAAATGGTTGCCCAAAAGTATATTTTTGTATCTCGATGAGAATAAGTTTCAAGAAGGAAGCTTGTGTTGATTTGCTTTTTGTGGTTACTTTTCACACTTTCTATCTCGTGCACATTATTACTAGAAATTATACACAGCTACTGAACCTAATTCATATTTCATACTAAGTATAAACGTTTGTGCATATAATACTCTCATCTTTGGAAGTTGTGAACATTTGTGTCTGATTAGATGCTAAGGCTCTATCTCTCTGATACAGCTGCCCGTTGATGCCAAGGTTCCTATGAATTGGGTGAAAGTTAATAGCACCAAAAAGACTATTCGATATCATCCCCCAGAAATAATAGCTGGCTTGGACGAGCTAGCTCTAGCAACTGAACATCTTGCTATAGTGAACCGAGCTTCATGGGATAGTTTTCTCAAAAGTTTTGGTAGATACTATACTGATTTTCAGGCTTCCGTTCAAGCTCTTGCTGCGCTGGACTGTTTGCACTCCCTTGCAACTCTATCTAGAAACAAGGTTTACCAAAGGAACAAACCGCAAAAAAAAATTTATTTGTAGTCACTTCTTTTCAGTTCTTAACTTGTCTTCTTTTTTACCCTATGCAGAACTATATTTGTCCTTTGTTTGTGGATGACTGTGAACCAGTTGAGATAAATATACAGTCTGGTCGTCATCCTGTATGCATCTGCTCTCGCTTCTTGTGCTTCTTTTTTTTTCCTATGCCTAATTAAGTAAAATATTGTTCATTTCATTTTCAAAACTTCCCAGGTTTTGGAGACTATATTACAAGATAACTTCGTCCCAAATGACACAATCTTGCATGCAGAAGAGGAATTTGGCCAGATTATCACTGGACCTAACATGGGAGGAAAGAGCTGCTACATCCGTCAAGTTGCTTTAATTTCCATAATGGCCCAGGTAGGATGGCGATTAACAGTATAAGCTTATGCTTTTTTAACATCTCTTACATATGTTGAATGCTTAATGATTCTAGTTATTCTCTTTGGCTTCCCAGGTTGGTTCCTATGTACCAGCTTCATTTGCGAAGCTGCACGTTCTTGATGGTGTTTTCACTCGGATGGGTGCTTCAGACAGTATCCAGCATGGCCGAAGTACCTTTCTAGAAGAGTTAAGTGAAGCCTCGCACATAATCAGAACCTGCTCTTCACGTTCGCTTGTTATAATAGATGAGCTCGGAAGAGGCACTAGCACACATGACGGTGTAGCCATTGCCTATGCAACATTACAACATCTCATAGCAGAAAAGAGATGTTTGGTGCTTTTTGTCACGCATTACCCTGAAATAGCTGAGATCAGTAACAGATTCCCTGGTTCTGCTGGTACATACCATGTCTCGTATCTAACATCGCAGAAGGATGATGGCGGTTGTGATCATGATGATGTGACCTACCTATATAAACTTGTACGTGGTCTTTGCAGCAGGAGCTTTGGTTTTAAGGTTGCTCAGCTTGCCCAGGTAAACTCCCTCCCTTTTTTCTTTTCACGCGCCTCACACGCCTCACACGCAGATGCTTACACAAGTTCATATCGTGGTGATACACCAGCCTAAAGAACTTTAAGCTGATTAATGAACGCATTACAACTGAAATCTGACTTTAAGATAATTATATGAAGCTGATCTCACATCTATACTTGACTGTAGATACCTCCATCGTGTATACATCGAGCCATTTCCATGGCTGGAAAATTGGAAGACGAGGTACGAGCAAGAGAGAGATATACTCTTAGCATAAAGTATCTCATGGAGTCACCCGGAGAACCAAAAGCACGTGAAGAACACGCAGAATCTCGTGACTCGGAAGATTCAGCGAACTCAGAAGAAAATATGTCTGCTTTAGGGGACTTCTTTGCAGACCTGAGAGTTGCTCTCTCTGAAGAGGACCCTTCAAGATCATTCGAGTTTTTAAATCGTGCTTGGAAGATTGCAGAAGAATCAGTAGCAAGGTTGGCGAGATAGAGTTAGAGGGATGGTTTTTGGTTTTTTGACGGTTGCGGGATTAATATCTAAACGCCTTGTGATTTAAGCAGCTTTCTGTTGCTTTTGTCCATAATTTAATCAAATGTGCATAGTTTCTTCTTCCTCTTTTTGGGTTTTCTCTCTTTACAGAAAGAACATGCAACATCTGTTCAGAGACTAATATAAAAATTAGTCTCTTCCTGGTTGATTTTCCTACTATGTGTCTCTCTTATTACTGAACCACATGATGCTTAATGGTGGAAACTCAGTGTTATCACTGGAAAAGTAAGTTCTTTCAAATGGTAAAGATGGCTTTATGAGCAGTTGAGCCGGTTTTGGTTGCCAATTACTGCTATGTATTCCTTGAGGAAATAAGGCTTATGAATACTAGACAGGAATGGCTAACAAGATTGCGATGCTTTCTCACGCAAGCAATGAACAACAATGCTGTAGTAAAAACGTGTCTGGGAGTATCGTTTGTTGTTTTGGGATTAGGATGTGATAAACAGCAAAAGTTCGTCGAGGCCTTACGAAGAATTCGCTTCTCAAGTGTAATAAGGAAATAAGAGTCACAGAAATGTGGGAGTGGAGATGTCACCACAACCACTCAATCTGGTAATTTCGAATCTTTCTCCTTCAAGTGGTAGCAAAGGATAAACTATTCTATACATATTGACAAAATGACATGTTCTATTGTATTTCTCCGTTTTGATAACAAGTTTAAATATTCAGTTAAATAAACGAGCAATCGGTGGTACATTTAACAGACGGATTTTAAATTTATAAGAGTGGCAGATCAACTTCTTTACTCATAGTTAAAAAGTCTCCTAGAATATCCTTAATTTCGGGATACAAACAAACTAGCATATGGTTTTCATGATACTAAGCTTCAGAGAATAAGTCTAATAAGACGTTCTTATTACAGGACCACAACTAACATATTAGTCTCTAGATACTTACCAAGAACTACGTTCCTGTCTACTTAGATAAGCGTGGGACAATGAAGTCAACAAGAAGACCCGTAGGCTCGATGACCTGAGAGTCGTCGCCATTTTTGGGTATACCGAGAAACATACGGCTCAGAGACACGTTGATAAAGGAAGTCTTCTTCTTGTAGCAAATCTTCACATCAGCAACAGTATCTTTTCCAAACTTCTTCACTCCGCATATCATCACGTCTCTGAGTCCGACATAGCTTGTTGAAGCAGCTGGCGGGCCGTCGTAAACTCCCTGCCACACCAAAAAAAAAAAACTGAACCAGATTAGAACACAACTTTTTATCAATAATCTCTGTAAATATCACAAAAAAAACTAGCTAATTAGAGCACTGTACATCTCCAACACGATCAATCTGCGGACTGAAGACATGCAGTTTTGCTCCTACTGGTTGATGCTTCATCAACTCACATGCTTCTTCCAGTTTCTTAACCTCAATCACCTCTCCTTTCATGGGAACGCGAGGCATGAGAGAAGCAAATGGGGGAACCTTGAACACACATCCCAAATGTCCCCAGTGTTCACTTCTCGGTATCCCTTCTTTGAAAGCACACTCAAGACAGTCTTTGACGGTTAGCTCGGGGCGTTGTTGCTCCGTTTCTCCTTCCTTCTTGGGAAGGGAGATCTCCGCCAAGTAGTCAATGCAGTCTTGGATAGTCACTGGGCCACGTTGCTGATCCACATCTCCCTCCTTCTTGGGACCAGCGTTGTCCACCAAAAACTGAGCTGGGTACTCAGTGAACTCACTGTCCAGCTCCAGTAAAAGCCGAGCAGAGCTTATCAGATTAACAGCTACCATAGCCGCCCTTTCAGATGCATCTGCAAGACAAAAACAAATCAAAAACGACAAGTCAATACATTTTATTCTTTCAAACGATTAGATTGAGCTTGTTTTGCTTTGTAAACGAGAGTAACTATCAGTCAAGCCAAATCACAGTTTGTTTGTTTTTTCTTCTCCTAATGAACACAGAAAATAGTCTCAAGATTCTAGAGTGATAAGTTACCATGCTCTTCTTGGGCATTCATTGCTCGTACGAAATTTGGATGGCAGTCTCGAGACATCTTCAATCACTTATCCCTGCATACATATGAAATTAGCGGACTCAATAACACATTATGAGTGTTGCCAGAAGATAAAAACAAAAACTATATGTAAATCAGATCAGCGAATCAAAGTGAACTATACTCAAAAGAAAGGAAAAGCAAGAGTGTGTGGACACCGTTGCTCCCATCAAACAGAAGAAGACATTCAGAAATCAGAAAAAGATATACATGTATAAAGCAAAAGCAGAAAGAGACGACCAGCAAAAACAAAAGCAGAAGCGGAGAGACATGGTTTCAAGTTCGACATAATAAACATTACCGTTTTAGTTTGCAGAAAAAAAAAATCGTTTCTTTAGACTAAACCAAACCAAAGCGGATAGCTTCTGTAACAAATAATAACCCAACTTAAACAATGATTCAGTATCATTCATCCAAGCAAAAAAATTAAACCCTAAAAACATAACCTAAAAGCTCATCACTTGTTCACTAATCACAATGGAAAGGCCAAGTCGCAAGCAGAATGCGTAACAAACCAAACCAAGCTAAAAAGAATCCAACTGATAAACAAAATAAGAAAGTCGCGAAAGTTACCGGAGACGACTGAGAGAGAGACTAAGAAAGAGCTAAGCTCAAAGTAAAAGAGTGAAAATGATGGAACATTGCTCTTTTATACAGAATCGCAAGCAAAACCCTAATAGTGTCTCGGACAGATGGCATCATCGGGCATCATCAAGGGCGTGAAATTGATTTGGACAGCTCGCTCGATCCGTACCAGTCTTCGTTTGCTCCTTTTTGGCGTGGCTGGTACTCTGTTGTTTTTGTCGCAGAGTGACATAGCCGTTGAAGACTCTTGACGAGTGGGCTTCAAGCTGGGCTTTTCTTCATCTTTGCCCATTGATCTTTCCTACTTAGGTCCATTGATTATTGTGGAGTCTTCTTTTGCTCAGAAGCCTCTGTCTCATTCGGAGTATCCAAAACTAACTTGTTCTGGTTAGTAGAAACAGACAACAACGGGAAAATCAGAAAGAAACTGCTGGTGACAGTGGAAATTGAGACTGCTAATGTCTCTTCTTATCAACCAAAGAGTGCCAGTTTAAAAGAGAATTCTCTGTTGGTAATATTATACATTTATACCAATGTGAGAATTAATATCACCATCATAAGAGAAATACATGACATCAAATGTGTTCATCAGTTATCCAGATATGCTAAGAGGAGAAGAAGCTAAATTCCATAACTACCCTTACTTTGGAGTTTGGAGGACATACACGTTCTAGTCAACGAGAATTAGGTGAATCTAACGGCTAATACTATTGCACGTGACTAAATTTAGAATCTATTGTAGTCAAAGTCAAACGCACGGACGGCTTATCCTTATGGCATCTTAAAGCAGGGATCGTTCGTGAGGGTAAATACGAGATTCTCCTCTTCGCCAGGAGAACATTTTCCAAAAGAAAGAACAAAAAATTCCGGGAAGCGAGAAAAAGGATCCGATTCTTGGAGGTAAAGGGAATCTCTCGTTCTCATGTTTCTCTCATCTTAGCTAGGAAATATCTGAGTCTGTACGTATCGTAGATTGCGATTGGTGTGTGAATGTTATATTCCTTGAATTTAGATTTTGATATATCTGTATAACCTAATAGTAGAGCTCGGGTTTTCGATTTACTAGTCTTTGTGGTTTCCTGAAACAAATTTCTCCGTGTGTTGATGATGTCAATGGAAGAACGGGATAAAATTACTTTGTAGGGTTCTTGTTAAAGCTTAGTATTCACGACTTGTTTTGCTTCTACTTGAACAAGTCCACGGAATTTGGTTTGCTTTGTTTCTTCCTGCTCTATCCAAAGTCACAGAATCTATCTTTCCGTCAAGGGATTGTTGATGACTCTTCAATTTTTGTTCTCATTGTTTTCTTTCGCCATGTTCGTAATGTAATTTACTAGTCTCTTTTTGGGAAGGTTTCACATTTCTTCGCCATGAACTGCTTTGTCACGTATACTTTCATGTAATTTTACCCAGTTTTTCTTTAATGTTGCAATCAGGTCAAGCGTGGAAGAGAACAAAGTCAGCTCATTATGAAGTATGTTTCTCTTTCTCCCAGTTTTCTTTCATCTTGTGTCTAGTTGTTAGACTCTTTGTTCGAATTCTGGGCTACACTTTTCACCTTAAAGAGTTAAACATGATCTCCATCAGGGATGAATAAGAAATATATGGAAGCCGTTAATCTGTGGTTATCTTGTGGAGAGATGAATCAAGTTCTAAAACCTTCTATGACTGGTACCCTTAGTGGAATAGGGAGATCTTTTATTTTTGTCTTGGTTCGAGGCTCTTGTATTGGAATCTGAAGGATGGCGATGACATTTAGGTGATGATATTTAGTTTATCTCAGGGTGTTTACTATAAACATTTCAGACTGCAGCACATTGTCTACATGTTTGTTTTAGCAAGTAGTTGCACTTATATTCTCTCTCTTGTGCAGCATAAGTATGTTCATTTCTATGGCAGGGGACGTGTACAATGGGATGAAGCTAATATAGTGGAAATTGAATCCAACAAACCTGTAAGGCAGAAGATTACTGAACCAAAGACACCGTATCACCCCATGATTGATGATGATGGTTTGTCCATTACTCTGTTTTCGATTTTTTTATGTTTCGCCTACATATAGTAAACACAAAATAGTACCTACAGTATGGTTTGTTTGCCGTAGGCTTCCTGGTTTTGGGAAAATTTTCTTAGTACTCTCTCTGTTTGCTTACTTTGAAATGTTGTCAGACTAGTTGGAGGAGTGACTTGAACTAGTACCGACCTTGCTAATCCTGAACAAAGTTTGTATTTTTCTGTCTGGGTTGGTTTTATCAGGTTCTGTGTCTCCTAGAGGAAGATCGTTTGACAACTGTGTTGATGAAATGCATCGCGCTGAAGAACTAAGGAATTCCCTGAATGATGTAGCGTCTTCCAGTAAAAATACCAGCCAGAGATCTGATTCTGGCGGCTGGAGCTCGTCAGATGATGACGAAGATCCAATGGATGAAAACGAAGAAGGTTCTTTGCAAAACCAAATAAACAGATCAAAGCTGACCTCGTAGTTTCATCAGGTCATATCTTTATCTCTGTTTTTGGTCACTGCAGGTTCTGAGAGTGAGACAAATGCAGATTTCAAGGAACATAGACGGGCACACTATGACGAGTTTCGAATGGTAAAGGAGCTGAGATCCTCTGGTTCTTTATATGGTGAAGATGCAGAAGTCGACGATGGCGCCAAAACGGGTAAATCCGAGGCAACAATCTCACAAAAACCTCCCGGTGAGAAAGGCTTGGATAGAGAAACAACTGATGGTGCTGCGGATGCAATAACATCAGGAAAGTCATCTTCTTCCTCTAGATGATACAAAGCTCAGAATGGTCAAGTTGTTACTATGGTGTTATTCTGGATAATACAGAAGTTCTAACTGTCTATTTATTCTGGTTTGTAACCTTTGAGAAAAGGAAGAAGAAATAATAAAACACGAATATCCTTCAAATGATGCTCTCATCTTTCGTTAGCTCGTTATTTACTCACGTTTGTTTATCATCCAAACAAAATGACCAACATGGTCTCTATAACTTGGGTCCACGCTTCAAGAAAACGCTAGGTACACATATGCGGTTTAGGAATGAATTTCATAGTTTGTGTTTTATGTTGCTGAATGTTAGTCTGTGTAGTTAGATGAAGAGCTTGAAAGTGTGGGTGGTTTCAGACTTATTTGGTCTGGTCTGGCCAAGAAATGCCTTGTAAGTAAAAAGAAATGCATATGGAATTCGAGAAGAGCTTGAAAGTGTGAGTGGTTTCAGACTTTTTTGGTCTGGTCTAGCCAAGAAATGCATTTTAAGTAAGAAATGCATATAGAATTCGAGAAAATAATAATAATATCATCAGTTTCAATGCTGAAAACATACCCAAATAATGGGAAATTTCTTATTCAACAAAAGAAAAAAAAACAAAGGGGAAAAGCCGAGATAAGTTTCGGTCATGCAAAACAAGGAGTACATAAACATAACTAGGAAATCCGGAAGCAAATGTCAAACACAGAGAGAAACTGGAGAAGCATTTATGCCTTAAGCTGGTATGTTAAAAGCGGATTTGATATTGTCAATGGTGAAAGCGATGAGTTCCTTAGCAGCATTGAGAAATTCTTGATCGACTTCTTCAGTAGTTAAGTTCTTGGTAAACAAGAACTGATATCCAATTGTGAGTAGGCATCCTTCACCAAGTTCGTCTGCATCCTCCGTATCTCCTCCGTCTGGCAATATCGAGAATCCCGAAGGAAGAATTGGCATAGAATATGAATCTCCACCTCTCATGAGACCCTTCACTGATTGCTCTTCCAATGGTGCAAACACCAGCAACGCACCTGATGCATCATTCCATGTCTCTTGCAGAACTGCCGGACCATCCTCAACACCTTCCTGTTTTTGCATACGATAAGTGTTAAACATAGAAGAAGCCAAATTCAAGAAGAAGAAGAAGAAAAGATTATAATCTTGAAAACTCACAGCGAATTGAAGTAGAGAGACGTAGTGTTCACGGGATCTTGATTTTTGAATCTTGATCTTTTCTTCAAAGTAAGTTTCAGTGGCCAAGAGATCCCACTTGTCTCTGAGATTTGGGTTGGTGAGGAAATCAAACATTGTTTGCTGGTTCACTGGAAACCAAACAGAAGTGGCTACATTCAACACAAGCCCGGTATGCTCACCGCGCACACACACGTTCTTACGGCTCATCAATCTCACGTTCTTCTCTTGACCCTCCTCATCATTCTCTACATTTATTATCCTCCACTTGCGCGGCGAAGAGTCGGTGATGCCTGAGTAATAGTTCACAGTCATGCGTTGTGCTAGCTTCACTATTTCAGTTGCAGCGTCCGCTGACAATCCTACATCCAATAACATTTCTTACATATTAGGGTTGGTGCGGTCTATAGATAGCCGAGACCCAAAGTGACACTAAAAATTACTTGCACTTCACATTTAGTTAGTTGTATCAACGGCTTAAAATATAAAATTATAGTTACCAAATATTTAAAATCAAAATCATATAATAGTATTTGCAATTACTCAACACTTCAACAGTGCAAAGGGAAGGCATGGTTGCTTGTACAACAAGGCACATAAGCATCGTATATGATATCTATTTTAAATTATATAGTTCTTACTCAAAAACCTATAATGTATTTGCATGCATTGTATGGTTTTAATTGGTAACTGTAATTATATTGTCAATATTGTTGTTTACTTATTTCAAAATTCAGAACAACTCTAACGTGTCGATATAGAAATGTATTATTCTAAAACTGATTATAAAAATTCCTTTTTTGGGTTTGAATTAATTTAAAGTTTGAAAAAGTATTTAAGATAACATAACAAATTAAAAGATTCTCTTCCAATTTTGAACATTTAAGAAAGGGATTTAAAATAGAGTCACCTTGGTAAACTTGAGCCACGTTGACAGACGAAAGAGTCTTGAGGTTTTCACAGTATCTCTGCAGCGTTGTGAGCCACCTCTTTGCGCCTAGCCCGATTCCAGAGCCAACCAAAGGCTGGTAAATTAGGGGGATTTCGCTCTCATCATATTCCGCTTGCTCAATCCATGTGACCTGTGAAATCAAACCTTATATATTACGTGTTATAAAATGTTATATGTCCAAGTGAATATTATTAAAAAAAAAAGAATAGGATTCAGAAGTAACCTTGGAGGAACCATTCTTCAAGTCCTCTATGATAACACCAGAGGGTAGGCGTTTAGAACCACCATCAGGCAGAAACCTCAGGTCTTGCATACGAGGAGTAACGTCGACGATCACCCATAAGTCATCTCTGAGCATCTTGCAGTATCTAAGAAACTTTACTTGTCTCTTTGGCACCAAAGGAGAAATGACCTGAAATTCTGCTTCAACCTGCCCAAATATATATATATATATATATATATATATATATATATATAGGATCACATATATGAAAAGTTTCAGTATTTTCTAATACTCTTCTTGGATTTATATTAACGACCAATATAAATGACTAAGAGACATATGTACCAGCTTAAGTGAGCCATTTCTGGGTCCACCAGAACCGCTAGGTATCACCCTATGAGTTGATGCCACAGACACAATAGGCGCAAACACGTTGACCCATTTGTCCTATAAACAACAAACAAAAGTAAAAACATAAAAATTATTAGACTTTTTGAGAGTTAGATGTTTTGAATATTTGTCAGGTGGTAAAAGGTTGTTACCGTCGTAAGAATCTTGACCAGAGCCAAGCTATCCATGAGAACCAAACCCGTTTCCCTAGAAGCCTCCATGACATACCCGAGAGGTGTTACTGAACCATTTTTGAACTTACTTTGATACTGCTCGTAGTTCAAATTTTCTCTGTTAGAGCTTAAGTCTATCGTCCAATATGCACTGTTCGTTTGTCCAAGCATGAGCAACTCAGTCATAGCCATAGTGGCACACTCCACCAAAGTTTCCTTGTTGATCGTCCAAGTTTCAGAAAGTTCTTGTGGTGCATTTCTTCCTGGGCTGTAGATCACCAAGGCAGAAGATGGCTCTTCCACGGGTGAACCAATCGAAAAGATTGATCTCTCGTTCGTCCTCGCAGGTTCACCACCCAAATTAAGTTCTGGTGATGCATCGCTTTCTGGACTGGAGATCACCAAGGGAAAAGAGTGATTTTCCACTGGTGAACCAATCGAAAATATTAAACTCTCGTTCATCATCCAAGTTTCAGGACCAGAATCAAGTTCTGGTGGTGCATCTCTTTCTGGACTGGAGATCAGCAATGGTGAATAAGGATGTTCCACGAGTGCACCAATCGAAAAGATTGATCTCTCGTTCATCATCGCAGGTTCACCACCTGAATCAAGTTCTGGTGGTGCATCTCTTTCTGGACTGGAAATTATCAATGGAGAGGAGGTATGTTCCACGAGTGCACCAGTCGAAAAGATTAACCTCTCGTTCACCATCGAAGTCTCACGAGCAGAATCAAGTTCTGGTGGTGCATCTCTTTCTGGACTGGAGATCATCAATGGAGAAGGCTGTTCCACGATTGCATCCATCGAAAAGATTAAGCTCTCATTCACCATCGAATTTTCAGGCCCTGAATCAAGTTCTGGTGGTGCATTTCTTCCTGGACTGGAGATCCACAAAGAAGAAGAAGGCTCTTCCACGGGTGAACCAATCGAAAAGATTGATCTCTTGTTGTTCATAATCGAAGTGTCACATTCCGACTCAAGTTCTGGTGCTGCATTTGTTCCTGGACTGGAGATCCACAAGGAGGAAGAAGGCTCTTCCACAGGTGGACGGTCAAAAAACGTTGATCTCTCGTTCATCATCGTCTCACGTCCCGAATCAAGTTCTTGCACAATATTTCTTCCTGGATCGGAGATCATCAAAGAAGACGTCGACGGTTGGTCCACGGGTGGACGGTCAAAAAACTTTGATCTCTCGTCCATCATCAAAGTGTCACCACCCGAATCAAGTTCTTGCACTGCATTTCTCTCTTGATCATGGATCATCAAAGAAGGATGCTCCACAGGTGGGCTGGCCAAAAATGTTGAGCTCCCATTCATTATGGAAGTTTCACCACTCCAAGTAAGTTCTGGTAGTGCATTTCTTGCTTGAGTGGAGATCATCAATGAAGAAGGAGGTTGCACCACGTTTGAAGAACCCACCAAAAACGGTGATCTCTCGTTCATAAACGAACTTTCACCAACCGATTCACATTCTGGTAGTGCATTTCTTCCTTCATTGGAGAACACCAAGGAAGAAGAGGACTCACCTACCAGAAATGTTGAATTCTTGTTCAATAAAGGAAGAGGAGAGGAAGGCAGTGCCAAGGGTTGACCGGACCAAAACGGTGTTCTCTCCCTCACAGCGATGCGTTTAGCCTTGTTTCTATCCTGCTTGATTCTAGCATTTGCATGCATAAGTTGTTGCACCACATAGTTAACCGTACCGAAATCAGCTGGCCCATCACAAAGGTTGCATGAACAATCAATCAATTTTCGCTTGAGGTGGTTGTGTTCTCCTTGCAACATGTCATGCTCTTGTCTGAGTACTTCATTCTCATGGCGTTTCTGATGATACAAAAACATGGTCCAGTCATGATACGGTTCAAAGAAAAGAAAAAGACACAACCACATGTACACACACATATTGTATGTTCGTACCTTTGCCTGAACTCTTCTGGTCTGAAACCAAATCCTGATTTGCTTAGTCTCTAGATTAAGCATTCGTCCAAGTTCCTCCTTTTGTTCCTCAGTAGGGAGAGGATTCTCGTTGAAGAAACTACACTCAGAACCAAACAAAAGTAAACAATAAAGAAAAGTAAAGAGAAACCCTAGCTCAAACCCTCAAAATCAAATAATTGATAGGAATAGTTGCATCGTGTAAAAGAAGAAACTGAACAAATTACTTTTCGAGTTCTTGAATCTGTTGACGAGTGTGCCTCGTGTTTTTCCTTGTCGCTCCACCAGCTTGATCATCACCACCCGTCATAGCACCAATGTTATCATCACCCTCATGATCTTCAGCTCCTCCAATGTAGTTTGGATTAAGGTATTGATCCACATCAAAATCATCTTCTTGTCCATTCATTTTCGCTCTCTGCAACAGACCAGACATAGCATATTCTTAATTAGTACTCGATAAATAAGAAGGAAGTTTAGCTCTATGGGTATACTGAGTTTAATCAGCTTGCTTTTACATAGTTTCAGACATTTCAATTAATAGACGACACACTCTATATGCAATTAATGTCTAACCCTTTTCCAACAACGAAAGATTTACCCTCACAGGATATAAAATTGAAGGAATAAGACAAGTAGGTCCTAAAAACTCTGGGATATATATTCTTTTGATCTCTTAACCGAATTTCTTCAAAGTAAATAATATATACTTCACATATAACAAATCTGGAACCCTAATCTTCCTCTAAACCCAAAAAAAAAACTAAGATCTGATTTTGGCCAAATAAAAAGATAACAACAATCCGATTTTTGGTTCTCTGATTCTCAGTATGCCATAAATGAACAAATTAAATATGAAGAAGAAAACAAAAGGATGTGTTATTAAGTTTTTTTTTTTTTTTTCAAAACCGGAAACAGCCTAAAAACCAATAAACACTAAACAGTTGACTTGACTCCTCACCAAGTTTAATCAACAATCATTTGTTAGCGTAAACGGTAATATAATTTTCCTTTTTTCAAAATTCAGACGGAAAAAAAAACAAAAACAAAAACAATCCGTTGATGATTTCATTTAGATAACCTTAATCATCGTAGCAAAAAAAAAAAAAAAAGATAACCTTAATCATTTCTTTTGTCCCAACAGAGATCTAAAACATGATATAAGATTAGAGTGAAGATATCTAGGTAGGAAAAAAAATGATAGTAGATTTGGCAGACGCTGAATATATAAATCTAAAGTGATAAAACAATTCTCTATAAGAAAACCTTTTCGGAATCTTCAAATGAGTTTTTTTTTCTTACAACATATATATGAACAGAAGTATATGTGAGATTATGTGTAGAGATATGTAAGAGACAGTGCCTATATATAAAAAAGAAAAGCAGAACCTTAATTTGTTTTTTTCTTTCTTTCTCTCTTGTGGTTTTAATCTTCTCAAAGTTGGTTTGTCGATAAAGCGTATTTATAATCGTCGAGGAGGAAAAGAACTATGACTATGAGACAGCTACGCAAGAGACGTTACTGAACCACACGCTCTCTTATTGTGGTGTCTTGCTACTGTCATTGTGAAAATTTCTATTAAGGGTGGATTTTTTTGTTTTTTTTGACAACTTTCTATTAAGGGTGGCCTGGTGGATAAAGTTATCTAAATATATCTTATTACATTAGCTCTGATACCATCCGTCCTAAATTGTCTTTTAAATATCTATTTTTTCAACTTTAGTACAAAATAAATTTTCAAATACACTAGAATTGACAAATAGAAATAAGCTGACGTGTCTTAGATTACTATTTAAAATTTTCACTTTGATTTATTAATAATAATACATTATTTTTACACAGAATACAAATTTAGTTACAAATACATTTTTATTAAAATTATTGTGTAATTTAAATTTTCAACACTATATACTTTTTATGAGTTAGTTAGCTAATGAGTTGAAATAATCCAAAGTAACATAAAAGTGATAAGGTACAAACAAAAGTTTTACAAATTTTGGCTCAATTTTGAGATTTTAAATTATAGATAAATGATATTTCTTCACAAGTCTATCAAAATTTTAAAATATTTAATGAGAAAATAATTATCTAACACTAATATTGTTATTAATTTTAAAATACATTTAATGATATTATTAAAATAATAACTATTTTTATTAGCAAATAAAGAAAATAGTTATATTAAAAAAACAAAATAGTCATAGGCAAGAATTAACTGGCCATATTTAATAGATTTTCTCTCTTATAAATTTCCTTTAGTGGTAATAATAAGACCAAATGACTGGATGTGGTTGTAAGTTTTAGATTTTTTTGATAAAAGTAAATTGTAGATTTTTATTGAAATTTTTTAAATTGTAGCAAAAAAGTTTTTCCCCTTTTTGTGCTATGAAAAAAATATAACAGCTGTATGAAAAAAATATAACAGCTGTATGAAAAAAAAAATATAACAGCTGTAACGCCTTCTAATTGTGGTTTTACTGGTATGGGAAAAAGTGACGTCATTGTTTTATTTCGTTTCTTATGCTTCACCAATTAGGCATACAACACATTGTTAATTTGTAAAATTATATGATCTGTTTCCGATTTTACCCTTGTGGGCCTCTGAGAAAGTGTGTTTATGAGACTAATGGGCCCGTGTCGAAATAAAATTCAGACGATCTGTTTCCAATTCTGACGATTCCCTCTCTTTCAGAATTGGCGCAAAATTCAGATTTTTCTCCGCTTCATGAGTTTTTTGTTTTTAAAGAAAATGCCGTTAAAATCATTCCAATACTCGATTGTTTTCTCGATTCCTCTTTCTTCTTATACGAGTCTGATTTTCTTTTTATAGTATGCTAGGTGAATACCCGCACATTATGTGCAGATTTTTTCTTTTTAACTATTTCAAATTTAAATTTTCATAAAAGTATATTAATCATCATTTATTAATATCTTATTATAAAAATTCGTAAAAATCAGTTTAAAATATATATTGAATATTATTAAGTAATCTAGAGTTTTATAAAAATAAAATAAATATTCATCAATAATTTTAATTAATTATAACATAAATTTTTATTTAACATTTACATAAATATTATTGAAGAGTCAATTAATAATAAAAAAAAAAATTTTAAATAGTTAAAAACTTACACTATAACAATTAAGGTGTGTTGTATCATTTATTATATTTGTTTATATCACTTGAACTATGCATCATTTATAAAACTAACTCTAGAAGTGGTGACTTTAATATTTTGCAGTATTATTACCGATTGATGTAAATACTTTAATCATTTATAGTAATTGATGTGAATATGTATCACTTGTAAAAGGATGTTAACATTTGCCTCAATTAAAATAAATGATATTATAATTTATTTGTTTATAGTAAATAATTTTAATTGATATAATAATTATATCAGTTACAAATAAGTGATGCCAACTAAGTGTCAATTATTATAAGTGTTAGTAAGACTTGTATGATTTATTAAAAACTGATGTTAATATTAGTATCATCATGTAACTGATAATAATTAAACTTGTTATTATAAATGATTATTAATGTAATATTAATTAATATTAAAATTTATATATAAGTGGATATGTGTCAATTTCTCCCAGGCTGACGTGACGATTAGCTGGAGAAAGTTGGTCAAGTTTTATATATAAGATATCATCGAAACAAAGTACCCAGTAAAAATCAGTATCATGACAAATTAAGCGCACAGACAATCTTGGGCCAATCTGTCCATTTAAATCAATATAATCGTTTAATTTTTTAGCTCTTGTCAGTATTGGGCCAATCTGTCCATTTAAAGCCCAATAAAAACATGATCAAACGTGTTAGTTCGTCCAGAATATTAAATTATCTTCATGAGAAAATGTATTACATAGAGAATAAATTTTACAATTTACAAATATAATATGTGGGAAAATTAAAGGTGAACATATTATTTAGATTAATCTTCAGAGATTGAATTTAAAAACTTTTCTTTTTAATTTGGAGTCGTTTTTGTTTGATAGAGTTAAACAAAAATAATAATGAAAGTGATGCTCTTAATCAGTGATTTTGAGTAGTATTGATTTCTAGTTGTGTTATTTATACTAGGTGAATACCCGCACATTTGTGCAAATTTTTATTTTCAATTTTTTCAATTTTTTTATATTTTTATAAAAATTAATATAATCATCAATTTTTATTTATTTACTTATTAATATTTTATTCAAAAAAAATTAAAAAAATAAATATTATTTAATAATTGAGAGTTATATTAAAATGAATAAATATCATCAATATTTTTAATTAGTTATAACATAAAATTTTGTTTAACATTTACACAAATATTAACTAATAGTTAAATTAATAGAATCATCATTTCATTTGTTACTTATTAGTATTTTATTATAAATAATCTTTAAAAAATAATTTAAAATATATATTGAATATTATTAAGTAATTTACAGTTATATAAAAATTAAATACATATCTATCAATATTTTTAATTAGTTATAACATAAATTTTTGTTTAACATTACTATAAATATTAATTAAGAGTCAATTAATAAAACAAACTTTTCATATTCTTTAAATGCTTTAAAATTTAATATTAAATTTTTATTAATTAAAATTTAAGTGACATGTGTCAATTTCTCCAATGTTGATGTGTCAAGCATATAGAGAAAGTTGAGCAACTTTTATATATAAGATTTGGTTAATATGTGTTACAATTTTAGAGTTGATTTTACACACGTAGCCTCGTTTATAAAATATCGTTTGTAGATATAAGAATAAAAATCGGCTCATCGTTTTTGGGTGTTTGTAATATTTTATTTAAACACTGTTTGTCAACTACAAGTTTGAGGAGTTGAACTTTTTTATTAGCGATCCAACAATGGGCCGCTAATTGTTGGATCGTCAAAAAACAAACTCTTTATTTTTCATTGGCCTATGTGTTGGCAACAAAACAAAACAAAACTCCAATCTTCCATGTGTCGTATATATTGTTTTCAAGCTTTAATATTGTCCAATATAAGTATCAAAAGAAAAAGAAAAAAAAAATCGCAAGAATATATACACATAATTAGGACAATATTTTCCGAAAAGTAAGAGATGATCCTCGGATCTTTAAATAGACTCTCGCCTTTCGGACAAGTGACAGACAAAGGCTAATGGCATTAAAGAAAGATTTATCAAAAAAAACAAGTTTCCCAAAAGTAGAGAGAGTATAAAACCGAAACAACCGTTTCAGGGAACCGCGAAAATTTTATTAATAGAGCGACCCAAACGGTATTCGAGAAGCAGAGACAAAACATGGATCCCACAACAAGAGCGCAAGTGGGCCCGTCAAAATATCCGAAACCGTGGCCTAACAGCGGGAACCACTTACTGTCCCTACCCTTTCCCTTCACTGGTCCCCTTACGTGGCTCACGGTCGATTTCCGTACCATATATAACACGTGTCACGTCACTATCAAGCTTTACTTTCCTCTTAAGAAAAACTTATTATTCTGTCATTTCCTGCACATTACCACTCCTTTTTTCTTCCCTCTCATTTTTTTTTTTTTTTTGTCGTCTTTGTTTCTCCGAAGATGTCACTAGAAACGTAAGAGAAGTTGAGAGTGAGTGGTAGCGATAGAGACGTTTTATGTGAGAAAGATATTCTTTAGAGGTTACTATTTTTTGTTTCGCATAGTGAAAATAGAAAATCTGGTACACTGATTTGAACCTCCGACTTTAAATACTTTGCACCCACGTGATTAGTTTTAATACCACAAGTATTTTTCATAGATCTTTTTGCAGTTTCAGATATTTTATAGCTATTGTTGACATTTGAGAGTTAATGTTTAATCTTGCTCTATTGTCTCGGTCTAATCCTTGGCTTAGACGAAACTAATCATTTTTTTACATTAATAAAAGAATACACCTGTGCATATGATTATTCTATGTCGGTTAATTGCTTTCTCTATTCCATCTGATATATGTTAATATATTATACTGCTATATAGTACTTTAAGAAGTATAATATGATCTGATTGTGGATAAGAGACTAAACACAATCGAATAACATATTATTAATTTGAATTTGAGAGTTAATCCAGATCGTGTACTTAATAATCCAGGTTCAGATAATTCATTATGAAATTAATAGCAAGGGGATGAAAAACACATTATTTTAAATTGTCTACTGCAAAGGCAAAAACGGAACAACTATTGTCCCTTTCTTCTAGATGGAGGGGAGTTTAACCAATTAAATACAGCTACTAGAAATCTATTTTTTTGTTTGTTTTCCAGGTTCGGTTCCTAAACACTCCATGTTGTTCTATGTTGCTAGCATTTTTGATAGAATATCTCGTACGTAGAACTGTTGCTTCTGCGAAAATTTGGTTGAAACTTGTGACTTCTTGTTCCTGTAATGCGAATTTAGCTTTGCAAATATGTGAAGAGTACTTGTTAGCATAACATCAGCCTCATGAACCTCCACTCATGGTTGAGTGTATACGCATGTTTGAAGGTGTGTGAACCTTCTCCTTGGCATCTCGCACTTGAGCGCATTACAGCCCTAAAGACGATGTACTCAAGCGGGCGAGAGCGTAACCCATATATTAATTATGAGGATGTGAACTGAATTACTGAACCTTCATTTATTAAACCACAAGTTATACTAAAAATTAGAGGAAAGAAAAACAAATTACAACCTTAAGTTCTTAATATACTCAAATGACATTTACCAGTAACACAAACTGTTGGATATTTGAAATCACAACCTAACCAAAAAATGCCGAGTATTTCTTATGGGAATCGGGGGTTTGTGAGAGCGTGAATCATTGAAATCCAGTAAAAATATTTGTATACTAAAAGAAAATCAGATATTTATTGCAAGTATAATTTTGGAATATTCTCTACGTAAGTGAAAAAATAATAAAAGTTAATTCGTTGAGAAAAAAAAAAAGAACAGTTCGAATAATCTAAAAAATCATAATTCAAAAACTCAGGTCAATCTTCTTGGATTTCTAAGACATGGGAAGTGGAACCCTTTTTAACATGGATGAAAAACGCAGGCCAATCCTCTTGGCCATCTAACTTTCGCAACAACGAAGAATTAGTTTCAAATATCACTGATATACATTCATTCTCAAGTAAACACTTCATAGACCACAACAATGCTTCAAATTCAAAGTGTAGAGGAGAAAGGCATCTATAAGACCCTATTAAACCAAGAAAGCGAACTCCATTTTCATCATACAAGTTATATTGGTCTTTTATGCCAAGACCATCAATTTGACAGTATGTTGTATTCACCCTTATGTATTGGTCTTCTAATGTTTTTAAAAGAAGACGTAAAATCTTCTTCATTTAAGATGATTTGAGTCAAACGCCAATCTTTACTCTCATGGATAGCTATGTGGAAGGTATCTTGTGGAGATCAAAACTAGTTATGACACTTATTATACTTATCATTCAAATTTTGTTCTCCTTATTTTGCGTTTTCTCTTATGACCACACTTATATTCCATTTGTTTAATCAGATTTTGCTCTCACTATTATATTAGGACTAGGAATATAATATGTCAAGGAAAAAAAAAGTTTACCATTATTAGAAAAAGTAGAGAAAAAAGAACACAGAGAGGACACCCCTTAAAATATCAAGGGGGGAAACAAAAAAATCATAGATAGCGTTGACAAGAAAAAAAAAAAACGTAGATAAAATATCAAGGAAAAAAACAAAAACGAGAGCGAGCACTACAAATATCTTCTCACGCTATTATTTTATATAGTTGGTTGACAAAATAATGACAATATTTTGGTTTATTCATGTAAGTTAAAATAGCTATAAAAAAATGGGATACCGGTTGTCCTACACTACAGAAACACAGCCACACATTCACACAATACAACAAGTGAAAAAAAAAAAAAACTCATAAAGGTATAACGAGTGAAAGAGTCAAAACTGGTCAAAAGGACACATGTCAGAGTATGAGTGAATCAAACCAGCGCATTCACAATACCGTGGGATCACTTAGCTGTTTCCTTGTCCACTTGGCACTCCCACAGCCAGTAACTCCGTGTTTTGCCTTTCTTTATTAATTGTTTTCCTTCAAATTCCAAAAATCTCAGGCCAATATAAACACCAACCCTCACTCCCACTTTTCTTCAAACTACAAACTTTAAAATCCAACCTGAAAAAAAAAGAGAGAGATAAAAATAAAATATTTCTATCAAAAACCATCAGAACGGAAGATCTTTTAACCTACTACTTAAACCTTATCCAGTTTTTCTCAAAAAAGAGTTTTCTTTTTTTCTTAAAGATCAAAAATGAACTCATTTTCTGCGTTCGCTGAAATGTTTGGCTCCGAGTACGAGTCTCCGGTCACCGTAGGCGGCGATTACTGTCCGACGCTAGCGACTAGCTGTCCGAAGAAACCAGCCGGTCGGAAGAAGTTTCGGGAGACACGTCACCCAATCTACAGAGGAGTTCGTCGGAGAAACTCCGGTAAGTGGGTGTGTGAGGTTAGAGAGCCAAACAAGAAATCTAGGATTTGGCTCGGAACTTTTCCAACAGCCGAGATGGCAGCTCGTGCTCACGACGTCGCCGCCATAGCTCTACGTGGCAGATCCGCCTGTCTAAATTTCGCAGACTCGGCTTGGCGGCTTAGAATCCCGGAGTCAACTTGCGCTAAAGATATACAGAAAGCGGCTGCTGAAGCGGCGGTTGCTTTTCAGGCTGAGATGAGTGATACGATGACATCGGATCATGGCCTTGACATGGAGGAGACGACGGTGGAGGTTATTGTAACGGAGGAGGAACAAAGCGAAGGGTTTTATATGGACGAGGAAGCCATGTTTGGCATGCCGAGGTTGCTGGCTAATATGGCGGAAGGTATGCTTTTGCCTCCTCCGTCCGTACAATGGGGACATAATTATGACTGCGACGGAGATGCTGACGTGTCCCTTTGGAGTTATTAAAAAAATTTGGTACTATAATTTTTTTTTTTTTTTTCTGAGATTTTAGGATTCCACAATTTTTTTATAGGATGAATCCCTCTTTTTTTTTTTTTTTTGGTGGTCACTGAGAGACGATGTAAATCTTTCAAAAACAATATTTTCAATGCGAGTATTTTTTGTGTGGAGTATAATCTTGGTCTCCTTTTAAGCAACAAACAAGAGTAGTTGAGGCTTCTTGTGTTTAAAGATTCGTCTGAAGCAACGATGGAAAAGGATAATGAATGTCATTAAAGCGATGAAATTTGATAATTAACGAGAATAAAACTGTTAATAATAAAACTTCCGGGCCTCTGTATTGAACACAATCTAGCACTTCCATAACGACAAAAAGTTCAGGCATTGCATTTGTTACCGTAAGTTGGTACCTAGCAATTTTTTTTTGGCAATTTGATAAATATAGAAAGTTTCAGGCTCTTTTGTGAATAACAAAATTCCCGAGTATATGTGAATATAAATAGAAACAAGATGGGGCACTTCAGTTTTTTTTCCTTTTTTTGATAGCAAGGTCACTTCAGTTGTTCGCAAAAGTTATAGACTATTTCAATGGGTACAAAATTTTGAAGGCATCATTATAAATAGCAAAAAAGATAGAGAAAAATAACGAAATATTTGGAGCAAAAGTACAAGTTTAGTAAATAGCAAAAGTTTTTGGTAGTTCAACTAATATTAAATCGTGAGGGACACTTGGTCATTAATTATTAAAACTTCCCTGTTTTTTTTCAGTGCCGGCTCAAACATTGATGAAACCCTGTGAGGTAAAAACAAAGCTCCTTGGCTGAAAAAACAAAGCTCCTATTATACTTTTTTGTTTTTTTTTGCAAAAATTTTAGACTCTGAAATAATGTAATTTTTAAAAAATTAAATAAAATTTTAAAATTTAGACCCTAAATCTAGTGCAAAAACACTTTCAGTATACGGATAGAGTCGCCCCTATTTTTTTGTAAATACAAAACTTTTTAGTATTTATTTAAAATACTAAAAAGTTTAGTATTTTTTTAAAATTTTAGACTCTGATATAATGTAAAATTTAAAAATTTAGACACTAAATCTAGTGCAAAAACACTTTCAGTAGAGTCGCCCCTGTTTTTTTTTTTAAATACAGAACTTTTTAGCATTTTTAAAAAATACTAAAAAATATTATATCTTTTTGTAAGTAGCAAAAATTGCATATAAAAAATTCTGAGCACTTATGTAAATAAAAAAGCACTACTGAAATTAGCATAAGTTCCATGTACTTTTGAAGATAGAGACGATCTAATTACTTTGATAATAGGCAAAATGAAGGTACATAGTGAAAGTTTGGGTGCCTCTTTTACATAGCAAAAACTCTGAGACAGTTAAGGTAATGATAAAACGATCTGGATATTTCAGCAAAATAGCAAAAGTTCCAGATATTTTGAATAGAAGAAAAAAGATCTGAGCGCACTTCGGCAAGTGGGGTAAAAGTTTGATGACAGCTAAAGTTATTGGTACTATATAGATTTCTTAATTTGGAGACATGAACCACGTACCAAACGTGGCTTCACATCGAATCGATATACCAAACCTATATTTGTTGTTGTTGTTGTTGTTGTTAACAACATAATCCAAATCTTTTTGTTATGAACTAACTAGCTAGTCTAACTGTTCATGTATATGTTATGAATGGATGAGAATTAGCTCTCCTCTTTTTTTTTTTTTTTTTTTTTTTTACTAAAAAGGACAAAAAACCTGATCAATGAGATTTATCAACCCATCATTGGAATTTATTTCCTCATTTCTCCGCATTAGCATGACGTTACTACGTATACTTACTATATATGTTCGGTGAAACCCTTGAGTTCCTTTAAAAGTTTTACTCAAGTTCTAAGTAAATGACCATAACAGTAGTCAGACGTGCGTTGTCATCTCACATTGTTTGCGAGATTCTGAAAGCACCTCCTCTCATTTGAAAGTCAGTCTCCTATATTCATAAAAAATGCCTAAAAAGAAGAGAATGACAATAATTTCTCAAAAAAAACCTTGAAACAATAATGAGAAGTCCATATGATACTTGTCTTAATTATAACTTCATTTAATTATACAATTAATCTGTATTGAGATAATAGGGGAAAACAATCCTAAGATCTTTAAATAGACTCGGACGATTGACGAGAGCAGTCTATTCCATTAAAGATTTCAGTGTTGGGGGATAGACAAAAAAGTTACCGAAAGTAGAGTATAAAACGGAAACAACCGATTCAGCGAAGCGCAAATAATAGTCCAAAAACAGAAAGATGGGTCCCAACAGAGAGCGTATGAGCCGCACAAAATCCTAAGCCGTGGTTCGACAAGAGAATCGCTGTCCCTACCTCTCCCTCGCCTTCACTGGTCTATGCGTGGCTCGCTGTGGAGTCCCGTACCGTCACACGGTTCACGTCACTTTCAAGCGTCACTTGATCTTTACTATTTTCTTCCTTCTTATCACTATTTTTGCCCTCTTTTGTCGTCTTGTTCACCCCAAGATGTCAATCATAACGTCAAGAATGGAGAGAGACGTTCTTGTAAGCGAATATTTTTATTTATTTATTTATTTTTTTTGACGGCAAGTGATAGATAGTAGGTGCTATTAATTATTTTTTTGTTTTGTTTTTTTGACAGCAGTATAAGATACTATTATTTTTTTTTGTTTTGATAGTGGAAATGGAAATATTATCCATTGATTGAACCTACGACTTTAAAAGTCTCATACCCATATAAGTAAGTAACCACCTGTATCTTTTTGTAGATAAGATATTATTAATGTTTGAGATAGTATTATATATCATTGACACTTGAGATAATATCAGATATTATTGAGATTTGAGAATGGACGAACTTGCTCTTGTATTGGTATGATAATCCTTGGCTTATTCCAGTAATCTGGACTCCAAATCTAGTTTAATAAACTGAATGTCCATGCGCTAGTTTTGCTAAACACCTGTTAGACGTAAGTAACTAAGTATTTATACATGTACAAGATAAGATATCGAAAACAAACGACCAGTTTACTTTTCAATTTGATTATTCGGTGGAGGTCAATTATTTCATATGGTAGAGAACGATCTGAAGTACTTTAGTTATAGCAAAAGTTACGGGGTACATTACATATACATACATAGAAAAAGTTCCAGGTGCTTCTTTGAACATCAAAAACTATGAGGCATTTTAATAAATAATACCTTTTTCGGGTATTTCTACAAATAGCAAATGTTGAAGATATTTATTTGAGTAGCAAAAGATCTGAGAATTTTGGTAAAAAGTTTGATTGACAGCTAAAAAGACTAAAGTTCTTGTTACTATATACATATTTAGATCTCAATGTTAGAGAGATGAACCAAATAAACAACGTGGGTTCACATCGAATCCATGAGACCATACCCGAACCTTTTTTTGTTTGTAGATAAAAACGCACTATCGAATCCATAGTTTTTTTTTTGTTAATATCCCAAACCTTTTCTTTACACTACTTTTTCATTACAATTTTACAACAGCGTGAATTAACTGTTCATATACTTGTTTTTTTTTTTTGAATGAATGTTACATTTATTCAAGAAATTTTTTTTTTTTACATCAATGATGCTTCGCAAATGATTTAACAGCATCTATATGGTTCACAAAATCATCAAAAACTAACAGAGTTAGATATCTTCATATACTTGTTCACTCATGATGTTTAAAGTTTCTTATTGTTGTAAAAAGAAACATCATGAATTATCTGTTCACAGTAGTTGTTTGTTTTTAGTTTTTTACTAATGAGTGGATGAGGAGTATTTCTCACTTTAAAAATTGAGATTTACTAAAGCCATCATCGCAATTTCTTCATTTCTCCATACAGTATATTATTATGTTCAACATCATTAAGTTTTGTTACAAAAAAAAACCTTCATTAGTAAGTCCACGTGGCTTTTTGTAAGCCCCGTGCGAAAAATCCGTATCCCGAGAAAGGAAAGGCAAATTCAGACGGCGCTCTTTTTTTTTTTTTTTTTTTTGAGTTACCCAATCTATACAGTGGTGAAGCTCGTTGGACCAATAACATCAACAATGGCGTTTGCAACCACTCTTCTCTTCCACAACGGGCCTTCTCAAGTCGTCGCTCGTAGACGTTGCCAACCATCTGTACTTAGAACGTGCTTACCAAAGCCATTTCTTTCCTTACGATGCTTACGTGGCTCCAATGCGGCGTTCCTGCCTTCGTTGAGGGCGAAATCCGATGGCTTGGCTCGGGCCTACGTCACCGGAGCTCCGCCAATCGTGGAAGAACCAGACCCAAATACTGAAGGATCCAAATCTGAGCCCGAGAAGGACGAATCGAAGGATTTAATCAGATGGGGGCTTGTGTGGAGCTTGATGAGCAAGCACAAGCTTAGGCTCGTTGTTTGTCTATTGACCCTCGTTGGCTGCAGCACTTGCACTCTCTCTATGCCTGTTTTTTCTGGTAATCGAATTCTTCAGTACAGTCTCATATGCCCATGTTTTTGTTAGTTTGGATTTAGGTTTAGTTTGGTTTAGCTTGATTCTTTATCACAAATAATGGTAAGTGTTATGGTTTTGAGTAAAGGTAGATTCTTTGAAGTGCTGATTGGGGTGCGACCGGAGCCTCTGTGGCGGCTGCTGAGCAAAATCGCTGTTTTGTATTCTTTGGAACCGATCTTTACTATTGCTTTTGTAACCAACATGAATGCTATATGGGAAAATGTTCTGGCAACATTAAGGGCTCAGATTTTCAGAAGGGTTTTGGTCCAGAAGGTATTGTTTGTTTTGTTCTGTATGATCAAAGTTTGCTAAAAGCTACTGTTGGCTGTTGTGGTTTACCATTGGAATATCTTTGATGGGTTTTTGTCTTTTAAAAATTTTGCAGGCAGAGTTTTTCGACAAATATAAGGTCTGTGTTTTTCCTAGTTCTTTATCTTTTGGTTTTATCAGGGTTGATGGCACAAACCTTCCTTAGTCATTATGTGAAATTGACTTCATTGGTTGTAGGTAGGAGAGCTGACGGGGCTGCTCACTTCTGATCTCGGTGCTCTGAATAGTGTTGTGAACGATAACATCTCACGAGATCGTGGATTTAGGGCATTTTCTGAGGCAAGCCATTTCTTTACTATGCAAATGTGAGATTTGTGTTTGTACTTTCATTTTTCATATTGAATACAGACTTAATCTTAGCCTGGTACTGTGTTGATGGCATTTTTGGAGTCCTATAAATGACAAAGAGTATCTTGTTGCGTCTCAAGAATGCCCAGTTTTTATGGCTCATGCATTTTTCCTTTTATAGGTTTTTGGAACAATCTGCATTTTGTTTACTCTATCTCCTCAACTTGCACCTGTGCTTGGTTTATTGATGCTCGCTGTGTCAGTTTTAGTTGGTAAATTCTCTATGCCTTACTCATTTGTCCTAAACTTTTTGTTTGGTTAATTACCTCGGTCATATTTGCTTACATTTACATCTGTTCACTCGGTCAATTCTCAAAAGCTGTGTACAAGAGATCGACTGTTCCTGTTTATAAAGCACATGGACTAGCCCAAGCAACGATGTCTGATTGTGTGTCAGAAACGTTCTCTGCAATCCGAACCGTAATTTCTTAACTTCATCGTATTTGTATATTTAAGCAGATTAACTTAACTATAGAAACTTTGATTTGCCTTTGAAGACTCCAATAATTTTTGTCTTTATAGGTAAGATCATTCAGTGGTGAAAAACGTCAGATGTCGCTCTTCGGTAGTCAGGTCATATTTCAGACTTCTTACTAGCTAAAAGTCATTTCTTTCAAACAATTGTTGTTTTTGTTCTAACTGTTCCATGATCTGTTATTTGAAACTTCTGTTTGACGTACAGATTCTTGCTTACCAGCGTAGCGGCTTAAAGCTTGGCATTTTCAAAGCTATTAATGAATCTATAACAAGAGTTGCTGTTTATATTTCTCTGTTGGCACTTTACTCTCTTGGAGGAAACAAAGTGAAGACGGTAAGATATGCCTGCCTGTAAGACTTTTTGTTTGCCATTATGAACATTGAAGTTGAAATGAAGCTTCTTGGCCATTAACACATAGAGAGAATCGTGGTTCGATGAATATCTTAAGAAACTAAAAAATCACTATCTCTTACCTCTCTTTTGTGTAGTTTCTTATGTTGTTACATTTCTACTCCTGGGCACTTTATTTTTCGTCGTTCTTATTCATAAACTTTCTCCTACGCAGGGTGAGCTCGCTGTTGGAACAGTTGTCTCGTTCATTGGATACACATTTACTCTTACCTTTGCTGTTAGTACCTCTATCCACACGGCATTTGCTGACCCATGCTATACATGCAATTTGGTTTACCATAATCAGTGCTTCTGTTTTCCAGGTCCAAGGGCTTGTTAACACGTTTGGAGATCTACGTGGAACTTTTGCTGCTATAGACAGGATCAATTCCATTTTAAATGCAGTGGACATAGATGAGGCTCTTGCCTACGGGTTAGAAAGAGATATAAATAAAAAGAAAGTCCAAGATGAAAACCTTAGATTGTTCTTGTCTTCTGGCCCTAATCTGAATATCCGTCACCTCGATAATTACTACATGTCAGATCTGAAATCAACTAACAATCTACGTACCCTAACATGGGCAGGAGATGTCTGTCTTGATGGTAAAATCAGACCAAGAAAAACTCTCCTTCATATTGTTTTTACTTCAAGATCCCCCAACTCCTTAGAGTTTAACTGCAGATTTGACCACTTTCTAAATTTTCGTATTGGCGTATTCTATTTTGTCATAGTGTAGATGTGCATTTTGCTTATCCTCTACGACCCGACGTGAAAGTTCTTGATGGGTTCAGTTTGACGTTGAAAGCTGGTACCGTAACTGCTCTTGTTGGCTCTAGTGGTGCGGGAAAAAGTACTATTGTACAGTTATTGGCACGCTTCTATGAGGTTAATCACCTCTCCTCTTCCCATTTGAAGTGTAATATCTGTTAAGACTAATTTTGAAGCCGCTTTTACATCATGCTGATGGGTTGAATTTCCACTTCTGGCAGCCAACACAAGGACGTATTACTGTGGCTGGAGAGGATGTGAGGATGTTTGACAAGAGTGAATGGGCTAAGGTTGTCTCAATAGTGAATCAGGTGTGTATATTGTAACATGTATTGGGTGTAGGCATGGTCGGATTATTTCTTCTTCTCCTTTCAAAGGTTGGATTTTTGTTTGACTCAGGAACCTGTTCTCTTTTCTCTCTCTGTGGCCGAGAATATTGCATATGGTCTCCCCAATGATCATGTGTCCAAGGATGACATCATTAAGGCAGCCAAAGCTGCCAACGCCCATGATTTCATAATCTCACTACCTCAGGTTCGGATTCGTGACCTTACCTGCAACAACTCACCTGTTCTTCCTTGCAAATGCACTTGAGTTCTTCTGACCAGTACCGGTGTCTTTTATAGGGATACGATACACTGGTTGGTGAACGAGGAGGCTTGCTAAGCGGAGGACAGAGACAGGTATGAAAACATTAAGAGCTATGTGTTTTTGGTTCCTTACAGACTATTGATGTGCTTGGCTTTCGACGTTTCAGAGAGTTGCCATAGCCCGATCTCTGCTGAAGAATGCCCCCATCTTGATTCTCGATGAGGTGAAAGACTCTTTGTTTAATAATCTCGCCTTTGAGGGACTGTTTACTTTGCTAGAACATTTACCGAAGTAAGAGCCTAATCTCTCTTGCTCTCTTGCTGCAGGCCACGAGTGCGCTTGATGCAGTGAGCGAGCGTTTGGTGCAGAGTGCGTTGAACCGTCTGATGAAAGACAAGACAACGTTAGTCATCGCTCACAGATTGAGCACAGTCCAGAGCGCACATCAGATCGCTGTATGCTCTGATGGGAAGATCATAGAGCTTGGAACCCATTCCGAATTGTTGGCACAAAAGGGATCATATGCTTCACTTGTTGGCACACAAAGGCTGGCCTTCGAGTAATTCAGTGACTCTCGAGTTCCTTTACATACAAGTTTCAGTTAAGTTCTCAGTAAGACCATATATAATCTTAGATTGTAGATCGTTACACAAGTGTTATCTGTAACAAATGACTATAAATGGTTGTTTCTGTGTTATTTTTTCTGTTGACTTCAGTTACCAATAGTTAAAAAAAAACAAACAGACACAAGTACTAATAGTTTATAGAGGTTAATAGACACAAAACGAATGATCACAGGTTAAATTGATTAACCTCAATTTTCAATCAACATATTACCACTAAGTACTAACTGAACATATGTTAAATTGTATAATTTATACGGAATAAAATTTAACGACCGGTGATGTCAAGCTGACGAGAGCAGGGGAATATAATGTTCTTCACCTCTTTTGTCCTCTCCAAGAAGATCCGAGGCCGCTTCAGATAATTTTTCACTCTCTCCCATTAATTAATCCCGAGTCCCATAGATTTCTTTGTGAGAGATTGTTTATATATATATATACATATATATATATATATATTACGGAGAGGTAATATTCGCTTTTCGCGCTTTTTTTTTACTTATGATCGGATTAGGTCTTTTAAACAGCAATGATCCGTTCGACGTTTACACGATAATCCGATTCCGAGTTTTCTGAATCACTTCTTTGCAATCTGATCACCGTTTGTTTTTGTAATTAAGAGAGATCGAAACCGATTGAAATGGATTTAGATATGAACGGAGGTAACAAGAGAGTCTTTGAGAGACTAGGCGGCTCGAATCGGCCGACGACGGAGTCAAACCAGAAGGTTTGTTTCCACTGGCGGGCTGGCCGGTGCAATCGTTACCCTTGCCCTTACCTACACAGCGAATTCCCGGGTCCCATCGCCGGGTCTTCTTCGAACAAAAGGGTCGCTGATGAGTCTGGTTTCGCGGGTCCGAGTCATCGTAGAGGTCCCGGGTTCAGTGGGAGCAGTAATAACTGGGGCAGATTCGGTGGGAACAGAACGACGATGGTGGCTAAGACGGAGAAGCTTTGCAGATTTTGGGTTGATGGGAATTGCCCTTACGGTGATAAATGCAGATACTTGCATTGCTGGAGCAAAGGGGATGGCTTTTCCTTGTTGACTCAGCTTGATGGCCATCAGAAGGTGTGTGTGTTGTTGTTGTTGTAAGTTCTTATGGCTTCCAAAGTTTGTTGATGCTGGATTCTTGTGCAATGTTGACTGGTACTTCTTGAGCAGGTTGTCACTGGGATTGCTCTGCCATCAGGTTCTGATAAGCTCTACACGGCGAGTAAAGATGAAACTGCGCGGATCTGGGATTGTGCTTCTGGACAGGTTTTTGATTTTCCTCTTATTGTTTCATGTCGCATCTATTTATAGTTGTGTGATTGAGTTTCGTTCCATAGTGGTAGTACAATCATTCAATGGATACTAATTGTCATTGTTGTGTGACCGGACCAAGGGATGTGCCATTTTGGCCTCTCACACTGCAGAACCTTTGTTTATGTAGTTTAGGTACTGAACTCAAAACACTGTTTTAATAAGCAAAACGTGCTTATCGTTATAGTATTGTTTTTTTTACATAGTGTACAGGTGTACTCAATCTTGGTGGGGAAGTTGGCTGCATGATTAGTGAAGGCCCCTGGCTATTGGTTGGCTTGCCAAATCTCATTAAGGTAAGTGCGGAGTATGATTCCCTAGAATGATTCATTGACAGTTTAAACTCTCCATCTACAGTGAGGATTCCCTTTATTGTTTTATGCCGTTAAGTTATTACGGACATTGACTTTTTGATCCACATACAAATGTATAACTTATATACAGGCATGGAATATCCAAAACAACGTAGACCTGAGTCTCACTGGACCTGTTGGCCAAGTATATTCAATGGTTGTGGGTACTGATCTGCTGTTCGCTGGCACACAAGTAAATACTTTGACTGACTGTAAGACCTAGGAGTAGAGTAGTGCTTCAGCGGCATGTGTATGCTTCATCTTCTTTCTTTTCTTCTGAAATATTATCATAGAGTATTTGATTGAGAAAACAAATCTGTGTTGAAGAAATATTTATATGTCTATTGAATTTTGGTTTAAGTGACAAGTTCTTATAAGTATGTCTCATCACTCTCTGTGCAGGATGGCTCTATTTTGGTTTGGAGATACAATGCTGCCACTAGCTGTTTTGATCCGGCTGCATCGCTAATGGGCCACACCCTTGCAGTTGTTTCTTTATATGTTGGAGCGAACAGACTCTATTCCGGTTCCATGGACAATTTTATAAAAGCAAGTAGTGCCTATCATGCGTGAATTAAAAACCCCTGTTTGTTTTCTTTTTTGTTTGTTTAAGCTAATAGATGTCTGCTTAATCTGGTTTTAATAGGTTTGGAGCCTGGATAATTTACAGTGTATACAAACGCTTACAGAGCATACATCAGTTGTCATGTCTCTCATTTGCTGGGATCAATTTCTTCTGTCATGTTCATTGGACAATACCGTTAAGGTTCGTTTTTAACTTGATCGAATTTTTTTGACCTGGCTCCATTAACTTCTTAGAAATCCTTATTATGACAATGTGACATTATCCCATGTTGGGGTTGTTCTTTTGCTGCTGTAGATATGGGCTGCTACTGAAGGTGGAAACTTGGAAGTGACTTACACTCACAAAGAAGAATACGTACAGTTCATTGCGTTTTTGGTGAAATGTTTTCCTCTTTTTTTTGGTTCAATCTATATGCAACTATAAATGGATAATTGAATCCAGGGCGTGCTAGCTCTCTGTGGCGTGCATGATGCAGAAGCCAAACCGATATTGCTATGCTCGTGCAATGACAATTCTTTGCACCTCTATGAATTGCCATCGTAAGTCCTTCCAGTGCCGTTAGTTTCAAGAGTCTACAATTCTGTTTCCATTTTCAAAAGCTTAGTTCTTCCTTCTTATGTAAGGTTTACGGAAAGGGGCAAAATTTTAGCAAATCAAGAGATAAGGTCCATCCAGATAGGTCCTGGGGGCATATTCTTCACCGGAGATGGAACTGGTCAAGTTAAAGTATGGAAGTGGTGTACAGAACCAACTGCCATTCAGTCTTGAGGGTTTGTTATACAATCCGCTAAGATGGATTGAAGCATTGTTGAGACGTTTATAAATGTTTATGAATACAAGAGTTACTTAAGAATTGTGTATAATTGTTTGTCAATGAATTGTTGAAATTGAAATGACCGGTTGTTTAAGTTTTAACAAATAAATGGCTAGTGAATCAACGATCAGTTAATTGACGATGATGAGCAGAAAAATTGAACATGGAAAAATATATATTATTGCTGATAACCAAGCATGTAGCCCGTCTAGCTCAGTTGGTAGAGCGCAAGGCTCTTAACCTTGTGGTCGTGGGTTCGAGCCCCACGGTGGGCGATATGTGTTTTCTGATACTGGGCCAAGTCCCCTCTTTTTTCATTTTATGATCTAATTACTAGTGGGCTTTTTATTCCTGAGCTAGTCCCCTCCCTTTTTGCCAATAAGCAAATTCTCTTATGAATTGCTACAGAAATGTCTTGTTGATACACATATTCTTCCATGCAAATTGTCTTTAAGTGTTTATTTTCGTCAAATATTTTCTAATTAGGGTGTGCTACTTGTGTTTTTTTTTTAAAAAAAAAAAAACACAAGTAGGGTGTTGTCTGGGACTGCGTCATCCCACCCAAGGGCCATTATGAATTTATGATTATGATTTATGACCAAACTCAACCCCTCCACTATGTGTTATTTATGTAAATGTATTTTAAGCACTTTGGTTTTGCCATTACCTCATTTTGAAATCATTTGCCCCGTTGAAACCAGACACTCCTTTTTTTTTGTATTTTTTTTTTTTTTGTTGAATACTAATATCTTTTTCTCTTTGCTTCTTCTTCATCTCCATTTGCTTGAACCCTCCTCTCATTTCTCAGAATTTGAAGCAAGTGTCTGACCACGAGGCTTCTATGATTAATGGAGCAGGAGAGCACAATAAGATTGGTGATCAGGAGGTACTTCCATTTGTGGAGGATGATTACGGAGGAGTGATCGTGGAGATGAAAAATCCTATGGATCCAAATTGTTTCGTTGCAACGCTTAGATATTCGTTCACTCAGTGGCAGTTACAGGTTTGTGTTATTACTCTTCTAAACTGAGTAGTTAATCAATGATGATCATGTTAAGCATGTTTTTTGTGTGTTTCAGGGTAAAAAGGGAGTATGGTTAAATTTGCCCCTCACACACGTAAACCTCGTGGAACCCGCAGTTAAGGTGATGCCCCATAAAACCTACCTAATTCTTATTTTTGTATTTATTATCAGCTTTTCATATATAGATGTCATTTGTCCTATACGGAATTTCCTTGCAAATTAGGGTTGAGATAAAACTCCACGAACCCTAAGAAATTTGATCAAAACGTCTGGTATTGAGAAAGTGAGTTCTATTGTGGTATTACCGTATTATGAATCCCCACCTCGGAATGATATAGAACCTAAAACGTATTACTATGCAAGGGGTTATTAACCATGATCAACTAATTTTTTACTTGATTTTGAGTTGAAAATCCATAAACTTAGTATAATATACGTCCAAGAGTGAGACTTGATTACATATGAGTCAGAAAAATTATCATTTCTGGAGAGCGTGTTAGTAATCTCACATGTGAGATCAAAATCTAGAGTAATAAATGTACTAGAGAGAAATTAATCTACTCATTGAAAGACCATAAAATTTAACATATGGTGTTTTATATAATAATTAATGCAGGAAGGTTTTCGGTACCACCACGCTGAGCCAACTTACCTAATGCTAGTTTACTGGATTCCCGAAGCTACGATCAGCACTATTCCTTTGAATGCTTCTCATCGGGTTCGTGTTGGTGCTGTTGTCTTGAACCATAACAAAGAGGTATTTAGGACACGATTCTTTTATTTTTTTGGTAGCGTTTCAATGTTATAATATTCTAATCATAGAAATGCAAACGAAAGCATAAACGTAAATACACAATTGTACGTGGCCTTATTATGGTGTTCCAAAACTCAGTTTTTACTGTCAACATGAGACTAAAATCTCCTACATCTTAAATTTAAAACTAGAGGCAGATTCTTGTTGTGCAGGAAAAATACGGCACATTACGCGGATCAGGTGTCTGGAAAATCCCTACAGGAGTTGTTGATGAGGTGTTTTTGATTTCTCTGTATCAACAAGTTTTCAAACCCTTTGTATATCTTTGTTGAAGATTTGATATTTTCTCGTTTGCGTACAGGGTGAAGAGATTTTTGCTGCAGCTATTAGAGAAGTTAAAGAAGAAACAGGAGTAATTAAACAGATCCATATATCTCCCTCTCTATATATATATATATACATACATATATATATATATAAATGTGTCAATATATATAAACTAATGTTTCAATATATCTATATATCTTCAGATCGACACAGAGTTCTTGGAGATTCTAGCTTTCTGGTATTGATCATCATGACCCTCTGCTTCATTATTTCTTGATACTTGCACGTTCTAATAATTAGCCTTCTGTTTGCAGTCAAACCCACGAGTCATTTTTTGCCAAGTCGGATTTATTCTTCATTTGTCTGTTGCGGCCTACCTCCTTTGATATTCAGAAGCAGGACTTAGAGATCGAAGCAGCTCAAGTAAAGTAACATCCACTTCTTGTTCTAAATCTGAAACATTTTCTCGCAATCTTTCCCAATTTGTTTTTCTTGAATGTGCAGTGGATGCAGTTTGAAGACTCTGCCTCTCAGCCAATCAGACACAAGAATGAACTCTTCGAAGTGATTCATCGCATTTGCTCAATGAAAATGGAAAAGAGCTACACTGGGTTTTCTACAAAACCCATTACATCTTTCTTTGACGACAAGTTAGGTTATCTCTACTTGAATAAACAAGATATGAACAATCCTATTTCTTAAATTTCTTCCGAGAAGATAAAAGTTCAAGTATCGTCATTAATGTCCTTCTAGAGAAGATCGTCTGAGCCTAAAAAAAAGTTCATGGATCTTAAAAGGAAAAAGGGATTAGGTTTAGATTCTTTTATCCAAAAGAGATGTTGAATTTTTTCGTCTGCAACCCAAACAAAAAAATTAGTAAGAAGAGAGGGAGCTAGTGAAGGGGAAGAAGTGAAGGTATATTGTTTGTACGTATTTGATGAATAGAAGGGTTCAATACAGTTACGCAACCCATTAATATACAATCACAACTACATTATAAAAAGATAATCCGACTATCTTCACCATGTCTTTAAATATAGACTGCTAGTTGACTCAAACAGACATTATCTTTGAAATATACATCACTAACAACATATTCCAGAAATAGTTTTAATTGATAGTGACGGAATAAAAATTCATCGCTTTTTCATGACAATATGCCGTAATTCTATTGCTGTTTGGCGAAAAGCTAGCGATAAACTGGATCGAATTCAAACTATAAGTTCAAAGCATGTAACTTTGTTATTAAATCTATTGCTTTAATCTTTTTTTTTTCCGTGGGAACAGAAAAAATGTACATTAAACAAGATCAATCTTTATATTGTAGAACTCGATATCTGATCCAACACCCAATAAAACAAGTTTTTAGTTACAAGAACACTGTCACTAGACACGATTACTAGGTTCAATTTTATTCTGTTGACAGAAGATGTTTAAATTTCTGTAATCAACCTATTATCCAATAAAGTTATGAATTTAATTAAGTATATTGAAAATACTTGTTCATATACATAGTTCATTAGTATTGTAAACAAGAACGAAAAATGGGAATATTTGATTAAAGATAATAAAATTCTAGTATCATTATTTCTATTCTTATCAAATGTGACTTGTGAGTGGTCTGATTTTTTATTTTTCTTTTCTTATTACATATAAGTTATCTTATTTGTCGACGTCATATGTCGGCCGACCCATTTTGGCAAAAACAGACAATAGTGTATCTCTTCTTTCCATTCAATCAAAGAAATTTCCAGATGTCACAGGGACGACACCTTAGGAACTATACGGCGCTAGTTACACGGGAGAAGCTGAATGTGTCCCACATGTACATGTATTATTATGTTCTAGCCTACTAAGACAAGATATAACCGAAAGTTGTCCACAAACCACAATGCCGACTTCGTAGAGAATGTTTTTCTTTTCCTTCTAGAGAATGCCTTATATTGTTTTTCTTTTCATGATATCTGATAATACAAGTTTTATATGAAAAAAAAAAATTGACTTCTTAATTTTTCTTTTCTTTTCAAAATTTAGATTCTGCAAATCCTTTTTTTCTTGGGGAAAAAAGATTCAGCAAATCTTTGAAATTATAATATTTTTTAGATTTGCAGTCTAGACTTTTGCTTTTATACTTGCAGAAAAAACACAACAGATACAAACATTCACAATCACGTATTTCCATGAGCCGTCAATTATGAAGTAATACAAACATTTTCTGAAGCGAGATTGTTGAGATACAAACAGTCGACTCTCATTAATCAAAATCACCCACTCGCTTTGTTAAATGTGAAGATGTAATGCATCTCAAAGATTTGACTTGTTGGTCAACCAAAAAGAGTAAGGGTTTAGTAGCACGGTTCGAGTGGTGAAGGATTTTTTTTTCTATAAGTTTAGGAAGAATTGAAATTCTACCATCCATTGATCTTCATCACTGTTGACCTATTTTTAGCTATTGTAAGAATATCTAGTTCTTCAATATTTCAAAGAGAATGTGAATTTCTGTTCAAAATTTACTTCAATTGTTTAGAAAATAAACTTGTTGGAGAATTTTTCTACCGACGAGTAATCACGTGCGGATTATTCTCTTCACTTAATCGGATGGTGCCATTCCAGTTATAATAGGATTTTGACTATACTCTGCCTCTTATCATGACTATATATTTAAATCCAAGGGTCCATAGAATAACACTAGATAAATCCAAAAGTTTTACTAAACTTTACACATATACAAAAGAACAAAAAACAAAAATTACGGACTACGATTCGTTACTGTATAGTAATCACGGGGAATGATAAAACAAAACAAAAGAAAGTTCGGTGGATTGAGCAATTGCTTCACGGAAGCCATTTGTTCTGCACACATTTTTCAGTTCACCCAATTTTCTCCATTTTCTTCTCAGATTCTAACCGTTTGTATACATTTTTATATATACTGGATTAGTGGTTATATTTAGGTTAAGTTTTATTGGTTTCAATTTAAAATTAACCTGACAATAGATACTTGGTTCATGATGTAAAATAATTTTCACACGCTTTTTAGAGATGGTAGCTCTTCAGTCTTATTTCGAACCAAATTCCACTTTGGAATCGATTTACCCTAAACTCAAGCTCTAAAATATGTTAATATTATGGTTTTTTAATTTAAACTAATTAATAGTAATTGTAGATTTTTTTATATCGTTCAATATCTCATCAATTTTTATATTATTTACATTTTTTTGTTTTTGGTTTTATTATGGGAAAGTTTTCTTTTCGTTTAAATTCTTGGATAGATTCATGGAAGAAAAGGGTTTTTAAATGAAAGATAACGAAACTCATATTGGGACAACTAGCCATCCCAGAACGTTTTCCCATAATTGTAAGCAATTTTTTTGTTAATTGTACAATTTTTTTATATTGAAAAGCATGAGAAAATTGAGAGTAGAATATTGGGTCTTTATTTTTAGTGACTTGGTCGTGATTAATCAACCGAAACTGAGGAATTAGTTTAATCAATAGTGGTGAGAGTGATTGCTTATTACTATACCACACATACAACTTATAAGTTATATATATATATATACATGGAAATATAATATATCTATATATATATATATATCTAGATATATGGGTATATAAACACGAGCCTCACGCCTGAGAAAGAACAAAACACATTTGTTTGCGAGTTAAAAAACAAAAACAAAAAAAGATACATTTGTTTGTGTTGCAATATTCCATCACAAAATATTTCTCTATATCTCCTGTTATAATCATATACTCAATGATGAGAATGAGCGTTACGGTGTCGTGGTCACACAGAGTGGCGTGTTACTGTCTGGTCGCACTGCTGGTCCTAACACTGGCGGGCTCGATCAGAAACAGTCACAGAGGAGGTGGCGGAGAGAATTTCCCGGCGGCGGCGGATAAAAGAGACGGCGAGGTTCGTCGAGGGAAGCCAATGATGGAGAGGCCATGTGAGGAGCTATACGTAGTGAGTGAAGGAGAGACGCTTCACAGCATCAGCGACAAGTGCGGCGACCCGTTTATCGTGGAGCGTAACCCGCATATCCATGACCCGGATGATGTCTTCCCGGGTCTCCTCATCAGAATTCACATTACCATCCCTAGTTCCATAACAAGCTAAATACGACGTCGTTTTTCTGTACATTATGTCATCGTATTGGCCTCTCCATCATTGGCTTCTTACTATTTTTCCTTTGTTTGGCTTCTTGTACGTCTTGATTTTTCAATGAATTATAACACTAAGATTTGTTTGTTAATGAATTTTTTTTTTTTTTAATGTTCGCGGGTGTGAAGACGTTTTTTTCGCTGATGTAAAAATTTATGCACGACCATGTGCCCATGTGGTGTTTTGATATAATATTAAGTATAGGTTTACCATAAAACTGATTTGACATGGAGATGGTTGATTTAGGAAATTCTTTTACAACAAATAGAATTTTGTTGCGGTGTATAGTTGTAGATAATGAGTCAATTGTTATTGTTTAGTTTTTCTCTCATATAAGGCTCTGGTTTAGTCCTAAACCAAATCGTAGAATTTACAATAAAATCACTCATCTCCAGAATTTGATGATCTAGATTCTAGCAAATGGGAGCTATGGTTGATTGTTAGTCAACCTATGTGGTTACTGAACCTGAAAGACGCTTAAGTATTGGGCTAAGGCCCAATAAACAGACGGAATGGGCATTTTTTTCTATCTGTTACACTAGCACGCTAGACAACATCGGACAACTCCATTCACAACATTAACAAAAAAAAAAAAAAATTTGAATTCGAACTTTGCCAAGAGGCTTTACGGACGTTCGATTTCTTGACTGTGGAAGGGCTTTCTTTGCTTTTGCCTCCGGCAACGTGGGATAATCGAAGCATCAGCAAATTAACAATTTTTTCCTTTTTTTTTTTTTCTGAGCTTTATTACATTAGAGAGCAAAAAGCATGACTAATTGACTTTAGGGTTTGTGCCTCCTGGATAAGGAGTAAGGAGAGGTTGACCAAAGAGAGACTAAATCATCGGGGGATCTCATTAACCAAAAAAAACAAAAAAATCATCAAGGGATCTATAGATCATTCATTCATTTCTATTTTCACCGAATTTATTCTTCTCTCCACTTATATCTATTTCTCTTTTCTTTTTTCTTGAAAATTTTATTCCTTGTTTATATCACAGATTTTCTTGTTCGGCTTGTTTTAGGTCTGCACAGATTTATGTTCTTTTTAGAGGCCTTTGAAAGCAAATCTTGCCAAATTTAGGAAAAGGTTTTGTGTGAGGTTTCTTTTATTTCCTCAGGTTTTCCAACATTTTCTGGGGAAGCTATCACCTTGACTTTTGTGTTACAGCTGATCTACTCTTTAGATCTCCCTCTTGTTTTCAAGAAACCATTTCTTCGTTTTGGATTCAGATCCAAGTGACCTTTTTTCTCTTTCCGGAGTTATAACTAATTTTTCCATTCCCAAAACTCGTTCAGATTTACCTAGCTCGGGTTTCTTTACGGATTCATTAATCTTGACAAGAAGATGGTGAGAGGGAAGATCGAAATTAAAAGAATCGAGAACGTCACGAGCAGACAGGTCACGTTCTCGAAGCGTAGGAAAGGTCTCTTGAAGAAGGCTCACGAGCTTTCAGTTCTTTGCGATGCTCAAGTCGCCGCCATTGTCTTTTCTCAAAACGGAAGATTATATGATTTCGCTAGCTCCGAGTAAGTTATCTATATCATTTATGAATCTTCTAATCCAATACGCGTTATATATACAATCAGTTATATGAATGTTTTAGTTCTTGCTTAATTGGGTGATGTTTGTTTCTGTAGTGATATATATATTCTCTCTCCTTTTTGAAGCATCGTACTAGAGATTGATAGATATGCAGCAGATGAATTTGATTTAATTTTTCCCAAAATATGCTCTTTCAGAGTGCTTTAATTTTATTTTTTTTGGGGGTCATAATTTTTATGTTTGTATAGTACCAGGGGAATTTATGTAATGAATTTAAACTTGCTAAATTAATTGACTAAATGTGTTTGCTAACTACATCAATTTCTTCTTCAAGCACGAGCAAGTGATTTAGGGTTTCCCAAAAACGTTCTTGATTTTTGAACCTAGTATACCTTGGAACTCATGCTGAAGCCACTTGACACGTTATTACAATTATATTAAAAGTCGCAGTGATCATGCCATAGAAATAATTAGTACCTTAAGGTACAATCAGAACGTTTTAAGAATGGGAAGCTTCATGGTTTATGAGACAATATCTTGTGGCTTTGTGCCAATGTTTTTTAACTTTACGCCATAGATAGTTTTCAAGATTCGTTCCCTTAATAACTTCGAGCTTAGTAATTGATTTGACTATCTAAAGCAAAATGTTACTAGTTAAAAAGCGTGTGTATAAGACTATACAGTATAAGTACCATTGGTGACTATAAATAGGAAACCAAGCCACACACATTAAAAGATGCATATTAACACATTTGTGTCTGAAATGTTTAGCAATCTCTCTTCCCGTTAGGTCGGAAAACATATTGAAAACATTACTATGTTCATAATTTATGCTTGGGAATAGTTTTTCATTATACTATTCATGAGGTAATTTAAGCGTACTAGAACGTCTATTTTAACTTACTAGAACAGATGACTTGATGCTTGACTAACATATTTAGATTAGAAGAAATATGTCTACAAAACATGACTTTTGCATATGTGTGATAGTTCTTTGATCATTATAAAATTTTCAGAATTAGTTATATATATGCTGATAAATAATAGTTAAGAAGTTCTTGGAAATGTATACAGCATGCAGAAGATGATGGAAAGACAATATAGAGAGTATTTTGGGGCAGAGATACTCCAAAAACAGCAATATGTGCAGGAGCTCAAGAACGAAATGGCGATAATGGTGGACAAGATCGAACTTCTTCAACTTCATTGCCGGTAATTTTCTGATCCTTCTATATCTATGCATATGTTTTCTTGATATATATGTAACATATGATTGTATGTACACTCCGATAACATCTTCAGAAAGCTGATGGGGCAAGATTTGGATTCGTGTTCGGTGGACGAACTAAAGGAGATAACTATCAAAATTGAGAAAAGCCTTACTATTGTCAGATCAAGAAAGGTACAAAAATAAATAAGCTTAATTTACAATCGTGGTATATCTTGTCATAATGTGTTGAACAATAATGCAACATAAAAGGATGTTCTAAAGGATTGTCATACGTATTCTGTGAGATGTTGAAATCGAAATGATTAGCTCATTCCGGATTCTACGATTTTGGCAGGCTAAGTTAAGTGAAGATGAGATAGAGAAAGAGACAGCACAGGTACTATTAGTAATTAGTTTAATTTTTTTTATATTGGCTAATTTTTTATTTAAGCGAAATTTAAAAACCAGCGTTTGTTACAAAACATAATTAGAAACAAAGGAGCATGTAAGTAAAAGAAGCATAAGCGAATTTTATTTCTAATTCTCCTTGTGAACTTTATTTATTTTACTTCTCCAAGTTAAAGGGAATTTTTTGTGTAATTCTCCTTGTGAAGTTTATTCATTTACTCCATATTAGATTGCAGGAGAGAGAGAGGTCTTGGACGAGAGAAGTAGGTTGCGCCAAATGGTACAAACACACACACACACATGCAAAAAGTCTTTTATGCACAATCATAAACCTTTTTTTCATAACTTTCCGGAAGCATAAACTTTTAAACATGAAATTTAGGAAAATAATTTGTATCAATTACAGTTTGAAGAAAAGCCCTTGTGGATGCAGTCGAGGAACCTTGAGAGTGACAAGAGTGCACCTTCCTGTGGTTGTGGAAACATGAACGTGTCCGATGTCGAAACTGATTTGTCCATCGGATTGCCTGAAAGCCGAGTTCAATGATTTATTCGTACTGCAATCAACCGGTTCTTGTTTTCACATTATCCAAATTAATGTGTATATTTTGAATTTTTTTAAGGATGTTTGTAATCCCTTCTCTCATGCATAAATCAAGAATAGTGTAGCGTATAAGAATTACCATGTCTTTTTATTTTTTTTGCCCCCTTCAGAGCTGTTTTTTTTTTTACTTTGTGAAAGTTTGAATTTTTTAATAATAATTTTACAGTCAATTTTTTGTGGGTGTGTTTGTCAATTTTGTAAATATAATAATGTAAGAATATTTTATATAATATCTGTAAAAGATGATTTAATAATGCTTTTGTGTGGAAATCCTATTGCCTCTAGCTAGTTTTATAAGTACACACAAAGTTTATGTCAGTAATGTACCATTGGGCTATTAAATCCGGACATTTAATAGTTTTGACCGCAAATAGTTAAAGATGCCAATGAAACATTATTATAACACAAGTCACAACAGAATAGATGACAAGAAGACTATTTTAGTCAAACGAAAAAAACGAATATTTATAAATTACAGATTCAGTACCTTTTTTGAATTTTTTTTTTCTTTTTTTTTACCTTTTTTGAAAATTAATCTAAGCTCACATACGTGTTACGGTTTGTGGCTTTGGGATTTTTTCGGTTCCTAACACGCATAGCGTCTTATCAATAAAAAAAAAGGATCAACTACAGAAGAAAAACAAAACAAAAAAAATTCACAAAAATAAACCTTTTCATACGAATAATAACTTATATTCTGATAATAATCTGAGTAGAATACTGTGGTTGTTAATCACAACCATCCTTATACCAAAAAAAAAAAAACCTAGAAACTTTTTTATTCAGAAACATCGATCCGTGCCCAGGGTTTTAAAACACGTAAGTAGCGTTACAAAATAGGACCCTAGTTAACTATCATCATCTCAAATTCATATAAAATAAATAATAACTAAGATTGTTCTAAATTATATAAAATTAATAATATATAAATAATTCTGATTATCGTTTTTAAATTCACAAAACTATAATAAATATCTATGATATAAAACTTGATTTAATATAAACTTTCAAATCATACTTCTTTGAAGTTGATAAATAAACCAATTATTTAAGTTTTTGTTTGTAATTTAATCTAAATTACAAACCAAACTAAATCTAATATTAGATAAAAAAAATTATATTGAAAAAAATACTTAACTATTAATTTATACTACATAAATAAATGTTGTCTTACTAATATATAAAAACTAATAAATTTAATTAAAAAATTGATCCTCAATTGTTTTTAAAAAAATTGGTCCATAGGCGAATGTTTATTATTATTGTTGTACATAGGCACGGCCTTGGATAAACCACATTACTTAGTACGTCCTAAAAACACATAAAACACATATCCTAAGTATATTATGCTCTTTAGTCAATATCGACAATATGTCTCTCTGGAGTTCAAGTAGGACTGTAGGATAAGGCTAATTAATATGAAGTATACTTTTTCTCCAAAAGATCATCTAATATTAGTAATTTCATACACAATAGTGATAACAGATAGTGGAATATCAGTCTTAGAAATTATAATGATGGATTCCAAACAATTAGTAATAGTGATTGCAAAGCGAGATGCAAAACATATTCACATTGTTATGCGTTTGAATCTCTCGCTAAGAATAAAACGCAGACACTGTTTTAAAATACTTAGCACAGTCCTCATGGCCCCACAAATCTAATAGCGTTACTGAACGCCGCGTTTAACCCCATTAAACGCCGCGTTTAACCCCATTAAACGCCGCCGTTTTCACCGTTTCCAGGACGAGTGCGTCTACGATACGCCGCTCAATCTCTGCGACGACCCTTCCCTCTTCCTCTTCGAGCTTCTTCCTCACCGGAAGATGTTCGAAGTCAATTTCGGTGCCTCTTACGCTGGATAAGGTAGCTGAAATGGTGGTCGAATCACAAAAATTGGAATTTCGTGTTTCTTGAGGAAACTTCTGCTTCTCCTCGCATTTGTACGTCTTACCGGAGCATATCGTCGCATCTGCATTCCGTTCCGGTTCTTCAGCTCTTTTCATCTAGAAAGATTGAAAGAAAAGGAGATTCTTCACTTCGTAGCTTGCACAATCAGTGCATGTGTGTGTGCGAGAGAGAATAAGTTTGCCTATCAAGTGTTTGTGTTATTCTCTCAGTGAGCCTAAAACAAAGGAAAGTCAAACAAGTGTACCTGTGTCCGATGAATTTCCGTGGCAGAGACAGCTGATGATGCTACAGAGATGTTGAAAATATCATTTGACTTTGGGATTTTCTTGCATTTCTTCATGTCTAAAGGATCACAGTGATCAGGTTTCGAGTGAGTTGATATTGAGATGAAGGCCTTTCTCTGCTTGTTTCGATTATTGTGTGTTGGATGAGGATAGAACTTTGGTTCACTATCCGATTTCCTGAACCCATTGATAGGTCTTTGCGTCTGCTCGTTTACTCTTTTGAGGTTCTCCTTGGAATCTTGTGAAAGGGTCACCTTTCTTGGTCGCTGAGAGATCTTATCTTGTTTGAACACAAATGTGGGGTTTGAGCTTGATGTGTTCTCTTTCTTTGAAAACACTTTCCTATGCTCAATCTGGTTTTGTGCTGCTCCTGCCCTTCTGTTCTCAAGCAAGTTTGTTATATCCATGCCAAGTCTTCTAGTGATCACCCTCTGTTTCATTTGTTTCACTAAATGCCTCCCGTTATGTCTGGGACTTCGACGTTCCTCATCTTGTTTCAACTCTTTCAGTCTCCAACGCCCAAACTCTTCATGCTTATTTTCTCTGTTTAGCTGAAGAGAGAGGCGACGAATGTCGGAATCAGATTTCCGGGCAGAGGAAACCCTTGGGCTCTCAGGTAAAGATATTGTCCCTGAGTCGTTCTTGGAGAGTCTATGTCCTCGTACACTGTTCCTTGATGATCTGCTCAGGTCTAAGTTATCGGGAAGAAGATCAAGACCCATGAGTCTAGCCACCACGTTTGGTGTATTGGTACGAGGTGAGTTGCAGATATCAGATGATGTATCTACGAGGATAGCTCCAAGTTTTGACCTTTTCCCGCCCACCTGCGTTTGAAATGTCACTTGGCTCCATTCAGTTACTCTTCAAATTGTGATGATAGCATTAATGTTGACTTACAGGGATGTTCAAGCTATCTCTTTCCTTGTAGTTTGTTGATAGTGGAGACTGCTCTGTTAACTCCAAGCTATTTCGTGGCGCAACCAAGTCTGCAAGATTCAGTAACACAACACTCCTCTCTGTTACTCACTGTCTTGCAAAATTTTCCAAGTGGTTTTTCTATCTCACTAGTCATCTCTGAAACAGCAGAAACGTCTATAGAAAGAGAGAGGAGAAAGAGAAGAGAGAGAGAGAGAAAGCACTCACCTTTTGGATTTCTTGAGGGAGAATCAATACTAGGTTGGTGGTGATGATTACGTGAAGGAAAGTGAAAATGGTGGAACTGAAAAAAGTGGTAAAGAGCAGTGATGCAGCCTTTAGCTTCACTAGATTTGTTATTGCTTTTAGAGGATCTGCCTCCATTATACCATTCTCTTCCCATTTCTGTTGAGACAAAACCTGTCTTTTTGTTATCACCTCTATCCTCGAACGTATAATGACACAAGTTGTTGGTGAACATGAACCGACAAAAGAAGAAGCAAGAAGTTGGAGAACAAGATCTTTGCTCGGGGAAAAGTTTTAATCTTTTTATCTTATGTTTTTTTGTTCCTGATGTTTTTCTTTTACCTGAGAGATCTATTGGAAGAAGCCCTGAAAATTTCTCTCTATATTTTGCATTGATAATCGAGCAGAGGATTGTGAAATATATTAAAAATTATGACAGAAATATTTTAAAAATAAACTGTACTAGTAAATTAATGCAAGGTGAGATGATGATAATTGCCACGCATCTCTTTAAGGAAGAGACATCTTGAGTATTACAATATGATTCCAACCACACTTCATGTTTCTCTACTATGCATTTTGTTTGGGGTTTTTCAAGTTTTGAACTTTGCAAATTCAAAAGAAACTAAGGTTTGTCTATAAGGATTTTGCTTGGGGATTTCAAACTAGAAGAATATTGTTGTGAATCATCGTGAGTTCGTAACCTTTTTTTCTTGAGTGCAATGATAGGTAGTTACAACATGACCACATGTTTTTAGCGTTTCTGGATGTATGAAGTATTGCAGAGCTTCAATGTATTTGCATTTACTAAGAGTTGTCTTGTCTCACTATTCTTAGTTTGCTTCAGTCTCAACTTTCAACCGATTTTTTAGCTCATCGGCTCAATGCTCTCGAACTATTTAACTTTACTTATTTACTTGAAATTCATGCATTTCAGACCTTTTCTTTACTTATTATAAGTTTATAACCAAAGAATCTCAGGCTAGATGCATCAGCTCTTTGACCAGTATATGAACTTCAAAGTGGGCAAAGAGATGACCCGTCTAATGGAATTGAACAATGATCTAGCTAGATCCATAAATCAATTCGTTATAATCAGGTTACCATCAACTGGTTTCATTTTATACATTTTCTAAGATAAGCATTATATTTATGGTAGGATTTTTCCATTTCTTTCAAATTTTAGCATTTAAACGCCATAACATGAGCATTCTGAAATCAATCATCGTACATGTATTTTTCCATGCAGAGTAACACCATGTTATTTCGTCTTTTTTGTATAGTATAGTAAACCATGTAAAATTTGAATTTTATGATAAGAAAAGAAAAGAAAAAACACAGAATTTTTTCTTTCACATCTAAATAATTTAAGCTTGTGGTAATGATGTAAAAAAAAAAAAGCTTGTGGTAGTAATTGGGCCCCAGTTTTGGTCGACCTATCTGACGAGAACTGTTAATAGAAATTAGTGTTATAAGAGCCTATTTCGAATTGAATGATTTCAAGATCGAGTTTCAAAAATACCGCAGAAAAGGTGATGCAAACAGGAAACCTGCTTCGCCCGTTGATGGTTTATTGGAGAGACTCATGTATGTCTCTTAATTATTAATTTAATAATATTGTTTAGTTAAGAGATTTGTTAAGAAATGTTGATTTATTTGAAGTATATTAGAGAAACTATAATGAGTTTCTTCAAAAACAAATTTTTAATTAAAAAAAAGTTGTATAGTTGGAAATAACAAAAATACAACATTTTTATTATTTAAACATAACAGAAATTTAATAGATAATTCTCAATATTCAAAACAACACAAGTTTAGCAATAAAAACTTCTAAATCAATAATTACTTCCAAATTTTTGCCAGATATGCTCAACCAAATCCTTTTTCAATTGTGCATGCATTTTTTTATCCCGAACTTTAGTCCGTCTAACAAACATATCAGCGATATTTGTATTTGCAGGAGAATATGAGAGATCTACATGTGCATTTCCGCTTCCTTCTCCTTGTTGGAATTCAGAAACATTTTGTTGACTGTAACTGTATCCATCTCGTTCATCTTCTACTATCATGTTGTGGAGAATGATGCATGCTCTCATAATCTTCCCAATTTTCGCTTTGTCCCAACTAAGAGCCGGATTTCTAATAATAGCAAATCGAGCTTGCAAGACTCCAAAAGCACGCTCGACATCTTTTCGGTAACCTTCTTGTCTGTTAGCAAAACATGATGCTTTTGGACCCTGGGGAAGTTTAATAGATTGGACAAATGTAGCCCATTTTGGATATATACCATCTGTAAGATAATATGCCAAATGATACTCCCTTCCGTTGACTGAAAAAGTTACTTGCGGGGCTTCACCGTTTATGATGTCATCAAAAACTGGTGACCGATCAAGCACATTTATATCGTTTAACGTATCTGGAGGTCCAAAAAATGCATGCCATATCCACAGATCATATGAGGCTACAGCCTCTAAAACGATGGTGGGCTTCGCAGTACCACGGGAATATTGTCCTTTCCATGCTGTGGGACAATTTTTCCACTCCCAATGCATACAGTCTATGCTGTCTATCATCCCGGGAAACCCTCTTTCTTCTCCAACAGCAAGTAGTCTTTGAAGATCTTCCGGGGTTGGTCGTCTTAGGTACTCATCCTGAAAGAGAGTAATTATTCCTTCCACAAAATGTTCTAAACATTTACGAGCCGTAGTTGCACCGAGGCGGATGTATTCATCAACTGTATCAAGCGCTGTGCCGTAGGCTAAGAGACGAATTGCTGCAGTGCACTTCTGAAGTGCTGATAAACCAGACCTTCCAGTAGCATCGGCCCTTTGTTGAAAATAAGGAATTTCATTGGATAACCGATCAACGATATGCAAGAACAATGGTTTGTTCATTCGAAAACGTCGTCGAAAAATATTTGCCGGGTATATTGCATCTTCAGCAAAATAATCATTCCATAATCGGTTGTGGCCGACTTCTCGCTCTCTTTCAATATAAACTCTTTTCTTCCTTGCCTTTCTTCTTTCTTCCTGATCTTCATGCTCAACTAAAAGATCTTCAAAAGTGTTTTCAAAGTGTTGCTCAAAAAATTGATCAAAGTGTTGTTCAAAAGTTTGTTCAAACCTTTGATCAAAATTTGCATAACCCTCAAAATTTATTATCTTTGCAGTGCTAGACGTCGCTCCTCCTTGATCATCCTTTTGATGGCTATACGATAGTCTGGTGCGATGTCTTCATCATCCTCAAGGCGCACAAGACTGTAGCCTAAAGATCTCCGGTACTCTGCTCGTGTGATCTCCGCCACAGCATCATCTGCTTCTTCTTGTGGTTGTTGGCTGACCTTTGGTGTGATTCTTTTTGCAGCAAGGCCGCAGACAATGAGTTTCCTTCCTTCCATTGTAGCCTGCAAAAAGAACACAAGAACATATACCATTAAACATAGAAGAGAAACCTATATTAAACATGAACATTTTTAGATAGACTACCAAAAGTGATCTCATACAACAACAAAAGATGTTAAACAAGCTTGATAGTAGATAAAACATAATCATTGCATTACACAAAGATATTTTACATTGAACAAGCCGAACAAAAAACAAACCTAACCGATTACATAGACTACCCGATTACATTAAAACCTTAAACACAGCAAAAAATTACCTAACAGATTACACAACAAAAACAAACCTAACCGTTTACACCGATTACACAACAAAAACAAACTTCAAACACAACAAGATAACACAGAACAATAAGATCAAGCTTGTTTCAAGACATGAGATCGGCAATGAGCTTGCTCTTTATAGCTTCTTCATGCTCAGCTAATGTGTCCTTTCTGGCTACTAGACTCTCTAGTAGAGCCATCTTGTACATCCTTTCCTTCATAGCCATATCCTCCTTCCTTATAACCCACATGCTCTGAAAGTCTGAAGCAGCCTTGCTCGTGTCAACCGAAGCTCTCTTACCTTTGCCTTTAGCCGCCTTAACTCCTTCTGGCCTGATGGTTGCTTGATCCACTGCAGGACTTGTCTCATCTGCGGCTTGAGTACCATCCTCACACCTTCTTTTTTTGGAGTTTTGTTCAGTTTTTGAAGTGTAGAGGTCGCACCATTTCTGGTCGTTTTTGAGCTCTGTCCAGGCATGCTCAAGCGTGAATTTTTTCTTGTGGTCGTTGTAGAAGATTTGATGAGCAAGCTTCAAAACATCATTGTCGTTCTGTCCACTACTCTTCTCTCTTGATGCCGCCTCGTAGGAGCCACAGAATTTGCAGACCAAATCATTAATCTTGTGCCAGCGCTGCTTGCATTGCCCTGACAAACGGATTTCGCAGCCTTCTGCCTTGGAATTATCAGCCATATATATTGCAATTCGCTCCCAGAAGGCCCCTGATTTCTGCTCATTCCCTACGATCGGATCCTTGCTCGTGTTTAACCAAGAGCTGATCAGAAGCACATCATCCGTGGGAGACCACTTCTTTCTTTCTCTTCTCTCTGCAGGCATCTCTTCTCTTTCTTCTCTAGTACTGAAGAGAGGGACGGGTTCAACAAAGGGAAATGGTTCAAACTGTTGACTGTTAAGAAGCTCAACAAAGTTGGAGCTTTGGGAATATGCATTCGCAGAAGGCAAATCCATAGAGGAAAGGAGACAACACAAGAATGAAAGAGAGAAGACCAAAGAAGGAGATGAAAGAGACGAATGAATGAGAGGATGTTTGCAGATGATGAAATGAAGGAGCTCCAAGCTCGGTTTAAATAAAAGAAGAGAAGAATAAAAGAAGATCAAGTGTAATTACCTGCATTTATCAAAACATAACCACATCGACTTGACATTTTATCTACCAAGTCGATGCATTCATCACAGCAAAACACATTGATTATAACTTAACTACTCTCTCTCTATCTAACCAAATCGATGCATTCATCACAGCAAAACACATTGATTATAACTAAACTACTATCCCTCTATGTAACCAATCTTCACAACTTAACTAGTTTTTAGCTATCCATTAAATACTCCAACATCCCAGTTATCTACCATTAACTGCATTTATAACACTAAACAACTTGACAAACATACCTTTATCACAAAATCTGTTCGTCAAGTGTGCTGGAAACTTTCCTTTGTCACAAGAGACCCACGTCACTCGCAACAACAACAAACCTGAAACAAAAAACATCAACTTAACCCAGATTCAATACAATCCGCAAAATAGAGAACATAAACCATAAAAAAAATTAACCCTGAATGCATTCATAGTTCAGCTTCTACATTAATAATGAACTCTGAATACTTTAACCCTGAATACATACATAGTTCAACGGATTAAACAGTTGCTAAACCCAAACAGATTAAACAGTTTTCAAAAAACCCATAACCGATCATACACCTAAAGCTCTTTACCCAAATCGATCCTAAAGAGACATGCACGGGCAACGGAAAATATATTAAGTGTTAAGAGGGCAAGGAGAGAGTTCAGACATATGGAAAAATGATTTCAACAGAAATCGATCAACTTAAACCATCAACAAATAAGAGAAGATGAACAGACATGACGAAATCGACGAAGTAGCAATTCAGAGACGATAAAACTGACCTCCTCGTTCGAACAGAGTCCCAATCTTCCTCCAGCAAACGTCGTTTTGATCGGAACCGGCGAGTATAGCTGCTGTCGTGAGGTTGGTCGGCGAGGCGATTCGGCGGAGTTTTTTAGGTTGGTCGACCAAAAACACAGAACAATGAGAGAGCAAAATTTTTTTTCATCCGCTATATTTCATCACCCAGTAGCCTTGCAACACGTGGCCACCAAGAGACGTGTTAAACGTATCCGAAACAAGAAACGTTTACACTCGTTTTCTCTCTTTAATACCCATTATTCATTTATTTTAAAGCCCAAAATTAGTAAGAGACCCATTTAAAAACACTGATAAACATGGTCTAAGTTACTTACTTCTTTTATAACGTTGAACAGAGGAAGGTACTATATTACTTACTTCTTTTCCGTACTATCAGAATCTTCTTCTTTCTCATTCGTTGGATTTATTACCTTTTCCTGCACTTTAAAGGAAATTGCTTCTTTTTTTTCTTTTCATTTCTCTCAAATGGAAAACAAATTACTCGATTAGTAATACATATAATATAATAGTCTCCCTAAACTGTCTACTGGAATTTTAAAATTAAAAAAAAAACAACTGTCTAGTGGAATTTGGCCTCAACACTGTTGGGTCCAGACTATAGTCTATGTTCAAGAGTTTGGCAAAACCTAAGTGTGGGAGAGCTTCTGGTTCGTATGACGGGGGTTCTCATCAAATATATTATATATGGAGTCACTATACTAGCTAGAAGAAGTTGCACTTGGAGAAACAGAGGAAATCATTGAAATGTCAACTTACAAGGACAAAAATATATTGGCTACTTGTTGAGTATAAATGGGTTTTATTAATTTGATCCAGTGCTTCTAGATTTAACATATAATCTTACGTGACATAATATGATCTAGTTTTCATTAGTTTTCTTTTTTCAGAAAGTCTCCTGGAATCATTTCATCAGTTACATGACGTTTAGTTCTAAACATTCCTCTTTGTGCCTGGCTGTGATTTCTTATAAGAACATGTGTTTTGTGCTCACATTTCACTCTGTAGTTCATTGAGTATACTTCAATAGATGCCCAAACAGCACTAAAAGCCTGTTGTTTCCAGTGTTATGATAGATAACAGTTTTACCTCAATCATGATTTTTTTTTTTAATAATGATTTATCTCTGTTTCATGTTTTCAAGTCTTGCATTGTTGGTATCAAAGCATGAAGGGACTTCAAATCAAACTGGTAGACATAAATTTGTTCATAAAAACAAAATATCATGCCAAGAAACAAATGCTTGTTACAATCATAGAGTCGACAGCTTTTTTCTTTTACGTAAAAGCTTCGCCATTGTACTGCAAAGTATACAATCACATACCTTAATGTTTTCTTCTGCTTGTTATTGGAGGCCACGACAGAACTCAACTTGTCTCTATGATGAGGGTGATTGGTGTATATATATTCCTAATTTCCTCGTACGAGACCAAGTGAATATTGAGGTGCACCATGTACGAGCTTTCGTTGGATCATTTGACTGACCAGTTTCCATGATAGAAACCATCTCCCAATAGCATTTTAGAGACCATTCCATATGGTACAAGTAAGACATCCATTATAACCCCACAAACATTCATTTCCAATTGTCTTTTTCTTCCGCAAATTTACAAAGAGAAAAAGAGAAGCGAAAAACCAACCTAGAAATCTCCCATTTCAAGGTTACATTGATTTGTTTTCTTGATTTCATTCAGCATTAGTATCTATTTACTGTGCAAGACTTTGTGCTGCATCCACTCTCACCACACACCTTTCCAACTTACAAACCATGAAAATTTGCAGATTTATCTTTAATAGTACTTTTACCTTTGACAAAATTTAAGGGGTGAGTAGTATTTAAGACTATCTCCATTGGTGAAATACTTGAATGAATATCTCATTAATTCAATATTAATTCTTTTTAGATAATTTATCCGTATAATTAAAATTTAAAGTTAAAAAGAATTCAACCATTCATGTGAGGACAAGTGTTGAATGAGTTTCTCAAGAGTTTTCAAAGACAAATGTAAATATAGTCGTTGAACCAAGTACGAAGATGATTTGACAACTGATAAAATTATTGCATATTGATTTTTGTTGTTTACGATCTAATGCCGTTTACTTCTAGAGATTTTTATTTGTTTTGAAATATGTTCGAAATTTATATCTCACTGAAAAGATGGCAGATTTTAGTTCACATTAAAAAATTGTCATAGTTTCTTAAATAAAAATGCTAGGTTTGGTTTTGCAACTTTCCCACAAACCATCACCCTAATTTTTATTCTTTTTCTTAACAACTTTAGTCACATGATATCGTGATGTTCTTATATCACATATATCAAATCAGATATTCGTACAACTTATAGAATTAGTGGAAATCCTATGATGAGAGACATTTAATGATTCCTAGGTCATCTACTAATTTATAATTAATGCACTACGTAAATGTTTTACATTTTGTAATCCTTGATTATACACTCGTATCTTATGAATACCAAAGAAAAGATTTCCTTCTTTTCCTTTATTTTCAGGTAACAGTTTAAAAGTTGCATGATTGAGTTGACTTGAAGAACTGCACATGTGTTGCTCCTCTCTGTTTTGAAATCTACAGAACATTTAGCATCTTCGATCGAGTGTAATTATTTAAATTTAGAATACTGTTTACATACATTGGTGTTCAACCTGTAGTAGTCCACTGGTTTGGTTAAGTTAGAAGAGGTTACAACGGATCAAGTCACATCAAATGCGTTTTCATGTTAGCCACTCATGTAAATGTTTTGACTGGCAAGACACGTCTTTAAATAGACTTCATATTAAAAAAAAGTTCCACCTTTAGCTGAGATGCAAAAACAGAAAGCTAAAGTAGGAGATTGTTTGGTATACATGGAGTCTGCCTGAGCTTTTGTGGCATGTATTACAGGATTCTTGGTGACTAAAGACTTCTATCTCATGCTCTATTTTTTCCTTTTTCTTATTTTAAAAATATTTGAATGGCATAGCTTATACAGTGAGAACATGCTTTCAGCGTCATTTATAGGGGATGGAGTAATGTCCTTTTCTATGAAAAATCATGAGAAAGAACACAGATCTGTTTGAGATCATATATGCCCCCCAATTTCCAGTGTGATTAGGTAAAAGAAAATCTCTCTTTCCTCTCCACCTAATAATGCCAGACACAAGAAATGAAAAGCACGAACAAGTTATAGTGGATCAATAAGAGGATTTTAATTGGAACTACTATTTGCGACAAAACCCCATGTCTAATGGTTGTCCTTTATAGTTCAGCATTGTTGGGTCCTTCATATCCTACTCATCTCTCTCTCTCTCATACTAATTAAGAAAGAGATAACACTTAAACACATTCAAAAACAAACACACACATTTGGTCGCCCCCACCTTCTTTATAGCAGCCCTACTTAATCGTTAGTACTAACACAAGGATAGTATCCCATATCGGATGTTGACAGAGATTCAAAATAATGTATAAGAGACATCGGATGTTGTTTTGCCAAGCGCCCATGTAATCTGATATGATAACAAAGTCTGATCCACCAATTTAATCTTCATTTGATCCGACTAAAATTGGCCTCCACTGATCCATACCCAAATATATCGAATGTTGATCATGATCTCGAGGTGCATGATCTCGAGGTGCATGATCTCGAGGTGCATATTAGCGAATAGTATCCATATCGTAATTAGCAAGAATTTTAAGTAATATGTAATGGACACGAGCCAATCCACTTATCATTAATTGATTTTAAGTTAAAAATTCATAAAACTAATTAATACTTAATTCTCTCCATTAGCTCAAATATATTAAAATCTCCCTGAGCAAAAAAGTCTCTAGCTAGTTAATCAAAATGGGATTAAACCCCTAGCATTTGAACATTGAGACGACCATGCTCTTGAGCTCCTCTCTAATTGATCCGTCTCTTCTCTTGCAAACCTGAACGGGCTCCTTGGCTTAGCCATGACGATCCAAACTCAGAGAGTTGAACTAGATTTCTTGTAATTGAAGGATAAGTTTATTATTTGTAGGCAACAATGGAAATGAGTCATTAGTTAATTACTTTTGCTCGACTCTCTTTGGCTTTAGCCGCACTTTGTCTTCAAGTCATTAACTTGCACAATCTTGTCTCGTGTGATAATAATAGGGGATATTGTGGGGATTGACAGAGAGATTGTCATGTCTTAAGCATGATTCTCATTGTTTTAAAAGATGACAAGCTTTAAAGAAGAGCTTTGACTGGTTTGAAGGTGGAGTCAATTAAGTGAATGACAACACTAATATTTTCTTTGTGTTCCAGTATAAAAATCATTTTACAGATTTTCATACATATTGAGAAAATCAAAATTCTATATCAAACATACAAAATTACAAATAACATGTTATAGTTAAAAATTACAGTTTTAATAACAGTTATTCAGAATTGTCCATAACGTCCAAAATTAACCAAACGTTCATATTTTTGCATTATTATTCTTAATTTGCACCCAACACTTTGTCATTAGGTGTAAATAATCTTAAAAGTATTTAATTAAACACTCAAATAAATGTTTTTATTTGTTCGTATGTGCAAGGAAAGGAAAACTAATTGTTGGCGGACTGTTTTATTTTACTTTCTATGAAACTTTCTTATATTTGACTCCCTTTTTTCTTTATTTTCCATCATTTCTTTTACTCGTTGCTTTTCCTATTTAAACCCTATTTATATCAGTTGTTACAACTTACAATTAAGAAAGTTGGGTTCTAATTATAGAATCTGTATAGCCAATCCACCACAAAAGATAGAAAAAGTGACAAGTGTTGCATATAGCGAATAGCTTTTGCACCACATCACTACACTACATCACTACAGTCCGTTATTAGCATACATGTCACTTCTGATTTGATTGGCCAGCAGTGAGAAAAAAAAAAGTAAGTTGTTCAATTGGTTTATTTTCATGTATTTTTATGATATAAATTCGACCTTGTGTTTTTAGATCTTGCCATATGGCATAATCGTTTCTCTGTTCTTATGCATCTACATCATCATCCACATGTCACCATGCATGTAACTGATCTTTTTTTTGGCTCAATAGATGTAACCGATTTTATTTACGTAATTAATATAACTAATGATTAGTTAATACATATGTAAAACATAAGAATATAACAAATAGATCTTGCTCCTGACGAATTTGTAAGTTTTCTGGATGGCTAAACCGCACTGGATGAGAGAACGTTGGATTTACTAGATTTCAATGGATACGTATGAGAGCGTTTCGACCACTAAGTATAACAAAACTTCGTTTTTCTAGCGTAGGTATGTTATATATATATATAACTGAAAATTTGCATTCGAACGGGATTCACCATGTTAGTAATTTAAGATGGTTAATAATAACACATATGACATCATCCAACTTCTTTTTCTTAGGACTGTAATAAGACAAGAGAGGGGGTAAATGGGCAGTGGTCGTGAGGTTAAAACATGGGATTCATTATCACGACACCCTTCATTATGCTTTCATTCGAAAGTGTTAGTCATTTAACCAAACCAACTAAACCGAACCAATCTAAATGAATTCGGTTAGAGTTTGTTGTAGTTTTACTTGAACTAAACAAATCAACTCGAAACCGAGCAAAATCCGATATGAGATGTCAACCCATCCAAGTGGTCCTTTTTGTCACAAAATAACCAATCCAAATGGTTCAAATGATTCAGTTATATATTGCTTTTATGCATTAGTAAATTCTCTAATATTATTAATTCTAAAAATGAAAATTCGTGTAGATTTTGCTCAACTAGTTGAAGGATCGTTTCAGTTATGTCGAGTTTATATTGGAATGCAAAATTTTAAAAATATAAAGATCAAGGACTCCAAATTTTTGAAATAAAATATTAGAAAATACAAAAAAAGAGATAAATGTACGAAACGTTTCCAATTAGACTAGATGAATTTTCTTTTTCATTTCTTTGTTAGGTTCAAATTAATTAGGATAGAGAGAAAATTATAAAATAAAGAAAATTATTGGATGGAAGAAAAAGACGAAAAACTAAACTCCATAGGGCGAGCGAGGCAGAAACAGAATAACAATGTGGAACCAACACTTCTCATATGAAGCCAGAGAACCTTGGGAAGCTCTTTTGTCCTGCCAACTATAAAAACAGACCCCTACGGCCCCGCCAAAAATATCCACAATATTTTATTTTTCTTTCATCATTCCGATGAATAAGATTAGAAAATCTTGTTTCTGTCTGAATCTCTAATATTTTATAAAACCCAAAAACAAAAATCATTCTACTAATTGAAAACTGTATTAAACTAAATAAAAAAATGTAAAACAAATTATTTGATTCTCATACTTTACAAAACGGACTATACAAACACTAAACCAATTAATCGTTTATCAAGTATAAATTATCGCATAAGCAATACACTTAATGTCTTCCTTTCTAAATTAAATTAATAGTATTTTATGTTTTAAATTTATGCGCTTAACATTTAAATCCATCGATATATAAATTGCTGGTCCGTATGAAAGTTCTAACGAATTTGGGAGATTGTTCAGCATCAGCAAAAAAAGTAATTTTGTAAAAAATGATGTTATGAAACTATATATTTTTGATTATTTAATCAAAAACAATATTTCTTTTTGCAATGACAAAAAGTTTGATTTTGTTACATATAAACTGTTTTAGTTATACATATCAAATTTTCAATAATCTTAAAACAAATAATTTAAAAAGTTGTTACCTAAAAGTGGTAAGAAATTAAGCGATGTGAAGGTCAATCTTGTTTTATCTTTCTTAATATGCATTATAATTAATTAATATCATAAGAGGAATCACTAGTAAAAGGAAAAAACATAATCCTTTTAAAATTTCGTTGACCGATTCAGTCTAAGTCGACAAAGATATTTCACTCCACTAGTGGTCATTACTTAACGAGTTCAAAAAATACACACAATTACACATCACACTTTAATCACTTCTAAAAACTTGTTCATTGTTTGTATTTGATTTCAAAACATCCAATGTTCTAAAAACATCTAATTAGCAGTGTAATGTTTAAAATAATAAAATTATTCTCGAACACCTATTTGTATTGTGTATATAAATTTTAAAATAAACGATCATAAAGTCTATTCATCTTGCTTATTTTAAATAGAGTAAATATATACTAAAACAACATTATTAAATATCTTAAACTGAGTTTTTTCGTAAAAATCAAAAAATTATGCCCACGCATGGCGAATCATCTAGTAAACTAATAAATTAATATGCATACAAATTCGGGATCTTGGACTGTAATCTTTTTTTTTTTCCCTTAACTTTTAACGTTTATCACATCTGGCAGATCTAGCTAGCCTTCCGTTCAGAAGAAACTTATTCCAAAGAAACTTATTCCAAAGAAACTTATTATTGTAAAACAAAAACTAAAGCAGTGGACAACACTATACGACTTCAATGTTTTTGCTTATATAAAGACTGAAAGTACCCTTGGTTCCCGTATCTCCTCGCAATACTTTTACTCACTTTGCTTCTTCTTCATCAACAAAATAATAATCAAATCAAGAACAAGAAAATCTCTCAGAAATGGCCGTGAGTTGCGTAACAACATCTCCAGAGCAAGAACACACACCAAAACTAGACCTTGGAAATATTCAGACGACGCCAATAGTCTTCAATCCTTCAATGCTTAACCTCCAACCCAATATCCCTAACCAATTCATTTGGCCTCACGACGAGAGACCTTGCACCGAAGCTCCCGAGCTTGACGTTCCCCTCATCGATCTCCAAAATTTTCTCTCCGATAGCGACTCCACTCCTTCTTCCTCTTCCTCAACTGTAGAAGCTTCCAGGCTCATCTCCGAGGCCTGTAACAAGCACGGATTCTTCCTCGTGGTTAATCACGGCATCAGCGAGGAGCTTATATCAGACGCTCATGACTACATGGCCCGATTCTTCGATATGCCTCTCTCCGAAAAACAGAGGCTTCTGAGAAAATCCGGCGAGAGTTGCGGCTACGCAAGCAGTTTCACTGGTCGCTTCTCCACCAAGCTACCATGGAAGGAGACACTTTCTTTCCGGTTTTGCGACGACAAGAGCCGCTCCAAAACCGTTCAAGATTACTTCTGCGATGCGTTGGGACATGGGTTTGAGCCATTTGGGTAAAAGTTAAAACAGAGCAACCAACTATAAGAGAGAGAGAAAAATCAAACCTTTAACATGTCTTTTGTCATTTCCTCCTCTGTTTTTTTGTCTCTTAAAAGAAAGTTAAAACAGAGAAAGAACCGGTTTTTTTTTTTCTATATACCGAAGTACAACCACTGTACCGTAACATTACAAAACTGATGTTGTTACTTTGTTTGTGTGGTTGCAGGAAGGTGTATCAAGAGTACTGTGAGGCAATGAGTTCTTTGTCACTTAAGATCATGGAGCTTTTGGGTTTAAGTTTAGGCGTAAACCGAAATTACTTTAGAGAGTTTTTTGAAGAAAATGATTCGATCATGAGACTGAACTATTACCCTCCATGTCAGAAGCCAGATCTTACATTAGGAACAGGTCCTCATTGTGATCCAACTTCTCTTACCATCCTTCACCAAGACCATGTTGATGGCCTTCAAGTCTTTGTCGAAAATCAATGGCGCTCCATTCGTCCCAATCCCAAGGCCTTTGTTGTTAATATCGGCGATACTTTCATGGTAACCATCTAATTAAAGCCACTTGTTGGTTAGTGATACACAACCATTGGCTAAGGTACATACATATTTATACTTAACCGGGGCTCTTGTTTTATAGGCTCTATCAAACAATAGATACAAGAGCTGCTTGCACCGGGCGGTGGTGAATAGCGAGAGCGAGAGGAAATCACTTGCGTTCTTCTTGTGTCCGAAAAATGACAGAGTAGTGAAGCCACCAAGAGAGCTTTTGGACAGGATCACACCAAGGAGATACCCTGACTTCACTTGGTCTATGTTGCTTGAGTTCACTCAGAAACACTATAGAGCAGACATGAACACTCTCCAGGCCTTCTCAGATTGGCTCACCAACAAACCCGTGTAATATATAAAACTATATCCATGTGTTTGTCTTGTTAGTTACTATGTTCTTTACATTTCATGTATATGGTAAGAGATCAAGTACAACACCCTTAGCATTCATGCATTTCTAAAATCAATCCGTTACCTTACTGATTACATAAAACTATTTATCAAATTAAGAAGATATATATATAAAGATCAATCCATCAAGATTATCACGAGGATATATATATATATATATATATAGCAAAAAAAAAAAAATACCATTAGTCTAATAGCATGTTTGGGGAAAAGCGTGAAGGAGAATTAATACAAAAACAGTGAACACATCAAACTAAATGTCTATGACAAATGAGTACAAATTAAGGTTAATGAAACTATGTGCATCATGCATCATTTTGGAGCGTCATCAGAATAAAACAAAACATATGGGCCACCATAACCTAACTAAGAATGCTTTCTTCTCACAACCATAAGTCTCCCAACTCTGAAGTGGTAATTGTATTTGCGTTCTCTAGTTCAAAGTTTCATCTGGAACATTTTATAAATAGTCCTTGCAAAAAAAAAAAAAAAAGAGAGAATAGTTTGCAATTGCTTACAGTGAGAAAACTCCATATATAAAGTATTAACATGTGTTCTATATATAAGCTTGTTTTTGTGGTTGGATCTTAAAGAAATTTAAGATCCGATTCCACATGTACATGCATGTTGTTCATTTACGATTTAACCAGCTTTTCCATGTGTTTATAACCGATAACAATTTTGGATAGATCCACATATTCTTAGTCTTTTAGGGAACTATATGCATTAGCTTTGCATTTTTCCATTAATTTATTTTTTACTGTAGAGATCATTTTAAGCAACAAACAATAAATGTTTGAAAACAAGGTGAAAAAGCGATTAAGATGTTGAGCGTCATAACCATGAGCCTAGCAAATCTCGACTTTGATTTCAATATTTTCACCATATGATCTTTTAAAATGTTATTGGACAGATATATAAAACAAGTAACTTTCATATGAAATTCAAATCAAGTCCATCAGACGGTTAGATATCAAGACTTGAAATACCCAAGTCAAATTGCTTGCCGGTCTGGTTCAATATTTTTTGGCATAAAACTAAAAGCTCAGCGTGGCCCCACATGCCACATGGTAAAACTCGGGTTTTTTTGGGAACTTTTCTTTAACATTATCATGATCTTCGGGTTACTTTGGAAACAAAAATAATGCATGTTTTTATTTTTGGGTAACATTTTACATTATCATGTTAGGTCAAAATGCAAAAACTCTATAAATTAAACAGAACGTGACGCTATCCAAGAGAAGTTTCTCCATGACAGAAATTGAGAAGAACAAATTACAAGGCAAAAGCAGACAAAATAAAATAAATAAATGGAAAGAGGCAAAAAGGCAACACCATTTCAATGATCCCAAAGTAGGGCGGATCCATGTTGCTCTATCTATTCGAATCCATTCACTTAATGGATTAGCTTTCCTCTGCTTTGTCTTCTTCTCCAGCTCACCCCATTCTTTTAAGAGAAACAAAACAAAAAATATTGTATATATAAAATGTTTGATTGCAATGGACGCATGATCCTGGTTGGATTGTTATGGCATATAAATTTCAGTGTGTCAAATATTATAAATCTTGTATTATATAATTAATGAGTAACTTTACTTTTTGGATTAATTAGCAGTTAGTTTGTTAGATGGCTAATGAAACCCTTGTATAGATAAGGTAGGCTACAGTAAAGTTAATGAGAATTTTGTTTTCAAATATTTTAAATTATTGTTTACACAAGAACTTTGTCATCCTCTCTTTCTTTCGGTCCTCTCTTACACGTCAATAGCAGTCAAAAATATGATATGGTATCAGAAACAGGTTAAGAAAACTATATATAGAATTATACATGTCTGAGGACCAGTTTACAGGACCAACAATGTAGATATATATGTATGTTTTCACATTTGTACTTGTTTTATAGAACCTCTTAGAGTTAAATATATAAAGATTGATCGTCCAACATTACTGATTGGGAAGGTAAAAGCTCATCCTTGAATGATAGTCTTTTTGACAATTGAAACACTTATACAATGTAAGTGTAGAAAAGGAGACGCTCGATGAATGATATATTCCCTTTCATAAAGAGTGTCATTCTGACATTTTTCACACATATTAAAAGTACAATTTTATCATTTATTAGTACATTAAATAATTTATTTTTATCTAATAAATACATTAAATTAATAGAGTTAAAACTGGAATATTGTTTAAAATTTTGCATAAATATAAAACAACATTCTTTGTGAAACAAAAATAAAACCTTAAAATGACTCTTTGTAAAACGGAGGGAATAGGACTTAATACACATAACATTTATACGCCCAAAAAACACAATAAGTTACCCCTCGTCTAAGTAAGAATGTTGACTTTGAGCAAAACTCAAGAACAAGTTCAACCCATCTCCGGACCCAATCTGAAACAATGTTTATGACCCGATTTAATATTTTCTACAGTCATTGTCTCACAAAAATATATTACCGTCATGTTCATTACAATGGATTATGTGATGCATGGCTTTTACGAAAGAACAATAGATGATCCAAGATTGAAAATTTATCAGTGAATCAGGACACGAGTGGTTGCATTTTTTGTTTTTTTTTTTTTGGTGTGAAATCAAACATTCGTAATTTCTCAACACTTCTTATAACAAGACAAATCTTTGAACTACAAAAGTTATAATCGTCCGATAGATTAATATATGGGCTTTTAGTAAAGGGCAAATCAACTTAATTAATAAGGCCCAAACGTTCGTTTTAAATCTCAAAACCTCATCCGTAGATCACAAAGTCATGCTCGCTTATATTCCAACAAATTTTGGGTATTCTCTCTGCGTCCAATTCCGTTTTTTTTTTTTTTTTTTAACTAGAACTTAACTCTACTGCGTTTGTCTTTCTCTGATATATGCTAACACTATCTCATGCGATTTCATGCAACTATTTTGGAGTATATATTGGCAGAAAATATTACTAATATATAGAAACTAACTCAAATTAATAGATTGAATAGCAAACTAGTTAGGTATGTGTGTTTTCACATTTGTACTTGTTTACTAGAACCTTTTGGAATAAGACGACTGTTCACCCAAAAATCATTGATTGGGTAGGTAAGGGATCGTCCTTAGGTGATATTGACTATTGAAAAATAAATAAAGTCCGATCAATTTCATTCCTGAAGCTCTCGGACATGACACCAACCAATGGAGAAGTACATGATCGTGTGAGTACATGAGGATATGTTTCGCCACAAATCACTATCATATAGTTAAGGGGATATATTTGACCCCAAACAAAAAAATAATTAAGGGGCTATATGAAATTCCACACGGACACACACACACACAAACACAAATGAAACAAGTTCTGGTGATCAACACTTTTAAGTTATAAAGTAGTAAAAATATGATGTACATATTAGCTAAGCTGCCTCAGATTTTTCTGTTAATTATTGTAGCCAACATAAGGAAAGATAATAGAATTTCAACTCAATGGTTTCTTATTGGCTGGCATTCTCTGTTTAATAGTTTAAAGAGCAACAAAATTTGATGGCATTTTAACACACTAATCTAAAAATGTAAATCACGCTAGTGTATCAAAATGCCATCAAAAAATTTCGACTCATGTAGTTTATATTTTGAAGGGATCTACGATGGAATTCTATTGGTGGGTCTAGATATACTGGCTGGAAATCATATGGGTATTTTAATTATTTTCATAATCATAATTAATATCATAAAGTCTTTATATATCATAAGAAAATGTATAACTAAATGTCTGGGACAATCTTTATTGGAACACAATCCGATTTGGTGATCATGAATTAGTTGGATGGCATCTCTGAGTTGATAATTAATTAATCTTATTATTATAGTTAATCTAATTATCAATAATGTATATAACTAGAGATACCAAACGAATATTAGGGAGATCTCAACAACTCATCATGCGTATCTCTTAAGAAAGCGCTAAAAACATTTCTTTTTAAAACATTTCGTCGCTAAAACATTTGAACTAGTGTCAACTTCGCTTAAGCGCTTATTAATTATATTAAGTAGATATTTAGATATAAAATAATTAGTTACTCTTAAAATAATATGTGATTCTATTTATATGCTTCTGGGTACGTAGGAAAAGAGGAGGGAAAAGAAACCAAGATTTTGGGGGATATGTACTACTGTGCCGTATCGTGAATTACAAAAGAAAGGAAGATTTTGTAATTGTATATTAGATAATCGTTTACAATTTCTTAAACTATAATAATATTTTAAATCGTTGTATAACAAATTAATGTGAAAATTAGAAATTAGAAGGGGCTCTATGCATTGAATTCAGGCTTTTCTTTATGGCAGTATGCTTCCTTTTTTCCGGAATAATCATCGTCATGATTATCATAAGCGTTTAACAGTTTGTTTATATCAAAACTACTATTTGTAAATGAGCAATATTACAGTGGCTCTCCCAATTTTGCTTGCATGTCATCCAACATTATTCATTTCCTTAATACAGTTAGTATGTTTTGGATATATCTTATATTGAAGCTTTATTGTCTACCTTATACTGAAGTTACTTATCGAATTTCACTGAGTATATGAAAATATCACACACACACACACACATATATATATATATAACCGATGTTTCATGAGAGGTCATATGATTATAGATGTACATTTATTATGTCATTGACATTGTCTTTTGATGATGTAAGCCCTTGTGCTTATGGATTTACACGTATCCTGACACCTAAGTAATAGTGATGTCATTTGTATCATTGTATGTATGCCTATAGGTGTTAGGATATACCAACTTACGTACTATCCGATTAGTCATTTGGATAATTTATTTGCCACTTTCGAATTTCCCAGACGATTGGTTTTCTCGATCGCGGCTAGTATTACTACTTCATAATTTCACTTATATCATAACCCATTATGTTCCTTCTCAATATGTGAGATAGCTATATGAATAGCGTACAGAAATCAGTACCTAAGTTGGAAACAATCTTGCTAAGTTTGACCAATAGAACCCAAAAGATTGGTTCCCACCTACCCTTGCTTCATTTTTTTTTTTTTTGGTGTAACGTGGGTTTGCACTCAGGGTGACACAACGAAAGCATTAGCACAAATATGTTGATCTGTTTCATAATTATAAGATATGCAATCGCACATGGCCTTTGGTTTACTCCTTTCCGGTTTTCCGTCCAATAGGGCTTATACAAAAAATCTTATTCCATACTAAGAAAACCGCAAGAAAACATAACAATGGAAGGGTAAAAAAATGGTATAGCTGAAATTTGAAGGAAGTGAAATGTAAACTAAACAGTAAAAAACCTTGATTGTGGGAAAAATTCTCTACTGCAAACATCACAGCCTCGGTCTTTTACGTTGTGGGCAGTTAATGAAATCCTTTTGAAACATACAGGTGTAACAGTACGCACTTGAACTTGTTTAAACCGACGCTACGCCTCCATATATCCAAGAATAAATTCCAAGACCCGCTCCCAAGAAGAAGTTTCATGAAAGCTTTAGATATTTCTGCGATTAGCACACCATGAGTCCATGACATTAGTTAGAAGATCAACTGTGTAGTTATTCTGTTGTAAAATGCATGAACAAAAATACGTCATAGCAAACATAACATATACAATAATATGTTTGTTTTCCATTTATGCACTAGAGGCATGTGAACATCGCATACATATTTGTTTCTCTATATAGATTTCATATTAGTTCAGTTCTAAGTATAGATATATGTATAAAAGTTCATGATGAACAAGAGAAAAATTAGTAGGAGCAACGAACATATATATATATATGATCATATCTACAAAAACACTTTCTTATCATCTACGTACATTAGCTTCAATACAAAATCTTAAAAAAAAAAAACAAAATGGAAATGAGTATTTATTTGGTTAAGATTCAAACCTACATATATAATGGAAAAAGGAGTAACTGGAAAAGAGATCATACGATGAAGAAGTATTTAGGACTAAGAATGTTCAGTTTCTTACTAGTACCTCGTCGAGAGTATCAACTCCTCAACTAGCTTCTGCTGCAACCAAGCTAAGTCGAGGCATCCGAAACTATTAACCTGTATACTGAATATAGTCAAATATAATGCAAACCCTAGATTAATTTCAACCGACATGGCATATTGTAACCATACCTCGACTTGAATAGTGTGCATGAGCCTCTCATTGACTCTTGTGGTTAAAGAGCTGATGACTTCAAGCCCTTGCTCCTGAAGTGCCTCAAGCACTCTTGAGAGGGGCAAAGCTTCCGGACCTGACGAGTTGCTGCTCACCGCCACTTCGAAACCGCTTACGCATGGTTGCACCATCACACTCGCCGGATCTGATTTGCCTAACTCAGGTCTAGTATTTGCTGGATCCGGATTCGATGTATATCTTTGATCCGTTTCTCTACTTAGCTCGTCTCTTCTTGCACTGAGTTCTTTAATCCGTGTTTCCGTGTCTTTTATGAAATTCACCGCTCCGTTTACATGATCCGAAACAGCTCTTTTCCCCTACAAACAAAGTTTATGTAAAAAAAATAAAAAATAAATACGAAACAAGAAAAGCATATTCACAACCCTAGAAGCCAAATCTCACCAAATCTTGGTTTCTCGTTCGTATAATTGATATAAGAAAGAAGAAGAAAAAGCCAGTAAAGATTATGAACCTTGATGTATTGGAGAGGTAGGTGAGTACGAAGAGAAGCAAAGAGTGTAGCCATTTCTTGTCTTCTTTGGCGTTCGATGTCGCGGTGGAGAAGCTTTTTCTTCTTTTTATGGTCATCTATTTCATGGGGCATATCGGAGCCGCCGCCGCTGCTGCCGCCGTCGCCGGATGAGCCAAACGGTCTCTGTCTTTGGTACCCTTTGGGATTAGAATTCTGATAATGATCCATAGTTTGACACTTTGGGCTTTAGCAATGCCAGATCTCCCTAGGATTTTGTGGTTATGTCCTCTATTAATTTAATTTCTTTTATTTTTTACTCGTTAGTTTTTTATTTTATTGAAGGATATGGTGCCTTAAAGAAACAAATGGTTCTCTCTGTCTCCTTGGGTGAGAGGGATGACCGTTCTTTAAATACTAAATAAAATACTCATTAGGAGGACCAAATAATACAACTTCCGGAATTAATCTTCTTTCTTTCTTTTTCTTTTGGTCCTCACCGGAATTACTCTTTTCTATAAGTTTTTTTAATCTGAAATTTATTTTCATTTTTTTTAGAGAATGTATTCAATACTCATTTATATTCTATTGAAGAAGAAAATGATGGATGACAAAAATTGAAATAAATTGGTTGATTTATCGCATGTACTTTTCAAAATAGAATAAACTATGTATGTATTCTAACAAAAATCATGTAATTTTATTCAGTAAAACATTATTCATATCTTCCTAATGTTATGCTATACAATTTTAATTACCTTTAAAAAAATTTCTTATCCTTTTTCTCAAATTTATCATTTATTTTCAGTATTTTTTTTCACTGCAGTTTTTGTCAATGTTAGTAGAAAATTTGATTATTTAATTTAGCAAGTAATACATTTTCTTTTTGTGGTGTGATCCTCGGGCTTGATGAGTGTTGGTCCTTTCGAAAAACATATTTTATATTGATTTAAATGGCAAAGAGTTTTACCGGCCGGTTCAAAATTTACTAGGCGGCAATGGTTTCATCGTATGATTTCCTCCGAGTTGCGGAATGATTCGCTTCTATGGGATTTTATATTGATCGATCACGACTCGTGATAAACCTATGAATTTTTATGCTTTTTCGGGGCTATATATGGAGGTAACAATAAAAGTGATACTTGGACGTATAAATGTCAAACCGACAAAGGTATAATACAAAAAAAAAACACACACAAACTATAGAAAAGATAAGTTCCCTACCAACATTTTCCCTAAGGAAATTATTATTTTACTTTGACGATTGGGAGGAACTGCAAGATACATCAATTTGATATCTGTGAACGTGGGAGCTCAACCGTGTCCTAAGATTCGGATACATGAAAAATAAATTAAAGAAGATCAAATCTCAGCCATTGATCCTGTGATGGTCGCATGTGGGCTCCCTGCTTTTGTTGTGCACCTGCTCACACTGCAACTACTCTTCTTATTCACATTTGACATTTTTATTAAACGCTCCATATCAGATATACAATGTATATTTTATATTTTTATTGTTCTTGAGAAGATACGATGATATCCAATAGGACCAATACATATTTTTCCCTTTATTTTATAAGCCTTTTGGTAAAGGTTATCCTTTCAAGGCAAAGCAAATCCTTCTTCTCTGTCACGAATCCCTGCTACCTTATTGTACAGTCCACTATATTTCTATTTTATTTTTATTTTTTGAGCTTTAATTCGTTTTTTTTTAGTGTTTGACACAAAAAGAAAAATTCTTATGCATGGATGTGTGTTGTGGTATATATATGCACAATACGTTTGTTCTGTCTGTCTCCATGTTTCCGGATTAAATGCAATTTAAATGCGCTTTAATTTATTGACGAAAACGAGCTATCGTTGTAGTCAGCATCGGTTTACACAATATTTCTCCCGTTGATCTCGTTAGTGTCCTTGTACATGTTGTAGATGGCTCATGCTTATGGTTTCCTTTTCTGAATGACAGATTTGGTTGGTGAATCGAGTCTATGTGTAACTTTGTAAAAAGCTTTTGTTACCTTTCTTGGCGCAAAAACATTCGAGGTATAACTTTAGAAACCGAGAAACGACGTACTTGGCCGAAGCCTTGACTTTATAATACTGGATTTTGAATGTTTGATGTACAAGATGTGTAGTCCATGCCTCATTGCATGCTTGTTGGTTGGACAACCTAGATTATTGTACATCTGACTCAAATTTCCGAAGATTAGATTAGTTTGTTCGAAGATTGGCTTAACAAACTGAAGCCTAACTCAATGTCCATCCTGGCTTTTATTCAAAATGCATGTTTCACGTTATATTTTTGAGTATGTCTCAGAATTTTAAATAATTTTTGAACATTTTTTAAAACAGTATCAATCACAGGTGGTCGATTGGTAATATGATCTAAGAGAATCTGATGCGCCAGTGCCAAGTGCCAGTCTTATAACATTAGAAATTAGAAGCACGTTTTTCTGTAGTATGACCAAATGTCGCGATAAGCACTTTAAGTTAACATCAGAAAAAAGATTATGTTGTTGACCAAAAAAAAAAGATTATGTAAAGTTATAAATTATATATTCCCGACCACACACACACACAAATGCCTTGTAGACTAAAAATAAACAAAATACATCTCTTTGGACTTTTTCTATCGAACGGTTGCAAGCAAGAGCCGCAATTTCTACAGTAACAACCCAATTATTTTCTAATTTTGCTTTCTAAGTTTGTTCAAACGAATTAAAATATGGTGTTCGAATTTTAAGTTCCTTTATATTTGGGTAAACTTTAAAATAATGGTGTGGTTTTAAATTAGTTAACCAGTAATCTGTAATTAGATTGTTGACAAACAAAAAATAGATCCAGCGACATTCTTAGTGAATTTTACGAAACAACCTCTTGTAACTTTACCAAATGTTGAATCACAGATTTCACAATCATGTTTTCTTATCAACAACATATACCTGGATAGTATCTAAAAAGTGATCTAACAAAGATACTAATAAAACTAAATTATATAATCATATTTGAATCAAAATATTGTTAATTAGTCGTCAGTTAGCTCAATAGAATGATGAGTTTTCAATATAGAATGAAAACACCCAAAATCAATGATTTGGCCATCTTTTACAAAACCACATTATAGATATAGACCCTACTTGTCTAATAGATTAGATAGATCATTTAGCTGAAATTGTTTACCAAAAGTCCAAAAGAAAAGTCAACAATTCCTCGCTTATATGTAGCGGTTTTTCAACTAAGCCGTATATACCAGTTCCCTATTTTATTTTTACTTTCCGCAGCGTCGTTATCATTAGATAATTATTGTAGCATTTTTTTACAGCCTTTATCGTTAGCTTTTATTCTTACTTTTATGCACTTCCTTGTTTTTCTTTCTCGGCTTAGTTGTGTTTTTTTTTGGTTTTGTGAATTCGAAAAACATGCAGAAAGCGTCTTGGTTCAGCCCCATATGATTGATTACCCTTTATACACTTCAATTTTGCTGGTACGAACAAACTATAATATGTTTGGTCAACGGTAAATGACTGATATTAACAACGATTAAATCATGTTCATTCTGTAGTTTTTAGTTCTGTGATACACTTTGATGACAAAATTTGCTGATGAACAATCAATAAACCTAAACACTAAAAATATAATAATTAAAATATGACATTATCACTAAAATGTATTGATAAACAGATGACAGTGAGCAAAGACTGTTCTATCTCTCGTAACTAGAGACAGCAAAACAGAAGGACAAACCACGCTTGCACTAGCTCGATCGATTGGTCCAACTAGGCGAATCATGGCACGCGTTGAAACTTCATTAATGGAAAAATAGATTGAAAACATCTTTTTTCATCCTAGACCAGTCTACATATTTATTCCAAATTACAGACAGTTTAGAAAAATTAGAAAGATAATATAAAATCAAAATTGAAAGAACTATGCAGATGGAGAGAGGCTCCACACGTCGAGATGAAGTGGTTAGAAATTTAATTACAAGAGATAGGGGTGTGAGAGTAAATTGATGTGTATTATTATTTTATACAAGAGGAGTTGGTAGATATAGACCTTCACGTGTCTAGGATAAGATTGTAGAGTTGAGTATAAATATACCAAGACAGAGTGATAAAGATAAAGTAATGGATAGAGATCGAGTGAACTATTTGTATTAGTTGGGTTATAAAATGGAAACTAATAGCCAAGAGAAATGGTCGAGAGTGATACAATAATAGATAGAGAATGATGTATCTGTATATGTTATAATGGGTCTTATAGCTGATGAAGCTATTAATGTAACCAAAATGATTTACAAAATTATTATATGTCTAGGAATGAGGACACATATGTTAAGACATGGATTATTTCTGTTAAAGATCTGAAAAACGCAGATATATACAGATACACAGATACTAGTCCAAGGAAACTATCTATATACATCGTTTTTACTTTTTTTTTTTTTTTAATTTTTGGTTTGAGAAGTTAAGATATATCTACTAAAGAAAACGTTTACTTCATAAATGTAAGGGTATCCTTGAGGTCTGCAAAGTCAATTAAAGCCAGATCGTTGACCTGCAACGTTGAAGCAAACATATTCATCACTTTGGTATATGATTTCTATTCCATTCGTATCAAAAATTAAGACACAGAGGAATTTGGTTTTAAAGTAACAAACACTGAAATATAAATGTCACGAGAAAGTGTTGCTTTCTACATCAAATCTGTTTTTTAGCATGCATAAATAAAGCAATCAAACAAAAATCCGGTTCAACAAATAAGCTTCAATACAATCTTTGTTTCCGTGGCTACGTCTAAAATATGTTGTTATATAGATTGTTACGGCTTCTCTAACATCGTTTTCATCCCTGATATCCGTGGCAATATAGCAATGATTAGTGATTATAAAACATTTAATTCAAAACAAACATATATATATATATGTATCTATAGCAATGATTAATTGATTATAAGTTTTTTTCAGTCTGTTGAAGGTTTTAAAATGTTGTCACTATATATATACACACAGCAATATCTTATAAGTAGTCTGAAATAGAATGTTTAATTATATATGCAAGCAAACCTTCTATATTTTATTTGGTGAATATTTTGATAAATTTATTAAGCTCGAGATTTTGTATACCTCAGCATGTACAGTGTAAATGAGTCTATCATTCACAGTGGAGGAGATGGAGCTAAGAACACAAAGACCGTGTTCACGAAACAGTTGCAGAACCCTTGACAACGGCGTTTGGATAACGCTAAACACGATTTCTAGGCCGACTAAACACGGACGAATCACGGCTTGATTAGAAATCTCATTCCTATCTCCTCCATTACTACTCCCAAAGCTTCGTCCAGGCAATAACATGAGGTTATTTCTCTTGGAACTCATGTCCTTGATGTTCGTCTGCAAATACTTTATGTAATTCACCGCCTCGTTCAGCTGATCTGACGTCGAACGCTTTCCCTACAGAACCCAAATCCAAAACCCATCAAGAAACATTAAAATAACAGTTTCATATGAGCTTTAGGAACTTGTGATGTTTGAATGGTACGATTCTAGTGAATCTTTTTTTTTTCAAAACAACAGGTCAAACTAAGAGACAAAACATACTTTCACAGATTCTAACTTGTAGATTGTGCTCATGTTTCCAATTTAATTAACATTTAACCCAAAAAAAAAAAACTTGTAGATCTGTAAGAGTGAAGAATCAAAAGCAAGATTGATTAGGGTTTCTGAAGAGACAGAACCTGGATGAACTCGAGAGGGAGAAGAGAGCGAAGAGATGCGTAAAGAGAAGCCATTTCTTGTCTCCTTTGTTTCTCAACTTCTCTGTGTACTATCTTGTCCATGTTTTCTTCACTACTATTTCTCAGCTTTTTATTACACCTTCTTTTTTGCGGAAAATCATTCATCTAAAACCTGTAGTAAGTTGTCTATTATTTTCTACAAAGATTCTTCTATTAATGATGATGATGATGATGAGACAACAAGATCTAATCTTGTCTGATTTTATGCTAGGGGATTTGGTCTGAGTCTGAATCTCAGTCAGTGATTTGTTGTAAAGTTGAAAAATATGGGAGTATGGAACAAAGACAGTGAAATAAAGAAAGGGTTTTTGTATAGTTATAAAATAAAGAAAAAGATACGTTATTGGTAGAAGTATTGGAAAAAGAGGTTTGTTAGGGTAAGCAATGACGTCTTTCTGCCTCATGCCTTCATCATTAACTTCTTCTCTCTTTAATCAATGGCAAATGTTCCCATCCACATTTCCATCTTTTATCAATAACAATTGTTGTGCAATCTCGTGGTGTCGTACAATCTCGTGACCAACAAAAAAAAAATCAAGTGTACGATCATCTGATAGCTGACATACCAGATACCCTTTCTATTATTTATTATTATAGCCGCAGCTTTAAGGCCATTATTGGAAATTTGGAATATCATTTTAAAGTTTGAAAGAATATGATTTCTTTAATTTTAGATAATGTACTATGGTTTTTTGGCCATGCTAAACAAAATTGTTTATATATAGTTCATTTTTTAATATTTCTGTGGTGTCACTTTTAAGAAGATTTTTTCAACCGTAGCAATAATAACCTTAAAATATTCTACTAATATATATAAGTTTAATCGAAATTTTTTTTTTCAGTAATCGAGTTTTAAATGATACATGTACAAAGCATATGCCAAATACTTAGTACTAATAAAACCAAAAATATATACTATTAATGAGCAAAGCTGGCCTAAATTATGAATAGACCCATTTAGGTTAAAAAATATAAAAGGGCTAAAAGAAAAAATATTAAAGAAAAAAAATTTCAAGAAATCTTTGATTGTTTTAAGAATTTTTTTTTTAAAAAGTAAAAATAGAGAGATTGAAGAGTGCTCAGTATGGCCAAGGTGACCCACTTTAGTATGAGTCCTAAATTAACTCAATTGGAAGAGGTTTGCGATCTCAATTAAAACTATTGGATCCATAGGATTTGTAAACTCGAATGATAAGACCAACGAGATTATCATTTGTTGGGTCTATAGACAGTGGCCAGTCTTTATTAAAAGCCAAGCAAAAATATGGAAATCTTACAAAGTGTGTGAAAAAAGTCAAAAACTACTCGGTTTTAATTTACTTTGTCCTTTTTTTAACTTAAAAGTTAACTTCATGCTGTTCGAAGACAGAAACACGGCTTCTTATTTAAGAAATTCTGTGAACGTTTCTATTTTCTAACGTATCTTTTCCGTTCTTGTAAGGAATGGAGATTACTAACTTCAAAATAGAAAGTTACTACTATTCCACAAGTAACGAAACACAAATAATTTCCATGTTATATTACAAAAAGGAAATCTGATTGCACAACTTTCCTCTATATATTGAATATAGTCGTTGATAGAACTCACCCACAAACAATCTTGAATCATCTTTCATAAAATTCAACAAGTATCTCTCATAGCCACTGAGACTCACGAAGAAGAAGAAGAAGAAAAGTTTTAAAGAAGATGATTAATGCAAAGGAAACAGAAGAAGCATTACCATGCGCAGGAGGCTGTGGACTTTTTGGCACCCGAAAGAACAACAATCTCTGTTCCCTCTGCTACAAGCAGAGTGTTCTTCAGCAATTTCCCCCTCTTAGGTTCGAACCCGAGACCAAGCCATCACTGGTTTGCCCTCCTACGAATCTTCCCGCCACTTCAGAAGAACCGGTCGGAATCAAACGAAGATGCGGGATGTGTCAGAGGAAGGTAGGGATGTTGGGATTCAACTGCAGATGCGGACACATGTTTTGCGGGTCCCATCGGTATCCGGAGGAGCATTCTTGTCCCTTCGATTACAAACATTCTGGACGGCTTGGATTGGCCAAACAATTGCCTTTGATCAGAACTGAGAAGCTGCAAAGATTTTAGTCATAATTTTGAGTCTCTCTTAGATCTTGGTTGCAATTTTGATGTTCTTTAAAATCTTTTTATGATCAATACAAGTAGAGCGACCAAATCAAGAAAAAGGCCATAAAATAGCTGAGGCAATAGAAAAATTAAGAAACAATACTTCATCATATCAGATTTTAAATATAAGAGAATAAAAGATGTTAATCAGCGAATGAGTGTTCAAGGATATGAGTTTTTGGTTTAGTAGTAACATAGATAGACCTATAAGAGAAGCGAATCACTGAATTAATTTTGTTTTTGGAGTTGTGAATTGTGATAAAGCAGAAAAGCTATATGATGCAAAAATAAAACTTGACTACAACCAAGTATTGAAAGAGAAAAAGGCATGAGCTTCAAGAAAGGGGGCTTTTGGTGTCTTGGTTTGTTGTCTTGAATCTTTTGCCACTCCGTATACAGTTACAGGAGCTTTGCTGACTGAAATAAATCCCATCACTATTGACCTTGTTTCTTGAAGCTCAAATCTACATCTTCATTCATCTGCACCAAACCAAACACTTAAGAGAAAGCTATATCCTATCCTATAGAAACTAGGGTTTCAAAACTTACTGATTTCGCAACTTCTTTGGCTTTATCTTCATTGAACCCGAGCGTTTCCAAAATCTGACGGCCTGCTGAATCCTTTTGAGACCAAATCCCAAGAAGCAAGTAGGCCGTGGTTAGTTCCCCATCCACACCTGTGTACAAAACAGTTTCAGTTTGGCTATCGCGGATGGGAAAGACAAGGATCTACAAATATTAAGATGGTGTTTGTTTATGCAAACCAGATTTCTTCTTCTCATCAATGGCCCATTCAATGGCCTTTCGAGCCGGTTCAGTTAGAGGAGGATGCTCTGGGCTGAAAAAGTACATGTCTGATTTGCCCAGCAGGTTTATCGTCTCATCTCGCACCTTGAAAAGTGTGACTCCATTCCCCCTCAGGAACTTAGCAGCTGTGCTAGTGCCTGAAACCACAATGACAAGGTTAACCAAAGTAAGTAAAACAGATAAGCTGAAACGATTTACCATCGCTACCTTTTGAACAACAGAAAGAAGAGTTATTGAAAAAAAGCTAAACAACATAAAAATCAAAACTGTTTCCCTGATGATTCTACCCGATTCTCTCCTCACGTTCGTATTTCAGCACGATCAAAGAGCATAAACATTCCCCAACTGACTATAAAGTTTCAGTTTTTTAGCAGAGGGATAGAAGCAAAACTTGATCCCACACGAATTTTGTTTAATAGGAACAAACATAGCCTATGCTTATTAGCTATACTCGGACTCAATTAAGCGGGTGAACTAAAGCACAAAGCGAGACAGAGAACTTTTCACCAAGCATTAGCTTATACAAATCTCGAAAACTAAATGTAAGACTTTACAGTCAACAATTTATAAATTTTTACAGTTAAATGCCCCAATTCTCTATCAGCCACCATAAGGCATGCCACATCTGAATATACAGCTTCAGTTGATAACGATTAAGAAACAGAAGAACAGAAGCAAAACTCATCCCACAGGAACAACAAATCATAATAACCCTTGCTTATATATATATGCAATGAGGAGGATAAATCTTCAGCAGCATTGTTGTTTACGATTCCTCAAAACAAAATGTAAGCTTTCGATCCCATGGCAGCATAAAGATCCCAGAAACCACAAATCTAATCTAGAAGAAGCAGCAGAGACAAAGCTGAAGGTCGCAGAATCATAAAGAAGAAATGACAAACCTTCAACTAAGATACCCATTAGAATGGCTTCGGTGCCGGTGCTTGGATACTTGAGTTTCCTAGCCTCCAATTCCCCCATTGCAAGTGATTTTATCGATCTCGCCGACCATCTAAATCAAAACGGGTAAACCTTGAAGCTCTATAATTACTAATTGGATACGTAAATTCCGAGTGAGACTTACTTTGGGAGCTTATCCGAAGAACCATTCTCCGGCTGCCTGCAAAAACCCAACCTAACAATCGTAAGCTTCCATTTCCGTGGTGGAAGGAAAGAAAAAAGAAAAAGAAACCCAGAGAAAGTATAAAAGATGTTGAAAAAGAGCTATCAATTGAAAAACTCACGCAGTCGGGACGCTAAAGACCGTACTAGCCGAGGTCAAGCACCGGTGCTTGGAGACGAAGCAGCGACGTGACGGTTTCGTCACAAGAAGCTTCTTTCCTAACAGAGAAGTAGGAGGAATCGGAGAAGAAGAAGAAGAAGAAGACGAGGGAGATCCTTTCTGACTCGAAACAAAGATCCGACGATTAGAGACCGTCAAAGGGATAAAGGAGAGCGTGTACGACGCCATTTTCACTCCCAATAAAGAAAAAAAAAACTAGCTTTCGTCCTGGTGAGTGAGAAACGCGATTATTACTCAGCGAATCGGTTTTTGCACATAACCCCCCCAAATCTATACATAATCTTCTTTTCTAACTCCAAGTTTTTCCAAATTATCTTTGCTCCCTCGAAATGGAATGTTCGGTATTGAACCTTACGTAAGGTTCAAGATCCTTCTATATTGTAAAAAAATTGTGAAAAAATCAATGTGTCGATTCCAACCCCCTTTTTTTCATAAAAATCTCTATATAGAGGTCAAGATCCTTCTATATTGTAAAACATAATACTGTATGAATTTAGCTTATTCAGATTCTATCTCCATATAGATTTACCTCAAAACGCCTCAATTCGCAACTCCCAAAATATCAAAGTAAACAAAAAAATAAGAAAGAGAGATGTAGTAGCTTTCAATCTGAAGACACAAACGAACCAAAAAAAATATAGTGGAACAGATCCGAAACAATGCCTAATCCTACCTCACCGTGGTTGATACAAAATCTACAAGTGAGATTATGTATGGTTTATCAGTAATCAAGAATCAGATTTTTTCAAAAAGTATATAACTCCTGTAATCTAACTCTGCCTTGAGTATCAAAACCAAGTCAAGACCCTGAGCTTTTCCTTTTCCTGTCTTCCATGTCTCTCCTTATGAGCTCCAACACCATTTCGTTCCATGTATCGACCGGTCCAGGCATGCACCAGTGCAAGCAGTCCTGTGGCGGAGGCCGTCCATCCGGTCCCCTTTTAGTGATCTTGTTTGGGTCCGGGTTCCTGTACGGACCAGGATGACCATCATGGCGATAGCCAAAGGCCTCTGTAATATCCATCAGCTTTAACTTATGCTTCAGATCATCCACGACTCCATCCACTGCTCGGTTAAACCCTGTCGTTTGCTTCTCGTGCATTATCTCCGTGAAACCGTTTTTCACTAGCTTCCCTGGAAGGATGGGTTCTACTTTCCCTGTGCATGAACCACCTGTGTTCCAAGCACCACCCTCGTAGTGATCAGGTGACCATGTTCTCACAATGGTCAAACCGGTGTAGTTCGGGTGTGTAGCCATGGACTTTAAGATTGTTTCAACTGATATTCCGAATGCTTCCACGTTGTTGACTTTCATGGGTTTTGATTTGTCTGGCCACCATAATTGGCCTCCCACTATCTCGTCCTTTAATATGTAGACAGACTGCTTTGCAAACCAGTGCCCTGATGAGAGGACAACCACGTCGAATTTCGGAAGAGCTTCTATTATACGCTCATCAGGAAGGTCCAGCTTTAGTTTTGTGACACCTTCAGGAGCATAATCGAATTTTTCGTTGAACTGATGCACGAGCCAGGATGACCAAATACGGGCAATCATTACTGATGATGACTTAAAATACCATCTCTGCATCTTTCGGCTCCCACGATTGACCGGTGTTTCAACCTGAAAACGGCAATCTACGTTAATATAATACATACAGTTTCCTGAAGATTAAAGCGACAAAAGTACAGTTTCCTGAAGATACAGGTTTTCACCATTAATTCAATTTTTCGAGACAAATGACCAAAATACTTGCCTGCCAAAGAAGGCACAACATGGACTCCATCTGGTTACGAGCTACTGAATCTCCTATAAAGGCCAGTGTCTTGCCTTTCATTAGGTCTAGAAATTTCCTGGCATCAAACCGAGGAAGGTCACACTGAGACGGTTTCCATCTCCAGTTCTCATATCCCTTGTCAGGTCTTCCATTGCCCTGGCAGTTCTGCATCTGCGTCAGGACAGGGCAAGAGTTGTTCGTGTACACAGGTCCCCCAGGGTCATAAAACCAGCTACCATGATACAAATCACACTCTACAAGCAATCAAAGATCTGAGTGAGCGACATACTAATAACAGAATGAGAAAACATGGAACAGTTAAATTCCTGAGAAGCAGAAACTGAGGTCTAACTATCAAGTAAACTGGATAGAAGGAAAAATAACAAGAACAAAGCTGTGAAACTGCATTTCTTATTTCAATACAACCGAACTTCTTAACTAAAATCCCCAAACAAAGCCTACAAATTTCACCCCCTAAAACGATATGCCGAGACATCCTTACAAACCGAGCCCTCACTGATTGCTCTCTAACCAATTCAAAACAGCTCTAATCTGCTATATTTTAGTACTAGGCTAGATACAGTAGATCTAGAGTTAGGAGTTGAGCAGCTGAACTTCTTCAAAGCTTATCGGAGATTAAAGCCATTGGCCATAGAAGTGCAAACTTAATGCTTTACATCCCCATACTAGTTTTTCTTTGTTTATACAGAAAATTAAGCTACCATAAAACAAGATGTTCAAAATAAGACAAAAAAGCTACCTAAATGGAAACTAGCGTGTTTAAGAGAACAGTACCTGTTTCTGCTGAAGCACTTTCAGAGTCATCATGTGGACGAGATGATTCATTTGGAGTGTCTCCAGCTTTGGAAACATTGGTCTCACTTTCACCTGATCCATCATCAGCCTTCTCAGACTTATCCAAAGAAACAGTATCCTCGTTTACTTGGGTCAAAGGTTTCTCCAACTTCCTATCACTATCGAAATCCGGCAGCGGTATCTTTGTGTCAACAACATCAGGAGAGACAGAGGTAGATTGAGAAGTCAAATTTTGCTCTGCAGTATAGATGTCGCTACTCTTGTCAAGGCCTTTTACAGTATGGTTGCTCAAAGATAAAGGGAATTCAACTTGTTCAGGAGTCCCTATTCCATAAAATATGCCACTAACTGAGGAACTGATTGGGTAAGAAAGACGTAGCAACAATCCGAAAACAAAGAATGATGCCAATCCGCAGATAGCAACTGCAATTGTAGACACCTTCCGAGGGAATCCGGCCACAAAATTAGAAACTTTAGGAGAACCCAAAGCCATGGCTTTCTTACAGAACCAGAACTATTGCAAGCAAGAAGAACAGAGCCTATTGGTGATAAGCCACTATCAACATTCTTCAAAAATGGTGTTGAAGATAAATGCTTTCGTCTTTGGCATGCAATCTTCCACTGAACTAAGCGAATTGTTGCTCAATTCAAGCGGGGTTTTTAACCTTCAAGCTCTGTATCACTGTTAAGATTCCTCCAATTGCCTTTTTCAGGATCGAAAGCACATGAATCTGGAAGAGCAATACTATGAGCAAGCCATACTAAAAGGGAAAACAAATATAACAACACCATCGATCTCACCAAAAACTACACTAACTATAAAATAATCTTAATCCAGAGAATCGATCTTCTAGAGAAAACTTAGAAACATTAATCTATTGCACATCTAATCCAGAAAATACTATGAATCCAGCTCAGATTCAGCTCAAAGAATAGGTAATCACCGTCAGATATTTTCAGAAAGAAAAAAAAAAGATCTCTTCACGGGACAGATCCAACATGAAAACATACGGAACAAAGAACAAAGAGAATCTACGAACCTTGAAACTCGGGAGAATTTTTACCAGAGAGGAGCAATGATCTGATCCTTGTCGTCTTGTTCGTAAAAGCGAGCTCAGAGAGATTCACAAGAAAACCTGAGTAGTGAAGGTGAAGGATAACAAAACAAATTTGCGAAATCAAATTAACAAAAGTTAGTTATCGACTTAAGTTTCAACCAAGTTTAATAATCTTCACCGGAAATAACTAAACGAAATTTAGTAGCAATAATTAAAATGTTTTCTTCTTCGGAAACGATCCGGAACAATCAATGGCGTCTGCGATCTCATCAATCGAAACGGCGCGTAGACGGCCACGCGATGATATGCAAAGTTACGGAACTACCCTTCGTTGCTTCGAAGGTCAAACATTAAATGCGTAGATTTCGATTTGTCGATCTCCGCGTTACTAACGACAATGGCCTTCTGCATTTTTAATGGTATAAATTACTGTATAAGCTTTGTATCAAATAAATGTACTTATTTTGATCAGTATCAACGATATCTAGTTATTTTACCTGATCCGGATAGTGGTCTCAAATAGTTTAATTATCAGAGATACGTATTCGGAAATAATTTACACAGTTTCTTAAAAACTTTCACGCATTTTGGGAAACTTTGAAACTATGTTGATTAGAGTATATATAGTTTCCGGACAAATATTAGCCATAATAGGAAATGGTACCGTAAATACATATGTTTCCATTACTCGAAATTATTAGCAAGTTTTTAGAATCTTATCACATTTTTGGGAATTTTCACAAATTTTGAAAACTCTCCCAAGTTCTTGTAAGCTTTTTTTATGTGTGTTTTCTGCACTGTTTATCTTTCCGTCGTTAATTAAAGATAAATAAATAAATATGTTTTTACATATGCATGTAAATCCTAAATTGCAGATTTAAACTTTAGTTACCTCTTAAATCTTGTTGAAGTTTATAAATCTTTCGTTGATCTACCGTCGCATGTGTTTTGGAGGTGCAAGCTCACCCAAAGAAACGTAGATGCTACATATTCACTGATGATCATAGCGAATAGTGACGAGTGTTTTTGAGCTTTGACATATTCCACAAATTTTGTGTGTGTTTATCCCTTTGATTATTTATTAATTCTTACAATTGATTGAATTTGTATCAATGAAATTTGAAAATCCATGTTTAGTCTGAAGATAGCAAACTTCTCACTAAATTAGAGACCACAAATTGGTTGAAAGTCATCAAAAGAAACTATATAGATTGGCAATATTTCCAAGACTTTTTATTTAAGAAAAAAAAAAGAAAAATCAAAGTCTATTGCCGTTTATTAGCGTCGTTGCGACATGACATTTATATGTTTTCTTCTTTTCTGAAAACCTATATCTCTCTTTTTTTTCTTTCTTTCTAAGAACCTATATCTTTTACCTACCTCAGATAAGATGAAAGAGGAACAAAATAATTGTTTGCTACATATAAAAGAAAAAAGGGCAAGAAAAATGATGTCCGCAGAAGTCTAGAAGATATGCCCAACGACTCGCATCTCCGCTAAATGCAGAACGGTAGAAGATACACAGTAGTCTGTGGTCAGGAAACAATCTATAAGATACGACCTTCTTCTTTTTGTTGACCAATTAATGTGCATGGAAGAAGATACTATTTTACATCTAATAAAGACATTGCAAACTGAATTTAGGTGGCGACAAAACAGAGAAGCTTCCTAAAATGATAAGGCTATATGATCTCTACGCGATTAGAGCCAACCATTCATTGAAAAAAAATACAAATCATCTACTTCGTTTCAATATTCTCAAGTCTAGTAGACGTAAATTTATGCATTGACTATAAATTTAATAAGCACGTTGACATTCATGTCACATGTAGGGTCGATTATAATATCTCAAGGTTCCTATTTTATACACAAAACAGGGCATAAATTTTTGAATGAACTATATAATTACAATACTATCGGACCTATACTATGCTATTACAATTTTTAATCCCACCAATTTTTTATTTAAAAAAAATCTATAGATCTGCAACAATCTAATGGTTATGAAAGATAATCGAACATGTGAAAAGTGGGGTTAAGCTCAAAGTTAAAAGATATTTTTACAAAATTACAAACTATATAAACCAGTTGAGCTGTTAAAGAGAAAAAAATGACAAACAATGTTTAATTGGAGACCAAATCAAAATTAAATTAGTTTTCTACCGTTGTTGCGTGGTATACCTCTTTTAATAAAACAACTTGAAACTGAACCAGTTGAGCTACGAAGAATAGTATTTTATTAAATTACTAGGTGTTTAGTCCGCGACTTGCGCGGGCCAAAAAGTTTCATTAAAACTTAAAATAAAATTTTATGTCATATATCAAAAAATAATTAGATCAAGAATTTAATACATACAAAATTAAAATAAAGCTAATCTATGAAAGTAATCATTGTCTAACATTAAAAACTTTAAAATCAATACTAATAATAAGTGTATGAAATCAATAAACACAAACTAAAATAAGATTAATATAAATTATTCATCTTTTTCTTTTTTTATCTTTTAATTTTTTTTCTCTATCATTTTCTTCTTTCTTTTTTTTGTTTTTTTGTTTTTTTTTTCTTCTTTATTTTCTATGTCTTTTTTTAATTTTTATTCTACTGATTTTTCTTTTTCACGTTTTCTTCTTCTTCTCCACATCTTTTCTTTTTTCCTCTCATACATCTTTTGATTTTCTTCTCTTCCAGGTTTTCTTCTCTTTCTTCTTCTTCTTCAATGTATTATTATTCTCTTTCTTCTTTTTTTTTCTTTTCCTTTCTCATTGCCATCGTCTTCTTTGTTATCGCCGACTTCCTATTCTTTTGGTGTTTTTCGGCTTTTACATCATCTTCATATTCTTCTACTTTCTCCAATTCCTCATCTTTTAAGGTTTTCATCCAATTTTTTCTCTTCCCCATCTTCTTCTTCTTCTACTTTGTCTTCTATTTTATTTTATTTTTCTCCTTCAACTGATTCTTATTCCTCTTCTTCCAATTATTCTTACTCTCTCCAAATTCTTCATCATATTTTAAAGATCTTTGTCTTATCTGTCTTTTTACTCCTCTCATAGTTTATATTTTCCCTTTTTTAATTTTTTCCTTATATTTTTGAGTTCTTTTTTTATCGTTATTTGTTTTCAAATTATTCTTCTTTATTGTCTTCATCTTTTTTTACTTCTTATTCATCTGATTTGTCTTCGTTTTTTTATCATATTTACCTTTTTCTACTTTGTCTTCTTCATCTTCTAGTTTTCTTCCATTTTATTAATTATTTTTTTTCACTTCCTCTACTATCTACTGGTTTTCTTTATGACTTCTTCTTCTGATTATCTTTTTTCTTCTCCAATTGGTCATTTAATTTTTTTTGTTCATTGTCTTCGACCTATCCGACTATCTTTTTATCTTACTTGTTCACTGTATTATTTTTTGTTCATATTATCGTTGTTTTCTTATTCTTCTCATTTTTCTTTATTTTTTAGCTTTTCTATTCTTTGTTTTATCCTTCTTATCTTTCATTGTTTTTGACTATTTCTTCTTATGTATTGTATTCATCTTCTTTGACTTCTTGATTTTTTTTTCATTCGGTTTTTTCTTCATCTTTTCTGTTGATTTTTTTGTTTTATTTGTCTGCCTCTTCTTCTTTGTTTTATTTTTATTGTCTTTGTATTCTCTAAATTCTTATTCTTCAACATCTTCTACTATTGTTCTTTTGCTTTTATTAGCCGTTTTTATCTTCTGTTTTTTACTTCTTCTTAGTCATTTTTGTTTTATCAAAACTTTTTTTTCTTTCTAATTTTTGTTTGTCTTTTTCTCATCTTTACATTCTTCTTTTTATTTTCTTTTTCATCGTCGAGTTTTCATCTTCTTATACTTTATTTTTTTCATCTACTATTTTTGTTCTTCTTTTTCTTTCAGTTTTCTTCTTCAACTTTGAGTTCTTCATCTCCTTATCATTTTTCTTCTTCACTATTTTGTGTTACCCATCTTGATCTTATTGTTTATGGTCTAGGACTTTTTGTTCATTTTTCCTCATTTTTTACGTTTTCGTCAACTCTATGTTTTTCTATATGTTTTAATTTATCTTTTTTCTCTTCTTTTTCTACTTCGTTTTTCCCTTTTTCCCTTTTTCTGTTTTTCCTCTGCGCCCTGCTAGAGTATTTGGCCTCTCTTACATTATTCCAAAAATAAACAGAATTTAGAAAGCCATATTTATAACAAACAAAAAAACAAAGGACTTAAAACATGTTCATTAGACAATGAAGATGATTTATGATATGTTGACATGGTTTTAATCACGTTAAGTAAGGAAGAATAATTGACAACACAAAACAACAACATATAATCGAGGAACACTACTACTGGTACTGAAAAACAGAAAAAACAATAGAAAAAATCAAAAATTAATTTATAAAAAATAAAGACGGTAAAAAAAACAACGAAAAACCGACCAATGTAGAAACCAAACCACAATTGAGCTTAAGATACATTTTATAAAGTAATATATTTATATATAGCTCTCAACTTAAGCTAGGATTTCCCATATCACATGTACATTTTTTTTTCCAGATAATCTCGCTCAACAGATAATTCGATTGAAATTATCTTAATATTATCAAAATAACTAAAAGTGGCAGCAAAATTTTTATACAAACTACGAAAATAAATTAATTAATTAAGGATATTTAAAACTTTATTAACGAATAAAGAGGAATTAGTTACCTAGATTGAATGAGAGACGTTATAGCGAAAAATTTACTTCGCATATATTATATATGATATGATTTTAAATATTTTTTTAATTAAATTCCAATTTATTAATTTTTTGTTATTTTCTATTTGAAATATTTTTTGATTAAATTTCGATTTTTAATAATTTTTATTAAATTTAAATGTTTTTATTAAATTTCGATTTTCAACAATTTTTTTAATTAATTTACGATTTTTAATATTTTTATTTAATTTACGATTTTTAATAATTTTTTTTATTAATTTATGATTTTTAATAAATTTTTTATTAAATTTAATTTTAAAAAATATAAATAGAGATAAATGGTAATTAGCCACCTAAGATTGAATGAGAGTGCTTTAATTCAAAATTTTACTATTGTTTATTATAATATATATGATTTAAAACCTCTTTAGAATCACTCAAAACCCAAAAGTCAAATGGTCTTCTTTCCCGTTTTGTTCCAAAGACAAAGACAGCAAGATTCTTAATTAAGAATCTGACTATAGACTTCGAGCTCCAGAGAGAGAGAGAGAGAGAGCGCTAAGTTCAAAAAAAAAAAAAAAACGTTGAAGGTCTAACAAAAGGAAACGAAGAATGAGATTCGGGAAAGAGTTTGTGTCTCAGATGATCCCAGAATGGCAAGAAGCTTACATAGATTACGCTTACCTCAAAACGATTCTTCAAGACATCCAAGCTTCTCGAAACATTTCAGATCCCAACAGCCAGAACAACAAACCTTCCTTCGCACGCAACCTAACTAGACGGTACAACCGCGACGCCTCGGTCTCTGATAATCACGGCATTGTGGTCAACACTGTGACTCGGGAGCTCGAGACGACTTACGAGACGGTGTTTTTGAAGGCTGGAGACTCTGAGGTTGCCTTCTTTAGAACCCTAGATCGAGAATTCAACAAAGTGAATAGCTTTTACAGGTTGAAAGTGGACAGAGCGAGGAACGAGGCTCTGTCTCTGTCCAAACAGTTGGATGCTTTGATTGCTTTCAGACTCAAAGTTATGGAGATGAACCATTCTCTCTCTGACTCAGTCTCTGTAGACATCAATACCTTAGCTTCTAAGATTGGATCATCTTCCAAGCCTGGAGAACACAGTGAGTTTCTCAGATTCTGTTTGGCTTTAACTTTGCTCTGTGAAGATTGAAAGTTTGAATCTTTAATTAAGCTTTGATTATTCAGGAGTGGCATTAGGAGATCTGATAAGAAACGAGGAAACAGGGAATAAGAATATTCTTGAGCGCATCAGGATGAACAAAACGCGGGAAACTCCTCTGTCCGCCATTAAAACAATACTCAAGGTCCAGAAGCAGGAAGAGCTCAAATTCACAAAAGATAATCTCAAGAAAGCCGAGGACCTACTTCAAATAGCGTTCATCGAGTTCTATCAGAAGCTTCGGTATGTTAAGAATTACAGCTTCTTGAACACTTTGGCGATTTCCAAGATAATGAAGAAGTATGATAAGGTACTTTCTACTCGTAATCTACAAAATTCCACTTTTTCAGGCCTAAGTTATCTGTTCTTTTTAAAATTTATTTGGTGGACTTCAAACTGTATGTCGAAATTTTATATTACCTTTTGACCATTTAGAAATTTTAAATTAGATAGTTTACAAACTTAAATCATATTAAATAAGAAAGAAGTTAATCATATATACAATAGTCCGTTGACAAAAAATATAAAGGTTGACAAAAAATTATATAATCATCCTTTTTCACATCTTTTTTGCTTTTAGATTTTCTCTACATGTTATAAATTCAAATAAATTGATAATGCGTATATATTTATTTAATTCGTATTTTTAGTTTATACTTATTAAGTTTTAGTTTAAACTTATCTGTTTTAGATTTATTTTCAATTTCTATGAATAAATAATTAACTTTAGTTTAAGAAATTGTATTATTGGAAATATTGTTGACATTTGTTTTTCTTTTTCTTTATGACCTATCTTCTCTTATAGACAGCCGCAAGAAATGCTTCGAAACTGTACATGGAAATGGTGGATAGCTCTTACCTCACTAGCTCCGATGAAGTAAGCAGATTTAAAATAAAACTCTGTCTACCAAAATCGGAAAAAATGCAACTTTAATATCAAAGCTTTAAACATCTGCAGGTTCATAAGCTGATGCTAAGAGTTGAATCTAGTCTCATTGAACATTTTTGCAATTCAAACCGGAGCCAAGGGATGAACCTCTTAAGACCAAAAGTGAACAAAGAACGTCATGGAATCACATTTTCCACTGGTATGTAATAACACTGCAATATCCAATCTTTGATATGTGTTCTTAGGAGTAATTCATCATTTTGTTCTGTTATTTTTCCTCTGTTTTCTCAGGCTTCTTTTTCGGCTGCGCTATTTCTCTCATTGTAGCTCTTGCTTTGATCATCCATGCCCGTAATATCTTGGGCACACCGGGACAAAGAACTTACATGGAAACAATGTTCCCTCTTTACAGGTAATATACAACCCAAACAGCCTCTCTCTCTCTTTGTAACATTAGTTCTTATGAGATACATTTCATTTTGCAGGTTCTTTGGGTTTGTAGTTTTGCACATGATCATGTACGCTGCTAATATCTACTTCTGGAGGCGATACCGTGTGAATTACTCCTTCATCTTTGGATTCAAACAAGGCACTGAACTTGGTTACAGACATGTTCTACTTCTCAGCTTTGGTCTTGGTACACTTTCTTTGTGTGCTGTCTTATTAAACCTTGACATGGAAATGGATTCTCAAACAAAAGACTACAGAACATTCACTGAACTTATTCCACTATTTCTCCTCGCCGTAAGCTCCTTCTCTCTCATTACAGTTTTACAACTCAATCCTTGTGTTTGATGAGATTGGTTTCACTGCACACTAATGCAGCTAGTGATGGCCATTACTCTTTGCCCCTTTAACATTTTGAACCGTTCAAGCCGATTCTTCTTCCTCGCGGTTCTGTTTCGCTGCATTGCTGCACCATTTTGCACGGTACCAACAACATCCTATGCTCCCGAGTCCACTCATCAAAAACATAAACAAAATATTAAGATAAATATCTTTCATTATTGCAGGTGAATCTTCCGGACTTTTTCTTGGCAGATCAACTAACAAGCCAGGTTCGAGAAAAAAACAATACTCAAAAACTACTTTCCTACTTATTTGATAGATGATTTCAGATGCAAAGGATCAATGTATAGGTTCAAGCATTCAGGAGTCTAGAGTTTTACATATGCTACTATGGATTTGGAGATTTCAGACAAAGAAGAGTAAACACCTGCAGATCAAACGATGTATTCACAACATTCTACTTCATTGTAGCTGTTATACCTTACTGGTTACGATTTCTTCAATGCATCCGAAGATTAATCGAAGACAAAGATCCGGGTCATGGGTACAATGCCATTAAGTATCTCTTGACCATCGTCGCTGCTTGTCTTAGAACAGCTTTTACTCTTAACAGAGGAGTTACCTGGAACATCACAGCTTGGGTTTTCTCAGGAGTTGCAACTCTTTACGCAACTTATTGGGACATTGTTGTTGACTGGGGATTGCTTCAAAGAGGATGTAAAAACACTTTCTTAAGAGAGAAGCTTCTTGTTCCTCACAAAACCGTGTACTACGCTGCAATGGTGAGCAAACAAAGAAACAATAGGAATATCCTCTGATTTTGTTTTTCCTTGCATGATGGTTAAAATTGTTGCATCATCTTCTTGGCAGGTCCTGAATGTTTTATTGAGGTTAGTGTGGTTACAAACAGTTTTGGATCTGAAATTTTCCTTCTTACATAGAGAAACTCTTGTCGCGCTTCTGGCTTGCCTCGAGATCATACGAAGGGGGATATGGAACTTCTTCAGGTAAGCTCCGAGACAGAGAAATGAATGTTGTTTCAATGGATGTATTACATAATAAAATGTTTTGAGAAGTCTTGTTGGTTTTGTTGATTAGGCTGGAGAATGAGCATTTGAACAACGTTGGGAAGTTCAGGGCGTTCAAATCTGTCCCTTTACCGTTCAACTACCAGGAAGATGTTGATCAAGACAATTAGCTTAACATGGTTTTACGAGCTTACCTTAATACACACTTAACCTAACTAGGTTACACACACAAAGTTCACATTTTTGAATACTGTATAAAAGTATGTTTAGTTTTTTTTTTTTCTCAAGAAAATATTGTTGGAAAATGCAAATACAGCCTTCCGTTATAATTGGTTTTTTTTTGGAAAGCAGGTGGTTCTCACATTGAGCTGGAAAGTCTACCTACATATGTGTTTGGTTTGCAGGAATTTTAACGCATCAACAATATTTCTAACTAAGTGGATATTTCTGTTCAACAGTCACTAGGGTTTACAATCTATATGAACAAAACCGAAAATATAAATCCAAAAACCAGGTGGGTTGATTGATTTGTGTAATCTAAGTTATCTGAATCTAAAATCCGGATTAAACAGCCATAGCAGTGACAAAAGTGGATTTCAATTTTTTTATTAGTTAAAGTTGGTAAAAAAGGTATATTTTCTAGTTCATTTGCAATGCATGAGATGACCAGTTATGGGCCTATTGAAACTTTGAATTTATGAAGGCCCAGATAACGCTTCGATTGGACAAACAAACGATCGAAATCCCTCGAAACCGCGAAATCTCGAACCGCCGATCTTAGAAACACGTTATAAAGCGTCTTCAAAAAACCCTTCGTTCTAGGGTTTTAGTCTTCATAACACAGTTGCCGCTTCGATTCGAAAGGGTTTATCGACATCTAGCCGAAAATGGTTTTCTGGGGTTAGTTTCTCTGTTTCATTGTGTTCTATGGTCTCGCCGTTTCTTCGATTTTCCCAGAAAGCGATTATTGGTTCTGATTGTGTTTTAAACATTTGCAGGACTTGAAGTGAAACCTGGGAAACCTCAATCTTATGATCCAAAAGTTGAACAAGGGAAGGTTCACGTGACCCAGGTATAAGCTTGTTCTTGTTTTATGAAATCCCCTGGAATGTAATCCAAAGGTCGAACTAAATATATATGTACATTCATTATGAATTTGATTTTGAATAGCTCGTTTAGACTGATTCGGGAGCTGTAATTGCTGATGTATGTATCTATTTCCACCATTCAGGCAACTCTAGGCCAGGGTTTGGGCAAAGGAAGCAGTGTGATTCAGTGTTCGAAAGGAGACAAAACTCCGATTTACTTGTGTTCATTGTTGCCCAACAAAACCGAATGCTGCCCTTTGAATCTTGAGTTTGATGATGATGACGAAACAGTTGAATTCTCTGTGACTGGTGACAGAAGCATTCATCTGTCTGGTTACTTGGAGGAATATGATCAGGAAGATGATGATTCGTATCCTTCCGTTGTTATTAGTTTCCTTCGCAAATGATACCTACTTTTTTTTTACTTTCTTTCTTTAATCCATCTGCTAATAATCTTGAAAGTTTTCATTGCGACAATAGTAGAGATGGAATCGATATCGGTGAAACTGAGTCAGACGAGTCGTCTGACTATGACAGTGAAGAGGAGCAGATGGATGAATTTGAGGACTTCCTTGATAGCAATCTTGAAATGTATCGGCAGTCTTCTGCCCCAAACAGCGGAGGTGCTTTCTCTATCCACAGATCTTAATCAGATTTGTAGCAAGCACTTTATAATAGTATTTTAGTACTTCACTCTTGTCTTATAATTACAAGGTTTCAAAAAGATATTGATAAGATGATGTAGCTTTTCAAACTTAACCGTGAATTTATGTGCAACGGTAGCTCCTTGGTGCTGTTCCCCTTCTACATTCGTGTTTTTAATATGCATGATTTGTTATCTTAATGTTACAACAAACTGAATGATATTTGTACTAGTTGTCATTGAGGAGATCGAAGACGAAGAGAAGCCAGCCAAAGATAATAAGGCAAAACGACCCAAGAAGAAGAGTCAAGCTAGCAAAGACGAGAACGCAAATAAACAAATCATTGTCAAAGAGAGTGCAAATGCTCCAGTCCTGGAAAGCGAGGATGAAGACGGTTTTCCCATTCCCAAAGGAGAAGCACCTGAGTCAGAGAATAGGTCTGGTGAGAAGATTAACTTAGATAGCAACAAAAAGCGGAAGGCCAAGGCTTCTGAGCAAGATGGTGTAGAAGAAAGGTACCCTTCTCTTTGATCTCTACTGACGCTGACTACATTTAGCAAACACATCATTTATTGGCAAGTATTGTAGGGAGTATAAAGTTGTTTGTAAAATTCCTTTCAGTCTAAACAAGAATAAAAAGAAGAAAAATCAGAAAGAAAAGAAGAACGTGTCAAACGAGGAAGCTGATGAACAAGTGCTTACGGGAAATGTGCTGAACAAGCAGGAAACCAGCCAAAATTCTCCAAACCCGAAAACTCAAAATGGAACTGTAGACAATGCCATGTGAGACCTCTTATTTCTTGAGTTGAAGATTTTTTTTTTTTGTTTTTTGGATAATAGAGCGTATCTATGTCATTTGTGAAATTTCAGTATAGTAAAAAATAAGTCACAAGTAAAAAAGGCTTTGTGTCATGTATACAACGGTTCTTTACGACCTTTTCTCATCTTACACACTTCTGTGTTTTTAATGAAATTGCAGGAATGAAAGCTCCAAGACCCCAAGTAAATCTGCTGAGAAGAAAAATAAGAAGAAAAACAAGAACTTAAATGGGGAAGCTACAGTGGAGAGTAAATCCGTTTCTAGTAGTGTTGAGAAACCAAAATCAGACTCAATAGAGCGGAATCAAGTGAACTCCAAGGCTTCTCAAGAACGGACATACCCAAATGGGCTCATTGTTGAAGAGTTAGCCATGGGCAAACCCGACGGCAAGAAAGCTACTCCTGGAAAACAGGTTTGCGCTCTTAATTGTCATAAAATGCATATTATTACTGGATATATGTCACGTAGATTATCCAACGAGGTGGTAGTGTGATAAGGATGTGGGTATTCAAAGAATCCACATTGGAAAACTAATGCCTTATAAAACCCAACAGTACCCAACCCCTTAAGTTGTGGTGAACTCGACCCAATGGTCTTTGTGGGCTTGGTTTGGGGACAAATCCTATTTGAGTGCATTGATGTTGTTCCTTAGCTTTGCTTTTTTTTCCCAAATATTCACAGCTCATGTGTTGTCTCCGAGTGCAGGTTAGTGTCCGCTACATTGGGAAACTTCAGAAGAATGGGAAGATCTTTGATTCCAACATTGGAAAAGCACCTTTCAAGTTCCGTCTAGGTTAGTTTTTTGATTCGATGCAAAAGAAATTGGTTGACAATTACAAAGTCTGTGACTGGTACATGATACGAATGCGCTTGTTGTAACATGCAGGTGTTGGACAAGTCATTAAGGGATGGGATGTCGGCGTTAATGGTAACCTAATCTCTTTCTGGTTTTCTTCACTTTGTTCAAAATGTGTATCTATGTCGCGTTTTGATCTCAAGTTTTTATTTTTGAAATTCCACAGGCATGCGTGTTGGTGACAAAAGAAAGCTTACAATTCCTCCAGCAATGGGGTAAATCAATTGCAAATCGTTTTGATTTATCTTTTCTTTTTCTACTCGGCTTGTTTTTGTTGATTGTGATGTTTTTGTTTTAACCTTTTGATGGGATGTTGGTTCACAGGTATGGTGCGCGTGGTGCTGGTGGCCAGATTCCTCCTAACGCTTGGCTGACGTTTGATGTCGAACTGATGGATGTTAAGTAGAACCGCTCTTGAGTTCATAGAAACCTTTCAAAGACTGAATCTATGATATGAGGATTTTTGAAGTGTATTTGTAGCTGCTAAAGATTGAATCTTTCCTCCTAACTCTTGAATCTTTTTGAGAAAAGGATTTGTGTTTCCCATTCGGGCATAACATTTGTTCTTTAAGTTGTCTTGTATTGTGACTTGTGAGAGTTTCTCAAATTTTGATGCCAATTAGCTAGTTCTCGCTTCATTGTTTTCTCTTCTTGTGGCACTTGATTTAATAACAAAAATTATAGCCATACCTACTGAAGATCTTATTACCTTGGCTTCATATACCAAATTGTTTAAAAGCTATATCCAAATTCTGAATTAATCATCCTTACTTACATCCCAATTTGAAATAGTGGAAAACCCAAACAAAGGACCAAGCAAAAAAAAAAATTCTTTTTGGAGCCATTAACGGACCGAGCAACTTCAAGCCGTAGATCTGTGTACAGATTGCATCACTCTGTTGGTATTAGGCTTTGACCAAAATCAATATCTTTTTCTTCGATAAGCCAGCTTTTTCTGTTTGCTTTTTGGGTATGGCTTTCACTTTCTAGTAATTAATTTTCACCGGCATTTCACTAGTTTACAAAACACAACCCCAACTATTTAATATAACTGTTTATCTGATTTATGATTTGCTGCATTACACGTATTACTAAAATTTGATACTATAACCGGTACAGTCATGTGCAACTGCATAAACTAATGAAGACAATGATCTTAATACTTTGATCCATGATTTAATAAAAAATGATCAATTATTCACTTGTGAAAGTCTAATCAAGGTTGTTCTACTCCAGGACAAGTCAAATCAAAGTCATTTTGGTACTGATTGAGATGACTCACTTTGACCGGTTTCTTGTTCTGCAAGTTCTTCTGACCATAGTCATACCTTTTGGCCAATAAAATTAGTGAGTATATTTGCAGGTAACTTTGGGTTTTCCGTCGCCGGTTAGTTCACATATACCGGTTAGGTCACAATTTTATGTGATATTATTGTGTTGTTTGGACTTGTAATTTCTTAGATTTGGTGTTCAATAAGTTAGTATGTGAGGGGACTGTGAGTTGTGCTTTGTTATCAATTATGAAGCGGATGTTCATCAACAAAAAAAAAAAGCAAGATGTTCTACAAGAGCTTCAACCTTCTTATTACAAATCAGCATAGATTCTACTAGAGTTTCAGAACAAGGACTGATTACATATGAAGATTTTCATCATTTTTCTTAACCTAAGAGACTCCCTCAAAAGGTTTTTATGATTTTAAAGAAACCAGAGTTTTCAGCTATTTTGCACAGAAGACACTGTGAAGCAACAAAACATAACTTTATTTTTTTTTAACCGTGATTCTCTGTATCAGAGGAGATTAAGTTGTGGTTTCGCATAGCTGAAGTGACCTTCTTAAGTATCTTTTGCCACTCTGTTTCATCCCCTGTTTCACACGATTTCCACTAAATGGTTACATTACATATACCAACTTTTCATAATACAAAAAAAGATGTGAATTTTATTAATTACCTTGGTGAGCTCCTCCATGAAGCTTCCTTCTAGCTTCTTTCAAGAAAGAGACAACTTTAGGATTCATTCGGTTATCCTCCTGTTTAAGACAAATGTCTCCAACTTTTGCAGATGTAACCTGGTTAACGAAAGGACCTTGGTTCCAGTAAAGTCTGAAATTGCATCCACACAATTCGTTCCCTTCCTCGTCTCGACCATGCTTCTCCCTCTCCACCTATCAAAAAAACGTATAAAAGAATTGAGAGTCTCAAGATTATCAAACCGGGATTTCAAGATTTTGGGTCAACTCACCTTAACAACGATGGCGTCGTAGAATTTGACTTCTCCGGTGACGGAAGGACACGTGGCGCAGACTTTGGTGCCTTCAGAGACCGTAGAGCACTCGTGGTCTTGCATCTGGACGGAAGTAGCACGGAACCTCTCCTCGAACTCTTTGATCTCGTCGGAGTTCTTGAAATCGTCCGGCGGATAAACCTCGTCGTACTCGCCGGGGAAGCCATTGAAGCTAACCACCAAAGAGTCGCACATCTCCCACACACTCACTCCATACCAAGCTTCGTCCTCCGGTGATCGGAACTCAATTTCCGGCCAGTTCTTGTTTGTCAGATGGTCGTCGGAGAAATCGCCCACGAATATCGTTGAGCTACTACCACTCTCATCAGTCATTGTAAAAAATGGGAGATTTTTTTGTCAAAAGTGATGACTATGGAGGTGGAGAGATGAGTCGATGCCATTGCCCCATGCACGTTACTTTAAAGACCCAAAAAGTAAGCTCTGTATCAATGTCATTTTCTAATGTCCGTTCGTCTTCAGTTGAAAAAGAGTTTCGAATTACGTTTTTGTCCCAGTTTTCATCGGGAAAACTGCTATTTCCTACCCGAACTATGAAAAATGGTACCGATTCATATCTGATAAATTTAAATATGTAATTTCATACCTGAACTCTTGAAAAATAAACAATACATACCTGTATTATGTATTTCTCGGCGAATATCAACATTGACCAAAAACTCGTTAGTCAATTCTCTTATTCTGTTAACGGAGAAACGGTCTGCGCCACGTTGGCTGCCCCGTTGTCACGGATTCTGAAACGATGTTGTTTTAGAATTCAACGAAGAAGAAAATCCACAGAAAACAACTTTCTCCCTTCTAAAAATGCTATCGCTTAATTCTTTTTTTTTTAACCTTGAATTTAATCAAACGACGTAGTTTTGAATTCTGAAATTCAAATTTCTTATGTTTAAAACGACATCGTTTCAGGATCCATGACAACGGAGCAGCCAATGTGGCACAAACCATTTCTACGTTAACGGAAGAAGAGAGTTGACTAACGGATTTTTGGTCAATGTTGATATTCGCCAAGAAACACATAGTACTTTGACGAATTGTCTATTTTTAAGGAGTTCATGTATAAAATTACACACTTAAATTTCTCAGATATGAATCAGTACCATTTTTCATAGTTCGGGTAGGAAATAGTCGTTTTTCCCGTTTTCATCTTTAGAAGTTCCAACGTTATAGTCTTATGAATCCGACAAAATACAAGTGATGAAATGATGGATGAGATGTTTTGCTCATGTGTTTCATTATTTGATCTTGGTGAATAAATTAAGGTTAAAGTTGATATTCCAACTAGCAGTATGCCATTATTTTCTCTAGAAATGTCTTTCAAATTACTAGAAATTTTTATCATTTAAAAATAATTCTGAATCTATTTTAAATTCCATGATTTAACCCTCTGGTATGTTCAATCTATTTCGGTGACAGACCACAAAAATTCAATTGCTCGAATACCAATGTAAGACGTTATTTAATACGAAAACATTTCAATCAAAATTCATACCTTATCTCGTTTTAGTGATGTAACTTGTCCAGGATTCATCGTAAATCGAACGTAGAGTTTGTGGAAAAGAAATCACAAACAAAAATCAATCACTTGTCACAGTGTAAGTGTTCTTCCGGTTATTTCTTCGAGCCTCTTTTTTTCTCTTTAGAAATCAAACTTCTCTCAAATTCTTATGTCTCACACATCTGAAATTCTGCAAGAAAAATATACAAAGAGATAAACAAGAGAAACTGTCATAGGAGTTAATAAAATCAGATGTTAGAAAAAAAACAAGAGAAACTGTCATGGGAATTAATGGGAAACTGTTACCACAATAACTTATCATGTGTGACTAAACAACATGAGTTTAGTGGGAAGTTACCACTGTAACTTATCCAACCACTGGTTAACTCAACCACTTACATTACATCCAACAACTTAACCAGATGTATTTTAAGAATTTCAGTGTGATATATATGTGTGAATATTTTTAAATTGGAAAAGCAAAGTGAACTTTCTTGAAGAAGAGTTTTTGCAATCGTGAGTTTGTTTCTAACATATTGATACTACAACAATCACAAGAGGAAAGAACCTAAAAGATAGGAGCTTCTAAACATTCTGTGTTAACAATCAACCAAAATCTGAAAACCCATCACCACCCTAACAAATCCGTGAAAAAGAAACAGCACGATCATCATCAGCTCGGTATCTCATTCTCAGATTGGCTATCCCCTCCAAACTCTTCGTCCTCACCTTCTAATTCATCGTCATCTTCTTCATCCTCCTCGCCTTCATCTTCTCCCCCATTTCCTCCTGCTCCTCCCGGGATAGAAGAGAAGGGATCCTTGGCGTGGTTAACCGAGTTTGTGTAATAACTGTGAACCGCACTAGGTGTGTTCTCATGCTGGTATGAAGCAGTTGGTGCAGGAATAACAACAGACTTGTTGAGCCTCTCGAATCTTGCCTTCCGTTCTTCTGCTGTGATGTTAAAGGAGATGGAAGATGGTTGAGCACCGAATCTTTGCCGTCTTTCTTTTGCTAGCTGCAGCTGCGACTGCTCCTGACCCGCTATAAAGGTCCCTACCATTACCTGTAAATAAATCGATTTCAGAACACAAGAAACTCATGTTCCAAGACCACATTAGATCTGGACGTTTGAACCAACCTGGACAGGACCAGCAGCAAGAAATAGACCAGCGAGTCCTCCACCAAAGACACGACCGTCTGGTCCTGCTAGGCAAACACTCATACCACCAGCTCTACTTCGAGTTCCTCCAGAGTCGTTTTGCATAAATGAACCCGTCAAAGAGAGAATCTCAAAACGACCCTGATCACAATAACATACACAACCCAAATACATTTGAAGGAAACCCAATAGAGAGAAGTTCATTATTCATATATCTATATATATATATGACAAGAGAGAGAGAGAGTATTCAGACCTCATAAGTTAGAGTACCACCAGATGTCATAGATTGACGAAGCGTAACATTGGAGATGGGACCATTTGCTGAGAGGATGCAGATAGCACGAGATCCTTGTTGAGAGAAGGTCATTATCTTCATTGTCACATCCTGCACAAAATCCATGTGTCAAGAGATCAGCTAATGAATTGATCATAGTTAGGATATTTGAAGTGTGAACCACAATGCCTATGACTATGATCATATCACAGACGAATATTCAGAAAACCCTACCTCTCCAGCGTTTACAGTGAGCACATGAGGTGTAAAGTTCGCGCCAACAAAATCAGCAGCAGTTCCTACACCTGCAAAATTGGTATCAACTGAATCCAGAGAAGTCAAAATCAGAGCTGAGACAACAAAGCTTTAAGATATTCATTGGCACAATGAAATGCGATGTTATGAATTCATGTAACAAACACAAGACGAGGATTTCTCTTAATCGGAGCTGTATTCACTTTTCACTCTAACTGTGGAAATTTTTGGGAAATGTTGTGATGTTTCTGTTCGAATACTTCCCTAAAGTCGTAGCCTTTACTTTCTCTTCACTATGACTTGTGACTCAAAAGTTCACTTCTTATTCTAACATCGTTCGAGTCAAACCAAAGGCAGACCCGTATAGATCCATATGAATCAAGTAACTAACAAAACTGCTACATTTCTAATTTTGAACAGACAACCATCGAAGGTTCCAAAGAGTTTGTCAAAGCATGAGAGAGATTACCAGGACTTCTGTCGAATTGGAACATTTGGGACTTCTTGAGCCATCGATTGGACTTGCCGCGTCCTCTTCCTCGTTTTCGAGGAGGAAACTCCGACGACAGTGGAACGGAGGAGGAGATTGGCATCGGCGAGAGAGTCACCGCGAGAGTCCCGTCGGGATTATACTTTCTCGGCCTTCCTCTCTTCTTTTTCAGCTCGGAAGAAGCGGTCTCCGGCTGCATTGTTAAGCTGAACGGAGGAGCCGCATTTTCAGCCACGGCGGCGGCGGAAGAAGTGATGGGTGGGGCCGAAAACGGGTTAGGGTTATCGGGTCGTGGTGGGTCCATTGGGTAAGCATCAGAAGGAGCAGCTTCATGTTGTTGCTTCAATCCAAAACTGGAAGAGTTGTTGTTGTTGGTTCCTTCTCTCTCCTCCATACGGACATAGATCAGTGATTCTTGTAGGGAGAGATTCCGACAAGTGAGTAGAGCCCAGATAAAATTTCAAGATCCCTCTGAATCTTTGTGATCACAAAAGATTAAAGCTTGTTCTACAAACTGTGTAAAGTTAAGATTCAGAGATGAGAAATAAAAACAAGATGAGATTTGCAGGAGAAATGTTTTTGGAGAAGGAGGAAGATCAGTAGTAGCTTAGGACAGAGAAAAAAACAGAGCTTCCATGGGAGGAATCAATCTTAATTTCAGAAAATTCGACCTAAAACATCCATAATTATAAGCAAAGAAGAAAGATCTAATTTTTTTTTTTCTAAGTGGGTGGTTTAAGTTGGGGGAGAAATTTCTCAACGGGTGAGGTGAAATTAGGGTTTTGGCAAGAATAATGTAAGGAGAAAAAGAAAAAAAAAACCAGATAGATATTATAATTTTATTATCAAGAAAAAGAAAGAGAGAAAGAGAAACAAGGAAAATGTGTAACTGTAGATTTATATGATAATCTAAAAAAATCAACACTTAATTCGAAACCTGGTTAAGGGAAAACTGTTCCGGTCTGGTAATCTTGGTTGATATAAGTTTATACTACTATAGCATAAGATAAAGTAACTTGGTTATGGACCAAACAAATGGTTTGGTTAGTCAACTAATGGTTTTGTATTTACTTAAATTGTAGTAATTTTTTCCATCGGGGGATATATTAAAAAAAAGGAAATAAAAGAGCTGTAAAGCAAATGAGCAAACGTAACGTTTGAGCCATGCCAAATTGCTTTTTTTTTTTTGGCCTACAACCCTATATAATAAACATTAAGACAGAGACATATCACTTTGGTCTAATCTCGTTGACTAAACATAAAAAGTTTGACTAAAATTCCTCCCTAACTCCCACAAACTCTGGTCCTCTCTCAAACATACGGACTGGGCCTGTCAGAATCCATTTTCACACGTCTATGAATGATGATTGATGGTTTACATCATCTCAAGTTTGACTTGATTAATATCATTAAGTTGATGATATAATGCCAAAAACGGTTTATCCTCAATTGCTTCAGTACTGTATCATCCTACTGAATGTTTTTTTTTCTCTTCAAATCTAAATTGTCTACAATGTATTTGCCAAGTAATTATTGTTAGCCTTTCCTTTGTATACAAGTATAGTTTGTATTTTTTTTTATATCTTTAAAATGAAGCATATGAGATATTGAAATGTAAAAAGTTTTAAAATATTGTTCAACTGGTCTAACATTTTTTTGGTAGATGAATGAATCGTTATTCCTTTTTATCCATATTATATCTCAACTGGCAGTGCCGTATTAACACATTTAGACACCCAAAACAGTTATTGTGGTATTATTTTAAATAATGTGTATAATTTTTTTGTTAAAAAACCAGGATTTGAACATTTAAACTACCATTTCACAACTTTATAGAAATCATGAACACAAAGTCTTATATGAAACTACCAAGAAAACCCTGAACCCGCAGAAGTCAACTCAACGAACATGGCTACCAAAAATGTGCCCTAAAAATTTAAACTATAAATGTGGGCAAAGGCCATTGCCTATTTTCCACTATGGTCACCTCTCTTGGCTCCTCTGTCTTCTGATTCTACAACTAGTTTTGTGGTTTTCTCATTGACTTGAACGTAAAATAATTGTTTTGGAGAATTCTTATTATTTGTTCTCTCCCAAAAATCATCATGGTTTTGCAAGAGTTTTATGATTAAGTTTTTAGCCCAACCACAATCAGCATTCGAGTGTATATATATAGTGGGTATCAGGGTATCATGAAAGTTTTACTCGTCTCTTAGAAAGATGCATTTTCTTACAAAACCATACTGCTACATTCAGAATATTTATTATATTTTTTTTTGGTTGATAAAATACATTCAGAATATTGACCTGATAAACAGACTTTTTAAATCTCTTATTGGTCGATTTGTATTCAGGAGCTCACTTAAATCTAATATTTGTTCTAAACTGAAACAAACTTTTTATCAAATCAAGTAATCAATTCCTCAATACAATTGCATTATTTATCCTTCACTAGAAGATTACAAGTAGCTGAAACTAATCAGTACTAGTACAGTTATCCAAAACCGCATAATAAGCCGACAAAGAAGCTCACTAAAATCTAGCAAAACCGTTTTTTATAATTAAATTGATGTATTTTTGTGAGTTTAAAAAGAAAAATAAAAAAATAAAAGAATATGGGCTTTTCTTTTGCTAAAATGGAAAAAGGCCCTAAATCTAAACCCGAGTACAACTAGCTGACCCGTTTCCAGATCCATTTCTTCTTCCCGCATTGAGCAGACACGATGAGCACGAAGATGGAAGACTCTTCAGCTGTGCGGCGGCGCGTATCCTGCACCAAATGCTTCGACGCTCTCTGGTTCTGTTACTGTATGTCTTGTTTTACCCCCTTGTCTGATCTCATTTCTCTGATTTTACATCTTCGATTTTCTCTCCTGCAAAAATCTATATTCCCTCTCCTCTCAACAACTTTCGCTACTGGTTCCAATGGGAATTTTTTCTTCCAAGGGTTATTTCATTGAGCAATCAAAATTTGAGCTTGATTGAGATTTGATCCATCCGCTAGAAATTTGTAGTTTAGAAATGGTTTAGTTTTACACCAAAAAATGGGAATTTCGTATTTGAAAGATCTCTCAAATCACTTCCACAATATATGTTTTGTTGAAGGGATGTCTAGATGGTCCAACAAAACCAGCAATGGCGATGAGACAGGACAAGGTTGGGTTTTGAAAAAATGGATTAGTCTTTGAAGTATTTAGCGAGCTGTACCGCTTTGTATCATTCTATGAGAACATGTATCACTGATACAATTCTACAAGATATGGGCTTTTTTTTTATCTAGGATTCTTTTTTTTTTTTGCGTTCTGTTCTCCTTTACTTTATGTTTTTGCTGTTTATGTTGAATTCATCTCACCTAATGATGTTGTCTTGGCTCCATTTGACCTAAGGATTAACTCAGAGTATCTCTTCGCAGCTCCATTTTACCAAATGCAGCAGTATTACCGGGTTGGAAAACTTGATGATTGTACTCAGAAGTTCTCTGATCTCTTTGATTGTCTTTCATTAAAGACAAAAAGTGCTTCGGAAGCCCAGGTTTGTACATTCTTTGATCTTACTGTTTGTTCATTCTTCATTTCGTTTGTCTACTCGAGAGGAATAAACATTAGCATCATCTATCGGATATCACATAGACTAGATAACCTCAAACGACTATTGCCTTGGAGTTCTGTGATACACACCTCTTTTTCAATTCTGTTTTTCTTGGAGTAAGATAAAAATGGAAACATTGTTCTTCTTCACCATATCCAATATTACATAAAAACATTGGTTAAGTTTCGACTGTTTATGTATATATGAATATCTGTTAGGTTCCAAGTTATTAAAGGTTTGACAATTGCAGAAAATTCTGGAAGAGCGAGATAAAACAGATGCAGCCAAACATATCTGGATTATACGGACACAGGAAGAAGCGTCAATTCATTGGAACGAGACTTTTGGGCATTTGGATGATCCAAATTGTTAGAAGTACATGCACTTTCACATTCTCTACTGGATTCTTGATGGACAATTTTTACTTCCAAGAAACTCGATTTCTGCTAGAGATCTGCAGGTTGTTCTGCCGGATAGATTATAGAACAAGCTTTTGTCATCGGTTAAGATGAACATTTTGAGTTAAGTTTATGCCTCAATCTCCAAAGCAGCGCATCCGGAAAGATAGAAGGATATTTAGAGGTCATTTATTGGACCGTGGATGTATTTGGTTGATTTGTAACAACAGCAAAAAAGAATACATTGCTGAATAAAATCTTACATCTGTTACAGAAAGGTTCCTTGTTTTATTCCTTTATTAATAAAGTTCGAAATACAGTATAAGAAACATACCCATGTTTTTTGTTTTTTTTTTCAAAGAAGAAAACTTCTGTGGTTTTTCCTCTAGATTCTCATATCATCGAGGTAAGCTTTTCCATTAAGCTCACGGGAGAAGAAGCCCTTTAAATACTCTTCACTGGTAACGCTTCTGAAAAATGCAGCCTTTTTCCTTTCAACGAAACTTTTTAGTGGACCAATTTCTTTACCCATTCCCGTGTTGTGAAATGTTGCCACAGATAGCCTCTCTTTCTCTGAGTTCACAACCCCACGATGCTCTATACTTCGGTATGTCCCATTCGTTATGATCTACATTGATTATACCATCATCAGAACCATTTAACAATATGATACCAGTTGTGTATGCTCTCTGGTCCATATAACATACCTCTAAGATGTCTCCAACATTGACAATGAATGCATTTGGGAGAGGTTTGACAGAGACCCACTTGCCGTTTTTCTTGATTTGTAGACCTTCCACTTCATTAACCTGCAACAGTATGGTGAGTCCAGTAGAATCAGAATGCGGAGTCAGACCAATAACCTGATCGGGCTCTGGACAAGGTGGGTAGTAATTTATCCTTATTCTCTGTTCTAACTCATCATCAAAAAGCTTTTCCATTTCCTCGGGCTTGATCTTCAAGGCTATGGCCATCTTCTCAAATAAGATCCTAGCTATGCTTTTCACTTCAGCGGAATACGAGTCCAGTGTATCTCTGAAGAAACATGGACAATAATTTATAAACAGAGAAGACTTATGTGGAGCTGGTAAGAATTTCCTTTAATTACACATGTAAAGCAAACCTAAAGGGAAGAGGTATCTTGGGGAACAAGTCACGTAATCCAACTGGTTGCATTGCAACGTAGAACATGTCTGCCCAATCGAGTTTCTGCTCTTCTGAAACCACAAAAACCTGTCCAAACCCTTCCATGTTCTCAGGTTGTTGCCAAAGCTTCTTCTTCTCTTCCATAGGAAGGTTGAACAAATCTTGAATCTCGGACTTGATTTTATCCAAGAAGCCTGAGTCCATTCCATGGTTTACAAGCTGGAGATAGTCATAAACACAATGATAAGATTTGAAATCTACAAGCTGAAATACTCTTAACCAAAAAAAAAGAAAGAAGAAGATAGGTTTGTTTTCTACAGAATGAATTATAAACGGGGAAATTTCGATAAATAGAAAATAGTCAAGTTTGTTTGACTTAGGAGACTTGCCTGGAAAAATCCCCATTCTTTGCAAGCGAAGTCGAGCTTGTCAATCTCAGAATCCATGGTGGTTGAAGAACACAAACGATTCATGTCGATGACTGGGATCTTGGTGTTTAAGTCAACGTCGATCTCAGCTTTGTCTAGATCAGACCGTACATACCTGGGAGGAACCGTCTTGATCATCTTCTCCTTGACCATCTCTTGAACAGAAGGAACGATAATAGAGCTAAGCTGGCTTGCTCCCTTGGCTTCCATGGCCGCTTCTTCTTGTAAGGAAGAAAAAAGTTAATAATGTCAAATATAATCTAACGATTTATTTGGAGACTATTGTTTTTCTAGTTAGAGCATATGACGGATAAGTGCAATGTCTACAAGTATTTATATGCTTTTAGATGTGAGAAATGGAAAACAGTATAATTCTTTATTGACAATATTGCTGGCTGCTGCCTGCTGGCTGCTGGCTGCTGGCTGCTGGCTGCTGGCTGCTGCCACTCGTTACGTGTGTGTTTACGTTAGAATATAAACGCTGTAAATTTATAAGTTTATTTGATGTCATCTTTTTGGGTTTGTAGAGCAAGATATAGCTACTTTTCAATATGCTTTTAAGATTTGGTCAAATTTGGAGGGATCTTTAAAAGTTTTAGGTTAGGATAAGACTTAGCACATGGACCTGGACGACCGTAATCCATTTTGTTTTATAAACTCGTTTTTTTTTTGGATTCCAATGCGCGCCATGGATTTTTTGAAGATTTGAACTAATAATAATTTACAAAAATTTGCACTAATCCATTTTGTTTAGTAAAATTGTTTATCATTAAGGCTTTGATTGGTAATTTACGAACCGTGTAATTGCACTTTAAAACACAACTAGATTCTAACCCCGTGCATCCGCACAGGAATATTTTTTATTGTTTAACGAATTTTGTAATATAATTTGTGTTTTTGAGTCTAGATATAATTATTTTTATAAATATATTTTTTAATAAGTGAAAATAATGATTTTTGTGTTTAGATATATTTTTATAATATTAAAATTAAAATTTTAACCTGTCCGCTAATATTAATTCAAAATGAACTATTATAAAAACATAAATATAACTTTTCCGTTCATATTACCGTATAATATAAATATTTGTTAAAAGTTTGAGATGTATTAACAGTATTATTTAGCATTATAGTTTTCTAAAATTTAATCAACGAAGGGAGTGTACAACTGGTTTTTTAAACCACATTATAGTGTATGCAATAATTTTTAATTTTTTATGTTTTGATTTTGTATGAAAAATATATTTTCGATATACATGTATAATTCAAAATTAGTGATTTTAGTTACCAAAATATTTTTAACCCGATTTTTTATATATATTTTTAGTTCTATGAATTTTAAAAAATATATTTTTAATATTTAAATTATACATTTAAATTTACCTATTATTTTATTATTAATTTGTAAATAAATCATAATCGTAAATATATTACATCAGCAACATAAATATCATATCATTTACATCATTACAAATATTTTATATTTCAAATATGACCATTATTTTTCATATGTGAATTTTTTTTTTTCAAAAATTCTAGATATTTTTGATAAAAATGTTTAATAGTATAGAAATTATTTAAATTAGAATCTTTAAATCAAATTTAAATTAATATCTGATTTATTATTTGTAATCAAATCAAATTAAATCTAAATTTCCTATATTTAAGGAACTCTAAAAATATTTAAATTGATAACTAATTTTCGAAATTAAATATAAATAATTATTAAAATTATTTTTAAACACTTAAAAAAAATTAGGAGTGTTTGGAAGCAAGTACTAAATGTGCTTCTGTTCTAATATAATAGATTCCATAGATTTTTTTGCCAATCAACAAAAATCCACGGAATGAAAAAATACACACAAAAACGTATATTGTCTTAAAAAATAAAAAAAAAACATTTTTAAGCTTTGATTGGTAATCTTACGGAATGACGAAAAAAATATTGCGGAATAGATTCTACGAAATGGTTTTTCCTTTGTATTTGCTATAAGCAAAAACACAATTTTATTCTGTAGATTTTTGTTGATTAACAAAAAACTGGGAATTGTATTTAAAAACGCAATTTAGCTTAGCCTAAAATTCCCTTTTGCTGGAAGAAGGGAGCAGTAAGTGAAACTACGTCGTTTCGAGCGTTGGGTGTTTCTTCCTCTGTGGTCCCTTCACCACACAGTTTCAGTGAGTCTTCTCCACCACAATTTTCACTCTCTCCCTCTCTGCTTCGAGTTCATGGAAACTACTAATCCACTGATTCTGCTCTTCCCGCGTACTCATGGCGTCGCTCCATCTCCCTCATTTCCTGCCTCACCATCTCCGGCGGAATCACTTCCCCGCCGATTATCGTAGGAACCGATGCAGATGTTGTTTGTCTTCGGCTGCGACTGAAGGTTCCACGGCGGTTGTGTGGTTCAAGCATGACCTTCGTGTTGATGATCATCCTGGCCTCCTCGCCGCGTCCAAGTACAGAGCTGTCATACCTCTCTACGTCCTCGATCGCCGTATTCTATCGCGTAAGTTCAAACCCACTTCACCAAATGTTAGATCGATTAGCGGAACGTATTCGATTTCTCTGGAAGCTTCAAGCGGCACATTGTGCCCCTTATCGTTGGCCAGGTTACTTGTGCTTGCTAGATGTCTTAGTTGATGAACCCCTACTTCGTTTTAGATTGTATGAGAGTGGAATGGTTTCCGTTTTAAGCAGCTAGGATCCCAAAGCCAGAATCCTCCATTTCTTCAATTGTGTATCTGATCCAACAGCTTATCTGTAGGATACACAACGGACACCCTTGAACTAGCTATTATAGCCTTGGAAGAGCTAAGAAAATCATTGAGGAAGCAAGGATCTAATCTTATGCTCAGATACGGGAACGCAGAAAATGTCATTGAAGATCTCGTCAATGAGGTAACTTCACTTCATGGGTATAGTTGAGCATTTTCAACAATTTTCAGCCAAGATAAGTATTTGTCACAGCACGTACTGGACTGTAACAGGTCCGAGCTCCCTTTGTCTTTGTGGAAGAAGAGGTAGAATACCACTTGTGTGAGGTTTTGGATGCTGTGAAGAATAAAATGGAAGGCGTTTCTTTTCTTGGAGAACCACCGAGAATTGTTGTTTGGCGGACTCCTTTTTATGAGACTCAAGTAATGTATATGATTCTCTTGCAATCTCAGTTTCTTCATTGAGATTCGGAACCACTTACGTATATGACACATTTTTGGTCCTCCAGAATTTGACGAATCTGCCACAATCTTGGGAAGAGTTTAAGAAACTAAAGCTGCCTCTCACTTTGCCTGCTCCTGCAGCAATATTTTCATCTCCGGGAAGTGAATTGCAGTGGGGTAAGCTTTTCTTCAAGAGTCATGGAGTTGGATCTCGTGCTTGAGTAGTTCCTGAGATATCTGATTTGTGACTCTTTTAACGCTATGCAAATGGTAAATGAAACATGCGCCAGGTTCTGTGCCAACACTCGATGACCTGAAGGATTACATGAAGGAAATCTTATGTGAAAAAGAAAATAGCTGGAGGGAAATTTCACAGGCATCTGTCGAAAGAGTATTAATGGAAAAAACTGGTAACTTGAAGGGGAGCGGTTCTGATCGAGTTCTTGATGGAAACTTAAGGAAGAAGGTGCACAACTCTGCTTTTGTCACAAGAAAAAGAGATATTGTTGGAGGTGGAACTGAGGTTGTACTGAATGCACTAGCAGGATACTTGAGATACTTAGAGGGTACAAGTCGAGATGACTGGCAAGAGTACGTGGGTGTTCTCAAAATCTGATGCTATTATCCGTTCCCATATCATATAAAAGTTTTCGTATGGAGTGAATCTGGGTAGATCTTATGTCTTGTTGAAGAGTGATCGGTGTTGGTTTTGATATTAACTAGGGTTCATGCAAGGCTTCGTGATGCTGAGATTAGGCCTGGAGCTTCATTTTTCAAACTTTTTGGACCTGCCCTCTGTCTTGGTATTGTATCCAGAAGAAGGGTTCACTATGATGCAATCGAGTACGAAAAAGAAAGGAATGCTGGATTTATTTCTCCATTTGGATATTCAGCTGCTACAGTATCTGCTGCAACTGATGCTGTGTGCTCTATGGAGGTACAAGAGTCACATGTGTGATTTCTCTATGCTTTCACGCTCTTTTCCAAAATATGATTTTTTTTTTTTTCATTGTGCCAGTGGTATTCACTTTTGGCTCTAAATAAAGAGAGGATTGATGAAAAAAAGCGCTCTATAAGGATTTGGAGATGGAAGGGTTATCTTATTCAGGTTCTGTTATTTACTCATATATCTCCAATGGTCTTCATTGGTCATTTTTATAACGCGCTTCTTGATCCCTTTTTATCGGTTTATTGAAATTTAAATAGGATCACCTCCTTGTTTTTCAGTACACAGTGGTTGGCAATGAAGGCCCTGCCGTTCTCCTTGTGCATGGCTTTGGTGCTTTTCTGGAGCATTACCGTGACAATATAGACAGCATCGTAAATAGCAAAAACCGAGTATGGACAATCACACTCTTGGGTTTCGGAAAATCAGAAAAGCCGAATATCATTTACACCGAGCTTTTATGGGCTGAAATGCTGCGGGACTTTATGATTGAAGTAGTTGGCGAACCAGCACATTGCGTTGGGAACTCGATCGGTGGTATGCATCCTAAGTTACTGAGCTGTAAATTGTAACATATGCGTATAAATGGCACAAAGAATTTATGATACTCATATAATTGTGTCCGCATGTTTTATCTTTATCAGGGTATTTCGTTGCACTAATGGTCTTTTTTTGGCCTTCCTTGGTTAAGTCCGCTGTCCTTGTTAACAATGCTGGCAATGTGATTCCTGGATACTCTCCTCTCCCAATCTCTAGAGTATGTATTTCAGATTATTTGGAAAATAGAAGAGTTTGGGCTCGGAAATTCACCTAGTTGTCTCGCACATCTTACCATTTTTTTTTTTCCAGGAAAGGCGAGTTCCATTAGGCGCACAGCTGGGTGCTCGTCTTCTTCTCTTGTTCCTACAGTTCAACGTCAAAAAGCTATTAAAGGATTGTTATCCAGTTGTAAGTAATATGAAGATATAATTGCTCATTATTTTGCCAGGCTCCTAACCCAACTGCTTGTTTATGATGCAGAAACCTGAGAGAGCTGATGATTTTCTGATCACTGAAATGCTAAGAGCAGTATCCTTTTGTTTGCATTTTATTTGCATTGGTTGATCCACGATCTACAAGTAAAATATTGATGATAGATTACTGGCATTACCTTAAAACACACAACAGTCCCGAGACCCCGGTGTAGTTAAGGTCCTGGAAAGTATCTTCGGCTTTGATCTTTCGCTTCCTTTGAATTATCTCCTCAAAGGGTTTGAGGGAAAAACTCTAGTCATACAGGTATCAAGATTTCAAACATTATGATCCTCAATTGACCAAAAAAAAAAAACATTATGATCCTCATTCTAACTTCTATTAAGAATTACATGATCAATGTTCATTAGTTGCATTCGTGTATTAGGGAATGAAAGATCCTATTTCGGATCCGCAGAAGAAAGTGGCCTTATTGAAAGAGCTTTGCCCAGCAATGGTGGTTAAGAAAGTTAATGCGGGTAAAATAAACTAACTGCTAAAACTCCTGTTTATCTCTATAAGTGTATATCATTCTTGTTTAAGTCTCATTTGCAAGTACAGGTCACTGTCCCCACGATGAGATCCCAGAGGAGGTGAATCCGATTATCTGCGAATGGATAGCGAAAGTCGCAAGTGATGAACAAGCACTGAGTAAAGAAAACTAAGGATTTGGTAAGCAGAAAGCAGTTTCTAAGATGGTATAGTTAGGTTGTGTCGGGGCCTTGGAATGCAAAATGTTCATAACTAGTTAAGAAGCAATTTAAAGGAACCGTTAGATTTTCAATCTGACTGTATACAATATGATTCTTTGTTTATCTTCATGAAGATATTTACAAGCTTTTGGTAAGCCCAAGTTTCTATTACTACTGAGAACTAGCGAAACTGAAACTACTGAAAATTGCATTTTTATATGGTTTGTTTCATTTACTTGTGAAAGTACGTGCTGTTTTGGGAGGCCAAAAACAACAAAGCGTTCTGGATATATTGAAATGGAAGACTGCACGTTTGCTTTCGCTTGGGTTCCATTTTCAGTCTTTGTCAAAACTCAAAAGAAAACTTTCTGACCTATTCTTATTTTTAACTTAAAATTTCGCTGAAACACAAACATTAAAATCCCACAGAAACGGTGTCGCGAGTACGTTGAATAATTATTTTTGGCGCACTGCTCCTCATTATTTTATTCTCCTTGATCTGTTTTTCGACGATATTCTTGCTGGAATCTGAAAAAATCCAAAGTCCGAAATCGAAACCCCGAAATAAAGGAAATTGCAGAGAAGTGAAGGACGAAGACGAAGAAGAAGGCGAAGAAGAAGTGAGCAAGATGTGGAGACGCGTGGCTTCACTTTCTCCGATGATTTCTTCATCATCCCGATCCCTTTCGCTTAACCAGGTGCGACGTTTCCCTCTTCGTTTTTCAATCCCAATCGCTTTTTCTTTTCCTTTCTCCAGGCGTTATGAAATCATTGTCTGTTCCCTCGCTTGAATATTTTGATTTTGTGGATTTAACTAGTTCGTTACTCATTTTCTTAAAATTCCAGGCAGCTTCAGGGCTCAAAGTTGGAGAATCTTTTGCAACGGAGATAATTAACCCGGTATATATATTGGGAAAAGCTCGATCAATCTGCTCGTTAATTTGTTTTTTCGTGTTTAAATTTGTTTATACTTTATATGTCGTAGGACGAACGCGTTTTGGCGTCGAAGGAGAAAGCTCCATTCATTACATTCGTACTAGGTGAGTTTTCGATTCTGGTGTTTGATACGTTGGAACGTAGGAGTTGGATCTATCTGGGTTTCTATTTGAGTTTCCTCTGAAATTTTGCAAATGATAAACTCTCATTTGTTCGTCAATCAAGGGCGCACGTTTTGTTGTTCCATTCATGTAAAGATAATGGACATTTTCTCATTCGAGTCACACTTCTATCATGTTGAATTCAGTCTGATTGGATTTAAACTCTCAGGAGGTCCTGGAAGTGGAAAAGGTACACAATGTGAAAAGATTGTTGAGACATTTGGATTGACTCATCTTAGTGCTGGAGATTTGCTCAGGAGAGAAATCTCATTGAACACTAAAAATGGGTAGGACAATGAAGTTTCCAGTGTATTTTGCTAAAAAAGCCTTCAAAAGTTTGTGGTCGTATCTCATGATGGTGAATCTCATTTTCAGGGCTATGATTCTGAACTTGATTAAAGATGGGAAAATTGTTCCTTCAGAAGTTACAGTAAAACTAATACAGAAAGAGCTGGAGTCGAGTGACAGTTGCAAGTTTCTCATTGATGGGTTTCCACGAACTGAGGAGAATCGTGTTGCATTTGAGCGCATAGTGAGTAGCGTAGCATCATCTCAGTCTGTGTTCTTCCCTTCTTTTACATGGGAATATTCTCGAAACAAAGCTTTGAACATGAATTAGCTCCCTGAAATTATTGCAGATAGGAGCCGACCCGAATGTAGTGCTGTTCTTCGATTGCCCCGAAGAAGAGATGGTGAAACGGGTCTTGAATCGTAATCAGGTGCTTTTCTAAACGTATTTCCACTGTCAAGTTTTTCAGTCAAGAGTGTGCCATGAAACCGAATCCTTGCTGTTGCAGGGCCGAGTTGATGATAATATAACTACGATGAAGAAGCGTCTGAAAATCTTTGAAGCCTTGAATCGTCCTGTTATCGAGTACTACAAAAATAAAGGAAAACTCTACACTGTGAGTTCTTTGCAAACATTTATGACTTCTTCTTCGTAGAAGGTTGGAGAAGCTGTTGATAATGTCTTCATTAATTCATCTTTGGTGCAGATTAATGCAGTAGGAACAGTAGATGACATATTTCAACAAGTTCTACCTATTTTCACTCCGTTTGAGGTACACTATACCTCTCTCTCTCTCTTTCAATTCAAAATGTCTTTCTTCTCTGCATCATCCATACATTATTATGCATTATATACCCCTGTGCTCTCTGCAACGAAATCATGACTTGTATGCCTTGAGAATTTCTGCTGTTACAGTACTTGCACAATCCATTCTGCGCACAGCTCAATCAATGTTTTGAGTACAGCAAGATTTGTGAGTGTCTAACACCTGTAATTTTTGTGCGCAGCAATTGAAGCAGAGTCGGCATGTAAATTCAAAGTCTCCTCTTGGCTCGAATTTGGTAGAAAATTAACAAAAGACAGCCAGTCTGAAATTTGTTCATTACTCTTGAATTTTGGTGCACTAATCACTATGCAATGTATTGCATCGTTTTGTTTGTTATACCATAACCCAAAAACACAGAAGGAAAAAAAAAACCATGTAATTTTTAGTATCTATTAATATTCTCATAAGCTCTGCTTCCCTCCATAACTCCTTTTATCGAGAACAAAACAAAGTAAAAGAGAAGATGGTGAGTATTGTACAACCAAGCTTTTGTTATCCTTCTGTGTCGTCTTCTTCAATGAAAAAGAAACCCAGACATTACGAACAGTTGAAGCAAAAACAAATTCAAGACAACAATGGTTTCACTTCCCTTTCCTTCACTAAACCATCTCCCATTCCCATCCTGATCGGAAAACAATCGATTCACCGGACCCAACTCGAAGCCTTAAGCTCCGTCATCACAGACCTCGAAACCTCAGCTCGAAAAGGCATCACAATCAGCGAACCAGAGATTTTCGCCTCTCTTCTCGAGACATGTTACAGCTTAAGAGCCATTGACCTTGGCGTTAGAGTTCACCGTCTTATACCTGTGCACCTCTTGCGCAATAACCTGGGGATTTCGTCGAAGCTTGTTAGGCTCTACGCGTCTTGTGGCTACGCGGAGGTTGCACACGAGGTGTTCGATCGAATGTCCAAGAGAAAATCATCGGCTTTTGCTTGGAACTCTCTTATCTCTGGCTACGCGGAATCGGGTCAGTACGAAGACGCCATGGCTCTCTACTTTCAGATGGCTGAAGAAGGCGTAAAACCAGACCGGTTCACTTTCCCACGCGTCCTTAAGGCTTGTGGAGGAATTGGGTCTATTCAGATCGGAGAAGCAATTCACCGTGATTTGGTCAAGCAAGGTTATGGATACGATGTCTATGTGCTTAACGCTCTTGTTGATATGTATGCAAAATGTGGCGACATTGTTAAAGGAAGGAATGTTTTCGACATGATTCCTAACAAAGACTACGTTTCTTGGAACTCCATGTTGACTAGTTACCTTCATCATGGCTTGTTACAAGAGGCTATGCACATTTTTCGTCTTATGGTTCAAGATGGGATTGAGCCTGATAAGGTTGCTATATCCAGTGTTCTAGCTCGCGTTTTGTCTTTCAAACATGGACGTCAACTACATGGATGGGCAATTAGGCGAGGAATGGAGTGCGAGCTATCCGTTGTGAATGCTTTGATTGTTCTATATTCCAAAAGGGGACAATTGAGTCAAGCCTGCTTCATATTCGATCAGATGCTAGAGAGAGATATCGTATCTTGGAATGCTATTATCTCTGCTCATTCGAAAGATTCTAATGGTTTGAAGTATTTTGAGCAGATGCAACGTGCTAATGCTAGACCTGATGTTATCACGTTTGTCTCGGTTCTGTCTCTCTGTGCTAATACAGGAATGGTCGAAGATGGAGAGAGACTATTCTCTTTGATGTCGGAGGGATATGGGATAAGCCCGAGAATGGAACACTATGCTTGTATGGTGAATCTCTACGGAAGAGCAGGGATGATGGAAGAGGCCTACTCAATGATTGTTCAAGAGATGGGGTTTGAGGCTGGTCCAACTGTTTGGGGTGCTTTGTTATACGCTTGTTACCTCCATGGAAATGCAGATATAGGAGAGGTTGCTGCTCAACGTCTTTTCGAGTTGGAACCTGATAACGAGCACAATTTCGAGCTGTTGATGAGAATTTATAGCAAGGCAAAGAGGGCAGAGGATGTTGAGAGAGTAAGGCAGATGATGGTAGATCGAGGATTAGAGGCATAAAAACTGGGGTTATATTCGAAGGTACATACTGAGTTTATCTTACTTAAATCAGATTATGCCATATTATTATTATGCTGAGTAATCTTACACACACATTTGACTTCATCGAGAAAAGAATCACATGACATGTGTGAACGCGTCTGATTGGTTAGCTGTTAGAAGTGATTTCGGATGTCTAGATTCTCGTGGGATGTCTTTTTGCAAGATTTGACTTAAAAACCAGTGTCTTCACTAGATTAAACTTTTTCCCGCTGCATTATTCAATTGAAAAGCGATATTTCTCGTGACCAGTGTTTTCATATGGTTTAGTAACATGGGTTTAGTCATTGGTCACGTGCATTAGGACCCACCACTTGCATATTTAGAAAGCTAGCATCCAAATATGTCGTCTAAAAGAATCATAAGATATTGCGAAGCAATAAAAACACTGTAGAGGAAGACAAACAGTTCCAGCTTATCCTCTTTTATTGTATTGATATCCGCATTGCTTCACATTTATTAACGTTTCAACCAATTCCTATTCTTTTTGTGCTTTGTGTTTAAGGATTTAAGGATCAATGTATCTGCATTCACACATTCTTTAAGCCTCTCTCCATACATCCTGAACCCTTTTGCTGCTCCCTCCACTTTTAGTTGTTAAATTCAAAAACCCATTTGTGTTTCGAATCCAAAATGGCAAAAAGTTTAGATCTTTCTCTGATTCTCTTTGTTCTGTATGTGTCCACCGCAGCGGTAGCCATGGCCACAAACCTTGAAGAGGAATCAAGTGGTGATACAGAGTTCGTGAAAGCTTCTTGTGAGACAACAACGTACCCGGACCAATGCTTCCAGTCTCTGTCTTCATATGCAAGCGAGATCAAGAAGCGGCCTCGTCAGCTCGCCGAGACAGCGCTTGCCGTTATCACGGCTCGAGCAAAGTCAGCTAAAACTTATGTCTCGGACATGACTGACTATAAAGGAATCACAAAGAGGCAGCACGAGGCTGTATTGGACTGTGTAGAAGAGATGGGAGATACTGTTGACAGGTTGAGCAAGTCGCTGAAGGAACTGAAGCATCTGGAGGAAGGCGAAAGCGGAGAAGACTTCTGGTTCTGTTTGAGCAATGTACGGACATGGACAAGTGCGGCTCTGACAGATGAGACCACGTGTCTTGATGGGTTTGGAGGGAAAGCCATGGATGGAGAGCTGAAAAGCTTAATCAGAGCACACATTGTGCGTGTGGCGCAAGATACGAGCAATGCCCTGGCTCTTATCAATGTCTTTGCTTCCAAGCATTGAAAACATTGCCAAAGGTTTGGTCTTAGGAACAGAGTTTTTCTCTTGGATTTGGTTTCTATTGCGATTTGAAAAATTGTGCTTTCGTTTGGTTTCGAGTCTTGTCAGTTACTCTTGCCATGTTGTTGTATTATTATCTACGGTCTACATAGTTGAAGGTGTTGATTTTGATTTTATCTGATTATAGATTTTGTTTTCCATGTGAAGTTATTTGAAATCCCCTCTTTTAAACGTCTCAAGTCATTCTTTCATGTTCATTCATCTGAGATAGTGATGGCAGTAGAGCTGAATGTTCGATGGGCCTGAAGGGGGACTTATGGATTTGGCCTAATACCAGCTTGGAAACAACTACTGATATCTGAAATGTCGTTGTCCGTTAAAATATTTGATGTTTTTTTTTTATAGTTTTTTTTATTTTCTTAAATAAAAACAACATTTATTATCTTTCTAAACACAATTAACCAATGAGAAAACAAATATCAGATAGTTTAAAACAATTTGTTTCTCTAAAAAGTCTATTACTTCGAAACAGAATGAATATCTGATAGTCATTGAAACTTGAATTTCTTTACATAAAATGTGTTGCGTGTTCGCTTACTTAAATTTATTTAAAAAACTTTGTATGTATAGTATCATATATATAGACTCATTTTGCATGTTTTAGAAAACAAAATCATAAAGACAGTAATCAGAGCTTGTAGTCTATTGGTTTGTAATCGTTATGTTATAATCGAGGTGTAAGTGGTAAAAGAAATTAAGAAAAAACATTAAGATGATCTCCAGGATCTCCTCCTCCTCATAGAGAAAAAAGTCACAAGGTCAACGGCAAAATGGCCCAACTGGAACAGTTCCTCAAGGCATATGAAATACGAATCCTTTAACATGTTGATCCATATCAATATATCATATATACTCAAGAATACGTGAAGTAACTCTAAAACGTTACACATTTTTGGAGTTTATACTAATTAGGTAATTAATGCCAATTATTTAATGACATAAAGAAAAGAAAACGGTACACATGCACATGCAAAGAGATGAGTTCGTGAATATAATGATTAATCTCAGTAACTTGGATAATTAGTAACAAGGGCCAAAGTATTGCTTGTAGTCCTTGAAAGCTCAGCAACAGCCTTCTTCACCTTCTTCTTCGTCTCCACATTCACTTTCCTTTCCTCGAACCCGTCCGTACACGTTCCCTCGTCGGTCAACGCCGAGCTAACCCATGTCCTCACGTTCTTTAAATGCTCCTCCTTAGAGATTCCTCCACCTTTAAGATTCTTCATCTCGGCCATGGCTTGCTTGAGCTCGTCGACAGTGTCCTTCAACTCATAAACGCAATCCTTGAGGATCGGGACCTCAGGGCTCGAGGCGGCTTTGGCCTTTTTGAGAAGGTTAGAAACGACTGATGTGGCTTTAATGGCGGCTTTGACGTTGAGACTGAGCGAAGTTGTGCAGAGTTTGATTGGGTTGGATTTGATGGTGGAGCTGTAGGAGTACAGTGACTTGTAGCACATTGAAGGGTATGTTGTTGAGCTGCATGCCGTTTTTACGTACGTTTTGTAGTTTTGGTATTTGGCTGGTGGAGTGGCTGCTGTGTTTAGAAAGCTTGATGAGTTGATGAGAACAACGAGAGTTAGAGAGAGTACTATCACGAAACGCGACATGTTTAGTGTTTTTTTTGGTCTATCGGCTTTTGAGAGAGAATAGAAAATGCAAACTTTTTGCCGAGTTGTGAATATATATATGCAGTATGTGTATATATATAGAGGGTAGATCTAATCATCCAATGTGTGTATTATGATAATGATATGAATATCAATCCACTAAATTATCAATTGATTTTGAATTAAAAACTATAACAAATGAGTTAGTTTTATATTATTTTGATTTATATATGATTCTAATCATGTGACATCTCATTAATTCTGTTTGTTCAATTTCTCCAGAATTATTAACCACTTATGTATGTAATTAGTCGCGCTTTCCTCAAATCATTATCCCTATAATTAGAAACTGAAGACAAACTTCATTCCGGTGTTTAAGCGAAGTGGCACGTGATGTGCATATAATGCCCATGTAATATGAACGTGGACCAGATCTCTTATTTCGCAGAAACATCTTTTTATTTATTTTCTATTTTTTGTTAAAGATACTATTAGTCATCTTTCTTCTGTAATCATTAAGAATGACAGATCAACATATCTCCGATGCATGAATCACATGATTTATAGATAGGTGTTGACCTGCTGGAATTTGTACATGATAGTTAATATATGTTCCTGTAATTTTAATAAACATTGATGGTTTAAAAGGAAAAAAAAATTCTTTCGTTACATTTGAGAAGAGTGGTAAGAAAGAACAAGAAACATGATTCTGAACCAATTTGATCGAAAACAACGCAAGAACCAGAGTTGTTCTGATCCTTGGGAAGCAAAGATCTATGCACTTTGGGGATTAATTAATCAATCTAAACATCACTGAAATAAATTCCAACGTGTAACATCTACTACGATCTACAGCCGAACTAGTAGGGATCAGGAAAAATAGACCGGAGAGAACTTCACTTCCCCGGTCGATCCACACAAATATGTAAAAGGCTCAGAAAAAAGTGAAAACCGAGGGGAGCAATGCCATTAGCATGCTAAACATTAGCTTCAAGTGACCATTTAACATAGATGTTGCAGCTGAGTGGTGTTGTTGCCTGCAACAATCATGAAGAAGAGTGTTAAGATTGTATATCACATATTCACATTGTAGAGCAAGAGAGCGAAAGAGAAAAAGGAATAACAAAAGTTTCAGAGTACATACTTTTGTAAATGCCTAAGGGCACCACAGTAAAGGACATTGTCAGGGGCATCCATCTCTGTCTGGCCATTCTCCTCGGGGTTTATGATCCGCATGTAAGTTTCTTCACCAAGATACCATCTGTCAAGATTCTCTACTCGGATGTTCCAAACTCCGACATTATCAAGGGAAAGAAGTACAGCCGTCCATCCACCTGGGTAAACCTAAGTTACAGGAAAAACCAAATTAAAATGATTAAGAGAAGATGCAGATCAGAGTAATGTGAGCGAAGCTGCGGTTTACGAACCTCAATTGTGCTTCTTGAGATGGCATCGTAATTGTTATATGAACCCTTTTTGTCTTCTGACCATATACCAAAGTCCATCCTGGATAACATGGTACATCAACACCAGAGTTTCATTTTCAATAGAGATATTCAAAAGGAGAAACAAGAATAGATGACAAGGAATCATGGTTTCTTCTTACGCAACAACAAAAAACGTATAGCCATCAACATGGAAGCTCTGGATCTTGGTGTCATTGTTCTGGAAAACAACTTGTATAAAGCCTTTGTATGTTGCGTTGATCATAGATCTGTCCAAACGAAGAGGTCTACCAAAAGGTTTGTCAGGGAAGTCCAGCTTGTAAGCTCCTTTCACTTTATAGCGATCTGCAAGCCTCACTGGAGTGCTTGGATTCACAAATGAAATCCCGTTGAGTGTAGCACGAAGCGACCCGTTAATTGTTGTTGGAGGCAAACTTCTCAAGACGTACGTGTTAGTGATGTTTATTTGACCGTAGTGAAATGATCCCTGCGGATTTGGACGAGCTCCACTGGCAGATGTGTTTTGCCTGCAGATGAAAACAGTCAGCTTCACCTGAACAAAATCTAGGTGTAGCAATAAGCAGGGAAGTATATAAACGCACTTGCTCCCAAAATCTCAGGAAAAAAAACACAAACCTGATGGCCCTCGGCTGGGTCATTGCTGACCACGAATTAGAAACATCTGTTTTTGGAACTGGTAGAGGACCAGAAGCAGGTCCATTGGAATTAGAATAATGGAGAATGGCGACACCAGTGACTCTTTGCCACACGGTTTCATTCACAAATCTAGCACTGGCCACAATGTAGTAGTCGCTTGTGGCATTTTGGTCCATGGTTACCAAGAATGAATAAGACTGTCCTACATGAATATCAAAATCGGTAAAGTTTGTCTGTGAGGTATAGCAACCATCGGTTTCTACCAAAAGCAAATTGTGGTTCTGAATCCTGAAGTTCAAGCTTGTCGAGATCCCAACATTGTGAACACGGATTCTGTAGGTTTTTCCTGCAAAATATAACACCGTTATAGCAACGTATCAAGCTAGTAATTTGCAATATTGAAAAGGCCGAATCTTGACAAATCTTCTTGATTTTTAAGTCCCATCTATACGAGATGTTCAACTACATGAAACAGTTATCCATGTGTTAAGAGCTATAAGTAATTAAGGAAAAAAGAAATTTTAAACCACCAAGACTAACTGAGATTGGAGACCCGCAGACAACTACTCAAACAAAATTTTACTAGGATGCAAAGGAAAGTCACATGTGTAGATTCATATGTCTCATGAGACAAATTGAAAGCAGAATTTCTGGAAACTCCCAACGCAGTACCTGGTTCAACATGAGCTGTCAAGTAATCAATTCCATCAGGTACACTACTGTTGTACTTGTAAGGACCCTTCCCATTGATGAGGACTCCATCAGGCATCCCAAGTTCTTTCCCAGAGTCAAGTATTCTCCTTAATGCCTGACAAGCAACAGTGTTTCAGGTACAGATAAAAAAAAAAGAAATGGGTACTGATAACCAAATGCGGACAAAGACAATGAAGATTACATACTTTATGGTCCTGAGTGTACCAATCATTAATAATGAAGATGATTTCGCCGTCAGGCTCTGGGAAAGGGATAGGAATAATGTTCCGGTTATTAATCACGATTGGACCAAAACCACCAGATGCCCTCTGAAAGTTGAGTGAAGGGGAGTAGAAGAAGCTTCCAATTTGATCTTTCACTTGAAATTGGTAAGTAAAGTTCCATCTTGGAGGGATTGGGCAGTTTGTGCCAAGAACACCGTCTTGCCACGAGTCACGCCTCATTTGAATGCCAGGCCTATTCCAACAGATAAAATGAAAGAAGTCAAGAAGCATATTTTCGAAGGAAGATAAAAACTTTTCAGAAACTATGTAATAAGGGAGGTAAAAAGGACAGCTCTTGGTCTCACCAAGTCAAGAGGAGAGGCTCATCCAAATGATTGAAGACGTTAACAACAACATTGAAGTTGGTAGTAGCATTAAGCAGAGGTCCTGGAAACTGCCCATTGACGGCTATAACCTGAATTTGATCATATATGTTTAAACCATTTACACGAAGTTAACACCAAATCAAAGTAGGCTTGCAAATAATCAATCTACACAGCAGCTTTTTTTTTTTATATGCCAATCAACATTTTCAAATAATAACAAACACCAATTGAATACCTAACCCCACTTAAA